ACGCGTGTAAACGGACTCTCTCCACCACCACTCGATCATCTGTAATCTTGCTCTGCTTCACGCTCTGTCTGTGGGCGTGTATCCCGCTGGGTCCGATATCCGCACAGTGCTAGAACACTCGCTCAATTTCGGACATGGATCAGCGTCAAACTATCATCGACTCCGTGTTCTCGCGCAGGAATGCAGCAGGTGTTCTTGAAGAAACATACGTATCTCATGTCAAGATTTGGGAGGACGCCGGTGCTGAGGGCGGTGGGAGGAAACCGCGATACATCCTTCTGTCTCGTACGCAACACATCTTCTGAGACGTCCGTTGTTCTCAATGGCAACACTGTGCAGAGGCTCTCAATGGCAATGGCTTTCTGCACAAATCCAAACTGAACACGAACGGGACTTTCTCAGTGGGAAAGACTTGGAGGTTGGCAGAGCTTCGGGCTTTGCAAGTGGTCAATGTGCGGGAGCATATCATCGTCATGGCTCAAGTGCTGACTCAAGTGCTGACTGCACTACTCCAGGCGCTCTCCTTCAATATATCCCTCTCCAGAACCTACAAATGGCAGACGGAAGATCCTAGTGAACAATCTCAATTCCTCCAGGCCGTCATCCAGCTGTTTCGCACGACTTCACCTGACGCGCCGCTAAGACTGGAGGGCATCAGTGAAAGCAAATGTGCGTAGTACATCATGGTTACAGTCTCCCCACGGGTACCGACCTGCACAGCTTCCCAATCTGTACCAAAACTGAACGCTACTCCAACACGACGGCCCAATAACCGACCACCACCATTAAACGAAGTTTCGAGCGAGCGGCAATACGAACAGCGCAATCTGTCTCCACCTCCGCCGAGGTCCCAGTCGCGAAGTGGATTAAACTCCCGTCCTGCATCTCCTGCTAATTCTAGTCGTGCTTATTCTTCCGCCCGTGGTTCATCAAGACAAGCCGAGCGGCTTCCCGAACCACTTCCTTCACCCCAACCTCGTCCTAGACCAGCGGCGAAAGCGACACCCCCGGCACCTCCGAGTCTCCAACCCTCATCATCTCTCTCCTCGCTGCCGGAAAGAGCACCGTCGATTGCATCCATTGAACCTCCTTCTCCTTTGCCCAGATCTTCGAAGCGCCCAGGTGCTACCGCTGCTCCTGTTGATGGATCTGGTCCATCGAGGAGAGACCAGAACGCTCGCATTTCTTTCTTTGATCCAGGCAATCAGGCTGCTTTGGACCGCCTGATCACCAACTCCACTAATGAAGAAGATGGCGAAGAAGAATCTGCTCAGTCCATGATGTCTAACGTGGAGGAGATGATCGAAGGATACGAGTGGGCTATCGACGATGTCATTGGCCGCAAGTCGTCCAGGGGAGCGGCAGATCTCATTGAGGCGAGATTACTGGATGAGTTACTGGCCCTGGAAAAGGTGGGGTGCTCAGTTTCATTGACTGTGTTTATTTAGCGAGTTGTTTCTGACATTGCGTAGGCTAACATCCATTCATTCCTTGAATCTGATGACCTCATCGAAGTTGTGCTCAAGTACATGGACGAAGCAGTTGCCGAACTGGATAATATGGAAGGCTTGGTTTCGTCGTATAAGATTCATCTCAATGTGCGTTGATCCCTCTCGGTCTCACAAGTGTGCTTTCTGACCGAAATCACAGGCAGTTGGAGATGATATCTCCTTCATCCAAGGGCAGAATCGGGGTCTTCAAGTACAGAATCAGAACCAGCGCGCGTTACTGTCCGAACTAGAGAATCTCTTGGTATGACCACCTCGCTCTCAATCGCTAGACCCTCATCTTTTCTAGCAAACAACCCAAGTCAACAAAGATGCGCTGGCCATTCTCACGCAAGAGTCGTTGGAAAAGTCCAGTGGCATTCAGCGTCTGGAAGAAGCTGCAACCGAGCTGTACAAGGCGTTGTTGGCTGGCCAGGACACCGATATGGCTGCGACAATGCAGCGATTGCAGGAGTACAGATCGTACAACACTCAGTTCTGCAAACGGATCTTCGATTTCTTATCCATCATGTTCACAGCCCAGGTGTGTGTGAAACGAGTGGTCCCTTTCGATGACATACGACTTACCTTTTATAGTCCCAAATGTTATTGGGCAGTACCGACGGCTTGCTCAAAGCTGGGGGTCGTGGCAAGCCAAGCATCATTCCTCATCAAGACTTGGAGCAGTACTTGGGCCGCTATGCTGGGTTGATGCTTTATCTGAAAGAAATGGATGAGAAAATCTACGAAAGAGTCTGCGGTGTCCGTGTTTCTTCCCTCCGTTGGCTATTTGTCCTAATCCAAGGCAGACCTACTTCTCTGCATCAAGCGAGCTACACAAGACGCAGATGAAGTCTCTACTCTCCATCTACATCAATTTGGTGCGAAAAGCTAGCGAGGACGATCAAGAACATGGTATTCCGAACGTTTGGTGCCACAAGTCATATTGATTTCACCTCATCTAGGTTTCGGCCCGCCGCCTGCAACAGGGACTATTGCCAAGGGAGCGACCGGCATGCGCCGTGCCGGCACGATAATCCGATCGCCTCTAGAAGCCCGCAACAGGGACAAGGATAAGACTCCGCAGGCGACGCTGGCAGCGTCTGAGGTACGTCGTGGGCTTTGGATATAGCACGTGACCTAACACCCTCTGAACTAAAGGTGCTTATCTTGGTCCTAGAGCAGATTGCACCTCTCATGTATCGAGAAGACGAGTTCATAGCGGATTTTCTGCAGATCAACGAAGCTGTGCTTACTTTTGCGGACTATGCGGATCTGGACAATTACTTCCGGCGACAAGCGTCGCGCACTGCCGGCTTGAGCCAGTCGACCATGAAGCTGGTACGACAAGCCATGGAACTCATTTTCGGATTTCTTCCGGAAGAGCTCAAGAGCTGGCTCGACAAAGCACTTGCCAAGGACAGCATGTCAGTCTTCTGGTGTACCCTAACGTCACCCATCTGACGATCTCAGGCAAATTGTCGGTCTCCTGGCGTCTATGGAGAGATTCATTGCCGAGGCAGATGATCGCGCCATTTACTTGCTGAATGTATTGGGGAAGCAGCAGATGCGCCTGAAGAGCCTCTTCGATCGACATGTCGTGCGTCTGGTTTCTCATCTGTCCAGAAGCCTACTCTAAGACTAGCGCAGAATGACCAAATCAGGGACATCGAACAGACGAAACTGAACAGCAAGAAGCGCAAGGGTGTTGTTCCATTTATCAAGCACTTCCCTAGCTATGTGAGCACGGTCGAGGATCAGCTGATTCGGGCCGAGAGTCTCGAAGTCCGGTCAACAGTGGACGCCGCCTATGACCGCATCGTCCAGTCCATGTTCGAGTCGCTCAAACAAATGGCCAAGCTTGACGGGGAGGGAGAAGACAAAGGGCAGCTCAATTTCCATGTCATTCTCATAGGCATGTGGTTTGGCACTTTGATGACTGTCTGCTGACGCTTCGAGGTGCAGAAAATATGCATCATTTTATCTCCGAAACCTCTCAGATCCAAGTGGGATCTGTTGCCTCGTTCGTGAGGACGGCAGAAGCGATATACGACGAGAACTTGACTGCATACGTGAAGCTGGTTCTGCGCCGACCTTTCGGCAAGTTGATGGTGCGTTGGGATCACTGCGCATGCACAGCACAACAGCTCCTCACGCGTCGCAGGATTATTTCGATGGCATCGAACGTCTCTTGAAGACAGCAGCGCCGTCCGAGATCTCATCGAATAGCAACTACAACAAATCGGCGCTCAAGAAAGTGGTCAAGGAGTTCAACGCCAAAGACATTCGCAAGAACGTGGACGCCCTATACAAACGGGTCGAGAAGCACTTCAATGAGGGATCCGAGAAAGCGGCGGAGGAGAGCAAGGGAATCGTATCCGGAACAGTGCTCGTCGGTGTCTGGAAGGCTTGCGAGGACGAACTTATCCGATTTACCGACACAGCGGCGAAACGCATCACCCAGTGCTACGGAGATAGCGGAGTTACGTTGGATTACACCAGAACAGACGTCGAAGGCGCCTTCAGGCGCCACCGCGGGTTCTGATCTGTACACAACAACATACACGTGGCATGTACACACATATCCAGGTTGAATCAAGATACGTGTTGAGGCTCGGGGAACGGAGGCGCAGCCTCAGTGGCGGCATTGGGGGTTGAAGCGGTCGAAGCATAGGGAGAAACCGACGGTGACACAGCTGCCGGCGCAGATGCAGGTGCAGAGGCGGGCCGAAGCGCGCTGGCGATCGCGGGGGCGTAAGCTCTGAACATGTCCAGCGCAGCGCCCATCGAAGGAGCTCCAGCGGGAGCGACACCGGGCTGTCCCTGCTGTGCGGCGTTCTTGTTTGCTGCGCCCATAAGGGCATTCCATGCAATGGCAAATTTGACTGAGGCAAATGAGAACACATTCCCCTGGATCGTTACGATGTCTTTGACCGTGCGTGAGAAAGTTAGACGGAGACATGCAAATAACACGCACCAGCGTCGAATTCTGCTTCATTGCGCGTCATGAAGGGGAGGATATACGTGTCGTAGATGTAGGTCGACCCCTTCAATGAATGTATGAGCGATAACGGTCAAGTCATCGGGAAGTAATGACCTGAGTTTGTGGAAGCGCGAGGAAGAGAAGGAAAGCTGTCTTGGCTTCCCAGTAGAAGGGCACCCACGAGATAACCCATTCTCCCAGATATTCGAAACAGACGATAAGTCCGACCACAGACCTGGATTTCGCACTTGTGGTTAGCTTTTTCTTGCCTATAGGAGAGAGAACTGACCAGTATTTTGTCCAGCGCTCGAGATCTGGCTCGGAAACAGGCCGATGCTTGAGAGCTTTGAATGTCCCGAAGACGGGAATCAAGAATGCAAACCAGGCAGCAATAACGTGGGAGATGAAGGAAAGAATCATTGTATATAACTGTTTCGCGTAGTCAAGATTGACCAAGTACGCCCGCGATTATGCTGAAATTGGGAATAGACAGGGAGAGATGTGAGAAAGAGAGGATATACGTCCGTGTGAATAACTGTCAAAACTGCCACGACAACCGAATCTGCAATCGGGCCGACATCGGCTCCTTCATCGGGTTTGTTGTTTTTCAGCTTTCGCGAGACGCGAGGTGTGTCGACACAATCCAGGGTCGTTTCTATTGCAATGCACGCGTCTACGAATGTGGACATGAGTATTTCCAAACGGATGCAGTCATGTTGTGCTACATGGGCGTGACAGGTTGAACGGCTTCGCATCAAGTTCTCACTCACTCACTACTTTCTCTCACTCGACCATCTTGTCCGCCAGGGCGTTGGGCGGCATGGACCCCTCTCTCAGTCTGTCTGGTCTTCACCAAGTGGATCAGAAGGATGACAAGGGAGACGTGAAACAGGTGGTAAAGACTCTGAACAGAGTGCCTCGCGCTTGCGTAAGAATCGCCGCACGACAGCCCGTTCTCGTCTCTACGTACTGAATCCGTGTTCAGAATGCTTGTAGGAAGCAGAAAATGCGGTGCGAAGGAGCCGACAATCCGCCATGTAGACGTTGCCGTACCATGAACCAAGAGTGCTTGTTTGAAAAGCCCTCGCGGGAGGCAAGTCTAACGGGAGAAGCTGGACTCGAGTACGCGATGTGCACATATTCTGCTGAGCTCCATTGACTGTATCACCAGACGCATACGAAGCCTAGAGGCATATGTTGCGGATATCAGGCACACGCAAAGCTCCATTCAAAACTCGGTTGCCGAAATCTTGGCCCACCTTCGGGGTGGCGCAGTGCATGCACGTTCTCCAACGTACACACCCCATCCGTACAGCCAGTCACCCAGTCTTCATTCGCCATCTGTGAACACAAGCCAAGTGCATCCACACGGGAGCGATGGTGGACCGCAGACACCGACAAACACTTTCGCGCAAGCACCTCCTACGCGCCAGTCGCGTGGATCCCTACCACCTGCGCCTCCTTCAGCACATGCTGGTCCCTCGCAGCATCCAGGCGCGTATTCGCACTACCGGAACTCAGGCTCGAGCTCGAACTATGCGATCGCTGGTCCAGCACAAGGACCTGTTCTCCCTCCGTTCTCCAGTCTTCCGAGTATGGGGCCGCCAACTGCTCAGGCGTCTAATGTCTCTTCGGTCCGCTATGATAGCGCACATACGCATCCTGGCCTCAGACAACATGGGAAACGAGGGCAAGGGTCAACGAATGTGACGAGTGCAGAATCGTCCGATATCGACGACGAAGACAACGGTGATCTGCCCGACTCTGGACTGGTTGCACCGCTGGAGGTTCTCCGCGGATTGGCTGATGTGGCATTTGAGCGGGCTGCCAAGGTTGCTTTGACTTTGTCCCAGCGGCTATTGGTGTGCTAAAGACTCTGCAGGAGAACGGCGGAGACAGCAGCGGACCTCAGAGTCGGAATAGAACACCTTCACCCGACAGGCAGAATCGCAAACGTCGAAAGCTGCATCACAAAGGTCGACCTGCGATGGTGTTCCCCGACGGTAAGCTAGACTGACTGATAATGATCCGCGCTCATCGTTCTAGTGGTCACCAAAAATATCGTCTCAGAGGCAGAAGCGCGGGAGCTGTTCCAAATGTAGGCCAACGCACTCATCTGAGCCCCAGTTGACGGTTTCCTGTTGCAGCTTTTACCGCGGCTGTTCGACCTTCCTGTCAGTACTAAGTATACAGCGGGGATATTACCACTAAATCGTCCACTCCACAGGCCGGTGTTCGATTCTTCCTGTGACACGTTCGATGAGCTCCACGAGCGATCGCCTTTTGCCGTTGATTGCATCTGCATGGTGGCCGCAAGAGTTCGAGATGGCGGTGGCAAGTCGACCAGTCGATGAACTATCGAGAACACTCACAATTTTTCAGGGCCACCTAGCCAGACGTATATTCAGACTCTAGAAGAGGTCCAGACTATCTCTCGGGCAACTCTTTTCTCTCCTGTGCTAAGACACGAAGCAGTGCAGGCTATGAGTATGTGTCCCAGTCGAGCTTCCTCAGTTCCTCGCTAATCTTCGCTAGTATTGGTTGCCGGCTGGTCCGAAAACGGATGGCTCAGCGGAGGTCATGCTGTCAGGATGGCCCTGGAACTTTGTGAGAAGTTCCTTGCCCGGTGCCGACATTTACTCAGGTTCTGCCAGCTATGCACAAGGCTTGGCCAGCTCTTCTCAAGCGCATGAATGTCAATCAGATTGATCTCAATGCTGACCGGGAATTGGTAATCGCGTCAAGAATCTGGTTCTGCCTCTATCTCTTCGAACATCAGTGAGCTGGCTGCGCAATACAGCAAAAATTGCGAACCTTATCCTTCGTAGATTGTCATACGGGACCGGCCGGCCCGCTGTGCTCAAGGACGATGAAAGCATCGGCCATTGCCGTTTGCTCTTGCAACATCCCCTCGCCATTGAAGATGACATGCGGCTAGTCTCCACCGTGGAACTAATGGCTCTGCGGGAAAGAGTTCATAATGCGCTCTCGCCGTTCGAAGGGCCCGTCAAGGACGGCCATTTTGAAGAGCTTCGACGTGCAGATGTCAACTTCCGTAGCTGGTATGCTACTTGGGATCAAGCTTTCTCTCAAAAATACGAAGACGCCGGTAACAATAATTGCTGGCATACTGGGTCACGATGAGACTGATGAGTGCCATCAGCGTTCTATCGACAATCGTTGCAAATCCAGCATCTGCATGCGGAACTGTTTCACAACGCAACTGCGCTCAGAGGACTGAATGGCCCCGACGACGTTATGAACATGCCGGCCCAGCAGAGATCGCTCGCTTTGCGTTCCATTCAGATTGCCCGTCAAGGCCTCGATCTTACTGTGAATAGCCCAGCGTACAGGTATTTGTCGTTCTCTTTCTGGTATTACGCAGTACTGAGTCGTCAAACTTAGGGAAGGGATGAAATATGGTATGATATTGGCTGCACATGGGCGTGGGGTACTGATCTGTTCTCTAGCCGTGAACTATACCCATGCGACAGCGACTTTTGCGGCTTCATTCCTTTTGCGACTTTCGCGACTGTTCCCTAACGACAGTGAGATGCCGGAAGTGAGGACACAAGTGGAACGTCTAGCTACCCTGATGGCCGAAAGTGCGTCATTCAACAACTTGCCCTGGCATCGTTCTCATATCCGCAGTCCCTGCTAAACAGTATGCTCTGACCCTGCAAGTCATGCTGAAAAGATCGAGAAAACGCAAGTCTGGATCATCAACCTCGCGCTCGCCAAAAACTGCCCGCGATCCCCACCGTCCCATGTCCATGACTATCGATCAAAATCAGCCAAGTAGTGCCCAGCAGCAGGAGCCGTTCTCGCCTGCTTACGAAACCTTTCCTGGCCAAGGTCAGCACGTACCTCACATGCAGGATGCAGACCACATTTGGCGCGGATTCGAGACGACTTCGAACGAACAGCTGCCTGTCTGGATTTCGGATCAAACTTTGGGCGGAAACACCCTGTCGCAGCACGGCATGAATGCTTTTCTCTTGCCTCAGGACTATTTTCCGCCGGCCACGCAAATCTGGTGAAAGATGGGAACAGAAAAATGTGTTTTCCCCCTTGTTATCTCCTATGCGATCATACTTGTTTTGCATATCTTGGACCACTACTGTAAAGTTTGTGTAACGTTTCATTAGGTTCTGTGCTGTACAAACGACGTGTATATCTTCCATCAGTGTCACGAGCAGCCAATAATCACGTGTGTGTGACTGACGCGCTTCGCATCCTTCTCAGCTTCACTGCCAATGCCGGCTCTCAAACGCAAGGCCAGCGGAGGACTGTCCACGTCACCCACCAAGCGTGCGGCGCTACAGAAGCCTCAACTCTCCACTAGTCCTAGCAAGCAGCGGGGCGGGGCGGGGCAGCGAATACTCAAGCGAGAAGATAGCGAGGATGAGCTCAATGCGTTCCTCCCACGTACGCGCTCGGGCAAGGTTCGACCTATCGAACCTCCCCCCAAAACGCCTCCGCGCCGGAAATTGGAGACCTCTACTTCCCATCGCGATATCCAGGGAGACGAGACGGAGTCCCGACCAACATCACCGACGAAACGAGGTCGCCCTCCAAAGGCCGAACCTAAAGCTGTCAAGAGCCTCACCGCTGACCCACCCCGCGAGCTGGCCAAAAGCTCTCCCCGGAAGACGATTTCCCCCGCTCGCTCCCCCACGCCGCCGTCTGTGGCTGAGTCTATTGAAGATGTGGATCCCGAGCTGGAGGAGAGGAGTGAATTGCAGGTGGAGGCTCAGCTTGTGGCTGAACAACTCAGAGTTTTCACCTCAGAATCCGGTTCTCCACTGCCTATGGATGACAGGCCTATATCTCCTGCACTCTGCGATGCACGCAGGCAGAGCATCTTTCGAGCAATACAAAGTTCGGATTGCTGGATGGAACCCGAAAGCTCTGCGAATCATATTGCTTTGAAGCAGCTTCATGATTTGCTCACTGGTACGGTTGTGAGAGGGGAGGGGAACAGTTGTTTATTGCTGGGACCTAGGGGGAGCGGGAAGACCGGAGTGCGTGAACAGTTCCGTTCTTTCGGTTGCCATCTTACAGCTTGTAGATTGTGGACAGATGCATAGGATTACTCGAGGAAAAGCCGATTATCATCAAATTGTGCGGCTGGGTACAGCATACAGACAAGCTGGCCATGCGCGAAATCGCGTACCAAATCGACCAACAAACGGGCGGGTCTTTTCTCATTGAGGACGAGGGGGCAGAGGTCGATCCCTTCTTGGAGACCCCAACCGGGATACAGAGTGGGCAGCCGCCAGCAACACATCTGTCCAAGTTCATCTCCTCTCTGCCTACTCTCAGTCGTGCCACGGTCGTCGTGTTGGACGGGTTTGATCTATTTGCCCAGCACCCTCGGCAGTCGTTGTTGTATTGTCTTTTGGACACGGTCCAAAGCTGCCGGGCTGAGGCTGGCAAGAAAGGGATAGCTGTGATCGGGACCACCGCTCGCGTTGACACGATCAATATTCTCGAGAAACGCGTCAAAAGTCGATTCTCGGGGCGCATGTTTCGGACTGCATCTCCCGGAAACTGGGATGATTGGAGAGGCTTCACGAGGAAAATTCTGTGCCAGAGTCTCGAGTCTTTTGCCGATTTTGATGGACAATGGGAGCGCGCAGTGGATTCGTTCCTTCAAGACGAACTGACTCAATCAGTGTTCAAGGAAACTCTCAGCGTAACGCGGGATGTCAGAGTGTTCAATCGGATACTGGTATGTCATTAAAGTATGTTCGGTCACTCTGCTCATTTCGCAGACAGCGATGGTTGTTCAACTGTCTCCAGGCGCGCCTTATCCCACACCGAAGCAGCTAGCACACGTGGCATCAATGCAGCGCACTCGAGTAGGGTTTCCGTCTGTAGAGGGTACGTCTTCCACGCTGCGAACATTAGCGCAATCCTCTGAGTTTTTTTCTAGGTCTGCCTTATCCAGCGCTCTGCTTGCTAGTTGCTTGTATGCATTCAGAAACCGCTGGACACTCAATATTCACCTTCGAGATGCTTTACGAGAGAGTTCGGGACCGAATTCGGGTTTCCGCTTCCGCCCCCGTTGAAGTCAAGGGACCAGTGTGGGGATGCCGCAGTGTTCTAGGGCGGTGCTTTCCAGCGTGCGTTGCTATCCAATGTGTCGACAACTTCCCTCATACGACCCGCAGGCTTTCGAAACACTGGTGTGCACGAGTATCTTTATCCCATCTGTTGCTCCAGCAGCAGGAATTGCGAAAGAGTTCGCGAAATACCGCTCTCATGTAGGCAGAGAATGGATTCGTAGAGCTCTGCAACTCAAGAACGACATGAATCTGAATAGATGGCTTGGGAAATCGTAGAATAGGGGCATCAATTATTACAACTGTAATTTGTATCACTTCACTTCTTTCAACCATGCCCTCCCCATCGCAATCTCGCACACAGCAAGACGTTATAGATCAAGACTCTTCACGCCCGCATCTCAAAAATCCCTTCTCTCCTCCCCAGTCACCCTCGTCAAACGCGAAGCGTCCAGAATCTTCTGACGGCGCCGTGCAAGAAACAGGTCAGAATGAACACCCCGACGACTCGCACCCCAAGCACAGCGTTTTGTCAAATATACTGCATCTTGGACACCATTCAGATAGCGACTCCGGATCGGGTAGTCACGATGGCCACCAACATGCCCTGCCCTTTGCTATCCCCATCCCCAATTTGCCCATTCCCAACCTTCCGATTCCCAATCTCAACAATCTGCCTAACCTGCCCATACCTGATCTGGGTAACATTGTAAGCCAAAAGGCGAGAAGACCGTCTGAGATTATACAGAATGTTACCAGTGCGTGCGATCCATGCTCTCGCTATGCTCAGCTCATCGTCGCACGCGCGCGCTCTCTCTCTAACAGGGATCGACAACCGGCATAAGTTCATCCTCAAACTCGCCAAGGCTTTGATGTCTTTCGGTGCACCGTCTCATCGAATCGAATCGCAGCTGGTAGCTGCCTCCAAGATCCTGGCCGCGGGAGCAGGTGCGTGTTTTGACGCGTTTTTACGCGTCTAAGTTGCTGCCCACGCGTATCCAGAGTTCGTTCATCTCCCCAACATTGTCATTGTGACTATCCGGAACGGCGGGACCGCGTCGACGAGGACGTACTTCGTCCGGGCGACTGGCCGCATCTCGCTCTCGCGGCTCAATGCGGTGCATCATGTTTACCGCAAAGTGCTGCACGACAAGCTGAGTGCGGAAGCGGGGACCGACGCTCTCCGGGAACTCTTGAAGGCTCCTCCAGTTTATAATCTGTGGCTGCGATGTTTCTTTGCGTTCACGTGTGCTTCTATTCTGTGTGTTCTGTCGTTTGGTGGCTCGTTCTTGGACATGTGGGTGAGTGGGACGTGCGCTGCGACGCTTCAGTATCTGGGCTTGAACGCAGGTTTGTGTGTTTTGTATTGAGAGGTGTGTAGCGAGCGCATTCATCTAACTCCTCTCAGCGAACAAGAGCTCGATGTATGCAAATGTATATGAGTAAGTGCCTAACGTGCATGTATCCAGATACTCAAGCGTAGACCAGGATCTCTGTGACGATCATTGTCGCTTTCGTGGCTCGCGGACTGAGCAATATCCCGGTACTATTTTTATTATAACGTCATAGGGTGGCTTATCGGACTTCTTGTAGGGGAAATACTTCTGCTACAGTGCCATCTCATCTGCCGGTGTGATAGTCATCTTGCCGGGTTTCACCGTGCTTGTATCAGCCCTCGAGTTGATGTCCAAGAACATGTTTTGTGGCTCTGTGAGAATCGTCTATGCCATCATCTACACGCTCTTCTTGGTGAGCACGTTGGCTTGTCACGTATCCGGCATTGACCGAGCCAGGGATTCGGTCTTACGATCGGGTCTGACTTGTATTTGGTTGTTGACAGACGTGCTCGTCGCGCATACTACACTGGGCCGGCGACCACCGAATCGACTTACACGCACGGGTACTTTGATATAATGAACGGGACTGACGCTGGCCAGATGCTGAGCGGAGTCCTGGCTGTTACTGGGAAAAGTTTCGAGTCTGAGCACATCATCAAGGGCTGCTTCCGCGATCCTGGCTGGTCCTGGGCTCGGCAGCCTTTTCCTTGGTGGACGATGCTGTTTCTGGTGCCACTGTACTCGACTTCGTCATCGCTCTCTAACCTGCAAAGTATCTTTACGTGGCACTCTCGCAAGCAACTTGTGATCATGGTCTTCTTCTCGTGTTGCTCCTACACTGCCAACCGCGCCATCAGTGCTATTCTGCCTACGAGACCGGATATTGTGTCTGCCTCGGGTGCTTTTGTGATCGGATGTCTGGGCAACACTTATTCACGCTTGTTGCGTGGGACCGCCTTCACTTCGATGGTGACGGGAGTCTTGTTCTTGGTCCCTGTGATTTTGTTTTGCTCCTTTTGTGTTGTTGTCCTGGACTGATTCTTTGGTACTTCAGTCTGGTATTGCTCAAGGTGGTGGTCTCACTCAAACGTACAAAAATTCTGCGGATCAATACTCGAGTGGGTTCTCGCTGGCGCTCCGGATGATTTCAGTGGCATGTGGTGTGACGATCGGTTTGTTTGTGAGCCAGGTTCTCGGTCAGTCGGTTCTTTTTTTTGGCATGTAAGATGTGGGCTGACCGAGACCGGACAGTATATCTATTTGGGACGCGCAAGAACGCAGCCCATTTCGCATTTTGAGATTGAATTATACGCGCAAGACAGAATTATAGAGACATGTACATATGATATATGCATTAGCAATCACCCGAACAGCTCATTCAGCTCATCCATACGACGGGCCATCATCTCGGACTTGCTGTACGACTGGCCAAGGGTCATGTTCGCAAGCTCCGTCTTCTTGCGCTGCACCTCGAGCAGCCGCGCTTCGATCGTGTTCTCGATGATCAGCTTGATTGTGGTCACGGGACGAGTTTGACCCAGTCGGTGCTTGGAGCAAACATCAGCGCGCTCGAAAAAAAACGTCGGAGCGAGGGGCCTCACAATACGATCTACGGCCTGGTTCTCGACGGCAGGATTCCTGTGAAAAAACACACGACATGAGCCGACATGTGAAAGATACGGTCACCGCACATACCAATAAGGGTCCATGAGGTAGACCCGTTGTGCGGCCGTCAAGTTAAGACCCACCCCACCAGCCTTCAAACTGACAAGCAGGACCTCGACACCAGGGTCGTGCTTGAGTGCATCCATGGCACGTGTTCGATCGTCTCGACGCATGGTCCCATCCAATCTGTCATACCGGATGCCAGCGGCTTCAAGCGCATCTTCGATCCTGCACAGCGGAGTGTCAGTAAGTCACGCAGACGGCTTCGGAAGTATCCAAGGCCCTCACTTGTCAAGCATCGACGTCCACTGCGAGCTGTTTTAAACGTCAGTCTGGGTGCAATTCCAGGATAGAATCTCATTTACAAAACGACAGTTTTGACGACGCCGTCATCCAACCGGTTGCCCTCGTTATCGATCATCTGCACGTCGTCGGCATCCGGCTCGTAGTTGCCCGAGTAAGGGTTGGCCCGAGAAAACTGCACGAGGTCGCCCAGCAGGGCTTTCACCTTGGTCGACGGATGGAAATTCTCCAACGAGCCGCCTTTCTGTCGCTTCTCCCGTTTGGCGGGCTTCTTCTTTGCTGTGGTTTCGCCCGCATCGGGTTTGATCTCCACCGCATCCAGAGGACTCAGGCCGGTCTGGCAGGCCGAGCACGAGCGGCGGGTGTCCGCCGGGACGTTCGGCCATCCCGGACAGATGCACGCCCGATAGCAATCGATGCAGAACAGGTGTTGACAACGCGTGAGCACCGGCCGGGGGGCTGCTGACGGGCTGTTCGCTCGTGTCGGGCCTCGCGACGTCGTCCCCTTCGTTTTGCGAGTGCGTTTGGACCCAGAGGGGCCGTCGGCATCCATGTCCTGTGCCACATCACTGCTCCCGTTGTACAGCTCACCGCCGCATTCGACGCACTGCGTCGTAGACGATTCTCGCAAGATCGCGAAGATGGCCGCCGCCCGTGCCGGATTGATGCCATCGCGGTACACATCAGCGACGATGTCCTCGTAGGAGGCGGCGGAATCTAGTTGCTGCCCAAGACCTTTGCCTTCGACTAGCTCCCAGTGGTCACAGATCTGTCGAAGACGCAGAATCTTCTGCAGGATGCCCACGTAATTCTTCATGACTTCGTTCTTGTCCGTCAGGTCCTCGAACTCCGCTTTGGATTCGTGATAGAACTGGTCGTAGATGCCCTGCTCTTGCTCATCGAACTTGAGATAACGCAGCTCATCTCGCCGCGGAGGAAGATCAAGAATCTTGCTGCCGTCCTGCTTCTTCGATTCCTTGGTGCGGCGCAGGGTGATGCACTTCATAATCATCTGCAGCCGTGCTACACCAAGAGCTTGTCCAAACTTGACGGGGCTGCCAATGTACTCCGTCCACACATTCTTGTCGTCGAGCGGCTCCAATCGCAGGAACTTGATCAGAGCAAACACGTCATCGAGTTTGTTCTGCACCGGAGTTCCCGTCAGACACAATCGCCGATCAGCCATAAGATCACAGGATGCCCGGCTGCCAACGGTTCCGGTCTCCTTGATGCAGCTGGAAAAAGTTAGAGAGCTGCACGCGACACGAAACTTCAAACACGCACTGGGCCTCGTCAAGGACCACTCGGAACCAGTGGATGCTCTGCAGCGCACTCGAAACCTCCATTCCACCATTAGGGATCCCACTCTTTTTCCGCTTTAAACCTTTTTTCGCCTTGGGCAGCTTCAGAACCTGCATCCCACGCTCGTCGATCTCGATTCCTCCGTCGCTACTGTCGTCGTCGTCGTCTTCTGCCTCAGCATTGACGATGCTCTTGTTCTGCTTGGAGTACTCCGATGCAAGGGTCGAGTATGTCGTGATGACGGCGTCGAAATCGGCAAGGTAGGCGGGATCGGGTCTGCGGGCATTGCCGTGGTAGATATAAACGCGCAGAGGAGATCCATGGGACTTGCCATCCTCGAGGAACGTCGAAGGATTGGACAGAGCCTGCGTCATCGCCTGCGAAGCCGTGGCGGGCACACATCCGCCTGCGCCTCCGACGACATGCACTTGCCCCCGCCAATGCTCCCGGAACTGGTCTTCCCAATTCGACACAGTCGACAACGGACAAATGATCAAGCTCGCGCGACTCTTGGCTTTGATTCGCGACGCTCGCACGTGCTCGGCGTCCAGCTTCTCCTGCGCTCGGGCGGCCTTTTGTTTCGCCTTGATGGACGCAGCGGTATCTGGCATGTTCCATACGCTGCCTGCGAAGCCGGAGGGGGACGGTGGCTCCGAGTCGTCGCGAATGTGAGCGAAGGAGTCCGGAGGGGTCGATGCGAATTGGCGAGCAGAAGGTAAAGTCGCAGCGATCAGAGAAACACATGTGATCGTTTTCCCGAGACCCATCTACGACTTGTTCAGACGAGCATTGTCAAGCACTGGATCACACACGCACATCATCTGCGAGGATGGAACCCTTGGCCTCTTTAGGTTCCTGGTATGTCTCTTTCATGGTGATCGTGTGGAACCAGTTAGGTTGTGAAGTATGGCCGCGTTGCTGCCATAGAGAAGAGAACTTCCCGTCTGGCCCCGGTTTCTCCCGTTCTCGTTCTAACAAGAAGGTCAATGCTTTCTTCTGGTGCGGATACAGCCTGGTCGCCACATCCGAACCTACACGCGATAAGTTCACGAAGGTCAGTAAGCAAAGCGAATGCGGCGCACTGGGTTCCGTCTCCATCAATTCATCGCCACTCTTCAGGCTTTGGAATAGCTCGTCTACTTGACTTCTCTGTACCTCTACGCTCTTGCCCGACACCTGAGGCGTACTCCATCGGCTCATGTTCGATTGCTGGACGAAAGGACGGGCTTGCTGAGGGCGATGGCCGCCTGGTGGTGGATTGTGCGGGTTGTGATAATGCTGATTCTGCCCAAGGATGCGAAACATATCGTATGGAGGTGAAGGATGATCGAGGAGCAACCCGCATTGATGTAGGTAGTTTCCAACGACAGGGATGTTGCCCTTGGGCGTGTAAACGAGCATTTGGAGAGGCAGGATAGGAAGCTGGGAGAACGGGTAATCTATCTGCCGTCAAAGGAAAAGAAAAATACGAACATTGGGAGGACCCTTGCGTACTTTCGCGTCTAGACGGATAAGACCCTTTCCCAACATGGGCCCCAACGCAGATGCCACCTTTTGCTCCACCACACCAAACGCCTCGCCCATCAGTTGTTCTCCGTTCGCCCCCCGTCCCTGCGGTGCCTTGATATGGATCGTTTCCGTCGAGCCCACAGGCTTGGTAGGGCTGTGTTCGTACTGCAGACGGACTGGTGCCCATTCCTCGTGCATGTTTGAGGATGGAAGCAGGTATTGCGTCGGATATAAGACAAGAGCTGTAACGCCGAGTTGTCCGATGCATACAGGCGTCTTCGGCGGGAGATCTGCCGGAAGGTTCGGGGGTCCGTTCATGAGAGGAGGAGGAGGCGAAGGCGACGTTGTGAGATCAATAACGTGCGGTCCTGCGGCAGAAGGCACTCTCGATGGACCAGCGACGGGTTGTTGGAAAGCGCGGGGAGGAGCGACGGCAGGGACAGAAGGCGGCGCAGAAACAAAGGCAGATGGAGTCGCTGAGGCGAAAGCAGGCCGGTAGGCGATGGGATTCAAATTCGAGGGCGCATACGGCTGATAATTGGGACGAGCGTTTGTTGTCGGGATGGCCGAGGGAAACTGGCCGGACTGCGACACTCTCGATGAATCGACGCGTGGCCGCTTCGCAAACCTAGAGTAATCGGTCGTGTCATCGTCATCGTCGTCGTCGCTTGTGACTAAGATAATGGGTTGGCCCTCCAGAGATCAAGACTGAAAACAAAAAAGACTGACGGTCGATGTGGTTATTCTGGTAGGATACGGATGCCGGGGAGACAGGTTGGCTCGTTGTATGAGATGTGACAGCTGGCGACGCCGCGGTGGCCATGCTGACGAACGATAAGAGGTGGAGGGGAACAGCCCTGGCTGATGCCCAAGAACTGCAAGCGCCTTCAAGGTAGGCGCAAGCACGTGCTTGTTTGCCGCCTCCGGATTACTCAGCCCTCTCCCTCTCTCAGTCAGCCCGAATCATGCAAGCATCCGATGAACCCGAAGGCCCCCATACACAGAGGCATTTCCCCTCGAACGATCTCAGTAGAGGCGGCTCTTTCAATGCCAATCGTCTGGTGATGTCAGAGCAAACATATTATTGCTAAGCTCGACAACAGCTGGTATTAAAATAACCTTGACAATCGTCCCCCCGTCGTCCCTTCGTTCAGCAAGCTCGTTGCGGACTGTCAACTTTGTCATGGACAGTTGCCCTCTCGAAGCATTCAGCTGTCCTCCTAAGTCGCCTGGAATGTTCCCGAAGATTATCCCTTTCCAAATGCGAACACTGCCGTCGACGCGCAATGCAATGCACGTCACGATCCTGCGTCGTTGACTCTTTCTCGTCAATCTGCCGTCTCGATGAGGGGCCAGCAAGATGTCATTGTCTATTTTAATCTTGCAACTACGACAACGACTACGGCTGCTCAATGGAGTTTAAATCGTAAACTCGGTATAAAAGCAAGACGAAAGCTCGTTCATCCTCAGCTCAATCTTCCACTACTTCTCTACTGCAGTAATACCCAGGCTAGTCCTGTTCCACGCTTCACTACTATCTTTTCTGCGATCTACATCGGCCAGCCGCCCAAGTATCCTCCATCCTCTTTCAAATAATCACCATGCTGTCTCGCGCTCTTCTTGTTTTCGTCGCTCTCCTTCATACCTGCACGTTGAACGTGTCAGCGCACGGAACGATTACCAAGATCCAAGGCGCGAATGGCGTGGCAGGCGCAGGCTTCGGTTGGTCCACATTTTCCTCGGCCCCACAACTGTCGCTCATGGCACTCTCTAGGCATCCTCGCTTCGACTCCCCGGAATGGCGCGACGCCCAATCCTTTTGAGCAGGATACCAGCGTCATTCGCAACCAGGAAATCAGCAGTGGCAAGACCGGTCCCTGTGGTCGCACCAAAGCGGGAGGTAACAACGACGTCACCGCTCAGCTCGCAGGTGTGTTCTGTCGAGATCGCGGGGTTTTCTTTGCTGAATTCCGTCGGTCAGCTGCTGCTTCCTCTGGCATGCCCTCAGCAGCAGCTGATGGATCTGTCACCATGACACTGCACCAGGTGCGTCGATTTTGACTATATTCGATAGATCAGAAACTAAATCGATATCTCTCCCTGCAGGTCAACCAGGACGGCGCTGGACCTTACAGCTGCGACGTCTCCGGCGACGGGGGAAACACTTTCCAGAAAGCCCAAGTCACCACCCAGGTCCCTGGTTTCCTCGGCTTGTCTGCGGCATCGGCCCAAGACTTCCCGCTCGTCGCTCAGATGCCAGCGTGAGTTTATCAATGGTTACTCTATCGCATTCGCTGATCGACCATCGCAGTGGCATGGCTTGCACTGGAGGGCCCAATGGCGATGCTTGCATCATGCGGTAAGTCGCGTTCACGATCGCGAAGCATTTCGAACTCAATGGCTTGTCGCAGATGCCGCAACCAGGCATTGGCAGGTCTGTTCTCGCTGTTCGGCGCTTGATAGCCTCTTTGACTCAATCATCCGGTCCAGGTCCCTTCGGATCGTGTGTTGCAGTGACCGGTGCTTCAAGCAACGCTGCTGCCGTTCCTGCTGGCGGCGCTGCTGCGGCCGCTGCTCCTGCTGCTGGGTGAGATTACTCATTCCGACTAGATGAATTCAACTGAGTGCATTGCAGCGCTGCGACCCCCAAACGATACGTCGACTCTCGCATCGTTGGAAAGCGTGCTGGAGGATACTGGCTGGACGCGCAGTAGATTGTCCCTCTTTTTCTCCTCAAGTATACCCTGGATCATCACCGGATCCAGTCTTTTGAACTTGTTACGCCCTAGTGTCTGTACTGTACATCTTTGACCCGGAGCTCAGAATGTCATCCAGCCCCATATACGTCATCAGGGTCGTGATCTGGACACCCATCAGCGCACCTTGACCTCATTGCTTTGGCGCTTGCGAGCAGTGTGCATGTGCTTGCTTAGTCCCCATGAGCGCTCTCGATAGTGTTGAGTCCTCTCCATCCTCTTCCAAAGACAGACAGCCGCGTCGCTCGCGTCACCCATCAAGCGCCTCCCTACGGAGCATAGGCTCGGCGCGGTCGCCCCGCCCCATCGTCTGGCGCCCTCCGAACACCCTCAATTCGAGAAGAAAAGATAGCCTTAGTGTTACCTCGGACGTTATGGTGTCGACTGTGGTGGCTGGTGCTGAAATGAGCGTGGCTTCCGGAAGTAGCCTGCGCGAACGCATGGAAGCATTCAACGTTGTTTCTCCTCCTGAGCCTGTGCCTGTCGAGGAGCCACCGCACCCTTCGGTGGAGGAATCGATGGTAGAGTCCCCGACACAGATCCCTAAAGAGCTTGTAGAGGAGCCAGAGCCAGAGCCAGAACCTCTCATAGAACCCTCCATCGCAGCTGAGCCAGAGAAGCCCGAAGCAGTACTGCCGCCTCAGCCGATCGATGGAATAAATGTTATTGCATTCCCAATTCCTGCGTCTACACCTCCAAGCTCCGGTCGGCCGTCCTCATCGTGGTTCGGCTCCCTTTCCCGGGCACGAGGGAAGGAACAACTGGCGTCTGTAGCCGAACCCATCCCCGATCCCCCTGCAACTGTCGCCGCGTCCACTACTAAGGATGAAGCAACCCCCGAGGCTGCAACCCCCGAACCAGTCATGGTGCCAGAACCAACGCCCACACAGCCCGTCACAGTGCCAGAACCAACGCCCACAAAGCCCATTCTGGACCCGTCTGTCAATAATCGCAAGTCGGCAGCGACACTCGCATCTAAACGATCCTGGTTCTCCTCTTCGCCCGTCCAGCCCTCCCCGCTCCGCGCAGCGTCGCCTCCGCAGCCCATTCCTCCGATCTCTCGACCCAGACATCGTCATACGGCGTCGTCGTCGGTGGACTCGGTGGTGCCGACCCCGGCATCCGACTCCGCAGTCCCTGTCAGTTTCCCCCTGCCTACTTCGCCGTCGGACCTGGAGTTGGATGCCAGTGAATCTGCTGACGGCGTGCCAGTGAGGAGGAGGAGATTGTCGTCGTTGAACCCCAGTATTGGGAGGTTTAGCATCAGTCTACCATTAATTGGCGGAAATAAGGCGGTAACGTCGCCGACGATCGGCGGTATGTTTCCTCTCTTGCATTTGTGCTTTCTTTCAGATTCACGTTTACGCAGCTCCGAACTTAGGGAGTGGTAAGAGGTTAGATTTGATTGTAGCACTGCTGACCACGAATACAGGGGCCGGCACTGAAGAAGTGGAAACTCGTAAGTCAGTCATCCCAAGTTTCCGATCCTCTCAGCTCAGTGTTTTTTGTAAAGGATCGGAAGGTTTGTCGACCTCTCATGTCCATCAGTTAAGCCCTAACCTTAGCCTTTGCAGAGTCGCACACGTTGACCACAACCACGAACACGACTACAGTAACAACAACAATCGTGTCCGATTATTCGTCCTCTCATGACCAGGCCGAAAGTAGCGCGATGAAGGAGACGATGGTGCAATCCGGCTCATGGTGGGACTACGTTGGCTGGGGAACTGGGTTGCCGCCACCTGCCGCAGTCGTTCCAGCCGTTCCGAGCACCGAGACCGTTCCGGAAGTAGAATCGCCTGATGAGGGAGAGTCAACCCCGAAACCTACACAGCAGTCGGCATTGCCAGAACCGATCAAACTGGCTCCAGCATCCGATGATGCCGACAAGACGATCAAGCAAGCAGACCTGGCTTGGTACTCGCCTTGGGCCTGGTATGGGTCGGCTGGTACACTGGAGAAGGAGAACGAGAAGAGTTTGGAGGTGGAGCCGCCGGCTTCGGAAGTGCAGGTCGCGCAACCGCCCCCAGAGCAACCACTGGAGGAAGCCGATGTGCCAGAGAGGCTCGAAGTCAAAACTCCTGCCACTATTTCTTCCGCACAGCAGAGATATTGGACGTCGTTCTTTTCTTCGAGCTACTCTCAACCTCAATCGCCACGTTCGATGGCCCCGCTGGAAGCGACCCCCTCCTCTTCCAGTCTAGTCAGCGCCGACTCCGAATCTGTGCAATCAGAGGCCCCATCGCTGCCTCCCGTCAACCCTATTAGTGAAAGCATCAGTGCGAATCGTAGCAGCTGGGTCTCGTTCTTCACCAGCTCTGGGTCACTGGGATACGTCGCACGAAAGACTATTACGTCTGGAGAACCTGAGGTAATGGAGGTTGATTTTGACGGCTCAGGGGATGAGGCCGAGAGTAACGCCAAGACGACGCCGCCGCCAACACCGACAGGAAAGGAATTCAAGGCAGGGAAAGCAGAACCCCCGAAATCCGCACCCACTTCTCCGACGCCCAGTCCCAAACAACAGCCTGTCAAGAGCAAGCACTTGCCCGCTGCACCGCCGCTGACGATCTCGGACACAGTCAAGCGACAGGTCGCTAACAACAACAACACGCCCAGATCAACGTCGCCGTCGCCTGGGACCAAGTCGCCGGCGAAGCCAGCATCAATCGCGCCGCCTCGGACGCCGACGCCGAACTTAGTACTGCCGGCTTGGAAAGACACATTCCACACTCATCCACGAGTAGCACTGCCACGGCGATTGCAGGACAAGACGGCCGCGCGGGCTGTCGTGGCAAAGACGATGAAGTTTGTTTCAGGAGTGCTGTTTGCTGGTGACGCCTCACCGCAAGGCAAGGGCAAGGGTGTGGAACGAGACAAGTACGCGGACTGGGGGATGGGGCTTCCTCGCGCTTGGGACGTAGTCCAGCCGCAGCAAGAGGTTGTCGATGCTGCACGAGGATGCAAGAGCGTCGCGGTCATTGGCATCCACGGATGGTTCCCTGGGGCTGTCATGCGCAGTGTGTTGGGCGAGGTGCGTTTGTTCGTTCGTTTGCGCCGGTACCCGCATGCTGATTACATGGTCAGCCCACGGGGACGAGCGCTAAATTCGCCAATATGATGGTCTCTGCGCTCGAAGAGTTCCAGACAACCCACGGCGTCAAATTCGACAAGATCACGCGCATCCCGCTGGATGGCGAAGGCACGATCGAGCGCCGGGTGGAGAAGCTGTATGCTGCATTGACTGCCAACGAGGAATGGATGACCGCTCTACACGAGGCAGACGTTATCTTCGTAGCCACTCACTCCCAGGGCAGCATCGTCTCAACGCATATACTCGATCGCTTGATTCGGGACCGCCACATTCGCACAGACTATGCGGATGCCGGGCCACCACAGAGAGTCTGCTGCCTGGCGCTCTGTGGGATCCATCTGGGGCCGCTCAGATACTTGAACTCCAGCTCGCTTCTGTTACCGTATATTCAGGTGGGTTCTTCCAATCTTGCTTGTTACCGCTTTGTTGATGATAATGATAGTACTTTGAATCTGTTGCTGCCAAAGAGCTGTTCGAGTTCCAGGTCAGATTGGCTTCTCACTTGTTATTACTAAATTGCTCAATTGCACCATAGAACACCGAAAGCGAAGTATCGAAGGCTTATGTTAACTCCCTACGCAATGTTCTCAACCACGGGGTGAGTGCAGTCCGATAGTCTCTCCCGTCTGTGCACCATCTCATGCGCGACAGATCAAAATGGTGTATGTTGCTTCCGAAAACGACCAAGTTGTGCCCATGTATTCTGGTCTTTTCACGGCTGCTTCCCATCCTTTAATTTTACGGGCGCTTTATATCGACGGAGACGCGTATCAGTGAGTTTCACCGGCGAAGAAAAGCAACTTTGTCTGAACACCAACTAGCTCATCCGACTTTTTATCGAACCTGCTCGTGCTCTTACTCAAAGTGTTGAATGCTGGGCTACCCGACAGCGGGCTTATTACGCATCTTTCCGAAGCGACTGCTGGATCGTTAAACGGAATCGGTCATTCCACCCCTTATGAAGAGTTGGGAACGTACAGTCTGGCCGTCAAATATCTGTTTTTGACCAACACCGGATTTGAGAAGCACCCGGAACTTGTGGTCGAGCCGTTCGATGCGAATGTCGAGCAGAATGACTACGAGGTGAGCTTCCATTCATTCCACGAGAATTCAGACAGACCCTAACCCCGACCGCAGATTCCTTGGTCTCTCCGCGACATCATCGCCGACCAACGGGTAGCACATTTCTTTGGGCCCGACATCGTACAACTCGCAGGAGCCTTCAAGCACTGGCATCCGCGGACCGCTATACTTCGTGACATCAAGCGGAAGCTGCAGCCGATACAGAGATTGCCGGCAACATTTACTGATCCCCACCCGGTCCCGCCAAGCAGGCTTTGAATTTGAACAGCAGAGTTGGTGTAAGTTATACAAAGTCAAGACAGCTATCGTACTTATAGTAATCTGGTACATAGAGTGTATTTTATACTGCTGGGCATCGGAACATACACATTGCTTTCGTTAGAATCGTTACAGGTACCATCCGAGCTGAGCATGAGCATCTCGCACGGCTTCCTCTTTTGCAGTCCTCTTGTTCTGGCCACTGCCCGAGCCTTGACCATTAACCATGAGTATCATTGGTCTGGTGCTCATACCACTACGACACACCTTTCTTGGTCCCGTTCAGCACGCAGCTGACCACCCACTTCCCGTCGACCCACTCGTCCAGATATTCGACTTGGATCTTGCGTTGCGCGGCAGCCTGGTTGAAAGCCATCAGCGAGACCACCGGCAGCTTGGAGGATGTGCTTGAGGACATCAGCCCAGGCGCGGAGGTCGCGGCGTTCAGAGGTGAACTAGTGGGCGGATTGGAAACGGCGGCGCGGGTGAATACCGGATCCGGATACACCACCCCAACAGCCTGAATCACCCCGCCGTCGTCGCTGCTCTCCATCTTGATCCGCTTGCTTGCCCTCTGCTCCACCGCGGCACCGTCCGTGTCGAGCCCGTGCGACTGGATCCATCGCCGGACGAATTCCCGCACGCCCGACGCGTCGCCCCAGTCCGCAAACGCGCCGCCCATGTACGCGCGGAACAGGGCTGCAGATTCCTGCGCTTATATCGGTATTTGATATGAATCTGTACGCGTCGGGCACTGACCTCGGGGGAGGACATCTCGGCGTATTTGTCGGGGAGACACTGGCGCGTGTTTGAGGACTCGCAACACGCGCCTGTGGAAGAGAGAATGAGAGAGAAAACGCACGCGGACATGCTTGACCAGCTCGCATTTCGCTGCGAGGTCCGCGACGACATCCGCGCTCATGAAGAAGTCTCGCATCGACTGCGGCGCGTGTTACATTCACTGATCCTACCTGCGCGTTCGGAGACGTACCATCAGCTCTTCCCTATCAAGGATGGGGCGTACGTCCATGAGCACATCGCTGATGACAAGTTGGAGATAGTGGTCGCCCAGCTGTCGCGTAGGTTGGTCTTATTGCACGGGCGCGGTCGCACGGGCAGGCTTACTATCGTCAGGCGCGCATTGTCCAGCGGCTCGCGTGTGGGATCGGGATCCCGCAACGACCTGTGGGTGAACACGCGCAGGAGGGTGTCTCCGCTGAGCTGGGGCAGCCGGGGCAGGTCCGTGGGCTCGAGATGGGAAGAGTCACGCTTCATGCTGAGGATGATCCCGGACGTTGCCGAGTGCGTTTTCCGAGACCTTCCCGAGAGAACAAACGACGCGAGTTGATTACATATGTGCGAGTACAGATAGGTGTTAGATAGACAAAGTACAGGTAGTTAGTCGCTGATAGTTATAATGTTGGTCTCGGCCTGCTCTTTCTTGACCTTCGATAGGAGTTTCCGGAGAATTTGTACAGTGGGGCCGGCGCCGGGCACCGCGTCGAGACGCTTGATTTCGCGGGAGATGCTTTGGGATGTCAGAAACCGAGGCACAACAGACGACTAGACCTCACCTCGTCGGTCCTTCGGCAACGACAGGACAATCCTTGACCAAATGATACGCTCTCTGGCAGACCATGCAGGAGATTGTAGCCGACTGCCGCGGTTTCTTCGCTGGTCCCGGATTGTCGTTGGGGGGAGGCGACAGCGTGCGCTTCGAAGAGCTAGCAACTGCATTCGGTGGTTGGGCTCTGGGTGTGGGAGTGACAACGGCAGGGGCATGCGGAGCCGCACTTGGCCTGGCTTCTTCGGAGGAAGATCAACACGAACGCGCTGGACTACTTCGAGTGGCTGGCCTATGATAAGATTGATGTGGCCTCGAGCATGAAGTACTTCGTCGATGGCGGCCACAGCGGCAACCTGAACGGGACAGAACATTCAGAATTATAGCTTGGATGGATACAGGGATACATACGCGCTTCGCGTACGGCTCATCCTCAGGATCGAGAATCAACATCTCCCTGAACTCGGCCAGATGCGTGGAAGATTCCGTCATCATGCACTGTCCGACGACGTCGCCGTGCTGCGACCCACACAGCGAGCACAGCGGAGCGAATTTTGGAATAGACATTTCTAGACCGCCTGGATTACGTTTCTTTTTGAGCTTTTTCTCCTTTGGCTGAGCCAATTCGTTTAACGCGTTCGCAATCGAGCTCGACGCATCACCCATCAACATCCTCGCTGCCCGAGTCAGTCGAGTTGCCGTTCACGGACGAGTTGCCGTATGCAGACCCTTCTTCGAACTGAGAATGCGAGCGAGAGCGGGGCTCTTTAGCAGGGCTCGGTTCGGTGTAGTTGAAATTCTGAAGGCGCATCAGCACGTGACATATGAGTGGCATGTGGCTGTACCTTCGCAGCTTGTCGTCGAACACCTCGACCGGAGCGTGCCATTTCCTGAGCCTGAGTCTTCTCTCGTTCCGCTGTAATCTTAAGTAGCGTCTGCGCCCAAGAATCGACGTCAGGTTCTGCTTTCTCGACGACTTCTTCCAAGGTGTCTTTCTCGGCCGCCCATACTTTGGCAAAGGAGAAGGAGAATGCTTCTTCAGTCTTCTGCTCAGGTTCCGCCTCTTTCTCCGTCTTCTCGATGAGCTTGTCGAGATCAGCATCAGAATCTGCCCCGCGGTCAGTCACGCCCAAGTCGTTCAGAGCACCTACATGTTATGTCACGTGTATCAACGTCCTCGAATAACGCTTGTGCGCCATATGTGAGGATCGACTGGACATCATCCCCGGCACCGTCATCGTCATCCATCTTCTGCACAATGAGATGGTCCAACACGAGCTTCTTCTTGCCGACTTGCATGATGCGCTCTGGAGGAACGGTCAGTGCTGGGTCCCCTGGTCTTGCTGCGAATCAAAGGTTACCCTCTGCGGAATCCTTGACCTAAGGATAAATCAGCACAAAGACTAATAATCACTGCCTAAATACCATGAGTTTGAACACAAGACACGTCTTCTTCTGTCCATAGCGGTAAGCACGAGCGATTGCCTATGGGCGATAAGTGGTCGAGTTGATACCAAGGCAGACCACTGACTTGGAGATCCTACAAAATTGAGCACACAATAAGCTTCTCAAAGTCTTATGGCTCACCTGATGCGGATTGAAGTCTGGGGCGATGAGAACGAGACTATCAGGCCAAATAACACCTACCAGGGTCGAAGATAATAACAGTGTCGGCGGTGTACAAATTGATCCCGACACCCTAGTGACCTGTATCAGCGATAGAACAAACCAGGCAGAATCGACGCATGACATACACCCGCACGGGTCGTGAGAAGATAGATAAACACATCGGAGCCCTCGCGGTTGAACTCGTCCATGTCCTTCTGACGATCTTTGCTTTTGGTGTTTCCATCCTGGGCAATGTCAGAACGTTTGGGAAAAACAGTCGGAAACGTACCAATCGCAGAGATCGGTATCCTTCTCCGTTCAAAAAGTCCTCGACCACGTCCAAAGCTAGAACAAACTGGCTGAAAAGCAACACTCGGTGACCGCGAGCCTTGAGCTTCGGCAACAGGGACTTGAGCAGCACCAGTTTTGCACTGGCATCGATGAGCTTCTGGTGCGTCTCTTGGACTGATAATCCCTTGGGTTCGATGGTTTCCTCGTAGAGATACGGACTTTGAACAACGTCAGACGCCGACCAGATCATCTTTCGAGTGCTTTACGCACTGTTGCAAGCATTTACGTAGATGCATCAGGACATTATTCAGCTTCCCTTTCGACGCACTGCGAATGGTCGGTCCAGTGAGACCTTTCAAGATATCCAAATTGTGGGCTGACAAACGTTAAACAACGAGGACACTCTGGTTAAACGTCAGGCTTACAGAGAATAGATCGGTAGATCTGTTTTTGAAGCGGTGCCATGGACAATGGGACAATCACTTCATTCTGCGGCACGACATCAGACGGGCACTTACGCAAAATTGATTGATCGGACGTGCCTTGGGCGGAAGTGTGAGCACTTGGCTCTTGATGCGACGCAGAAAGTAAGGGCGAAGACGCCCGTGCAACTCTTTCACAAGATCTTCGGTCAGGTCTTCGTGGTCGCGGGCCAGTCCTTCAAGATCATCCCATTCCTCTGGGTCGAGGAAGTTCATTAGATTGAAAAGCTCTCTGGAAACAGATGAGTGGAAATAACAGACGGGGATCAATAGAGCATACTTGCCTGATGTTATTGTTCAACGGCGTCTGCATCGAAAGTGAGCGGAATAGTCTATGGACATAATGGTGCGCACCCCAGTCATGATCACCCGATGCAAACTATTCAGTTCGTTCAATTTCTTGAACAGAAGACTAGAGTCGCTCTTTACTATCGGAGTGGTCAGCATCGACACGATTTCAGGACAGGGGACATGACTGACGCCTCTGCCCTTCATCGATCACAAGCACCTATAGCCATGAGCAAGTACGACACTTGCACAAACGACAGCTGCGCACCTCCCAACACGACTGGGAACGGAACACAGAAAAGTCTTTCCCAATGAGCGTCTCGTAAGTGGTGACCAACACATGGAACTTGGATTTGCTCGTGCCCTTAGGGACCTGAAAATTGTGGCTGAGTTCGTACTTCCTGATGATCTCCCGCGACTTGGCTTCTCCGTAAAAGGGCACCACCCTCAACTTCGGAGCCCATCTCTCAAACTCGCGAACCCAGTTCGTAATGGTCGAATTGGGCACAACCACCAACGCCGGTGCTGCAGAGAAATCTTGGATGATCTTTCCCAGAAACGTCACGATTTGTACAGTTTTACCCTGGACCAGGGATGAGAGAGGACATCGAGAGCGAAGGCACATACCAAGCCCATCTCATCGGCAAGGATGCACTGCTGCTCATTCCACCAGTTGTCGCACAGCCAATTGAATCCATCCACCTGGAAATCCATCAACTTGAACTTGGGGTCTTGACCCAGCTGCAGATCCGCTGCTTCCTTCAGTCGATATTTCGCGTAGCCATCTTTCCGTCGATTGGGCAGTACGCCTCGAGGAGCGTTCTTGATGAACACCTTGCGTGATGCTAGGAATCTCCCAAGTGCGTTCCTGAATGCAGGATACTTATCGTCATCAGGCCGAGGCGGAGAATCCCACGTGGCTGGATGATAAGATGAGATGAAGCTATCTGTGGTGATGGAGGAATGGCCCTCACCTTCGTCATAGGTCAGGTCGTCCCACTTGACGAAAATCCATGCGATTTTGTCGATGTCGTCAATGGACAAACTTGTTCGGTTAGATGCTTCCCAGTCTTGGAGTCCTTGGACGTAAATCTCTGGTTGTCGACCCTGATCATATGCAGCGTTACGCTCGAGCACCAGGTCCTTGTCCTCATCCTCGTCCTCATCCGAGTCGATCCGCTGTTTGGTGCTGGTTTTGCCTTTCTTCTTCGACGTAGGTGGAGTCCACATCACAACGTCCAAGACGCGGTCGACGGTCTTCCATGCGGGAGGGATGCGCTGTTCAGCATCTGGAAGAGGTCCCGGAGCTAGTCCCGGTGTAGGAGCTCTAGACTTGACGGATGCTGCGCGGGAATCCGAGACCTGGCTCGGATCCGTCGTGTGCTTGGTCTCGCCATCATCGTCGAGTAAATCTACCTTGGAACCAGTGGCAAGAAAGTTCTTCAGCTTGGCATTGCTGGTAGATACTAACCAGTTGTGCGGGACCCACGACGTTCGGAGGTAGCTCCGATCGACCCACTTGACAAGGTATTCTCGAGGCATGGGGCCCCGGGCAGTGGGGATGTCGTCGTCAGCCTCTACAGCATTCGGCGGGTAGGGCCTCCAGGCCAATATTTTGTCCAGTGAGTAGGTGTACGAGGCACAATCCCCGCACAGCCAGTTCTTGACGTAGTACCCAGCGATGTCGGCAGGGCTCGCATCACTGTCCAAGTCGTCTGGAACAGGCAGATGGGCGTAGTGGGCCATGCGCTTGCAAGTGAGGCAACGAAAGACAAGAGATGCATTCGTATCGAGAGTAACGTCGGAGACTTCTTTCATCTCTACGTCTTCATTGTCCTTAGCTCCGCTGGACTCAGGAGCAGGCTCGACCGCAGTTTCCAAGCAACCCATGCAGATACCGCCCTTGGTGCAAGATGCTGTACAGTCTTCAGAATGCAACGAAGACATTGGTCGATGTAAACGACCCACCGCACAAGAAGTCAGTCGTCTCTTGGATTCCGAGGTCCCGTCGTTTGGCGGGTTCTGGCTCGCTAGTATCGTCTTCTGAATGATTCTTGCGCCATTCGCTTCGATCAACTTCCCGGGCGGCCTTGAGGATCTCGCTACGTTGCGTCGAAGCCAGACACCCCCAGTGCACAGAGACGGGACATTTGAGGCTGTGCTCGTGAGCGGATCCACCCGTCAAAGAAACAGAGATGACGAACCATCGAACCCAACCTCCATGCCTTTCAGCGCGTTCAACTTCATCCTCCGATCCCTCGATATCGTCATCTGATGTCTTCTTTCTTCTACGACTCTTGTTCTTCTTTTTCTTAAGTGCCCCGAGTACTTCGTGTGCCGGATTTTCTTTGCATTTTTCGCAGACATTACGATGCATCCTGAGCGGAGCGGTTTCCTCGTCGGACTGATGATCGTAATCGAGGTCTTCTATGCCTCTCACATGTCCGTACGCGGGGCGGGCGGCCTTCTTTCGCGCGACTTTGGGTCTCTTCGTCGTGCCTTTGAGTTTACGGACGGACGCGTCGCCGTCACTGTCATCCTCCTCCGCATCAGAATCGTCTCCAACCGCTATCTTGAATGTCCGTCGCGTCCGTGTAGATCGCCGGGGAGCATGAGCTACGCTATCGTCGTCGTCTGAGTCGTCTGAGTCGATTACTTGAATCTTCTGGGAACGCGTCTTCTTCGGGCTGAAAGGCAGCTCGAGTTGACCTTTGCTGGACCTCGTAGCGCGCGGGGGCGGGACGGAGGATTCTTCTCCGTCATAATCATCGTTGTCTCCGCCCGCGCCCTCGCCCTCTTCATCTGTTTCCGGGACCTCATCATAATCACGGTCGCTCGTCGCTGGCACGCTCCCATCCGAAGAGACTGTCAGTGTGGCGCCTCGTTTGGAGATCGTCATGAACTGTCGTACGCGTGATTTCGGATGTACGTAGCCAGCTGAGGGATCGAATGGCTCGAGTGCTCCTGCCGTCTTCTTGCGGTCTTGAAAAATTGGTTATGAAGCGTCCTGGATGCCAAACGAGATAAACCCACAGTACTCTGCAACAATAGGCGCGTATTTCATCTCCACCGTGCTAGCCGGAACTGACGGCGACGCGTTAAACCAAGCATTATACGCGTCAAAGCATGAAAAACTATTACCTTGTGCGCGACACTGTTCTCAAAACGCGCGTAGTACCACAATCGTCCCCCTTCTCTGTATTCGCCAATGATCTCGTCTATATCCATCTCCACTTTGTCCGCGAGTTCAGATTCCGTGCGCTGACGATAGTTTTCTTTCTCTGGAGTGGGCATACGTGTGAGTAACACGGCGTCGAATATCTGGTCTGGATGTTCACTGAGGCTATTTGAAGCTTGGGGGGTGAGAGGTGAAGGAGGGTCGGACCAGGGTGTGCCTGACATGCGATGGTTGTGTGTTCCCCAGGACGGACGTGATTACGAACAATGTTCTAGGCTCGTGTGAAGACAACTAGGGCAGTAACATAGTCGTGGTACGCGACCAAAGCACAAAATTACTCGCGCTCAGAAGTAAATAAGCCCAAATATCATTGCGATCACTAGTGTAGCTAAGCATACATTTCGACAAGATTGTACTTGGACTTTATGGACTTCCTCTATCTCTACTTTCGACGTCTCTCTCAGTAAAGTTACAAGTCGATTTGTTGTAACCATAGTGAGCACTGATCGGCCACCTCTTTGCTGTGATCTACAAGAGCGTTCAGAACAGGAATTTCTGTACGACAGAAACGGGACCTACGTAAACAGAATGCATGCGGCACCGGAGATGACGAGTCGTAGAAGAGATTGGACGAATCTTCAAAGAACGGGGTGATCTCGTTCTTGTGTCGGTCGACCCAGTCGTCCTGCGCAGCTAGATAGACACATATGCGAGCCTTGTGCTCATCTAACAGCGCGCTGTCTAGTGTGCGAATGACTTTCATCTCTTCACCGGCCATGGACAGACAAGCATATATGCTCGAAGGTGAGTGAACAAGCGACCGCAGGACAAGCACAAGCGCTTTGGGCCTGTGTCGTGTAGCGAATCAGAGAGAAGTAATGATATCAAGAGAGAACAAAAACCAGCGAGCGAAAAGCAGACCAAGGGGAACGGCACGAGCTAATGGTGAAACGCGAGAAACAATCCAAGGTATAGGACGTTTGAAAAGCCACTTGAACAGTCACAAGACGCAATTTTGAAAAGACAGTCCACTCACAGACAAGCGCCTGCCATTTGGTGTGTCTGCGATCTGAAGAATCGTTGGGCACAGTAGTATTGAGCGGTGTACTGTTGATGGGCGGGCCTTGAGTACCTACTTCCTGTCTATCAGCCCCGAAAAGGTCAATGAGCTGAGTCAATGACCTGGAGGGTTATCCAAGAGCCAACACTATGACCACACAGTATGATTTTCGTCTGGCCACTAAACGCGCCGCGCACAGCATCAAGCGCCTCGGTGGCACTCTTTCCTCGAGTCATTTCAAATTTTACAGGAGCAAGGACCAGCACTCACTTGAATCTGAGCCTTAATATCATGTTCAGCGGACTTATGTCCCACGACAGAGGCAGGCGTGTGGCCCAGATGAGCGTGGCCGAATATCGCTAACCCATGATGTGCGGCATGCAGCAGATCGAAGAATTGGTCATAGAAGCCAATGAGACCGGGATTCCCTTGCACCATCTTGGCGTTCATTGTCGATGAACTTCAGACGGTGGCGGGGGAGCCATGCACACCTGGGATGAACAGCAGTACAGCCTTCGTTACTTGTGAGCTGTTGCGCCAGAAACAATGTGCGACCCCGAGAGGACCGTGATCGAATACTAGATTCTGCCCCTCCATTCGGAGGAAGGGAGGGATGTCGCTCCCAGGCAACGGGACATAATCAGGCATAGACGGTGCCAGTCGGAAAAGAGAACAGGCCACAGTGGTAAGTACCAGTTGGTGAACACAGGAAGCCTGATCAAAGTTGGCATCACTGTAGGCGGACGTCTGACAGCCCAAGACCGCCTCCTCCACTCGCATGTCGCGAGCATCTCCTTTTCCAAATCGCCGCATTCGTTCACCCTCACAGTCCAACGGCTCCGTTCCACCGTTACCATCGGCAAATGGAACTCGACCACTCCAAGTAGCACGCCCTCCCTCACGGCCCACCACGCCTAACAACGGCGGTAGTGGCGTGCCCATGTCTGGCTCTCCTCGTGGACTTCCCAATCTTGTTCAGGGAGGCCCCTCTCGACCTCAGCGATCAGAATTGAGAAGTCGTGGCTCAGAATACTCGGGCTCACAGAGAGACAGTATTGCAACGGACTTCTCTTCATCGTCTCGCACGCGCCCCAATGGCTCCAGCTCCAATGGAGGGACTCCAGGAGCTCGGCCTCGACCACCTCGCGTAAGGGGTGGACCCGCTGAGGATGAAGAGAAGTCTCCAACGTCGTTGACCTCGGTGATGGCTGCATTCCAATCTGCCGGGACGCGCCGACGTCAGATGACGAACGGAAGTGAAGATTTCGACTATCAGCGCGATAGGCAGGAAGAGATCGAAGCGGAGAATGCGAGGCAGCAGAGGATACGAGACAGGGCGCCTGGTCGGAAGTTGGGCAAGGCGCGTGCCGGTGATATCGATGGTATAGCGGCATTACTGAGATCCTGGGCACTCCAGACTGACTCTCTCGTCAGCTGTTCTTGATCGAGTGAAAGACGGATGGGAATTTGTCGTTGATCCAGACGTGCGCTATCTCCTACCGACTCGTTCTCGATCTCATCTGTGTTCTATAAGTTCAATAGCGTGGATCTAGCTTTGGAACTACTGGATGAAACGTCAGTGGGAAAAGACATGGACTCTTTCCGGAGAACCAAGAATATGCTATCGCAGGCTCTGAAGGGATCGGTGGACAGTGAGTCTCATAACAGCCTGTCTCGCCTCGTCTCAGTCATTTCTAGAACATTATCAGGCCTTTGCCGCTTCTCTGCCTCATCATGCATCGCTTTTGAATCACTTAAGCGCAACACAAACTCAGATATCGGAAGCGAGGACGTCGTTACAGGAATCAAAAGACGCATTGGGGAGCAAGAGAGCTGATCTTGTGCAGTTATGGGCACGAGGGCAGACTTTGGAAGAAATGATGCGGCTTTTGGATCAGATGTATAAGCGGTCCTCTGTCCTTTGGTTTGATTTCGTTTCTGAACTCGTTGTCTAGTGAACATCTGAAAACGGTACCCGACCTCTTAGAAACTCTGATGTCGGAGAAACGCCTGCTTCAAGCCTCTGTATTGCTTGTCCGTAGTCTCAAGATCATCAACAAGCCGGACATGCTGGAAATCGGCGCAGTGTCGGACCTACGAAGCTATCTCAATGCACAAGAGACGGCACGTCTTTCGAGACAGTGATGCTCTGAGCTAATGAAGGATTCCAGGCGTTGCGGGAGATTCTTCTCGACGAGTTGCAGAGCCATATCTATCTGAAATCTTTCTGGTGCGAGTCGCGATGGGCTGCTTACACACCGAACCAGGAAGCCTGTTTGTCTTTTCCTGCGCATTGTAATATGCGAAACACTAACCAAATGTGTTCAGTCCTCAAGGTAGAATTCGAGGATGAATTGGAGCTCAAAATGCCTGCCGCATCACCGTCTGAGCAAACATTCCGTCAATCGCGTTTGACACGATTCTTGAACGAACTCGCGCTGCGACCCAATGATCCACCTCACGACTTGAATGATCCTGGCTTGAAGACCAGCAATGCTGAGACGCTCATGAGCGGATCTGCGATGACCAATCCTGAATCAGATTCATTTGCCTATATGGAAACGCTTCTGGAATCGTTCGCTGTGCTCGGCAAGTTGGGGAATGCACTGGACAACATCTCCCAGCGCCTGACCAGCGAGACCTTCAGTCTCGTGGAGGCAACCATCGAGGAAGTCGAAGAAAGAGCTGAATTTGGTCGGCGAGGTTCCATTGCTGGATTATCTGGTGTATCAGGGCGTCTGGATGGTGTTTACACCTTCGTTTCCGTTGACTCTACTGCGCTTTCCAAACTGCCCAGTGCCAATGCCTCCGCGTCGTCTCTTCGTTTGGTTGCCCTGGAGTCTTACAACAAGAAAGTCGATCACGAGATCCTTCGTGACTTATTCTGGACCCTCTACTCCAAGTTGGATGCCGTGGCACAGAGTCTACGCGTCATCTCCGAGGTTGCCAATCGCATCGGTTCGGTAAGCCGTTTTCTTTGTTCTGGAGCAATACTGATCCTCTGAGAAGCGCCGGGATTTCAAAGATTCCTCGGGAGCAAAACCAGGAGCGCTTTTCTCTTTGTCTGAAGTCTGGCACCCGGTACAAGCGGAGGTTGGTTGTCTCATGTACCGCGATGTATGCTGATAAAACTGCAGGTCCGCACCTTGATTTATGACTACCTGATAGACGAGAGCCAAGGATCTGTCTCAGGCCGGAACCCGATTTCTTCGATCAACGAGATTCTGCGCGAAAACAAATTCTCCCGAGATAAAACCAAAGCTGTCTTCCGTTTTGTCGACACCGATGTCAAGATGACTGCCAAGGTCCTCAAGTCTCATGAGGATGAACTGACTCGCGTTATCAAGGACACGATGCCTGGGCTGGTCCAGTCGTCGGAAAGTGCAGTGCAGGCTGCTGTCTCGACTTTGGGTTCCGATGACCGACTGTTGGGAGCCGGCCAGCATCATCGGCTTGTCATCCGTCCAGATGCTTTCCACGTCAGCGTTCTGTTCCAGCCGACGCTGGCTTTCCTGGAGCGTGTCTCGGACGTGCTTCCATCGAGCGTCGAATCAGTCCGCGACTCCTCCACCATATTGGACGAATTCGTGCTCAAAGTCTACCTGCCTCAGTTGGAAGAGAAAGTGTCCTTCCTGTTCCATCAGGCTGTCACAGGTGGGCAATAGCCCGTGCTAGTCTTCGTCCACCGCCCTTAACAAGTCCAGGGTCCGACGCGTTCTTGCCCGATCCTCTTTCGTCTAGATTGAGCCGAGAGCCTCTGGTTAAGGCATGTGTGCAAAGTGCCAATCGGTTTCGCCAATTAAACAAATCATAGGCTAGCACAAACTTGATGGCTCTCATCAATTCCTTGTGTGCTACAGTCATGAAGTCGCCGTTCCATCGAGAGAGTTACTCCCGCTTGATCCTCGGTGTTTTGATCCAGTTCTATCAGAGATGCAGCGACCGCTTTCAGTATCTGGTCTCTGTGCCGAATCCACAATCAGCAGACGCTGAACTGCAGCCTGGACTCGCAGCTCAATGGGCTCAACGCTCTGAACTGACGCCTTGTTTAACAGAGCTGATGACCACGGAGGTTTGTTGCTAGTTCCATCTGTGTTCCTTGTCTGACAAGACGCCAGGAAAGTGATACTCTGAAACAAAAACAACTTTGTCGTCAAGAGACCAATCTCGAGCTCGACTTTCTAGGCGAGCAGATCGTCCAACAATCAGATCTAATCGTGTCCGTCCGCAACCTCACATCCTTGGCAAACCTTCACCGCAGTATCGTTAGTCGTTCACTCTGTCCGTGTCCCAATCTCATAGAGAAACTCCAGTCATGGTTCGCCTCCGAACTTCAGCTACTCAGACCTTCGCTGGAAGAGAACCCACAATCGCCATCCCAGCTTGAACCCTCTTTCGCTATGTCCCCGGTCACTCCCTTACTCCCTGTCTTGCCTCCTCCGTCAGACACATTACATCTCCCCTTGTCTCGAGAAATGAGCCTGTGAGTTTGGTTGTGGATGTGCGGCTCATGGGATGACATCCAGCAGGCGGTTCCAAGCCCTTCTCAAGACATACGAACAGCTTGCTGAACTCATTCTGGACACAATGCGAATAGATATCCGATGCCGAGCGATGCACTACCTCGAGTCTGCTCTGCGATATGTTCGAGTTCCCCTCGTCTGAAAGGCTGCTTGTTGACCCATTAGCGCAGGGCAATTACTCGATTGACCGAGAAGCTGGCGAACCTGACCCATATGTCATCGATCTCAACAACGAGCTCAGCGAATGCAGCGTGTTTGTCTCGTCCCTACCCGCTAAGGAACGACAGTGAGTGTGCACAACGTGTGCTTGCTACCGCACTTATCACATCTGTGCAGATTCGTTTTCGTGGGTCTGCGTAATCTGATGGAGGAGACGCTGATTGCCGGAGCGCGTCATCTGCGGAAGCCAACTCCCTTTGGCATACAAAAGATGATGCGAAACATTCTTGCCTTGCAGCAGAGTGTGCGAGCACTGGGCGCCGAAGAACAGCACACCGAGTTCCAACGCGCCAAGCGCTACTTCTCTTTGTTCAGTCTCACCCCACAAGAGATGTTGGATGGGATACGGAAGAAACAAGAATTCAGCTTCGACGAATATCAGCTTATGCTGAATCTGCAGTGCGGTGTCTACGAAGACGGCAACGGAGAGGGTGCTAAAGCGGCAGATAGAAGGTTCGTCGTCGATACATTGACTGAGCTATTCCCGCTAAAAGACCTCTCCTCTTTCTAGTTACAGCATGTATTTGATAGATCTCCATGGACTGGAGATGGAAAACGGCGATTGATGAAGCTAGCATTATTTATTATTTTTGGATTTTGTATCAGCGTCCACCCATTCCAGACTGCTTTCATCGATCAGTGGCCGGCGCTCTGCTCCCAGCCGTTCGGGCGAAAGAGACACCGAATAAGTGGACTTCTCTCCCACTGAATTTGCGGAAAGGACAGGGAGACGGTCCAGTAAGCTCTGGTATCGTCGGCGTAGCCAGCGAGGAGGATGAATGGGTTGAGGTCCTTCAGGCTCCGGCTCCGGCGTCATCCAAGGTGCACGAGCCATGTCCACGACGTCTTGAAATATATTCGAGCCCTGGAATGGGAGAGACCGCACACCCGTTCTAACACACGCCTGCGTAGAAATTTCCTGGTTAACAACCACTTGGAGGGGCGGTCGAACCTTCTGCGCTTCCTGCGCGAAGAATCGCTTCCGGATATTGACCTCCCGGCGTTTACTGAATGGGCCCCGCAGTCGCGCTTCCTCCGATTCCGGATTGGCTCGCTCCGGAAGTTTGGGGGGAGTTTTCAATTTGTCAGAGTTGACGGCGCCGCCTTTTTTGGACAGGGTGGAAGTTATCAGAGCTCGAAGTTCGCCAGAATATACAGGAGGCCGCGACGATTCCTCCGCGGGAATAATTCTGGGTGGTAACTTGGCGAATGGGTCTGTGAGAAGCGGCTAGTTGCCGTGCAGGTTATTGACTCAGTAGGAAGGTAGAGCGGTATATGCTGGTTGGTACACACCTCCATCAGCTCCCGTCTCAACTTGCCCTTCCGACCGTATGCCAAATCCAGAACGTGGTCGAAAGCCTTCGAGTCGCGTTTATTGGCTTTCTCAAGTTTGCGTAGATCCTGGAAGAGGAAATTAATATGATAAAAGAGTTAGAGAGTAGGAGTAACCTGTGATAGCCGTTTGCACTTCCTGGCCCGGATGTGATCTAGCAAGTCCGTTTTGAAAATGGCACGAACATCGTCGCCAGCCTTGACCTTCCAGAAATAACTGACAAGCAGTGAGTAAGAGTTCATGAAGTATTCATGATTTTACTCACCGAAGGTACTGGTGGGGCAGTTTTCTCGTCTCGCGCAAAACTGCTCGATAGACAGAGAAAACTACATGACGGTTGATGGAGATCATCGGCCGGCCCGATACTTGCCGAAATCTCACTCACAACTGTCACATCACGCGTCGTGACTTCACGCGTTCTGCTCAGCCGACTGTCTGAATCCGAGTCTTCATCACTACTTACACGATGCTAAGTTCAACCAGTCCCACGGGCCCATCCTCTCAGCTTTCCAATCTTCCGGGATTCTCCTCAATATGCGCGAAATTGGTCACGATGTTCCGTGGTCGAAAGGAAGGTATGCCTGCGTAGCCTGTTCCTTCAAGAACTAGGGCGTTAATAACGATGAAGCTGTGATACTGCGCCTCAACCGACCCGCAACGATTGGACGCAGTCCTAACTGGTATGTCTCGCTATCCGATGTTGAAATCTTCGCCGTTTGACTTGAAGTAGTCATTATGTTGTAGTGGGGACTTTTGTATCTGCAGGTCCGCCAAAAGCTATCCGTCGCGTCACATGGGCTGAAATCTTACCAGTACATTGTACCATATCAGTCGTTCGGAGTCAAAACGGAGGCGTGATCGTGTCGTGCCAGGTGTGTCGATGCTTCGAACTTCGCATACTGCCTGCCCACTCACGAGCCTGAATCACAGGATCTTTCGAGAAACGGGATCTTCCTGAACGGACATAGAATTAGCAAGAGTGTGGTTATCCTCATGCATGGCGACGTTCTCGAGCTGCCGGAATCAGCTAGTTTTACGTGCCAGCATGTCTGGAAGGATCGTCGAGACAAAGTCGATTTGTTTGACCCGACTCCGCCTCAGTTGACCCAGACCACCAAAAGCATGGTAAAAATACAAGCTTCTGTAACCTTTTTGAGCACCTCTTTGAAATCCAGCAGCGCGTGGGGAAGTATCTCATCACGAATCAAAAGCTGGGAAGCGGATCCTTTGCGACGGTCCATCTGGCATTGGACACCACCCGTGCCCCAGTTTCTTCATTATTTCTGACGGCTATTCATGGCGGCTTTCCAGATGTGACTCGCCGACAAGTGGCTTGCAAGACGATCAGAAAGAAGAAAGGATGCGATATGAACCAGGTGTTCAAAGAGATCACCATCCTTCATGGCCTACACCACGTCTGTGATTCCTCTGCGCATTTATTCAACCAAAAAAACTGACTACGTTTCAGCCCAACATCAATCGCATATATGATACTGAACAAGACGATCAATTCATGTACACATCTGACCGAAACCGCCAGCCTACTGCTGATTCTTTTTCGACCAGGTTCATCTTCCTGCAACTCTGCACGGGTGGGGATCTCTTCACGTATATCGTAGCATATACGGAGAAAGACAGCAGGCTGTGCGAAGCAGAATCGAAGTTTATCATGTTTCAAATCCTCGTGGGTCTCGAGCATCTGCACTCGAGGCAGATATCTCATCGAGGTCCGTCAAATGATGTATGCTTTTATCCCAGGTTGATTTCTGTTGCAGATCTGAAGGTTATTACGAGAAAACGGCATTCATTGACTCGACTGACGATCATTGCCAGCCCGAGAACATCTTGCTCCACTCTCCTGGGCCTTACCCTCGGGTTGTCATTGCTGACTTCGGATTGGCTCGCCCCAGGGCGTATCAAGGTAGGTTGCGCTCCAGTTTCAATGTCAGGGCTCGCCGAAGCATGTGACCTACTAGAGACCCTCAACGTCTGCGGTACAGTCAGTTATCTACCTCCGGAAGGTGCCGTAAATCAGCACACGCCATGAAATTTCCTCATAGGATCCAGGGATTCTCGCGCTGGACCAAGAACATCTCAAATACAGCGGGTGAGTGCGATGCTCGGAGTGCTACTTTGGACCTTCGACTCTTTCAGCATGCCCTCGGATTGTTGGAGCGCTGGCGTTGTTCTGTACATCATGCTCTGGTATGACAAAGGCAAGCACTTCGTCTCATTCTTGTGCTGACTTGAGTAGCGGAAGTCACCCATTCGACGACGAGCAGATGCCGGACTCTTCTTCAGACTGGGTCAGCCACATTCAAGAGTCACGCAAATCTCAAACGTCGAGCAAATACTGTCAAAATGAGGCTCGTCTCAAGGCTAGGATCATTGAAGGCACTGTCGACTACAACCCACGCATCTGGTGCGCGGTCCCTGATGGTTCGGCTGCTTGCATCCCTCCTAGTCAGATGCAAGTTAACAGCTGTGACAGCTCAGTCTCTTGTGGCTGTCCTGCTAGTCCATGACTATATGCGCCGTGCGACTGTCGACCAGGCACTCGCCAGTCGCTGGATCAGTGGCGAGATCGACCAACTCAAGATCACGTATCGCAACAAAGTCGGCTGACGCTCTGGGACTTGTCTTGACGCTCTCGTGAAGGATCAAACTGCATTGCTCATTGTACAATCATAATCATACATTGCTTTCTCAAGCCAAGAATTTCGCGTGGACTGATCGCAAGCTTCTGTCAGCTGGCTCGCAAGACGTCTCAATCGACGACTCACAGTTGACGTGTTCTTCAGCAAATGTCGAGATGAAGAAATAGCTGTGGTCGTAGCCTTCCTGAGCACGGACTTGGACTTGCTGCTCGCTTTGGCCTGCCTCTTTGGCTGCTTTGGCGAAGTTTTCTGGCAGGAGCTGTCCCTGCGTGTAGAAATTGTCGCCTGTGCCCTGGACGTCATTGGCTGTGTGAGGCGACAACAGCAACACACTCCGCTGAGAACGCACGTAGTCAACCAAGATGTTCGCAGGCTCGGTCCGCCGTTTGATGAGTTCTGTTGCATCATACAGTTCCTTCGCTTCCGATGCGCCGCCCTGGAGGTACCCCGAGAATGCTTTCTGGCCCCATGGGCAGTTGATGGGGTTGCAGATCGGTGCGAACGCCGACGCGGAGCGATACTGATTAGTTTTGGTGGCCAGATACAGTGTCAGAGCACCGTGGCCGCCTGCAGATCGATAGATAGACGCCTGTCAGTAGAACGAAAGGCTCGACAGGAAGAAGCGATACCCCTGTGATCTCATGAGCATCCATCCATTCGGAGCAGAAAACTCTGCGAACGCACATGCTGTGTCCGAAGACCGATTGGCGTTTCGTGTCCTTCGGGCAAGTCGCGTGAGTATCGCCGATCAATCGCTATCGGAAGACGGTACTGACGATGGGAAGGCCCGCTGCCTCGATTGTCAGCGGCAGTTCCATGGTCACATGCGTCATCATGTTGTAATGGGTGGCGAAGGCTGGGTTCGTTGCGTTCAGGTAGAATCCCGCCCCCGTCCCAAAGTCCCAGTCTTTGTCCTCATCGGGAGCGCCTGCTCCCCGTGGCGAAGTGTCCGGGAACAAGATCGCGAGTCCGTGGGCTGCTGCCGGCCCAAAAAGCCACCCTTTTGGGCTCTGGTAAGTTACTCAGCATGCCATGCCTGTTTGGAAACATTGCCCAAGTGACAGATCGAGCATACCCGTTGTCCTCCGTGCACGTCAGACCGGCAAGATAAACGAGAAGGGGAACCCTGGTTCCCGATAAGGATTGGGGAGGGAGAAACACGTTGAAGTTGGCATCCAGACCGCCCAATGCAGCGGACTAGATAGCCTTGAGCTTCCCGAGAACGAAGCGAGTCGCATGCAAACCTTATACTTGTACTTGCGTAGCTCCCCTCCGAATACTTTGTTAGTACTTTGCAGCTGCAGTGGGTCTGACATGGGGAAAAGGAATAAGATTGTGCAGAACGAGTATGATCGATGATATCATATGATCAACGAAAAGTACATCATCTGTATCTTATCTTATCCAATCTTGAGATCTAATCACTGTGCACGTAGAAATACAGACATTATCATTAGACTTGATTAGCATAGATTATATGAAAGATCTAGTTCTATTTTGTCTGAACTGTCCTTGATTCTTCGGCGATTTCGACCCCACGACCAGCCTCCGTGTTTTGAGGAGCCTGGGAAGAACCTTCGATGGGCGGTTGGCCCTCGACTTCTCCCGCCAAAAGGTCCGCTATGCCCAAGTAGAATGTAGCTGGCTTGAAAGTGATCGGGCGGCCCATGACTTCAGCCCACTTGTATTGAGCCTGGTTGATCCAGCCAACCAGATTGAGATGGGAAACCCCAGTGATAGTTCCAAGATACGTGCCCTAATTCTGGTTAGATTTACCATGTCATGCAGGCTGCCATTCATTTACCCATTTAGCAGAATTGACTGACACCAGCCCGTCGTTTTCTCCCTCTTGTTCCAAAATGACTGAATGTGGCCATTTCCAGGTATCAATGAATCCGGGATCATACGTTGCCCCGTAGCTGAAGTATCGCACACCCGGTACATCGGGGGTCTCTTCGTTGAACTTGCGCATACTTTCAACCGTGAGACATTCGAAAGCCTTTCCGTCGCCTCCGCCGTTCGGTAATAGGTCCACAGCGACAAAACTGACGGCATTCGATCCGGTCCAACTGTTTTCAAGAAGTGATCCGCAAAGGCAGAGCCTCGGTGAGGCGAAGCGATCGTCGTTATACTCAGAACACGGAACTTGCGCTCGCGGAGATGCGTGGTGAGATACCGGCAATCGAGTCCTCCCTGTTACACATTCGTTGAGACGCGGTAGGCATGAAGAGAGGGAGAGACAGCGAACCATACTATGACCTATTCAAGTTAGAAACTGAGCGGAATCTCGATACAAAGCGTGCACCCACCAATCAAATGAACACTCCGATCGGGATATGCTTCAGATATCTTCTGCTCCAAGACCTTGGCGCGTTCGCTCGGACTGCTGGTAGCGGGAACGCGTGTGATGAGAACCTCAGTACCGTTAGCCTCTAGAACCTCTCTGATCCCACGCCAGTGGGTGACCTGCATAGGCGCGATAGCCGGTCCAATAGTCACAGAATCGAAACCCAGTAGACCGTGGCAGAACACTACTGGATTCTTGGGGGAGCGATCTACACTTGAGTTGGAGGTGCTGTTAAACAAGTCAAATTCAAACGCACATCGGTTATGGATCAATTCTTGTTCCTGGCGTAAACTCTCTGCTCGGTCCTCGTCGGTGAGCATGGACTCCACATTGTCCTTATTCTCTGTTTGGAACCACCACCGAGCACGCGTCGAATCAGAACGACCGGGCGGCGATTCAGATTTCGAACGAGTATGGAATGAGCGTGAGCGCAATGAAAGAGACGCAAAGTTGCCACGGAAGATCCAGTGGGACGAGAGTGGATCGAGTATACGTCATTGTCTTCGGGGGAGGCGGACACGCTGTAAGGTGTTGTCACTGATGAAGTGGGCAGCGTTGAACGAGCGAGGTGGCCTAAAAGCGCAGGGGGGCGGGAAAGCGCACGAGCGGGGGTAAAGGAGTCCGGGAGATGGGCAGTGGGAGGAAATCTGAGCGGTTCGGACAGTGCTTCGTTGAGTGACGCGAGACTGGGTGATATTGGAGTGGATGGAGCCGACGATGTTGGCGACTGTCGTGAGTAGGGGCTCCACGAGCCCAGCCACCGGAGAACAGGTTCCGCAACTGAAGGGGCAACGTTTTCTACCACAGGCTTCCTCAAACCCTGCATCTGTGTTGGGTCCGAGTTGCTGGAAACGAGTAGGGATAATCGTTTGTCTAAAGGATCGCGATTTCGAGGATTATTTTGGCTGCTGTCGAGGGATCTGCGTGTGTAGCTCGTGGTCATTAGTAGAGTGCATTGAGGTCACGCGCCGACTTCCGATCGCAACTCCCTTGCATTTGTCTTCCATGTTGCTCCCTTCTCTGTTGAAATCGTCTCCTGGAATCACGGACACTTTTGCCACGGCCAAAGAACTGGAAACTGCAGCTTCGCTGGGACGCGTCACGACACCAAAAGAGTACAGCTCAGTTCTGGTTGCTTGATGAGAGGATGTCTAATCCCTGGATTAGGACTGCGCTGTTCGTCTGCGCCTTGGAAGGTACGCAGTGCGAAATGAGGTCCACTCAGTCCTTACCCAACTGACATATGAAGACTGCTTTCGCCTGTTCCCCTCCCGAGAGAAAGTCATGTTGCACCGCAAACGGGACCACGACTCGAGCAACCCGGACAATGTCATCTCCTGGAATGAATAATGATACTACACGTGCGAAAGATAGTACAGCCCAACGAGATCCGACGAAAATTAGCTGCGATACAACAATTGTCGAGAGCATGAAAGCGATTAGAGGAACACTGCAATGATGACGAGCGGGAGGGAAATATATCTATCTAGACATCATGTTCGAGCCATGACCGCATATGGTGCGTGAGCTGAGTCCGAGGTGCGGGAGCATTGATACGAGGCGCGACTGTTGCCTCATTTCCAAGGTCGAGTCCAAGCGCGTTAGCGGGCCGTGTGGGCTGAGATACGTGACGGGGCGCTGTGTTGGAGTGGAAACGGCAGTTGGTGTGTGGGACACTGGTGTGGCACTAGTGAAGCCAAGAAGTCCATCCGCGCGAACGGGAATGTCCCCTGGGGAAACAGGTGCGACAGATGCGAACCCACTCAGTGGGAAATTGCGCAGTCCCAATCCACCCATGCTATGATTCGAGGCGGCGGGCGAGTTCGGATCAGAATGCACGGTTCCCCAGGACGACAGACTCTGGCGATGTGACGAGTCTCGCTGATGCGCCATCCGACGTGCGGCGACTTGATGAGCAGTGGGCGGAGATACCATAGCTCGAGGAGGAACTTCAGTCGACGTTTCGCGGGACGAGACAGCTGGAGCATAAATAAGGCAGTTGGCTATCCACCTGGACTGTTCGCCGCCGCGATGAGTGGGGCCGCGAGCGTGGAACCAAAACTTGGTCATCGGAGGCACTGCCGCCCGATGTCTGCGGTCGTTCATTCAAGTTAACTGACCGAGTCAAAGGAATGGGGTCTGAACTCGCTGGCGGAGGATTTGGCATAGCGATAGCTGCAGATGCGATCGGGGCAGACAGACGCAGGGCGCTAATGGAGTCTTCTAGAGGTGAATTGTACCGGGGACCAACTGACGATGGGGGTGGATAGATGGGTTCAGGCTGGCCGCCGTTCCCATACGAGAGACCTTGACTATAACCATTGGAGTAGCCAGAAACGTAAGCTGCAGCTGGAGCTTCATCATTGTACATCGTTCCACTTTCGGGCCCGGGAGGAATGACACGCTGACTGGGTGGTGCGCCTGCAAGAAAGATGCTGCCTGTCGAAGGCATCGCATGCTGTTCCGTGGCGCGCCGCTTGCCTCTGGATTTTTCGGAGCGCATTTCAGGGAACAATGTGGGCGCGCCAGTTCCTGGCGTAAAGTACGAAGCAAATCCTTCGGCAGATTCAGCAACCGGCCGCGCAAACGACGGGAATCGATCCAGCGGGACCGGCTCCGGAGGGGCCGGCAGTGGATTGGCAGAACTGTGCTTGAATTGCTTGAGCTGCTTGCGTAGTGGTTTGATGAGGCCTTTCAGTTCTAATACCTATAGGTCAAATTAAGATCAGATGAAACCGTTTTATGAGCGCTGACCTCGCTGCGGGTAAATCAGACCAAGACGGGGACAGAAGGAACCTAAGAACCTACTTGTCAAGTTCTTGTATACGAGCAAGATAACCGGATTCAAGGCCATCGAAACGATCTCGTTCATCAGCGTTGATCTGCCTCAAGTTACCCAATTCCCCCTCCAACTCGTTAACTCTAGTAGATTAAGAATGTGATTTAAGAACGGTGGTTATGGAAGAACACACCTCACACCATCTTCCTGTGTGCGATCTTTCAAAGCAGATAACAAGTTCAGCGCATTCAATGCATGTCTCAGGGCCGAGTGCTGCAATTGTACATGTCCGTTAGTTTCCGAGAAAGGCAGACGGGCTGAGCTGACATCTGTTTCACTGTTTTCCTCTAACCACGGCTCTATTCGTCTTACTAGGCTCTCCCTCTCATGCTGTTGGCCGTCGAAAGCGAAAGCGACGCGTCGTAGAAAGTCGACTTCGGGATCCAGCGCGCTGGGAGGGTCTACGTGCAATTTCTTGACTGCGTTCATCGCGTATCTTTTGCGACAGAGTGGACACGTTGGACTTCCAGGAGGGCCGATGCTAAGAAGACATCTGCAGAGCGATTGTGGGTGCCGCCATGGGGGACGCGCGTAAGTGATACCCACCTTAAACAAAAGATATGACCACAGGATATCGCGTGAGGGCAGTCTTCGGGAGTTTCGCACGTATATCCCTCTAGGCAGACGTCACAGACAGACGAGGCACTGAGGACGAGCGGCATGGCTTCCCATAGCACAAGGACAGCCTCGCTTAGAACAGGCGGCGGTGTGGATGTGTATTTGGCTCAATTGATCCTGAGCTAAACGCTGGATACGCCCGACAGTCTTGATACCTCTTCCTCATGACCTTTGCTTGATTCCCGGACATCTCACATTCCAAAGATTCCTTTCCTTATAGGGTCAAGCAAGGGGTCCTCCAAGGGATCTACGAGAGAGAGAAGGATGAGTTTTTTCAGCCGCAAGAATAAACAGGCTGCGCCCCAAGCGGCTCCTGCAGTGTCTGTTGCGCAGACACCAAGCCAGGCGCTGGCTCAGCTTTCTGCTGCGGCTGCCGCGAAGGAGCAGCAGAACGCCCCCCAACACCCCCCTCCCCAGCGCAACGATGAATTGTTCGTATTACATTCTGTCGTTACGGAATGTATCACTTATGAGCTTGCCAGTGCACCAAGTAGTATCACCAGCAACAACAGTCTGAGTAGCGCGAACGGGCAGCCGAATGGTCTACAACAGCGCCTTAAAAACTCTGGAATCCCCAACGGTCCCAGTCCTCAGGCGCAGGCGCAGGGCCAACAGCCACCATCTTCCAATTCACAACAACCGCGTTCCGCTTATCCATGGGCTGCATTCCGACCGAGCCTCCCTCCTCCCTCCATACTGAACAAACCTGGTGTGGCTCCCCCCACAACACCGTCCCCGTCCCCATTCCCCCGCTATGGCCATGCGCTGCCTGCGAACGCGACCGCCAGCGGCGACCTGTACATCTTCGGCGGCTTGGTGAGGGAGGCGGCCCGCAACGATCTCTACCTTTTTTCGACCCGGGAGCAATCCGCAACTCTGCAGCAAACAGCTGGCGATGGGCCTTCACCGCGGGTCGGGCATGCCAGCGCGCTGGTCAGCAATGTGCTCATTGTCTGGGGTGGGGACACCAAGACAGATCCGAAATCCAGGCCAACTGACAAGCAAGACGACGGCCTGTACCTATTGAACCTGGGTACGTCATATCCCGATATGTTCATATCTTACTGCCTCAACACACATCGATAGTTTCGCGGGAGTGGACGAGAGTCTCTGTGCACGGAACAGCCCCACCTGGAAGATATGGACACGCTGTCACGATGGCAGCTGGCTCCAAATTCGTTGTGTTCGGTGGGCAAGTGGATGGAGAGTTTTTGAATGATCTATGGTCCTTTGACCTCAACTCCCGTATGTGGTATAATTCATCTCGGGTTGAGCATTACTGAGGATTCGGTATTTTGCAGTGCGCACTAGAGCAACATGGGAACTGCTGGAACCCGCTTCCGAGGACCGTCCGGCTCAGCGAACGGGGCATATTACGTTGACGTTCGATAATCGGATCATTGTGTACGTCGGCCTCGGTCCCGTGTCAGTCTAGCTTGTTGACCTTCCCTTAGTTTCGGTGGTACCGACGGGCAGTACCATTACAACGACACGTGGTCATTCGACCTCGCCACCCGCCAATGGTCTGAGCTGCAATGCATCGGGTTCATTCCGTCGCCTCGTGAAGGACACGCGGCTGCGTTGGTTGATGACGTGATATACATCTTTGGCGGTCGGGGTGTTGATGGAAAGGATCTAAGCGATCTCGCTGCATTCAAAATCTCCAGTACGTGTGATGGACAGTTGTCTCGTTCGTTACAGACACTGATCGCTGCGATAGATCAAAGATGGTATATGTTCCAGAACATGGGCCCGTCACCCAGCGGTCGTTCAGGCCATGCCATGGCTGCTGTCGGACCCAGAGTGTACGTCCTGGGCGGTGAGTCATTCACCCCGTCAAAAACGGATGACCCGGGATTGGTCCATGTTCTCGACACGAGTGGGTTGTCTCCTGTTCTGTCTGGTTGCAATGGTGAACTCGATTCGATCAGAACACATCAAGTATCCGGCCAATCCACCGCCGGCCCCCCAACAACAAGGCGTGACGCGTCAGGCTTCGGCCAACCCAGCGCCGTCACAACTGGCCTCGGCTGCTGCTCGATCTGGGTCACCAAGTGTGCACTTGGCCGGTGAACCCGACGACTCTCGCCGAGCGATGTCCCCTCCGAACATGAGGAAAGCGAACGGGATAGCGAACGGCATTCCTAATGGTGTCCGAGGGGGAACACCGCCTGTCCGGCCGCGCCGCGAGGATGTCGAAGACGTCGAGCTGGTTGATGAGCCTGTCCGCGAGCGAACGATGTCACCGGAGCAGCCAGCTGCTCAACGTGTCAAAAGCCCGGCGTTTAGCGTGGCGAGCCGGGCAGTATCGCCGACGAACGGCATGTCTGGGGAGCCCCCCAACATGGTCAGCATGTCGATGCCCATGGGTGGCCGGGGATCTCCGGCGGTTGACAGGGCACGTCCATCCGTGGAGGCTCCGAGCAGCGGGTCACCGACGATAGCGTCTCATACCGGTCACGGATCGCGGGCCGGATCTGTCACCAATGTCAACGCCGATCTGCTCAAGGACCTCAAAGCCAAGGAGCTCGAACTCGAAGCTGTGCGACGTCAAATGGCATGGATGAAGGAAGCGTTGGGTAAGGCGTCCAAGGCCGGCTACGTTCAGGACGGGCCAGAAATGGAGATGAGCGACGAAGGCACCGACTCCAGGCTACGAGAGCTCGCGATGCAATTCAAAACCTTCAAAGCTCGGATGCAGGTGTGGCATGTGTCTGGTCGCCGTCGCGCGGGACTGATGGTTACTAGAACATGATGGTAGAGCAGGCCAAGGCTGCATCGGACAATATTGCCGATGCCGAGCGGATGAAGAACAGCGCAACACAGGAAGCTGCTTACTATCGAGCAAAGATGTCCGCTTTGGACGAGAACAATGCTGGCGAGGTGTCTCGTATGGAGAAGGAGCGAATCAAGGACCTCGAGCAGCGGCTCTCCGCCATGATGAACGAGCGATGGGAGCAAGATCGAAAAATGAGCGAGCTTTCCGACTCTCTGGCGCTGCAGACGATGCTGTACGACCAGGCCGAGGCTCGAGCCAACGAGGCAACGCGACGAGCCGATCTAGAGGAAGAGTCACATGAGCGGACGATAACGCGCCATAACCATTTGCAGGAGCGAAATCACAACTTGGATGCTCAGCTCCGAGAGCACTCTGAACGACTTCTCAGCCACACCTCGGCATTGGAGCAGAGGGAAGCGGACGAGATGAGTCTACGGGCTCAGGTTGAAGAGCTCATCCAGTCGCGGGATCAGCATCTCCGCGCTCTGGAGCAAGCTCAGATCACCATACAGGCTTCCACCTCTCGATCAGAAGAGATGGATCTGCAATACGAACGTGCTCGCGAGACCATCACCTCCCTCGAATCCGACACCGCAGAGCTTCGCGGGGAACTAGAGAGCCGGTCGTCAGAGGTTGACGCTCTCAGAAATCGACTCACCGAGGCGGAGAATGCCTGGGCAAAGTCACGCGAGGAGGCCGATGCCTTCAGGGCCCTCACGACAGGCAGTTTGGGAGAACTGTTGGATTCGCACAAGGATCTCAAGGCTGATGAGGACCGTTCCACCAGAGGCCACGCGAAAAGGCAGCTGCGATGGAGGCCGAGTCTGCTGGTCTGCGGCGTATGCTGAAAGAAGTGTCTCAAACTGCAGAGCAGCACCAGATCTCGCTGGCTGAGGAGAGGAAGCGCGTGCGGGATCACGAGACCGAGCATTCCTCACTGCGCTCGCAAATTGTTGCCTTGCGCACCCAGCTTGCCACCGCCCATACCGAAAGCAGTCGATTGAAAAGGGAGCTCTCTGATCGAGAAGCCCAGCTCAGCGAGCGGTCTCGAGAGTCCACCGAATCCAACGTGCGGCTCGTCACGCTACGAAATTATCTGGCCGAGAATGGCATCAGCGTCGACGACGAAGCAGAGAACCCGCGGTCACGTGCCACGGGAGCTGCATCACCGCTCGTCTCTGAGCTTGAGAACAAGCTGGCAGAGCGCACCAGAATGCAGGAGAATGCAGAACGGGAGCTTAGCCAAGCGTTGCGCAAGAACCGGGAGATTGAGGCCACTTTGGACAAGGTCTCCGTGCAACTCGACGAGGCCCGATCTAGTCCTGCGACGAATCCGGATGCGGAGCTCCGGGCCACTGAAGCTGAGCGCAAGCTTGAAGAGACGGAGCAAGGCTACAAAGCTCGTATGCAGCAGATGGAGGAGGACTACCAACTGGCTGTCCATTACGTCAAGTATGTCTTGCTCAGGTTTTCCTCTGCGGTCACTGATTCGCTTTTTTCCCCAGGGGAACAGAAAAGATGATGAGACGGATGCGAGAGGAGCTGACCAAGCAGAAGAACACCAACGTCACGCTCCAAGCCGACCTCGACGCTTCCCGCAACGGTAAAGACCGAAAACTGCTGAACGGACGATCTACGCCATCATCAGAAGACGGCCACGACACGCTTTTGCGCGGGCAGCTCGTCGATGCCCAGCGCCAAGTGCAACGACTCAACAATGACAACAAGGAACTGCGTCTCCGGCTGGAGAACTTGGAGAAAGATCTGGAGCTGATGCGCGACAATCTGCTGGCGTCGCAGCGGGAATCTGATGACCGGCTGACTCAGGTCGAGGATCTGCAGCACGAGGTGGAGCGGCTGGAGTCGTCGCTCGCCGTCACAAGGGGCGGCAACGAGGAAACGTTGCTCGAGAAGTTGAGCAGCGAAAACACGAATCTCCGGCGCGAGAATGATCAGCTGTCGCATAAGATTGGGCTACTGTTGGAGGTGGACCAGCCATCTTTCGGCCGCAGACCAATGTCTGGCGCTTCGGGCCGACCCGGCAGCAATTCGAGCCTGGAAAATGCGTTGGCGTTCGAAAATCTGAGCAGCGAGCTCGACGACTGGCAGCGGCAGCTGGCGAGCTCGATGAGCAACCGGAGACCGCTGAGCGATTTCGATTCAGAGCCAGATCGCGCAAAATCGCCGCCACGAATATAGTCTTGCTTTGTAATGCTTGTTTGCCAGCCTCCTCCATCTACGTAGTATACCCTCCTCGCTATATCGTGCTCTCACTCGTTTAGTATATATATTATATATCTTACTTATCATGATGCCCGTTGCGTCCATTCCACCGCCTTGGATTTGACCAGTTCGACACCCGACTCGTCGCCGATCCGTTTCTCCAGCTCGAGCCACTTTTTGAAGAAGGCTTTGGCTTTGTGACTGGTCATTTTCACAGTCAGAACCCGGTCAAACAAGCTCCTGCACGCAGGGAATGCATAAGTGAGCCACAAAATGCAGGTAATATGGGGCGAAACCCACCGCAGGCTCTGAATCTGCTGTTGGCCCGCCTCCATGTCCATGTAGACCGACCATATGTCGAGCCGTTTGGGGTGCGACTCGATGATGCCCTCGAACAGGGTTTTGCCGCGTTCCGGGTCTCCCAATTTGTACTCTAGCTGCGCGAACCGCGAGATCGTCTTGAGGTCTGCGGGGGAATTGAGCCAAGCACTGACACGAGGGCAACGCAACGCACGCTTGCGCTTCTCGAGACCCTTCAGGGCTCTCGGCAGTAGCTGGCGCGATTCTTCCAGCCTGCCTTGTCGCAAAAAAATTCGCTAAAGAGGGACCACACTTTCGAGCTCTGCCCAAACTTCTTGCACGTACGTTGATACTGTTCCTCTGCTTTCTTCAGCATTCGTCAGTATCCGATGACGCCAGAGAAGAGAACAGGCGGAGGAACGCACCGTCGGCTTGTCAGACTGCGCATAGATCTGGGCGAGGCGGAGGTGGACAGTCTTGGAGTCATTGGCACGGGCGGCTTCCTTGAAGACGGCGTCCAGGCTCTCGTCGGTGCCGTAAGCGTTTTCCAGATTGAGCAAGGCGATCCACACATTCAGCTTCTCCTGCTCTTCTCGGAAATTGATCGCATTCAGCGCGCGACGGGCGATGTCCCGCGCCTTATCGACTTCGGACAGCTGGAGCTGGAACGACATGTACTGGATCCACAGGTAGGAGGAATTGGGCGACCCGAGCAGCAGGCGCTCGAAGTCAGCCGTCGATTCGGGCGTTTTGGTGTGCATGTCACCGGTCATGTCGAGTTCGATTTCCTTTCGCTTGCGCCGCTTCTTGCGTTTGCCGCCCTGCTCTTCCGCGTCTGAGGCCTCGCTTTCCGATTCAGATGCGTCAGAGGCTTCTTCTGGCAGTCCACCACTGGACCATTGGAATCCCCCGGCCAGTTGCAGAGTCGGGGCGGTCTGTGGCTTACTCGTTGCAGGAACCTGGTAGTGCGGAGAGACGTCGACATCCATCGCATCGATGTCTTCGTCCTCAGAATCATCGCCGTTCTCCTCTACTGCCTCTTCAGCCGAATCGTTCGGAGCTTCTTGTGCCTCGTCGTCATTAGCGTCCTCGTCCTCGTCTTCGTCATCGACGTCTTCGTCTTCGAGCTGGAAGTCCGCATCATCGAACAGGGAGGGCTTGATGCTGAAAGAGATCTTGGATTTCTCAATCCCGATGATGACTGCCTTGAGTTTGTCGCCCTGTCGGAAGCCTTGCAGGGCAGCGGCGACATCGGCCGATGCAGTGTCAGAAAGCTGATACCGCGTGTCAGCTCTGATTACGCTGGAAGAGGAATAACGCTACCTGCGACTTGTGGCACAAGCCCTTCAGTTTGGAGCCATCGATCTGGATAAAGAGCCCGTAGTCTTCTATCCTTGACACCGTTCCGTCCACCTTGTCGCCAACTTTCAGCTCAGAAATCGAGAGCGACGAGTTGGAAGAGCGAGGCGCGTTTTCTGATCGCAGCGTGAGCTCGACTTTGCGCGTCTCCAAGTCGGTGCTGTCGGCAACATGGGCAGCCGTATCCTACATATGAGACAGACACACCTCAGAATCCGGCCCTGGACCAGCTGGTTGACTGAGAATCTCGGTTTCCACTCCTTCACGAACTAGCACAGAATCAGCACGGATACCGGCCGTCGACGAGCGAGCGCACATCGTCAAACATCTCCTTGATCTGGACACGAGCATCGATCTCGGGTCCCAGTGTGACAAACACGCCTGCGTCTGTGATGCTCTTCACGAACCCGCGGATTGTCTGGCCCACGTGCAGATCAGAGAGCTCCCTGATCTCGTTGTCGACGATAGGCTTCGAGGTTTCAGGGTGCATCCTCGAGGCCCGCATAGACAGCGTCAGCTGCTTCTTGTCGTGGTCGATCGCGATGACAGCAGCTTTGAGTACAGCATCGACAGCAGGCAGAGCAGCAGAGGTGTAGTCGTCGGCGACGTCTGTAGGATGCAGAATCCCGCCGAGATGGGCGCCAAGTTTCACTAGCGCGCCGTTGCGCACATGCCTTGTCACGCGGCCACCAACGATGTCCCCAATGGCCACTGTGTCGAGGGAGACCGGCCCTTTCGAGCTGCTTGCAACCTTGTCTTTGGACTTGGGCTTCGAAGCAACGATCACAAACGACTTTTCGGGGTTCCTAGTGACCACCACCAGGTCTTCGAGCCGGTCTCCGGGTTTGAGTGTCGCGCGCAATTGCGCAACGCTCAGCTTGCGGTAGTTCGCCACATTGTTAAGCGAGATGAGCGCGCGGACTTTACTCGGCTGGAGAGAGAGCACTGCGTTCTCCGCGTGGATCTCGGACACGACGCCCTGGACGATGTTCCCGATTTCGACCGCACTGATGTCGTCCACCACATCAAAGTTGGACGACGCCTGCCGGATGCTGGCGGTAATTCTGCTCGAGTCATCGACGTGTGTGATGCGTACTTTGACCACACGGCCCAACGGGAAAGATTCAGCCAATTTTGCGATAGGTGTTTCGCTAATACAGATAATCGATCAGACATAGCGACGATCAAAACATTGAATTTCGCACCTCACTTCCGAAAGCGGTACCATGGCTTTCAAATTATTGAAAAACTCAACGAGCAGGTGTTTTTCAAAGATCTTGAACACGACTGCATGTGTCACCGTGCCGATTTTGGCATCCGACAACGAAGTGATCAATGGCAGCGTCGACTCGACCAGAGTTTTCTTAGCTGTCAAAGCGATGCGTTTACGTTCTGGATCGACCACGAGAACCTGAAAGACATCAAAAGCCATTCCAGGGCCAACACTCGTGCGCCTACCCGGCATTTGATCGATGCTCCTGGCTTGAACCGTTTGGCAGGGTGCTTGAGCGCAATATCGGCAAAGTGATTGGGCCACACCACGCCGTCGACATTGCCCGACAGCAGCACAAACAGACCCGAGTCCGTCAAGCGCTTGATAGTTCCTTTGATCACCTCGCCGACTTGCACATCAGAAACGCGCAGGAACCGCTGCTCCAATATCGATGGTTTTAGGGACAGCTGCAACAGACCGTCGAAAGGGAAGTACCCAGTCACTCGTGCCCTGTGGATCGAGCCCACTTTCCACGACCCAGAGGATGATATTGAGGGCACATGATCGTCAGAGACATGCGAGATCTACGCGCCAGGTCAAAAGAGACACTGTGAGCCGCAAAACACGCACGTGCACAAATCCTCGGACGTCTGGTGTGGATACCACGATGCCTCGCTCGGATTCGAGAGCAGCGACCTTGACTTCTTCGATTATGGTGCCGATCGGGTAAGCTTCCTGGATCGTCTTCTCTCCATCCGCCTTTTTAACACCCAAAGCGACTACGTGATCTGCTAGCGACAACGCGAATTTCGGGGGAGACGACGAAAAGTCGTATAGGATACGAGCTTTCACTTTCTTCCCGATTTTGTATGTCTTGTCCGATAGATTGGATTCATCGATGGTGCCGTCGAAGAAACCGAGAATCTGTAGATTCAAGCCAGTTGTATGCACGTTTGTGATCAGAGATTGGACAAGAGCCCCCGGAACGAGCGATGTCGCGTTCGTCGCTTCAGTCAGCTGCACGGACATTGAGCGATGGAAGATTCGAGGGGAACGTTTCACGAACACATGACTTCACAAACGAGGCAGTATCGGCAGAAACTTGACAAGTGCGTCCATTTTTTGAAACGGACGCGACCGTAACATCCAGAAGGCGCCCGACCGCCAGTCGAGCTTCAGAATTGAACGGCCCGTCTTTGGCATCTTTGAAAGAAAGAAAGCCAGACATTTTAGGAACACCAAGATCCAATATGTACCCGTGATCTTCTACGCTTTGGACGGCGGCAGAAATGGTCTGTTGAGATCATTAATCGAAGTTTGCAAGCAGGGGATATCTGAACGAACAAAACCAGGCTTGATATCTGACTTTTGGATCCCCATATTGACAGCCTCGGGCACCAAACTGAGTTCAACGCGTCGACTGGCACGGGTCATATCATCTCGCGACCTCCCGACGCCAGTGGTATCGGTTGAGCCAGAGGCATGCACCGCAGTCACCACTGCACGCACATATTGACCTGTGCGAAACAAATCCGAAAGCTCAGGTGTGTCAGAATCCGCGTCTTGCTCTTCGTCCTCTTCATCCTGATCCATACGAGTTTGCAGCAAGGCCGTCAATTGGGAAGACACATTGGTTATTGGAACATGGCCAAAGAGTTGATTTGGGAGAGATATGATCAGTGCAAGCGGCTCGATAGATACGATTTGACCGAGGATCTTTTGACCAGCGTTCAATCGCTGAAATGTGGGTTTCACGACTGTACTGGAGGGTAAGACGGGTGTGAACACACCTTGTAGTTCAAATGCTCGATCCGTATCTTGTCGCTCTTCTCCTTCGAGGTCGATGCGGCTGGCTCTGCCTCGGATTTTCGCTTCCGTTTTTTCGAGGTGCTGGGCTCAGATTCCTGTTGTACCAGATGTTCTGAACATGATCTCAAGGTAACGTCCCCTGCAACGCACCTTGAATAGTTCCGCGTTCGCCTCCTTGACCGCTTCTGCACGGATAGCTTTCACTTCCAGAGGTGTGAAGCTAGTTCCTCCTCCGCGCGGAAAGTCGACTTCCTCAGCGACCAGCTGCGATGGCGCAGGTTTTGTTTGGGGGACAGCATCGCTCCCACTTTCGCGCTCGGTCCTACTCTTCTTCGATTTACGGGCAATAGCATTGTCGTCCAGAGGTCGTTTGAGCGCGGGCATGATGGTCGTGCCCGCCTAAATTTTTGGTCGGAGTTACCCGAGCCGAGCAGATCAATTAGCGAGGGCTCAAGCAATGGCAAACAGCAAATGTCGCGTCTGACTGTGATCCTTCGACGCGCGCACTTTGTGCGATGGCCCGAGGCCGTGCGGAGGAGGTCCTACTCCTCAGTGACCTCGAAGGATATCGAGTACTTCCAGTCTATCCTGCCGCCTGCCTCCATCCTGTCCACCGTCGCTCCGTCGAATACACCCGGCGAAGAGCTGGATATATACAATAGCGACTGGATGAGCAAGTACCGTGGCCAATCTACGACCGTCTTAAAGCCGAAGAACACTCAGCAAGTCAGTGACATCGTGCGGTGGTGTGCGGAACGGGAAATTCCCATAGTGCCGCAAGGTGGAAACACCGGGCTAGTGGGCGGCAGTGTTCCGCTGAAGGATGAACTCGTGCTTTCGTTGGCCAATATGAGCTCAGTGCGCTCCTTCGACCCTGTTTCCGGTGCCTCACATGACCGCTCTCTCTTCCTTCTGTCTCTGAGCGAAATTAGGTATCCTGGTGGCTGACGCCGGCTGCATTCTTCAGTCCCTGACGGATTATGTTGCGCCCCATAATCACATTATGCCGATCGATCTGGGTGCCAAAGGCAGGTCTGTAGGTTTGCTGCGACCACGCAACCGTGCTCATGCCTTCCTTTTCAGTTGCCACATCGGCGGCAATGTGGCTACGAATGCCGGTGGCTTGCGACTCTTGCGTTACGGATCTCTCCACGGCTCTGTACTGGGCCTAGAAGTCGTGCTTCCGGACGGTACCATTCTCAATCAGCTTTCGACGCTACGGAAAGACAACACAGGTACACCCTTCTATTTCTCGTTCTGCGCCAAATACAAATTGAAATCTTGCAGGCTACGACTTGAAACAGCTTTTCATTGGCTCAGAGGGCACGCTCGGGATCATCACGGCTGTCTCCATTCTCACACCTCCATCACCTCAAGCATCGAATAACGTCATTCTTGCGCTACCGCATTTTGATAACGTGCTACCTCTCTTCCGGACTGTCAAGCGAGACTTGTCGGAGATCTTGTCCGCTTTCGAATTCATCGACCGGACGGCATACGAACTCGCAGTCAAGCATGGACAAGGACGGGGACTGAGCGACGAGGAAATCGAGGGTGCTGCGTGCTTTGTGTTGGTGGAGACCAGCGGTGGCCGGCGTGACCACGATGAAGAGGTCTGTGTGTGGCGTAGTGACTGTTGGAACTTTGGCTCACGTATGCTGACATCTGATAGAAACTGAACGATCTGCTGGCCTCGCTTCTTGAAGCGGAGAAGCCTCTCATAACCAACGGTGTGCTGTCCCAGAATCCCGCTCAGTTCTCGTCACTCTGGGCTCTCCGAGAAGGTGTGACGGAGGCGGTTTCCAAAGAGGGGAAGGCCTACAAATACGACATCTCTATCCCCCTCGCTTCATTCAAGGACGTGGTCGACACCACTCGCGAGCATCTTCGATCCAAGGGCCTCTTGAATGACGACGCTGTGACCCATGTCATGGGCTATGGACACGTCGGGGACGGCAACCTTCATCTCAATATCGTGGCCAAAGCATACAGCGACGAGATCACGAACGCTTTGGAACCTTTCGTCTATGAGCTTGTTGGTACGTACTTGAATCGCAAGTTTGCCACGTGCTCATTGTCTGCTAGCTTCTTACCGCGGCTCGGTCTCTGCCGAACACGGGATTGGTGCTATGAAGACGCACGCTCTCCATTACTCGAAGGACGAAACGAGCATCGCATGGATGAGGAAAATCAAACAGCTTTTCGATCCGAAAAATATCATGAACCCAGGAAAGGTGCTCGAGTAGTCTGTCAGAATCTGTTTAGATTGGGGACGAATACAAGTCTCATTTGTGGCCCAGCCGCCGAGCACCGATGGTGGACAGAGCGGTGTTTCCGGTAAACAGAGTGACGACTCCGAGAACGGCACCGTACAACAGCACTTGACCCAGCTTGAGATCGATCCAGTAGTAGACCAGGAGCACCTCAAATGCACCAAGCGTTGCGATGAAAGGCAAGATGGTGGGAGAGAGCAGATACGGTGCACCGGGGAAGACTTGGCTCCACTGTGAACTGCTTCAGCATCGACTCCAGCACCGCTGCAGTGAAAACCCACCAGTCCAAGCAGGACGGCCCAAGGAGAAAGCGTCAGGATGGCGAAGAGAGCAGACACCGGGCGAGGCGGGACCTTTTGTGGCGGGCGGAAACTGTGCTCGATGACCGGAAGCAAGTGGAAAGTCGGCTCTTCCGGATGGATTGGAGCACCCGACTCAGGCAGAGTCAGATCAAACAAATGCATCGTTGCCGGTGAGTATTTCGCCGCGCCGAGGATCAAAGTAACCTCTATCGGCGAACTTGTGGTGGGTGGGATGGAGAGAGGTGGTTTCGACATGTCCTGAACGCGTTCAAGCACCAATGATGTTGCAGCAGCAAGGAACTCACCAGCTCGAACTTGACCTTCCCAGACGGGGTTACGCGAAGCGGTTGGATTCCTTCCTCGCCAGACTTTGGGTCGTAGAAACGAAGGAAGGTCTGTAGCGGTTGCACGCCTTTGTCCTTGGAGCCTTCCTCCGTGACTTGGAAAGTAAGTTTAAGACGATCCTTGGGTCCAAGAGAGAGTGGCGTTCCGACGGCCTCGTTGACCTTCAGACTTCGCTAAAGTGAGCCATGTGAACGCGTGAATCTGAGTTTAAGAACATACAGCTCAGTACGGAGACTTGCACCCGTGGAATCGAATGTAGAGACTTTGGGGGCATTCAAAGTAAGCAGCGACGCCCGCGCCGACGCGGCCAGAAGCAACAAGGAACTGAGCAAGAGCATTTTGAGTTAACGAGCGTATGTGGTCGACGTGTCCCGAATCGAAGTACGTGAGTTGATGATCAATACCATCATCTGATCCAATCAGCTGTTCTTTGTCAACCCCTTCCGCCAAATCAAACACCGAAGCAACGCAGACCGACGGTCTCTGGCTCCCCATAGCACTCGGCACTGAGGATATCATTTCAGAGCCATAGGGAGAACTTCACGTCTTGCAAATTGTGGTTCTTTGACCGCAGTGGCCAAGCAAAGTCGCCCAAGTTGATAAACCCTTACCTTAAACTGGGGGTCAAACATGGTTCGCAAACCCAACCCCAATCTCTATCGCGCTCTAATGGACTCGCAAGGCAGACCAACCGAATCTTATCTTCCACGATGTCAAGTTCTTCATCCAAAAGGATCTCCCAGAAGACGTGCAAGCACACCTCACTGAAACAATACAAGTGCGTGTCATTCGCTTCTCCGCCACCACTCTAGTCAACCAACCGATTACAGTCTTTGGGCGGTCGCGTCGAAAGCAAGGTCCCTCTGCATGGATTTCTGCTCGTTCAACCTGGCAGCCCAGAGGGCGGACGTCTCTATGCATGCTGGAAGAGCGCAGACCGCCCTGAACGCTACTTTGTGCCCTACACTTACGTCGACGCGTGCAAGGTCGCCAACGTGCGGCTGAAGCAAATATTCATCGAGAATGGTGAAGCCATTCAGATGCACATACACGCCAGTATTGCCAACTTGAATGTGCGGAGCGCGCTAAGCCAACGTATCATGGTATGTGCTGAGCACTAGAACTGGTCCGATTTGCTAACCAGAACACACAGCATTCCGGAGGAGAGCCAAATGCAACTGCAGAGGCGGCACGGGTCATATTAGCCGACCCAGACACTGAGGTCTTCCAACATCTTGTCAAGACATACCAGGGCATGCCCGACAAGTACATCGAGTCTTATCTCTGGGTCAAAAAATGTGTTGAACGCGAAGCCGTGATATACACGCCTCTGGTGTACAAGAATCCCGGTGGCAGGCGGCCAGGCGAAGAGTATGCTTTCCTTCCGTTTCAACATGCAGGGATGCTCATCCTGGACAGGCGAACTCAATTTACGGAAGAAGACGAGGAGAACCTTGCCAAATGGATAGCAGCCAAAATCCCATTCAAAGAGATCGGGGGAAGAACAGGGAATAGGCTCTATCAGCAACTCTGCGAAATGGTGCGCATTTTCGTGCACCGCAGTCAGTTCTGGCTCAAATTGACTGCAGAGCCACGAGCCGGACTACATGTGGGTGACAAGGCATACCTGGCAGTCGTGGCGAGAGCGGTACAAGAAGAATTCCGCGCGACTCGATACTTTAATCGCAGCCATCGTTGCGCAGACGAAACCGACTCAAGGAGAGAAAGGGCAGTACGGATATGTTCGTCAGGCCGAAGAAAAACCGAAAAAACCTCGCAAAAAAAGAGTCAAGAATCAGGAGCCGCCGCCGATTCAGCCAGACGAGGCGTTCCTCCTTGCCAATGGCGACCCAGGCCTCTTTCAGCCTCCAATTGCACCTCTTCCTGATCTCAATATGGCTGTCGGCCTCGCTGGACACATGCATATCCCGGGGTTGATGTACGATGTCGCACCCGTAGGCCCGGCACCTCTTCCTGCGGCACGGACCGAGGAAGAGATGGAAGACGATGAAGTCGAGTGGGCTGTTCGTGTTGGCCATTCTCCTCCACCTGCATGGGCTGCCAAGCGCAGATCATCCCAAGAAGCTCACGATCCAAACGCAGCTAAACGACAGAAAATGGGGTATCTCGGTTTTTCTGTGCTCGATCTGCCATCGCTGACTGGACCACAGGGAGGCACAGCTGATGGGAAGAGACATGCATGTCGTGGACCAGGCCATTCACGACATCGCAGCTGAATACGCTTTTACCATCCACGAAGTACAAGTCTACTACGATCGTTGCGGGGAGATGGAACGAACCCGCAACAGATTCAAGGGCATGCGAGAGCTGCTGACAGACCGTTTTCCCATGGATGCGTAGTGACCTGTATCCATGTACCTGAAATCATTCAATAATTTTGTGTGCCATGTCCCCCGTCCAAACTTGCCTGATCAATCTTATCCGTTCACACCATGAGGCATGTCGGCAGTGCGGTCGGATGTCCAATAAAGGCTTTCTGCCTTTGGTCCCATCTCTTTCCCTCCAACTCAGCTTATGAACTCAAACGCTTCACTGCCATAGAAAATGATTAACGACTCACGAACCCGTCCAACGCCCGACCCCAATTATCCCTCGGAGCAACCTCGCGTTTCCAAGCGAGTCAGCCGTGGCCTGTTCTCGTTCTTTTCCAGCAAAGGACAACAGTCTTCCCAGCCCCAGTATCCAGCAGGAAAGCAGCGGCCTGGGCCACTGTCTGCTTCCGCCTCGATCGTTCCAGCAGACCCCATCGCTCGACGTTTCGATCACATCTCATTGACTTCAAATGCACAGCGTAACGACCCTGCGTTCTCACGAGACCCGTCGAAACATCATGACCATCCTATTGTGGTTGGTCCGGGTGTGCGGGCCCGCCTGGAAGGCTATGCAGCCGTGGGCACCGAGTTGGAGAACCATGAGTCCTATGTAGGCCAAATCCAGGAACAGCTCCCGTCTCGTCCTCCCATTCAACAACCACATGCGTCCGCGCCTCCGAATGCTATGAAAACTCAAGACAGTGGCTATTACAGTGGCTCATCGCCGAGTATGACCCCCTCGACATCACATTCAGGCTCGACAGAGCTGAATCCAGGTTTCTCGGCCATGACCTCGATCATCTCATCCCCGTTGCCCAGGCAGCTGGTTGTCCCTCCCGAAATTGCTGCGCACCGAGGGCTGGTCGACCGCGCGACGTCATCTATCGGTGACAGTGGAGATATGGGGCGTGAACGCCCGCAAATCCCACCCCCGGATTACGACTCCGAGGCGTTGCCTGTCCATCCCGTGATGCAGCGAAACGAATCTGCTCCAGAACTGCATCATGCCGCAGAGACGCAGAGGCCGCCGCCTCGCGCACAGTCTGCTCCCCCAGTGCCAGTCCCAGGGCCAGCACCTCCGAGAGAGTCTGTCGAACGGCGCCCCGGTGACCTAGATCGGATCGATGAATTAGACGAAAGCAGCCCGCTGGGAATCGCGATGCACCACGAGGGTCCATTTCAGGCTGTGTCGACAGTGGTAGGCAAGGTGCCACCGACAATGCCGGGTCGGATCTCAGGTCATCCCCCGCCACGAACCCAGAAGGTGGCTTTCTTGTCTCGGCTGACTTGTTGCGGAACGTCCAGCTGACATTTGGCCGATAGGTTCAGAACCGCACCTCTCTGAGCATCAAGCCTGGGCAAATTATGCCGGCCAGCTTTTTCTACACGCCGATATCTCAGCCGCTCACGCGGCCGCCGCCGATTCCTCAAGTACCGGTCGCGGGGCCGTCGACCTTTCGTCAGGATCCGCCGAACATTTTACAGAATCAACCCGTATGGAATAATCAATCCAACCTTTCGGTTGTTCGTTCCTCCGATGTCCTGCAGCACCCAGTAGAGAGTCCTGCTGGGCGGGAATCTCTCTATTCAGATGATTATGCTGATGCATATGGTGGAATCGAGGAAGTGCCCGCTGAGATACCCGCTGCGATACCCGAACCTAGAGTGCACCCGAATGTGCCGCCGCCACCCCAAGCCCAAGCCCACGCGCCTAACAACTGGGGACCAGCACCCAGTCGAATTCCACCGCCATGGGTGCAATCTCCACCGTCGAATCCTAGACAACCACTTCCTGCCACTTCTGATGGAAGTGGCGTACTGGGACGACCCGATCCTCACCAATTCCAGGCCCACTACGGCAACCGACGCAGTTCAGTCAAGGCCCGCAGTCTGGGCGGCGGGTTGTGTCATACCAGTTGCCGCCGGGTGCAGCACAGCCCCATTCGGTGCGGATGCCTGAGCAGCGCATTCCGCAGCCGCCGGTGGTCCGTCCCCAGCGCGATCCGCACGAACATTACCACGCGGTCTTTGCCGAATCTGTGCGGGAGCGGGACCAGCAGTCTATCGCACCCACCACTGCTTCGGGTCGCCGGGGCCCTCTGCCGCACCACCTGCCGAGGGCTCTTGTGATGCCTGCACCGCTCCAGCAGAGGCCCAATCCCCCGAGCGCGGACTATCGTGACAGTCCCGCCTCTGGCGCCGGCCCGCAAGCCTTGACACGGGCACACACGATTCAGATGGACGGATCGCGGCATCTTCTGAGGAAGCGGTCGAATGTGCAGCAACCGATGAACGTGCAGATAGAGGAGCCGTTCAAACCGCGATACATGGCGCCGCCACCGACTAATGCTGTTGTGCTGGACGACCGGAAGAAACCGAAGAGACTGTTGAGTAAGAGGCGATGATGCTTTTGGATACTACGCGTGTAATATCTATCACCGGGACATGTAGTGACAATGTTGTAGTTACCTGCTGTACATATATTTTGACGATACAATCCGAATATGAATTCAAGTCAGTAACAGGTAATAAACAGGCGTGAAAGTATGTGTAAGGAAAGGATATGAAGTCTACAACAAACAAGGAACGAAAATGGAGTCGGTCTGCTCCTGGGACACTACACAGCAGGCATCTTTGTTGAGCTGCGGTCGCCTTCGCTCTCATACTCGTCCCGCTCGAGAGACTTCATCGGGTATTCGAGCATCCCATTGTTATCAGTGACGCGGATTTGCGTCTGCCATCTGCATGTCAGAAAACGAAAGTTCAAGGAAGCCGCGTGCGGAGACTTGCCCTGGTGACCGTGATTCCAGTCGGGCCAGCCCCAGTGTTGCTCTTTGATCCGTCCGAGTTTCCGATACGCCCGACGCTGTTGCTGTCAAAGTCTTTCCGAATATTCTGATTTTTCAGGATGAGCAGAGATAGCATTGAGCACTGATGGAACTCACCGAGCGCGCCAGCAGAGTCACCATGACCGAATGGTTGTAGGTTTTACCGACGATGAGCTGGACTGGAAGAGTTCCTCTCAGCTTTGCCCATTGGCTGCAATCGACAGAGAATATGCGCACGGGCAAGATGGATGGAGTTGACTTTGCTCATAGTCAGGTAGAGGAGAAGATCGACCAGTGCAATGGCCGAGGTTAGACCCGCTGTTTCAAAAGTGAGGCGGACAATCTTGGACAATGTCTACGCGCGCGTTGAGCTACTCGAGTCGGGTGCGAGTGGCATGACAAACTTTTTCCGTTCTGGAGACAGATAAGTCATGGAATCAGAAACTGGTGCACGACTGACCGCTTGAATCCCGTCCGCATTTTGCGAAGGTGGGCGATCTGTGCCAATCATCAGTTTTGGTTGCGCGAGTGAAGGCGAGACATACCAGCACAATTGATATTCCGAGATCGGTGAGAGCAGAGCTGTTGCAGAGCGTCAGCTTCGAACAATTCCAATGGTCTTGAAGCTCACGCTATCAACCAAGTTGTGACTTGGACGACAACATTGGACGTTTGCCTTGTCGATGGGTATAAGTCCGCCTCCTCAGCCTGCGGCGAAGACTCACGTGTAATAAGGGCGCGCCATGGTTCCGACGGATGTGGCAACACCAGCACTGAGAGAAACAAGAAGTCCTAGACCGCCCAGGACTACGACCGTGTATGAATGAGTAACAGTCCAGCACCGATGGAGCAGAAATCCCTGGGCAAGAGCAGCAATCACAGCCTGCGGAGGTTTCAGAGCGGCGTTGAGGGGAAACAGATTACAGCCAGCTTACCGTCCAGGCACATTCGTAGCTGGTAGTATAATGGTCAATACAGACTACTGGAAGTGACGTGGGATAAATGGCCTCACGAAAAGGTCCAGCCGTAATGGTCCCATGCGATGATGTTTCCAAAGTGCGAGACGAATGTGTCGTACATGATATGGCTACGTAGAGCGTTGAGAAGATGGGCTTCGATGGGAGAATATAGAACTTACAAATCGGTGGCGCATTGCAGAGCGCTGGCAAGGAAGAGAACAGTGACAAAGGTCTTGAGCGACACAGAGTCAGACGAAAAGTCCTCAAAGTATTTCCACATCTGGATACCTGACAGAGAATGAGGCGAGAGGGAAAATATCATCGCAGAAACTCACAAAGACATCCCATCATGAACATCTGCCCGGCCAATCTGACTCGCGGAAAGCACTGAGAGACGACCAGGCGCAAAACAAGATATCCAACTCACCCTATCAGAATAGGACCAAGAAAGAGATCATAGAAATGCTGGTTGCTGATCAACTTTTCCACGGCCGTCGCATCGTACGTCCAGGGCAGCTCAGAGCTCGACATAGTTGAAGGAGCGAAGAGGGGATGAGTCCACCAGTCAGGGAGGCGGATGCGCCGAAAGTGTTTGAGCTCCAGACTCCTCAGGAGCGTCTTGTCCGCGATTGCTGGTGAAAGCAGTCAGGAGCCGCTCAAATTCAATAGATTAGCAGTGCTCCAGCCCCGCAAATGCTTGCGTTGTCCAAGCTCTGCGAAAAGGGCAGAAAACGGGCCATTCGTGTGTCTTTACGCGGAGGAGACTTTAAGGCGAAACCGTCTCAGAGCTCGATCGAGCCAGTCGAGGCAAGCCATCATTCATGCATTTCGTCATACAGATATCGCCGAGGATACATTTTCTCCGACAAGTTGGATTTCGCAGTAGCGTACGAATCGAATTTTGACTCGACTACAGTCGGTAGTGTTTGTTGATAACAGCTAGCAGTGGCATTGAGCGCAAGGAGACAGGAAAGAAATAGCCCCTGAGTGATCATTGATATATCATCACTGATTCGAGTGATCGAATTCCGGACCGGGGTCCCCGGCACCCCCACTTTTCCGCGATCAAGAACGTTTCCAGGACGGATCTCTGCCAGTTGAAGGTGCTTCAGTTCGACTCGGACCTCGCACGTCATCGTGTACAGCTTTTCGAATCCTGTCAGGCCAACGTAACTGAACGCGGCCTGGTCAGCGTGGAGAGACCGACCGTTCACTAATGCACCTCTCCACCCTCTTGCTACCTCTCGTGCTGTTTCTCTGGCACGCGTCATTCACCCACGCACAACTTCGTACGGAGCCATTCCTGTCGAGTCCGCTGTCGATCACCCAACCGCGCTTGAAGGTCTCGGAAACTTGACGGGCGTGCTGCCCCAATGCACGACGCAGTGCACTGATTATGATGTTATGACCACTGTGCGTGAGAGCGCGCTATCGTCAGACTCTGCTCAGCCCTGAACGCGGACCGCAGGAATGCAACAACGTCGGGATCTACCAGGTGACATATATGGTACCGTGTCACTCGAGACAACGTGTTCATGCGCTTCTCAGATCACATACATCTACTGCGAATGCAGCGCAAATAGCTTGCAAATCGTGCAAGACTGCTTCAACTGTCAGGCCGTCAACGCGACACAGCAGAAAACGATGCAAGGGCTTCTAGATGGTCGGCTTTTCTACCTCCTGCTTACTTGTGTTCGCTCACGCGTGGTTTCAGATCTCGTAAACACATGTAACGACAAGACCGCCGCGCCTGCCTCGACTCTGACCGTGTCTCCGCTGCAAATAAGCCCTAGCGCTAGTGCCAGTGCGGGAGCTCAAACTGGCCATGCCGCATCTCTGAAGCAGGTGCACATCGCCGGGTTCGCTGCTGTATCGGCTGTTCTTGCAGGTGTCGGGTTCTTGTATTTCCAGCTGTAGACCCACATGGACCTTTTTAACATATGTTATTGTCGCTGGGATATACACGACATTCTATTCTTGCAGTCCCGGAATCCCTTTCAGAAAGATAGTGACGTCGGCGTCGGATTCTAAAGGTACCTCGTTTCGCGAAAATAACTTCTCGAAGATCGCTTCGGATTCAGTAGTCTATCATGATCGCGTCAGCGTCCTCACAGTCTTCCACACGAGAGGACCTCACCGTCACATCGTAAAATTGCAGATTCTGCCAAGATTCGTCCTCTTCGGCACGAATCGCAGCTATCATCTCTCTCCGCGCAACAGAGAGTCCACCCTGTGCTGCCATGGCGTTCTTGTCTTCCGTTTTGCGGGCGGTGACCTGCACCTCTTGTGCTTTGCCGGCAGGCTTTTTGTCTTTCTTCGGGGCGAGCACAGGAACAGGGTCATCCGGATCAGGTGGTGGTCCGTCGTCGGAGTCCGAGTCAGAGTCTGCGCCACCCGGGATCGTTTGTTTTTGCGAGACAAGATGTCGAGATAGGTCAGAGTCGGTCGGAATTGGTGCGTCTCGCTGATGGGATGGAGATGCAGTTGGCCTACAGGCACGCTCGGGTTCAGAACGGAATGCGAGGTAGAAGCCACGAAGGGCAGCTCACCGTCGCGCACGATCCCCAGCATATGGACGCCTTTTTGCTGAATCACCTCGCTCCGCATCCGCACTTCGTTCAGCCGCGGTTCTGCCCCTTCTCTCTCTTTGCCCGGCAGTTCTTGATTCTTCTCCCGGTCATCTAGTACCCTGGCAGCGCCGTAGTCTTTTCCTCGTTCGTTGTTCCACACCTCGGGGCGCACATCGGAGGGGACATGAACTTCGAGCCTGCGGACGCCCGGCTTAATACGCGCAGCAATGCGCTTGCCACTTGCGGCTGCTGATGGGGGCACTTGTAGAGGGCGCGTCAAAAGCGGATACTGGTGGATATGTAGCTGAGGAGAGAGCGCATCGGAGTAACGGATGGGTATGCGGCTAATGACTTCGTCGTTTACATCCATCTCTAATCGCGGTCACATGATAGGATCAGGTCGAGATGTCTGGGTTTTGGGGTGTATGTCGATGCCTATGTATTACAATGCTGGGAGCTTTGATTTGTTACAGAGAAAGATAATGGAAAATGGTGCAATGTACTACGTGAGACTTGATTTCTCGGGAACATCCACTAGCGTATGTCGATTGTGCGATATTTCACGAAAAGGGGATGGATGGCTTGATCGACGATCACGAATAGTAGCAGCAGGAGATGGGGAAGATGGGGAGTCTGAAAAGTCCGAGTTCCAAGATGTGTATGAATTCCTCCGAATGGCCCTGGCATCGCTGAAGGGATCTTCAAGAGGCGGATTCCGAGGTGTGCGTCGACTGTAAGGACTACGGTCTCGGTCATTCCACTGCCAAGCAGATGGGTGCTGCACCAAGGCCTCTCGCTCGTGCCGAGACACAACTCGGCCAGAACTGTGCAAGACCAGGACGGAGATGATGGCCCCTGGTGGTGATGCAATCAGTCACCAGAGAGACCGCATGGAGCGACACACTCACAGTTGGCTCCCGTCCATCCTGTTAGATCAAGGTCGTTCTCAAAGTTGACCCCAAAGACCAACAAAAGCGCAAGCACAACAGCAGCAACAGTGATCACAGTTGTGTACATCAGCTGGAAGGTTGGATGAGATTCACGATTTATGGGAGAAAGGAGCAGGCACACCTCATCCTTCATGACCTGATGGAATAACTCCATGCGAGGTATGATGCGGGAGAACGGGATAGAGCTCCGCCAAGAGCTTCGTGAGTTGCCGCCTCTGTGTCGCAAAATCGGTTCTTCCGGATGCTCAGTCAAAGAGTCCAAATCATGGGCCACCACCCCCGACACACTCGAACGCCGTCGTATCGATGCCGTGTCATCGGCACTAGGAGTGGGAATTGCGGGTGGAGCAACGCTCTCGTCTTTGTCTCCAACACTTGTCACGTCAAGAGAGGGAACGGTCACAGGCGTGTTGTTGCGTTCTAGAACCTGTTTCCACCAAGGTCCACGAGGAAGTTTCTCAACCGTCACATCTTCCAACGTTAGCCGCAGAGACATGCGACCTCGGGCAGCAGGCGAGGAACGTGACGACCAAACTGCGTGGAGAACTGGCCAGATTAGAATCTCCGTGTGCCACATGCAAGAGACAGCTCACAGCAACAACAGATGAAAAGCGAATGTGCAAGCTGGATGAGACCGTAACTCCTCATAAATTGGGGTTTTTCCAAGACAGTAGAGCAGCCCCCTTGTGATGCATTCAGACAATTAAGCATTGAAGTAACGATTACGAACCTGTTAAGCGACGACTTCCGTTAGTAGAGGATAGCTGCAGAAGCAGGAATGTTGACGATGCACTGAAGAACGCGAACAGGACAACCAGGACCAATCGAGAGCTGTCTAGACAACGATATGCTTTCAGTCCCAGAACACCTGTCATCAAAACGGCCAGCGAGATCCCGGTTGTAGCCGTGGCTAATAACGTGACGCTGGAGACTTCATTAACACAATGGGATGAAGAAGAATGAAGGACGTACGATGTGCAGTCGAGCCTGGAGGTGAAGTACGAGGCCAAAAGGGGAACCAAGCCAATCTACCAAGGTATTCATGATAGTCCCGGATAAGAACAGAGAATAGGACCGTACAGACAAGACTTGGCTGGCCAGCAAGAGTCGTAAGAGTAGTTTTCTTTTCATGCTAGCTCGGCGAAGATAGTCGATGGCAACCATGATATTTCGGACGAAAAGCATGACCAACATCGCGGAGACCAGCAAGCTTATGTTAGAGCTTGCTAAATCGTGCTGGAATGGGGGGGTGATGAAGGAACCGTCGGAAAGTGCGAGGTAGGACGGTTCGAAAGAGTTGATAGGTGTGTTGTAGAAACGAGAGTAATCGGTGATAACGAAGGTGGTCGATATGAGAACGACAACCTCGTTGGGCTCTTGGTCGCAGCACCCAGGCGAGGGTGTAATACGGGGGGCCAGGTTATGAGTCGGGCTGGCATACTGAGTAGGTGCAGGAAGGTGTTGCCACGTCGCGGAGGCGGCCATGAGTCCGACGATATCGCCGAGAAACCGAAAATTGAGAGAATGTACAAGCTAGAGCAGATTAAAGCGAGTGAGAGGCATGACCAACGGCATGCAGTCAATTGTAAGATGCGGAGGGAAAGAGGGACAACCGACGGTTACGACCGCACGGATCGAAATCATGTTGATTGACACATTCCTTTTCGAAGTTTAACCTTCTTTTCCGTCAGGCGACCGTCGCGCAATCTATCAAGGGTCTCTTCCCTTGACCGGTCCTCTGACCATTTGAAAATAAGAAAGTCGCGCAGTATCCAAGCGACGTTCCTAAATGACCAGCCCCACTGCACCCGTCATCGTCCTCACAGGAACACCAGGCACTGGAAAAACTTCGACAGCGCAGCTCCTCGTGGACGAGTCTCCGATACCGCTGAAACACGTCAATGTCGGGGAACTTGTAAAACAAAACGGATGGTTTGATGAGTTTGATCAAGAATGGCAAAGTTATACGATCGACGAGGACAAGGAGGACCAAGTACGTGGAGATCGCGTCCAGTGTATGCTTTCAGATGTGCCTTACTGATATTGCATTGCAGCTACTGGACGAACTAGAGACCGTCGTAGCTGCTGGAGGGGTCATCCTTGACTGGCATACTTGTGAAGCTTTCCCCGAACGTTGGGCAGATCTTGTTGTCGTCTTGCGATGTGATCATTCAAAATTGTGGGAACGTTTACAAAAGCGGTCAGTTGTCGGAGAAGAACACGGTTGCAACGGCTCTGACTGCCATTCAGGAACTATCCACTGAAAAAAATCCAAGAGAACAACGAGGCTGAGATCATGCAAGTTGTTCTCGAAGAAGCCCGATCCTCTTTCCCCCCTGAAATTGTGGTCGAACTGCCAAGCGAGACGATGGATGATCTACAGGCGAATGTTGCGAGAATAGTGGAATGGATTGCAACATGGCGGAAGGAACGCGGGTTTGCTTGAAGCACCAAACGGACATACGGGATCGGCCGCGGCAAGCCACACACATGCGACGTCTACCAAGCGATACCAAGGGTTTCCGGACTGCGGTCGCCACTCTCAGGAGATTCGCGGTCGGGATACTGTCACTTGCAATGCTCGTGTCTGTCAGTCGTGTAGTCACCTTGGATTCAGACACCGTTGTACGCGTCACTGGACGCACCGCTCGTGTTGCTGCGAACTAAGAAGGAGCCTCGCAACAGACGACGGAACGGACAATCGAGACAGCAGATCATGTGATCGTGAATCATACAAGTTATACGACGATTGAGTGAAGAAGGGTCAATGGACACCAGTGTAGATCAGAGGACCCCCAAGCAAACGGACAAGAAAGAAGCAAGGCTGACCAAAAAGCTAAACAAGCTCGGGGCGACAGCATAGCCGGCGTCGGAAGCGTTGACGGGAATGAACCCCGATGTGTCCTGGCTCGTATCTCCACTGACTCGGCTCATTGCAGTGGTGTAAGTCGATGTTTCAGTGAAACTGGAAGATCCTCAATCAGGTGACAACACATATCGAGTGCATGAACGCACGTTTCGACGGAACCCTGGCTGGTCTGAGTTACTGTGGTCAGAGACAGCATTACAACTTGATAAATAAGTCAACATCGATGGCTCTGCGAGCAGGCCGAACTTCCAAATACCTGTCGTTGGGGTAGTGTCTCCGGTCACTGATCGATCTATGGTAAGCGGACCCAGACGGAGCTCTAACGAAAGCATTACCGGTGACAGTTGGGAGCGCCAAAGACCCATCAGAGAGAGTGAGCGTAAGGGTAAACCCTGTACGAGATCAGCCAGGCTTCCAACGCAACAAAAAGGAAACGGTACCAGGAGCAAATGGAGACTGATTGAGCGGGCGCGATGCCTGAGGTGCAGCGAGGAAGGTGTTGAGATTTTGACACGTCCCAGATGGATTGGGATTTTGAATTGGCAGGGGGATGGGCGTGATTGCGAAGACCGATTGCCCCTGAAACGTCGAACTCTCATAGAAAGTGAGCTGAAATGGATATTAGCTGTAGATGATGGGTTCAATGGATTCTCGTGCATTGTAGTTTCCCGAGGGCACACAAGTCGGGACCATCCAATTCAGATGCTTGACGGTGCTTCCTACAGTCTCCGTCAGATGCCGAGCAGAGCCGCTTTTTCCATGCGACCACTAACCACTCTCATTTGTTAAGAAGGTGGGGTCGGATGTCACAGTCAAGTTAAAGTTCGAGTCTTGAGAAGTCAGGTATATTTGGATTGATTCGAAATTGGTGGATTTTCCAGAGCCCGGGGTGCTGGCAGACGGAGGCAGTTGCCCGTCACCGGAAACGTCCACCGCGATGGGCACTGCCGAAACATGAGGTATAATTTGACGATGAGGACTAGACCATACAAGTCGACCCAGCATGTCCAGGGCTTTTACATATCAGTCGATTTCAGACCATTGAAGAACTGGACTCGCCTGTTTGGACTCGGAGCGTCGATTATAAGTAGCCCATCTGTGAATGTTTGTCCATTGATATAGCTCGGAGACGCGTATACTTGAGGAAAAGAGCGGCAGCAAATAGGTATAGAACGGAGGAAGCCAGCACCTCGCGCATGGCACTAGCAGGCGAACGAAAGAGACAGAAGATGTAAAAGGCTTGACATGAGGGGCTCGGTCGCAATTAGCTACTCGGTCGGATCAAAGTCGGCGTATATGTATCTGAACGGCATCGCCACTTCATTGACTCTCGACATCAAACCACATGGCGGTCACCGAAGAGTCAACGAGCAGAAACAAAATTCCGTTTTATGAAGCAAGCACGCAGTTCAAAAATTGGAGATACTCTTCCAAAGGACTGGAAGGTATCCGCTCGTCGCTCAATGCAGCCGCAGTTGCTGTGATTCGCAACACTTTCGAGTCCGATGAGGTACCTTGTTTTGGAGGTGCGGCTCTCATTTGTTCTGAGGGGCAATAGCCAGGATCTTCCGCGGCTGTCTCTTTCCTCGTGCCTGAAGAAGAACTTGTCCTCGTTCGACTATACATATCCAAGATTCCCCAGATATGCGCCTTTTTCCGCTTTCCAGAGGAAGTCGAGGCCACAGCGATTAGCTATTTGAAGCGGTTCTACCTCAAGAACACGGTCATGGATTGGCATCCGAAAAACGTCATGTGTGTACTGCCATTCACTTTCTAGAGGAGCGCGGGTAGACCATACTCAGGCTAACCGCCTTATTTCTGGCGACAAAAACTACGAACAATCCAATACCGCTCGAAGCATTCACCTCGAAGATACCGAAAACTTCACCCTCAGACGTGCTTGATCTGGAATTCCTGGTGGCGCAGAGCTTGGGCTTCGAGTTCGCCGTGTGGCATGCTCATCGGGCGATGTGGGGCATATGGTTAGATCTACAGGCGAGTCGCAGCATGCAAGTCCGCTATTCCAACTCATCGCTTCGCTTGCAGACACTTCCTGATGCTCCCGCTGACCGGGCAACGTCCGAGGAACCAAAATACATCGGAGCGCTGGAACAAATCCGTCTATCCAGGCTATCAGACGCTGAACTCATGTTTACGCCTGCACAGATAGCATTGGCAGCTATGTCGGTAGTTTCTCCCGAACTTGCTTCTGAATGGGTCGCCGTTAAACTCTCGCACGATCCGTCTGCTGCAGATGCGCTGCACGGCGTTCTCGACGCCATTCGAAAACTGATACACGCGGCTTCAGAACCACTAAACGTGGAAACCTTACGAGCTATCGATCTGCGGCTCAAGTTGTGCAAGAATCCGGAGAAGGTCGTGGGTAGCAAAGCATACCTCGCTCGTAAAGCAGAGGATGAGAGAAAAGCGGAGGAAAAACGGATACGGAAAGCTGCAGAGGTGCAACAGGCAATGGACGGCGACGAAGATCCATTTGGGACAGAGTTGGCCGGACGGCTCAGTGTCGACGATGACGACGACGATTAATCAGATATTATAGTGGTCGAACAACATTGCGGGGATTGTAGCATCTAGAGGATCTCGACGAGGAGTGCTATCTTTCCTTCAAGTGGGACGCTTGAGAGAAGTTACCTAGCGCGAAATTGCTTTAGGCTACACATTGACCTCAACAAATCATTGGTCCAATTTGTGAGGCTTCGATAGAGCCGGCTTCAGGCAAGACAAAGAGCGGCGAAATCTTATGACACGTTCCAGAGTTAAAAACCTGGCGCAATTGAGATGGGACGACCAGATGAACGAAGTAGGGCGACGAACAACAATCACAGTCGAAGGGACAGAGGGGGGTGTCTGCGAGAAACTTGTAAGGAAACGAAGGGGAGACAAACGGGACGCTACCTCCACCCTCGTCTTTGATACCAAGCTCATCCTCTTTATAGATCGTCCACCCTTCTTCCGTTTTCCGTTCTGGAAGATGTTAGCGGACGACCGATGAGTTGGGCTGAACGCCGAACTCGGTCCACTTCCTCGAGAATCCGTGAACTTGTTTTCTTCCTCTTTGCCAATCACAGGAGCAGGTGGATACTTGGCTAATTTGATCTTTTTCTGCGCAGGGACGGGACGAGAAGAGGTATCAACAACAGTCTCAGGAGCAGCACGTTTTTTAGACGAGGACGAGCTCTTGGACGCGTTTTCAATTTCGTCCTTGACTGGCTCTTTCACTTTTCCTTTCTTGCTCTTCTTCTTCTTGGGTTGATCAACGGGAGGTGCAGCGGAAGTGGATGCGAGAGGACGTTTGGCAAATATATCGTCGATTTCTGACATGATGGTGCTGGTAAAGCAAAAAAAAGATAAGTCACATGTTGTCACACAGGCCTTTTTATACGGCAGGCACAATATAACGAACCCCGTCGAGCACTGTGAACGCCTTCAGGATACAAAAGTTGTCGTTAGCGGAGATAAAGAGGAGATTGAAGGCGTAAATAGGGAGGGGATTTGGTGATGTTGAGTCTGATCACGACACGAGGGCGTCGAGGATCTCTTTTTCCGTCTGCTCTACAGAACCGCGGAGATTTAAACGGAGAATATCCTTATCCAATAGTGTGAGCGTGAATTGCAGTGCTGGTTCTCTGTGGGCACGATTTCCGACTGTTCTGTCAGACACATCGCGCCACGCGAGCGCGGCATCAGCGTTCCACGATTCGACATCCCAACGTTCGACTATTTTTTTACGCCTCCCCAAGGCCCCTCGTCAAATGAACCCGTTTGATTTCACGCTCAATGCGCAAGCGGCAAAACAGATGTCCGCTATGCTTGCCGTAAATCAAGCAAGGACTCGTGGCAGTTCCCTGAGCGGAACAAGTTCGGGAATTGGATTTGATTCAACCCCAGGTTTGCGTCTCCCATCCGGACCTCAAGCGTCAAGTCGATTCCTGATACTCAGGTGTTTCAGGCACGGGCATGAACGCTACATTCAACGAATCTGGTATGGCCCAGTCAAACGCGGCTGCACGTATGCAATCGGCGGGGCCGGTGGCCAAGCAACGCCAATTCTTGTCGAACCTCGCGCGCCTTATGGTGACTCGCAATACGCCATTGCCACCAAACCTGACCGGCATTGAGACCCCAACCTTCGACTCTAACAACACGGTGTGGAAGTTCTTGGACGTGGTGGACGTCGGAGTCGTGAGGCTAGCGGGAAGGGAAGTGGATATTCCGAGGTTGTGGGGTATCATTGTGCAAGCTGGTGGTGGGCAGAGTGTACGCCTTCTTTTTCTCCGTTCCGGCTCCCCGCGCGTCCTTATCTTGAGGAACTCTAGGTTTCTGAAAAGAACAGCTGGCATCTCGTTCTCCCACATTTCGATCTTCCAGAAGAGTTTCCGTTCCCAAATGGCACGACTTCTGTCGCCCAAATGATGGCGCAGTACTACAAGCTTATACTATTTCCCGTCGAAGATATGTTCCGGGCCAACCTTCAGAACCAGCAGCGCAAAGCGCAAAGCACACGTCAAGCAAGTGGCTCGAATGCACCTGCAAGTGCGACCTCGCCACAAAGGACCGGCCCTCCCCTGGTGTGATCCAGTCTGATGTTCATGTTCTCGTTTATTAAAGCGTTTCAGGACCCTCAGACTGCGGTGCGCCGCCTCTCTTCTGCCAGTCAAGCAAGCACTCCGAATGCCGAGAAGGATCCGAACGGATATGCACCGGATGGAGGGGAACTGGACGCCGGTCCTAAGCGGAAGCACGACTCGGAAGAACCGGATAGCAAACGAGTGAGACAGAAGACTGGTGCGTCTATGGTCGCCGGTCTAGATGCATATTGGCTTACTTTGCGTTCAGAACCAGCGGACACCGTAAGTTAAATGGACGAAAGGCACTAATTCTCTGTGCTGACTGATGTAATAGCCGTTGAACGCAGCTGAAACAGTATCCTCTGCGACCAGCACTGGCTCGAGCATGCCCGCACCAGCGCGACCACGCCAGCGACCTTCGAGGCGCAAGATTGAATACGTTCCTTGGGCGCGAGAAGTTGATACCGTCGGTGGTAGAGACCTCAAAGCTCTCGAAACGGAGAACGCGGCTTTGCAAACGCGACGACCCATTCGAGACATCAACGATTGGGGTACCGTTGCAGTGGACGCTCTCGTGATGTCCATACGGTCAAGAATATCCACGGAACTCTCTTATGCGTTAACGACGTTCACCCTTTTGTCGACAATGCACGGAAGCACTCCCACTTCAGGATTTATGATTGCCCAGTCCACAGAACTACTCGAGGAGATCTTGGATCTTCTGGAAGATCAAGCATTTACGGAGACACCCGACCCAGCACTCGAGGTTTTAGCAGAGCCGACACACCGAGAGCTGGTGAACATGGTGGTGGAAACCGAGAGTGAACCATTTGCATGTCTCGTGGCGAAACAGGGCTCCAAAGACCCCAATATTGGTCCGCGCCAGCGTCCTGGAGCAATCATTCTCACCATCACGAATATCCTGAAGAATCTCTCTTACTTCCCCGACAATGCTACGTTCCTTAGCAGGCAAGAGCGCATGCTGGATCTCATGCTCAGACTGTGTTCTCTTGTCGTCAGACAGGGTCAGTCGCTGCTGCGTCCCCTGTTCTGTCTATTGCCGATGTCGTGACTGTCCGGAAGGACACCTTGTTCACACTGATGCATCTCTCTGCGTCGATTCATTTCACGGAGTCGCCCACCTCCATCGATATGGCAGAGCGCACCTTCCGCGTGCTTTCGTCATTCCTCACTGATCCTATCGATGCCATCTCCCCTTCATCATTCATCCACCTCACAGGACATACCAAACCCGCGCTTCTGGTCGATGTCGCACTCGATACGTTCTCACGCATCGTGCAGTCGGATGGGAACCGAAAGGTCGTTGGCAAAGCTGTGGCTGGCACCAAAGTTCTTCAGCTGTTCTCGAGTCTCGTGCATCGACTGCCGGTAGTCGACGAAGACTTCCTGACTCTGTCCCGGGAGCAGTGGCTCAGCTACATCGAGCGAATAGTCATGCTCATCTACTCTCTTGCTTTTCTGGCATCGCCCGACGTCAAGCGCAGCATCAAAGAGGACCGCACCTTGGCTCTGCAAGGCGTGCTGTTGCGCATGTTGCAAAAGTTTGGGGCCACCGACAACCTGGAATACAGAGGACAACTATTCATCTTTGCACGTCGAGCGACGGAGACTCTCAAACTATTGGATGACTGCGAAGATTCTTTCGATACTTCCGAGACACCAGGAGTTGCTCCGCTTTCCTTCGGGATGGGCTTCGGGGAATCCGGGGATAGTGGAATGGAGAGAGGTACGGGCTGGCTGGGCCCTCATCGCCAAGACACGTGGAAGCTTCTGCAATTGCGCGAAGTCCAGGGAGATGCAGTCATGTTCTCAGAGCTCGAGAGTTTGACTAGGGTTGAATGGGGCTAGTGCATAATCGATTGCGACACATCTCACGTGTGCCGGAGACCCATGCTGTGTACTTACGAGTAGCGATGTATATCATCAATGTGTAACTTGACCGCCTAACCATATGTAATCCATTGGTTCTCTTTTCATCACCACGTCCACACCGTCCACATGGCTGAATTGCCGCCTCCCAACTATTCTCCAGAGGATGAACGCGCTTCAGAAACCAGTTCATTGTCGGACGCGTCCACCGTGGATCCCCAACTGCTGATTATCTCGAGTTCGGATGCAATCAATTTCCAGAAGGGGTACTTGGGTGCCGAGGGGGAGCGCGCTGCCATTGAAGGTGAAATTCAGATGAAAGGCGTTGAATCAGGGCGATGGGCCAAAGTGTGCGTTACTGCGCAAAGGCGAAACTTGGTATCTCAGTATGAACCATAGATCCATCTCACTACGCACTGTGGAAGCCGCAAACACGCGGACGAACGAGCAAATCGAGCTCAGCTTCTCTCAAGTGGTACTTTGGACTGCGAACGACACCGCGATGATGCCCTCTTCATTTCTATTCGCTATCCCGTTGATGGCAGATACTCCGCAATGTCTTAGGACACCATACTCTTCTATCTCCCATACATTAACAGCGACGTTGCATCCATTGGATTCGTCTTTGCCCATATCTAATAGCCTCGACGTTCATACCAGACGCTATACTGCCCATAATCACTCTCTCATTGCCTCTCCCGAAACACATTCTATCGGTTAGGATTAACGTGTTCTAATGCGTCTCCTCATGCTGACTGACCTCATCTCCTGTTTAGACCAGCCCACTCGGATCGAGGTTGAAGTGCCCCGAGTGACCTTCAAGGTTGGCGAGGTGATACCTGTCTACGTTACTATTCCAACTCCAGCTCCGGATCTTGTCGTTGAACGTGGGCTGCGACTGAGGAATGTAACGCTGGAGCTTTCGCGAGAGATTGAACTGAGCAATGGCGGAAGAAGAAGAAGGTTCTTCGTCGGTTGGCACATCCTTTGCTTCTAGCGAATCCTCGTCGAGTTCTCCTCAACCGGAACCTTCCTCGTCCAAAGTTCAGATACCGGCCAGGACGGGTGTCCCGTATACCACCATCTTGGCTCGATCCGGTGCCTCTTGTCGATTCCATTCGTCGCGACCGGTGCAACTGCGCTTTACACTGCATCCGCCGCCGTTTACACTATCAGCGGCGATGGACGGCGAGTACGCTTATGCGGATGCCGATGCAGAGTGCGCATCGATCTCTCAGCGGACCGTGTTACATGCAGTCTCCTTCAAGGCCAATGTGCACGTGTCCTTCGTGGACATCAGCACACGTACGGAACGCATTTCCACGATAACCATTCCAATCGTGATTCTCCCGCCGTCGGCGCCATTACCTCAAGTCGCCCCTTCTGTCGATGCTGCCTACAGCAAAAAACACGATCAGCCTCCGAGTCGGACTGTCCGAGCAGAAGATTCGGATGCTCCCCGGTACCAAGCCGGAGAGGCTGGACCCAGTGCGCCCCCACCTTTCGAAGAAAGAGATGCTCCACCGCCGTTTTTCTTGGCGGACACCGTGGCTTCGTCGTCAAGACTTCCGACCTTCCTGGAATCAGAGTCGGAAATCATCATCCCTTCACAGTCTCAATCGCAGCAAGAGCAAGACCCGGGCCCTGCCCGCATCGAAGGGGAGGGCATTGACTTCGGATTTCCACCGTCGGAGCATTTCGATGGCCACGCGGAAGATTTGGAACGTGCGACAACACCGCCGCCCAGCATGGAGATGGCTAGCCTTGACACAGATGTGACCCAGCTGGCGACCATCCGCGAACCAGAAATGTTGGGTCTTGTCCTCGAGCAACGACACGAATCGCTCGAAGAGCCGCCACCCCCTCCACCCGCGCTGGATGACCCGTCTGACCCGCCGCCGTCGATCTACTCATCTGATTTCCGCTCACCGGATCCCATCCGCGAGACGTCTTCCCGGCCGGCAGCGAGCGAAAGTCACGCACCTCCGCCGTACCTCGTCCCGGTCGTAGAAGAACACGTGACAAGGCCGCCGCCCTACGTCGATTGACCCAAGTCTCCTTGAAGATATATAGATTACAGTAGCAGAAAAAAACAATGTAGGAATACGGGATCCAGAACGCATGTAAGGTCATAATTGGGAATGAAACCAGGAAGAGACATATATACGTGTCTCCTCAGCAGTTGCAGGCATCCTTGGGCTTGGCTGTCTCATCTAAATTGACACCACCCTCTTGCTGGCCCCGGGCGCCTGCTCCGGGACGAGCAGCAGCACCTCGTGTCGCAGCAAGGATGTGCTCGATGGGGATCTTCTTGGCTGTACACATAACGGTAAGAAACACGCTCCAGCCAGCGACATGGTAGCAACGCACCGATCTCAGTGAAGATGTCAACGATTCCCTCTCCGGTCTTGGCACTAGTCTCAAAGAACAGCAAGCCTGCCTCGGAGGCATACGCTTGCGCCTCTTCTCGCGGAACTTGTCGCAGGCTCTCCGGCTCCAGAGATCCGGGTGTCTCTCCAGGTGTCGCGGTAGCGTCATCCGCCTCGTCCTCCGATTCTGTTGTAGAAGGTCCGGACGATGCAGACGAGCCCTGCACAAGATCGACTTTGTTACCGGCAAGCGCGATAACGATGTTGGGGTTGGCCTGTCGCTGCAGTTCCTTCACCCACGACTTGGCTTTCTCGAGACTCGTGGCCTTAGTCACATCATAGACAACGACGGCAGCTTGGGCGTTGCGGTAATACATGGGCTAAAAAGGGTCAGAGATGGTCCTCGGTTTCCGAGAAATCACTTACTGCAAGCGAGTGAAAACGTTCCTGTCCAGCCGTGTCCCAAATCTCATATCGCAGCACACGGTCCTCCAAGCGACATTTTTGCGTCAGAAAAGCAGCGCCAATGGTCGGTTCCTTGTTGGGTTGAAACTCATTCGAGACCTGAATGCGTAGATGAGGTCAGGGAACTTAGAGATAGAATATAAGAGGTGACACGCACAAAACGGAGGACGACCGAAGATTTCCCGACGGCGGCTTCACCTGCGGGATAGAATGAGCACCCAATGTGGTGTTTTTTGAGCTGTGGGGCCGCAATAACGCAAAGCGCAGCCGCAGCGGAGACGTACCCAGTAGGACGAGCTTGACCTGAACGGATTTGTCGGCGGACGCAGAGCCCGATGCAGCAGAGTCGGCCATTAGAATTAAGGGTGTGGTGGAAGAAGGTAAGTATGTGGTGATGGGCGTCGCCTTCAGTCTCCGGTTGTTGTGACGAAATTGGTCAAGCACAGCCTCGAAGTCCTCACACGCTACGCTCAATTGTTATCTACGCACATGTACCACCTGTCTACGGAATTTCAAAGAGCAGCTTCAACTCGTCGCAAGACTTGAAGAGTCCGTCTTCAAGCTCCACGCTTTCAATGCCATTGGGAATGGCGTTCCATGGACAGACAAAGGGGATCGAATCGGCCGATTGTCCATCGGCGTCATTCTGCTGCCTCTTTTGTCGGGTGTTTGCCAGAGCCTCGGGTTGATCACTGAACCAGAAATATTTCATCTGGTAGTTGGGAACCGCCTTCTTGAGGAACGCAAGGTATTTCCCACTTGAATCTCCGTAAGCAGCCATGACGGCGGCGACGTGCGGTGCGAGCTCGGTGACATCCTCGCCCTTAGGGTCTTGCTTCATGACGAAGTCGACTGCGTTCTGGATATTTGCTTGGTACCGTGACTTGGCGCTCCAAAAATCGATGCCTTGCTGGTCGCCCATCTTAGCCAATGCCTGATAAAAGATCAACGACTGATGAATGGACTCAGTCAGTCGTCCACATACAATCATTGCTTCACTAAAGCACCAATCAGCCGATGAATTATTGGCAGCCTGCACTCACAGATTGAAGCAGCGATAATGGAACGGTCGCGTCCTCGCAGCTTCCATCGGTTGTTCCCCGCTGGCAGCTATCTGATTCCGGAATGGACCACTGAAATACTCCTGCAGGTACTGACGGGCCAGCGCGTCGTCGCCTTGCAAGATAGTAACCGCAACGAGCTGAGCATAGTAGAATGAGCCATGATTGCTGTCATTGCCCATGAGTTTCGGTCGGATCGTGCATCAAGTAGACTGACTTGGGTGCCGAACGAGTCTTCTTTCCAATCGCGCTGGTCGTAATCCAAGCTGAGTACGCTTTCATCCAGTCTTGCAGCCCTTGGTCTCGTTCCGTCGTCCAATCAGAGCTGTTTGTCAACTTGAGGATTTTCACAGCGTTGGCGAGTTTCACAAGTCCGCGCAGATCCAGAACACCAGTAAAAGTACCTTGCTTGCCGCTAGGACCAGGTCCGCGAACGATTTGACCGAAAGCCATGTTAGGATTCATCTTCTTGTCTGGATTCAGAAAGAATTCATCAACGAATCGCGCAGCATCTTGAGAGCACACAGGAGTTTTACGAAGAGCAAAGCAGAGAGCGTTGTACCAGACGGATTGAGCACAATCGTTGATAGCGGACGGGCCATGTAATGTTCGCACGTCGGGATTGACTTTGCCATCACGAACGACGTATGGGCATGTCGTCCAGGCTGGAAGACAGGATAAGATGGACAGACTGGAATCAGCTAGCTTACTCACTGGCACTCGGGGCCAAAGACTTGGTAGGGGAAGGTGTGCACGAGGGAGACTTGGACTTGACTGCTGCTTGCTGGGCTGGCACGTCCGTGCCAGCGACGGCGGCGTCGGTTGTTGGTGTGGGAGCAACGGGAAAGGGAAGAGTGGGCAACAGACTGAACAGCTCTTGCTTGTTGATGTCGGCACCAGACACATCAGATGTTGCGCGTCGCTTCTTGACCATCCGAGCAGCTGCAGACTTAATCTCTTCATCACTGTAGTTTTCGTTGTCTCCATCGTCAGCAGGTGGACTTGAGGGATCATTACTTGATGAAGGCACAGGATTGCTGGTATTGGAGCTGCCATTGCTGTCGTGCACGAGATGAACGTTACCACCATGGCTCGGGCACCAATTACAATCAGGCCAGTGGCTGAGCACGAGTTATGTAGGCACAAAGAAGTCGGATATGTGACGTACTAAGGAGCCCAGCTCAGATAATCATGGGCGTCGCCACTTGGCGGACTGACTCCAGTGTTTGTGATAGCTAGGACACAATGAGCAAGGCTGCAGCGCGTAATGCAGAGATGGGTGAATTCACACCATGGGCCCTTTTTGGCGCTTGAGTGAGCGCTCTGTATGATACCATCTTGGGCGTTTCTTGTGGACGGAGAATTCACTCCTGCTTGTTGGGCGATATAGTTTGTATTGACCCAGTCGATAGGATCAAGTGCTGGGACAGTGGTCCGTAAACGTCCGGTCTTCATCTCCGCTACGACTTTACGAACCAAATGCTGGACTGATTAAGCCCACCAAAATGAGGGTCTTGAGGAAGAAAATCGCTTGGGGCGATTGGGACGGAAACGAATGCATCAGATAGAATGATAATTGCGTGTAGTCTGAGTCAAATGAACCAAGCCGGCTCGGTCGTGGTAAAAGGAGGAAGCAAGGAAGTAAGTGTCTGTGATTTACACAATATGCCGTTCTCGTGCCCATCAGGACCCCTATTTGGGTGTTCAATGCACAGGCGTCATCGAGCACGTCGATTACGGCTATCTAATATTACGCGAGAAGCTCTTCATCCAGTGGACACCGACAAACCTTTGCGCAATATTCCTGTCCTGCTTTCGATGCAGGTATCAAGCGAGTGCTCGTGGGAATGGGAGATCGGACCGGCGCCAATCAGGGCATTGGGAATGACAACGGTCAGCTGATTTTGTCATTTTCTCACGCGATACTATATTTGGTTCCGCTCTTGAACCCGTGACAGAACACCGCTTAGGGCTAACACCACCACTATAAATGCGGGACATGCCTGGCAAGATCCTTCACCCTTCTAATCTCTTTCAACTACAGTCTCGTTGGCTGTTCTCTGCCTTTCTCTTCCCTCTCAACCCACTCTAGCGCTTCCTTTGTCATCCATGGCTTCCTTCACCCCTACTCTAGCGAGCATCCCTCCTCCCAACGTTGGCCTCGCCCTACGCCATCCAAAGGGCTTACCTGTTTACTTCCAACCCTTGAATCCTCTCCAATTCGTCCTTCGTGCTGCTCAGATCTACCCGGACAAAGTCGCGATCGTTCATGACGACGGACAGTACCCCGCTCAGTACACCTACTCAGTTTGGTTCGTCTCCCCCTCTGGCCATCATCTATCGCGCTTCAACTTTGTCCCCAGGTGTCAGCGTATCCAAAATCTTGCATACGCCCTGATAAAAGTCGGAGTCAAGCGCGGTGACCGAGTAAGAGTCAAGATTTTCTATCATGCACGATTCTGAGCTCTACTGAAGGTTGCTGTTATCGCTCCTAATACGTGAGTGGATTCGTTAATGGGATTGGCGCGATCTTAACGTGCTTCTCAGTCCTATGATTGCAGGTCAGGCAAACTGACCCGACTGAAATTGACTAGGGCTGACCCAGCCTAGATGCTCATCATGGTGTCCTGGCTGCTCAAGCAGTCCTCTGTAAATCTTTGTCTTGTTTCGATTTTATCTGTCTAATTGACCCAAAGGCGCGGTCAACACCCGGCTCAAGCCCTCGGAAATCGCGTACATTCTTGAGCACAGCGGTGCCAGCCTGATAATGGTCGACTACGAGTTTAGCCATCTCATTCCGGCCGACGTTGGTGTTCCTGTGATTGTTTGCAACGATACTGGCCGTGCTGGGGATCCGTATGAGGATTTCCTCGCCAGCGGGCGTGCCTTCAGTCAAGAGAAGGGTTGGGCTGGCCTTGAGTGGTCGGCGAACGAGAACGACAATGCTCTCCTTTGCTATACGTGCGTTCGAACGTTGGCAATTCCTGTGATGCATACTAAGATGAAACTGGACAGGTCGGGAACCACAGGAAGGGTACGAATCCTCTACTTGTTTCGGTGGTTGACATCTGATGTCTGTCTAGCCCAAGGGCGTGATCACAACTCTCCGGGGCTCATATCTCGCTGCGATTGGCAACGCGTATGAATCGAGGCTGGACGGTGAATCTACTTATCTCTGGTACGAATCCTCGAGCAATTATAATCACCAGAGCTGAATAATGTTTAGGATCTTGCCCATGTTTCATGCTGCGGGTCTGGTCATCTTCCGAATTCCCTCAGTGGATAAGCTGATCTTCATCCAGGCTGGACCTTCCCCTGGGCTAATGTCTTTGCGTTCGCCAAGCAGGTCTGTGTTCAGATCTGTATCAAGCGTCTGTCGCTTACCGTTGGCATTTCAGATCATGCTCCGGGTTGTGGACAACAAGTTGATCTGGAAACACCTCAACAACTCCGGTGTCACCCATTATTGCGGTGAGTCTCGTTGACGATCTGTATCTGTGCTGTGCTCATGCCATTGCTAGGAGCGCCGACTGTCCAGGTACCACAATCTCAAACACTGATCGACCGAACTGCCTAATCCGGCATTGTAGATCGGCATTGTCAACCATCCCGATGCTCGAGCACTCAAGCAGAAGGTCACAGCAATCGTCGCCGGTGAGCAAGCAGCTCACCGAGATCAACTTTGAGCTTCTCTGATATGCGTCTCAGGTGCTGCTCCCACAGCGAATCTGATCGGCGCCATGGAACGAAAGGGCATAACACCGGTCCACGTTTACGGATTGACGCAAGTCTTTCATTTACTTTGTGTTATATGACGTCATTGACATTCTTTCAGTGAGGTATGACATTGTTCTCTGGTATGCGCGGCCACCTGACCGTTGACAGACCGTGAGTCAGTTCTACCTGCACCTGGACCCGCAAACTGAGCACGAGATTATAGTACGGCCCGTTCGCCCGAGGATACGCTCACCCCCACTGGGCGACAGTGTCGATCGATGAGCGATCGAAATTGATGGCTCGCCAGGGCCACAACTTTGCGACTGCTCAAGACTTCCGCGTTGTCCATCAACCGAAAGAGGGCGATACCGAGCTTATAGATGTCCCCAGAGACGGAAAGACAGTAGGCGAGATTGTCACGCGCGGAAACATGTTCGTCCTCTGGGTACTTATCAGCCCGCGCGTCTGACGAGCGATCTCCAGCGTCATGAAGGAGTACTGGAACGATCCCAAGGCTACTGAGAAAGCTTTCCGCGGAGGCGATTTTAATTCGCATTAGCCGATCGCAGTGCACTGAGCTTCACACAGGCAGCTTCAACTCCGGTGACCTAGCAGTGATGCACCCGGACAATACGGTCGCCATCGTCGATCGGTCCAAGGATATTATCATCTCCGGCGGTGAGAACGCATCCAGTCTGGCTATCGAACAGGAGCTGGCGAGCCACCCGGATATCCTGGAAGTCTCCGTCGTCGCGCGTCTGCACGAGAAATGGGGCGAGCGACCGCATGCTTTTGTGACGATCAGGCCCGAGTCGGCCTCGAAATGGAAGGGCCGGTACCCTGCGTTCGAGGTGGATCTGAAGAAGCACTCCAAGTCGCGGCTCCCTGGTTTTGCATGTCCAGAATGGGTGTCTGTCGTGCCTGATCTCCCTGTACGCTATTTTGCTTTTTTCTCTGCTTCCGCGGTGTCTGACTTCTGCAGAAATCGTCGACAGGGAAGATCCTCAAGACGGAGCTCCGACAAATTGTGGCCAAACTGTGATCGATCTCTACTAATCTCTTACATAGACTCTCCTTGATCTGTATTTGCTATATTATTCTTGTTTGATTGTGCACAAAAGATGATAAAATTAACCCAGCAGTAAGTTGGGACCTAGTCGCAATATGCGGAATGATCCAGCATTGCGCTCGCATATATAGATCTCGTCCTCTTTTCGGCCCAAGAAAAGCACTTCGTCTGTCATCTCAACCTCGCTCTCGCCCGCGGAGAACTCAACCCGGCCCGGCGATTTCGCAACAGCCGAGCTCGACTTCTTCCCGGGCAGATGCGTGGAGAAGGCGCTGCCGGCTTTGCGATGGGAGGAAAGAACGGTCGCAGAATTGGTCCCGAGCGCCGAAACAGGCATGCCCATCTTCCACACAAAGGGACCCCGACGGTTGATGTTGGAATAGGGGGGATGGAACTGGGGAAGCGCCGTCCTCGACCCATCGGCAGGGCGGAGGAGTGCATCGCCGAGATCAACAGCCTCCAGACCGCCCTGGCGCATAGCTACCAGCACTGACCGGTCCTTGACATCAAACGCCTCCAACCGCTTGACATCGCCCATCCGTGACGCAAGGTCCCCCGCTTCATCACTCCAGACGAACCGGCCTTTGAGCACTGACCGCCCGCGAGCGTCGACAATAGCTGTGCTGTGACCGCCACGTGTCGAGAAGAACAAGGCTGGCGGCCCGAAATGCCGTGGCTGCGCTAGCAGTGAGATGGGCGACAACAACGGCTTTTCCGAGTCAAGCGACGCCGGTGGTGCGGACGGGGAGATAATGCGGAATGGGTGAGATGGATCGACGCTCTGGAGGCGGAGATCTTTCAGCAGTAGGTAGTCAGTGTCTTCCTCTCGTCGAACCGGCAAGTCCGGCGGAAGTAGGCCATCCTTGTACCATGCTTGCATCAACGAAGCCTTCCAGGGACCTGTCACATAGATCAACGCAAAAACTTGAAACATGGAGAATGAACACACCGTGAATGTTGTTCTTGGGGTCCCGGTAATACCATCGAGACGGTGCCGTGGCTACAGGGACAGGCAATCCAGGCGGTGAAAACTGGATCTGGGCTAAATCACCACTGGCGATGGCCTCTGGTTCGTGCGCGCTCTTGTATTCCAAGAAATCAGGATAGGTGGGAGGGATGATGTAATCATCAGCGATCGAAGCCAGGGGGAACCGGGGAGCAAAATTCAGCTGCTGGAACGTGGTGTAAGGTCCCATCTTCGCATTCGCAACAGTGGTCAGCTCGTCTCCGATTGCGGCTGCTGCTGTTGTGTCATTCCCAGTTTCGCCATTGACCGGATCGGAGTTTGTATCAGCTGCATCAGGATGCTCGCCAGCCACCAGTGTGGGAGTGGCAGGGTGATCAGCAGAATCGCCGTTTGCAGCGTTGCCTGTCGTGGCGACGATCGTGACGTCGACCGTGGTGACGTCGTCCTCGCCTCCAGGTTCGGTTTCTCCGGCCCGAACTTCCCTTGCTCTGCGTCTCGCAGCCCGGCGTTCAGCTCGGCCGATGCGGACTTCCCTGACTCGGACAGTCGCCGGCTCGAGCCCGAATACATTCTGGCCGAACACAAGGAAGACTTCGACGAGGTCATCGCCTTGAAGCTGGAGCTCGAGCAGTCGCGGCGAGTCGGGGAGAATGAACGTGCGAGAAAGCCCCAGTGCGGTTCGGTACGTCCCAGCAAAGAGCTCAACCTTCTCGCCGTTCTCACCGCACAGAATCGCAAGGAAGCTGAGCATGAGTTAGCTGTGTCCTACCTTTGCATATATGGAACGCACCTCTTCTTGGGCGTCTCCACCGACTTGATTGTCAGCGCTCCCTTGGTCCCAGGCAGCTTCACGTACTCCAGCTTCGGCGGTGGCATCGCTGATGAGGTCGGAGTCATGCCACTTCGGCGGACATCCGGGTCAGTAGGCACTGTCAATGCCGGCAGCGGCGGGCGCTCGTCACCCCGCCGACTCTGGAAGGCGTTCGTGAGGATCCGGGGTATGAACCTCGACGATCTTGAGGACGACACCGAGGTCCGCAGTGGGACAACGGGCTGGGCCGACGTTGCCGCTGGCCCGGTAGTAGGCTCCGTGGAGATCAACGCCGCAGGCGACGTCGAGCTGGTCGTGGGTCGGCTCGATGGCGCCGAAGCCGATGCCGACGCCTGCACGGCTGAAACAACCGATTGGCTCGATCGGAATGACCGTGCCCGGGTCATAGAGACACCAGAGGGATTCGATGTCTCCGGTGGGCTCGAGCCAACGAGCAGGGACCATCTCCTCCTGGTTGGGCGCTCAGTCGAACTTGACGGGCCGTGGATGGGCAGCGAGTGCTCAGATGTGATCGGGCTACCTGGCTCGTCGTCTTGCAACATGATCGGCTGCTGAGCTTGCCTGCTCCCAGCGGGCGGCAAATCAGGGATTCGACTTTCCAACAGTGCCTCCGCCAGACTGATCTGTCCGTCGACATCTTCGTCCTCCTCGTCAAGATCACCAAAGAACGGTGTATCTGGATCGGTTTCTAGGCGGCGCGACGGAGAGTTTGACAATGCCTGCCGGAGGGTCAGCAGGGTTGGAGCCGGCGATGGCTCTGACGGGGCGATCTGGGCTCCCGTCGACGGGATGGAAAGAGAAAGATCGAGATTCGCAGGCCGATTCCGCCGTCCTGCTCCACCAGGAACTGGCTGACTCGCAGTTGCGGCGATTTGAGGCTGGACCCCAGCCAGATTAGCCGATAGCCGCGCGCTAGTCCGCTCGTCCAAAGCTTGACTACCACTGGCTCCGGCCGCCACGACATTAATGGCCTCATCGTCACTGGATTCGACCAGTTCCGCTTTGGTGTCCATGTCATGTGGCGGTGTTCTCGCCGCAGCAGCTAACACATTCGTCACTGAACCCGATCGGGACCGAGTTTGAATGGGTGCCACCAGCCGCGAGCCGCCGGCATCCGAATGACTGTAGGGCGGAGGATGGCCCGATGGCTCAGGAGTTGGTGAGGGGGCCAGGCGCGGAGACTTGAACCGTTTGATGGTGGGCGTCCGAGGCACCAAAGGCACGGCAGGAGTCGCAGACGGCGGTGGCGGTAATGGAGGTATTGATGCTTGGGAGGCTTTGCGAGGAAGTTTTCCCCGAGCCGACATTGCCTCGCCGGGCGGGGGCGTCGACAGACTTGTTTTCCTGTTCTTCTCGGTCGAGTCCCGGTGGCCATCCAAGTCCATATGTGCGAACGGCATCTTTTTCACGTCGCGTCGCTGCCGCTCTCGCTCCCGACGTGTTTCAACGTCCATCCGCCATTCAATAGCCTTTTTGACCTCTTCGAGCGCATACACCCGAACACCGTCTCGGCGCCCCGCGATGGCGACAAGGACGCCCCGCTGTTCCATCACGACGACAGATTTGAAGCTCACGCGTCGAACGAGCGCATAGGGCTGGGAAATGGGAGGTGTAACGAGTGGAAGGACATCGAGTCCCTGCGCGTGGCACAATAAAAGATAATGCGGCGCAAGAAAGGTACCGCTCGTAGGAGGGGTACTGAAATGAGAAGGGGAAAGATCTTCGGTTACAACAGAGAGCGACAATCCGAGTTCTCGAAGGGTCGGTGGGGGCAAGCGCGGTGGTGGAGTGCTTGGACGAGTCGGTGGCGGTGAACTGGGACGCGATGGGGTTGTGGGCGTATGCGCGAGGGGAGAAGGTGTAGGCGAAGGCTGTTCACTGCGCGGCGTAGCTCCTCTTTGCACATTTGTAGACGGTGTCTCGCGTCGGTGTATCAAGTTCGTGAAAAAACCTGACAGTCTATTCGGCCGCGTCTGAAAGAGAACGGGGCTGAGACAAGGGAGAGAGAACATTGAATGAACGTACGTCGATAGCAGACCTATGTCGGTTCCTGCGCTCGGATGGTGTCAATTGAGATGACTCGTGAGTCGACCGAGATGGAGACGAGGGCGAGGGAGGTGCGAGTTCGTCATTCTGTAGAGTGGATGCACGGCGGGCGCGCCTCGCTTCAGACTCCACTGTGGTGTCGGTGACGAGGACGGCAGGCATGGATTGCACGCTGGTGGCATCGGAAAGCGGCTCCGTAGCGGAAGTGGACAGGGATGGACCACGCGACGGACTTGGAGCTTCATCTTCTGGAGAAACGATTTTCTCTAGTCCTGTGGGCAAGACATCCGGTGCTGCAGAGACGACCTCCTGGATGGTCTCGTGAACGTCTAGAGCGGAGGTGACGCTAGCAGGCATGGAGGCTACTTCAGTAGCCATCGCCGCATGAAGTGAAAGCCAACGGTCTTCAAATCATTATTTATCAGCCGTAACCGGTGCCCATCTGAATTTCACAATCCGTACATGAAACGCAACCTTGGGGTTTACAGGGCAATCGTACGGGACGTTAATTATCTACACGGCGGCTACAGTCGCCCCAGATCATGTAAATAGGCTCCATATTCGCGCGGGCAACTTGAAGTGCCAACCGCTGATGCCGCCTTATCACTCTACAAAGCATAACGAACGATAGGAAAAGCACTGCAAGGAGAAACAAAATCCAAATGGTCTGAATCGTTCCCAAGGTCAGCTGCAGGGTAAACCGACAGGATCTGACACGGCGAGTTGGTTGTTGGATGGAAGTTTGACCGTGGAGTGCTGCGTCCTGCGCCTGATGCGATCAAGCGCGTCTTGTTAGCTTCAGCCACGACAAAATATGGGTGAGTTGCGTATCATAGCGCTGTGAGCCACGGCTGACTTGAGTAGATTTTCAGGCAGGCTGGAACCAGTTTCATTGCGCCACGAGACTTACCTTTTTCTCCGTAGAACCGTGTGGGCTCAAAATTCGGTGGTGGAGGTGTCGCTGGGGCCAGCGAAAGCAATGTCGATCGCCGTGAACGTCTGCGGAAGCTGGCACTCGAGACTATCGACCTTGCGAAAGACCCTTATATCCTCCGCAACCATCTCGGCTCCCTAGAATGTCGACTGTGTCTGACTCTGCACACCAACGAGGGCTCCTACCTGGCGCACACTCAGGGCAAAAAACACCAAACCAACCTCGCCCGGCGTGCTGCTCGGGATGCCAAAGACACTCAGCTCATGGTTGCACCGACGCAGAACACAGTGGCTCGGAAGGTGTTTCTTAAAATTGGCCGACCGGGGTATCGAGTGACAAAGATTCGAGATGGGGACACGGGCAAGGAGGGCATGATGGTCCAAGTGCATCTGCCCCAGATCAAAGAGGGTGTTTTGCCGAGGCGGAGATTCATGAGCGCTTGGGAGCAGAAACGCGAACCACCGAACAAGGCCTTCCAATATCTCATCGTGAGCAGTCGTCATACGTTCTGCATTTTGCGCTAATGGTCTCGAATCCTGTAGGTCGCTGCAGAGCCGTATGAAACCATTGCGTTCCGAATTCCAGCGCGGGAGATCGAGGATGAGACTGATGATGCTGGGTACTGGAATTGGTCCCACTGGGACCCAGACACCAAGCAATACAGTTTCCAATTCATGTTCCGGCTCACTCATCTCCACTAACTTCCATCTTTGTACTCTATACTGCTGTATTGTAACGACCGACGGGGCTAACGATCCACCATTGTCGACAATATCGTTCTTAGGACCGTTGGAATGTCTGCAGTATTGGCCACACGGAAGCCGCGACCCGGAAGACTGCGTGTGATCCTACAACGAGTTGAGAACAAAAGACGGTATCTAGCGCGGAGAGCGTCACCAGGCAGCTTCGGCACCTTCACCGATGCATATGAGTGCTGCATGGACTTTGGGATCCTTCTTCATGGCGCGAGCAACATCTTCAGGCTTGATCATGTAGCGTTCGAAATTCGCGTCCTGGACTGCGTCAATTCTGAAAAGGACATACTACACGCTGCACCTACTGTGATCGCTATGACGAACCAGTCGTCTGAAAAGCCGCATCAGAGACCAGTTCCAAGCGTCACTAACTTGAACCCACCTGCGTCAAATGTCGCGACTTCTTTGACACCACGTTCAATTGCTTCCACTGGACCCATTTCAGCCCCACCGAGGAAAGAGCAGTCGTCCGAGACGCACCAGTGTAGTCTCCACCGAAAGCATACTGTGGTATCATCTGCATCTTCTCAACGACTTTCCACCTTTCCTTCATGTCGGCTGGCGGCTTGTTCATCTCAACAAGCATGATGTCTGAACCATCTCCGGACTGAAACACATGTTGGTGCCCATGCGAACAAGGTGAGGTCCACTTACATGGCCCCACATCTATGCAGACGTCAGAAAAGTTTCTTGTGTAGAGTAAAAAGACTCGCATCCCAAACATACTTGTCCTTCCTGGACAGTCGGTCGAAGGTCTCCATCAGCATAACCGCGGTCTCGACACTGCGTTGGAGGCGACCGTCGTATTGGAATCGATACCTAGCGATGTTTGCTCCAGTGTGAATTCAAAGGGAGGAGATTCACCCACATCGAGGCGCTGAGATCGAATATAAAGCGGATGCGCTTGGGCTTGATCTGAGGTCCACCGAGTTCAGGTTTCTCCATCCCCCGTCGCTTGTAAACCGTGGCTTCGCCAGTCAGACCTTCCGTGAGACGCGTGTCATCTAATTCTCCGTCAGTCTGTCGTCTAACCCAGATCCGTTCCTCCTCCTTCCTGCGCAGATCTGCCGGTCGTCAGTTCAAGCTATCCTTGTAATAGAAACCGACTGACGCTCGAGCAGATCAAAGAGCGAGACCATGTGAGCCTGAGTCGCTGTGAGGAGCTGGCCATAGCCTGCGGCATCCCCGACACTCATGTCCAACTCCTCCAACCGCCGTTGCAGTTCCTGCCGTGCCATTTCACGGGCCTTTTCACGGATGTGGTCGGGGACCTGCTCCTTGAGCTCATCTGAGACCTGCTTTATGTTGCCACCTTTGTAGAGCCGCTTGTATCCTCCGCGTCCTCCCAGTCCAGCAGTGTCACGCCCGCCCGTTCCGCCGGCCCACTTGTTGCCACCTTGGTGCTCCTCGTTGTCGTGATCTCCTTCCTTGGGTTCGTCTAGATCAGTCTCCTTTGGCTCGAATTTGACGTCCTCAATCTCCTTGGATGCGGCTTCACGTGCGGCAGATAGGCCGAGATGCGCGACAGATAGGCTAAGTGATACGACCAGATAAGATGAGATCAATACGCGTGACACGGGTGACTCACCCATGCTGTTCAAGTATCGCCGCAAGTTGTTCTGTGGTTTCCGGCCGGTACACATCAAAGTCGAATACATTTCTAAGAGTATCTCCCAGAGTATCCTTAGGGAACGCTTGCATGTGTTTCACGATGTTGATGAGCTCTGCATTTGTTCTGTGAGGCGCTGCTCGTCCGTAGGACATGCAACGCACCTCTCAGCGAGTAAGGATAGTTCAGCGCCCCGGAGTCATAACCGACTCGCAAGTCATGAAACGCGCCGACCAAGCGGGAAATCAGGTCCTCGTCCAGTTCGGGCGCAAGCTGAGCCAGCAGAATGCGCTCCGACTGCTGGTCAGGATTCGTCACTGAATGCGCGCTGAATGTTTCCCCCAGGACCTGCAGGAAGTGGTTTCCCAGGAATGCTTGAAAAAATGTGAGACGCTACAAACGAATCGATAGACCAGTGACTCACGATATCCGGGCCGGTTGGCTAAAAGGACCAAGCGGAAGTTCTTATGCACGACTATGTCGGTCGGCTCCCTGCGTTGAGTCCGAACCCTGCGTCCGTCAGACAAGCTGAGCTCGCCCTGCCCGGCAAGGCTTCGGAAGATCGCGACGACGTGCTCAGGTGCTTTGTCTGCTTCGTCAATGACGATGATCCGGCCCAGAGAAATGGCACGAAGCAGCGGAGAGTCGGTGTATTTGAGCACCCCGTTTTCTATAGAGGTGGTGAACAGCAACTGGTTGACAGTCGTGTCCCGGTGCAACTGGATGTATTCTCGGGGTCGGCCGAGCAACTTGATGGTACGCGTGAGCTGAGATCAAGGACAGGCTGGCCAGAATGTCGTACCTGGCACAGTCTATCGACGATCTTGTTCTTCCCCACTCCCTGATTTCCTAGAAGAACGATGTGCTCACCCAGCAGCTCGAGGTCAAGAGCAATATTCCTCATGAGGTCTGTTTGTAGACTGTTGTCGTAGAAATGGTCCATATACGGAACATGCGATCTGACACCGTCCAGATCCTCGGCCACATTAAAGAGCGGGATATCTGTCTGATAGGTTTCTTCTATTGTCGAAGTTGGGGCTGGGAACACTAAAGTATCGCCCTGGACGAACGGGCTTGGGTTGTACTGACTTCCACGTTGAGCCCATGACATTTGATTCGACACAGCAGGTAAACTCACAGTTGGAGGCATGACAAGCAAGCCGACTTCTTCAAAGATCGCGTCGATGTTCATCCGCTCGATGGATGGTAAAAACTCGAGCAACAAGGTTCGACTGAGGATCCCACGTAATTCACTTTCTCCAGCACTCGCAGCAAACCGCTTAGCGATTCGCACAAGAGATCTGGTGCCCAACTTCCGGTTCTTCTGCACACTGTCCTCGGAGAGACTTTCCCGGTAACGTTCGGCAAACTCAAGCATGAGCGCGGCGAGATAGGGAGAACAGCCGGTGGAAAGCAAGACTGCCAGTTCTTCTTCGTGCTCCATCGGTTGAGCTGGAACGGGGAAGAACATGTTTGCGTGTTCAGCAGCCAGCCAATCTTTCAGAGGAAGCGACTTGGATGCGGTCGAGATCACTCTGAATGACGGGTGGGCAACAGACAGTTCATCGGACTTGCTGAGCTGGGCAATTCTTCAGTATCTCATTCACAAATGAGTCCGGTTGTCCGACCTCTTCTTGAGTGGCTTGAGACACGATTCTTTTACCATCCCATAGCTCAACTTGACGGTCTTGGAACAAGCACGAGATGGATCCAGCTGTTGCCCCGATAACATCCAATCCAGAGAGATGGACCAGCTTCCCGGCCCACACAGCTTGGACAAGGCCACTGGCAGCAGTTCAGTCGGTTCAATCGAAATACGAGCGGAAAGACAAACCTAGGCTCCCAGGACGTGGCCCCTCCGTCGAGTATCCTTCTCCGCATCAACAGCTCCCGGCCCCCGAGCTCTTTGTACATGTGTGTCACTTCCATGTGCTGAGAGTATCCGAGTAGTTCTGCAAACGCTCTGACGAGGGTACTGGTGCTCGATGTCGCGGTGGCTGGCGCAGCGGAGGGGATGAGGCTGATGTCCCACCCCAGCGCGTGTGCCTGTAAAAAGCTCGTGAGAAGCCCCACGAACCGCTCAGACGGGGTGAATGCCGTCAGAGCAGAAAACGGGAACTTGAGCATGGGCCCGGGGCCGGCGGGGGCATCGAGTGAACAAGCGGGGAGATGCGCGTGACTGAAAGTGAGGACGGCCGACGATTCGGACGCGCGCCTGATGCTCGAGAGTTTGTAACCGAACAGTCCGGTGCCATCAGACAGCGCAGGACTGCCCAATGGACCCAATCCAGCCTCTTCAGTTTGGCGACTGAGGATAGCCCAGGACTGGAATGGAGCGAAAACGAGCTCCGGATGCAGCGTTACGAATAATCTAGCCAGCTGCGACGGCGAAAGAGACTCCGGCGGGCGAAAGCTCTCCACGAGAGCTCGCAATTTCTGGAGCGCTGTCTGAGGAAACGGCGGCAGCACACTTCTGGACACCGCGGACAACGCGTCACGCGACTCAGACGCGTATTGTGTCGAAAGAATCAGCTCTCGGAGCCGTGACTCCAAGATCGGCGGCACGTCCAATGCTTTGGCTGGCAAGGCCAGGAATGCACCGACGGGATCAATGAAACGAGACTGGAACCGGCTGCGAAAGGGTGGATCCAATGGGTAACCAGGAAACGGTGGAACTGGAGCCGCGATTGCGATGACACGGAAATTCTTGTGGGCAGGAATGAAGATGTTTCCGCTATCGTCTTTGGTGACGTCCAGTTGTGCGTACCGGTGCGGGTGAATGATGTGGGTGCCGTCCTCGAGATTCCTGGAGTCTCTTATCAATAGAGGACATCTAGTATGACCAAGCCCACCCACATTTCACGATTCTCCAACAAGTTATTAAGCAGTGGCATTATTCCGCGTTCTGCTCTCTCTATTCCCTCGAGGATGAGCAGGCGACCGTTCTTCACGGCTCTAACCGCAGGGCTATCCACAAAAACCAGATTTCCTCCAGCCCTGATCTCTCGGCCCTGTTTCAGCTCGGTCTCCCCCACATCTCTGTGCAGGGCAATGAATTCGTACTCAGCATTGATCAAGCTACCAAGCTCTGTCAGCGTTCAGCCTAAGCCATTGAGGAGACCGAACGCACCTCGCAAACGTCAGCGCCAGTCTTCGCGCGTAAGGCCCAGGCTGTGAAACCAAGAAAACATCCTGTCCCAGCAGATACTTCTGCATCATGAAATATAGATTGTTCAAATTGACCGGATCCTTGAAGTCTAGGACATCACGGTTGCGTGTATGCGGCAAACGGCTGGGGTGTGCCGACACTGGGACGGGGAATGTGATGTCTCCAATCGTTAGGTTCCCCTCTACCGCGGTCGGAGCGGCCAAATTCTCCAAGAGGCGTGAGAGGCGGCGGCGGGAGCGTGAAGCCATGCGGAGATAGGTTGTAGGAGACAGTTCCTTGTAGGTCGTCGACAGAAAAGCTATTCAAGTAGATGGGATTTAGGAAACGACGCGCATTATGAACTCCAGAGAGCATTCATGTGCATATGTGGTCGATGCCTGTCCCGGCAATGACACGCGAAGAAGCCGGGCATGTGGCCGAGGCTCGCAGTCAGGAGACATTTGATTGAGATCAGAGGGTGATGGCTGACAAATTATACTCGGCACGTGATCAGTTTCCAATAACCCATGTGATCGCGATCTGGTCGCGCATCATGGGCTGGAGAGACAGCGGTAGTTTGGGTTTCTACGCCGTACCTTTGGGGCTCGAAAATAAAGAGCGCACGAGTGAAAAAGGTGTCGTAACAGAATTTCTTGCGATGTATCATTCCAGACCGTAAGCCACCCAGCTTGTAAGGTATCTCGATCGCCTCGATGTATCTGTCGATTCGGTTCGAACCTTCACCTCCCATGTTAATTCGAAGGTTAATGATACAATCTGCATCTATATCTACGCCTTATCCGGCCGGAAAGGCAATGGGCTGGACCGAGATACTTTCCGAGAGAGACAAGAGCTCCAAGAAGACTCGTCCTCGAATGACAATCCTGCGGTTGTGGACGGCCCGCCCGGATCTGCCTCTCAGCTCTTTTTCGTGCCTCCAGTGGGGCATAGACAGATGTTTGCCACCGATCAGAAGATCCTAGCAGGCATTCAATTGAAAGACGGTTCATGCGAGCCTGGTGTGCGAGATGCTTTGTTCGTGACGCCATTTCGTGGGGAAGTACCGGCTATCAAGTTCTGTTCCGTTCATTCAATATGAAAGCTCACGTATCTTGTGTCAGGTCCACCGATGGTTCGAAACAGACAGGTAGGGGGAGAATTCTACCCGCTTCTCGAGAATGGCTGACACTCACATCCTGGTGCCAGAGAATCGATGTGAACATCAACATCTGGGCAGGTACGACACTCGATAATTCTGCGTTTGACAAAGCACTCATGTGGGTGTCATGGGTGTCATGCACAGGAGAGAGGACTTGCAGTCCAGGAATGGTACCAACCTCCACCAGAGCTCATCGCACACACCCCATGGATGTGGATAACCGAGTCTGGGATGCACCAGAATTGCATGAGATTTGTAGCACAGCAAGATCGTCAAGAAACATGAGAATGCCAAGTAGAAGTACAATTGAATTCTGAATCTTCATTCAGCGAGGAGTTCCGATGCTGTGCTTGGGAATCCTTTGGGAGCTTTGATTGCCAAATCCGCTTGCTGTCTAATGACCGCAAGTTCAGTATAGCTGCATTTACATTTCAAAAAGAGTACGGACAATCGCATCCGCAATAGAATTTTACGATTGGTAGCCTGTATGTCGCGGCCGGCTTTGATGGCTCGGGCGAACAGATCCGCCCGATAATCCGTTTGTTTAGCAAAGAGGACCTGCTGACATCAGCAAATCGAGGACTGAGATGTTGCAAGACAAGACCTTGTTCTGCCGGTCAACACGCCCTTGGATGGACCCAGACTGGATGAGCAACACCACCTGCTCTTCGACTTCCTCCACTGTCCATCCAAATGCTCCACTCATACGATCCAGTCGAATGGATGCAAACGGTTGGAAGTACAGCACCACCGCCCAATTCCGGATCATGTTGCTCAGATCAGCGATGTGGGGCATGAGATATAGGTCCAGTGCATGGCGGGCCTGGCTCAGGTCATCAAATTTGTGAGGAAGATCAGATTTGTTTCAACGCACAGAATACCGGTTCAAGAGCTCTAATACGGTCTTGAAGTTGCTGCTGAGATATGCCTCGACCAATTCGCGAACGTATGGCTCTTGTTCAATATAAACCCCGAATGTCGAGTTCTCTAATATCTGTGACTTGAGAGCGGAGCGAGGCAGTGTCGCCAGTGCACAGAGTACACCATAGATAGCAATGTCTCCAGGAGCGACCAGCTGCACCAAATGTCGGTACACGATCAAGATCAGTGGCTGGGCACGCACCTTGCCCATCCAATCACCAAAATCCTTAGCCGGCCCTAGTTTCACAAAGAGATGAGCTGCTTTCTGGTAGTTTGAGGTCGCAAGATGGGAGAGCGCAGATGCGAAGTCAAGTTTGGACTGGACCCGTTCCCGTTCCTCCGACACCGGCTTGCGCTTCACGTTGAGCAGCGTTTGTGGTCCGGATGATGGTGCTGGAGCAGGATCTCCGTCCCTGTTGGCCGCGGCTGCAGATGCCGCGTCGAGCGCAGCGTCGGCTTTAAACACGTACGTCGGCAGATGCGACCAGTTCCGCTGTTCGATCAGAAGCTGTGCAGTTGTCAACATGCGATTCATAGAAGAGTCCATGGTTAAAGACCTCGAGGACCGAGAGACACATCTCGAGAACATGCTGACTCGTTGTGCAAAATTCACGAGATTTGGTGTAATGCTTCAACGCTGTTGGGTATTCGCCTACAGAGCGATAAAAGTCCCCCAGATCGCGATGTCCCATCTGAGAGAGCATTAAGTCCGACAGAAGCAGGGGGGAAATACCGCGTACTCGGATGCTTTCTTTGATCATATTGTTCGTGTAAGTCTTCAACTCCACTTCGAGCTTGGACCTCTCGGCCGAGTTCTTTGCGATTGTTTCATCAGCCCATTTGGTGTCCAGGGTTGCGATGTCAGAAGCCGCGGGTAGCGATGAGGCACCGGGAATGGACGCGACTTGCTCGTAGACGCTAAGCACGCGCGAATACTGTGAGGTATCACGCGATTGGTGGATGTGCTGAACCGCAAGTGCGAACGCTTCTGGCGCAAGCGATGGACAACACGAGATTATATGCAAAAGTCTGTCGATCACAGTTCGCCCTAGATTTGGCCGGCTGAGTACGGAAGGATACATAAGCAGGGTGGTATTCACCGGTGTAGTTTGAGATGTATGATTCGACATCAAACGGATGCGCTTCATCGACGACGACAATACGAGCGCTATGTGTTGCTTGGGAGCTTCCCTGAACGGTTTCCTCGGGAATATCGACTTCCATTGTAGGTGGTGGGCCGCGTTGAGGGCACTCAATGCTAGTCAATCTTATGTCATCCATCATGATCTTGATCACATGGATCGGAAGTGCTCATGCACAATGCCACCTTGTGAAGCACCACAACCATGACCAGTGGACGCGTAAAACATCGTTCAACCTCATCTACGACGTCCAGGAAAGCCAAATCTCCAGGTGATTCCTGGCGGATGGCCACCAAGCGGCAATTCGGTTTCCTCGGTCCAGAATTACCCTTCCCTCAGAAATGGGATCTGGAGACATGGCGCAAGGGAAAGCGGAGACGTAGCAACACTCCGGTGAGAATCCTCTCGTCAGTGTAACTCTCTATTCTGATCGGATCCCGCAGTCATCAGAGTCTGAGCCTATGGACGTCGACTTCGGGCCACCATTCCATCCATCCAACTCGACTCCAACTCCCACTCCAACTCCCGCTTTTGCTGCCACTTCTGCGGAATTCAATTTCATCTCAAAGTCCAGTCGGAAACCAGAGCGAAGCCTGCGCTCCACACAACCCCTCAATTCGCCGTCGGATCTCGCTCTGATGCGTTCTAATGCATTCTGCCAGTTACGTAGGAGCGTGCGAGAAAGCGGCGAGGGATTCGTGAAAGGGATGCGGGTGTATGAACGGAGGCGGTCTCAATCAGTTGCAACCGGCAAAGCCAAAAGCCCCCCACGGCGCGTGTGGACACCTCGACCGATTGTTGATTCAGCAATGGAAGCCGCGACTTATTCGGAAGAAGACGACGACGACGACGGTGACAACGATGACGGTGACGACGACGACGTCCAGATCTTCGCGGGAGAAACTTTGGCTACTGGCTTTCTGTCCCGTGCCAGAACACCATCGTCCTCCGGCAAAATTCGGCATCCAAGTCAACGATCTCCTTCGACGTCCGGCTCATCGGCCAATCTTTCTGACGATGACGCTTTCCGCATAAAAACCGAACAACTTGCTGCACCGTGCTTGTCCGCACCTTCCCTTTCGTTGGCACCCGTGGGCGCGTCGTCTTCGATTGAGATCACGACACGAACTGAGAAAGCGATTGCGGCGCTCAGTCTGGCGATGGCCAGTGGCGCCGGCGGATTGGATGACTATGAAGCGTTCAGGTCAATCCAATCTCGTTCTCCTGTGCATTCAGAGATCGGGGAAATGTGGCACTAGCATCTCACACCTAAAGGACACGATATTGGAGAACTATCGGGATTTGGTCTCGACCAGCGCATACAAAACACCAATGTAAATATATAACTCATCATTCTACCATTGTAATCGCATAAACGTCGGGAGCTCCGACTTGGTTGGAAGTTTGTCTGGTCTATTGTCTGTCTCAGGATATGCATCACATGCAGTTCAAGATCGAGACATGCGCTTACGTAAGCCAACTCACTCGCTCTCTCCCTCTCAGTATATCTGTGCGCCTATCTCTGCGACGGTCCCATGACCAAACGTCGGGGCGAAGCAATACTACGCCCAGCAAAACATCCCCGTCTAGCTATGCTGGCTTCGGATGGCGAAAAAGCTAGTCCCGGTGGAAGCAGTGCATCCAGCGAAAGGCTTCGCAAACGCTGGGTGGCTCATTTCAGGGCAGGGGTGACCAGTAGCTGGTCATGGGTTCAGGAAACCGCTGAGCTCGTCAGAGAAACTATCTTGACTGCCTGTGCGCTGGTTTCTTTTCGCTCCATTCCTGGCACCAATCGCTCCCCAGCTTCTTCATCTCCATCCACAGATGCGACCGGTCCCGACGATCCTGAGCCCTCAGAAACGGCTGATCACGTCGAACTACCAACTTCGCCTGCGTTACCAACACCGCCTTCTTCACCTACGTTTGCACGGGACGATTCGAGAGAGCGAACAGATCTTCCCAACGTTTCGCCTGCTCTGTCTCAGATCTCCTCATTGGAGCTTGTGCATCATACGGAACCGCGTACACCCCGAAAAAAGAATTCACATCAAACTCAGACGTCGAAGCAGATCTCTTCCACTGTCATTCATTCTACACCACGCGCTCCCGGCAGCTCACGGGTGCCGTGGCCTTCCACGTCGAATTCGCAAACACCCAACTCGGAGATTGAGAGCGAGGCGAATCGGCACGAAGACACGGTCCGTCGGCGACATAAACATGCAACTCGAAACCACATCTTTCATAAGAAGGTGCGTTTCTGTCCAACCCATCTTCTTCTCCGGAATTCACGATTTGTAGCATAAGATGCACGTGCAAGCCAATATAGCTGGTCAGCGCGAGAACCTTCTGAGAGAGCTGTATGCCATCAACCAGAAAGATGGTAAGCTGCCGATGACAGTCCTTCGTGGCCTTTTTGAAGCTCAACCGTACACAGGTTACAGCTCAGATTTCAAGACTTTTAAAGGTAGAATCAGAATTCCCAATTCAAACCAAGTCATTGAAATGGATTGCTTCGATCAGGGTTTGTGAAGAAACAGGCTATGCTGCAAAACTTGATGCGTTCCCGTGAGTGCACGAATCACCGAAGCTTATCGAGATCCAACTCTAGCTTGCTAGGTTCGGCTTCACTCAATGATGTTACTCGGATATCCAAAGATGTAAGGACAAGTCATACCCATGAGCCGTTGAACTTATTCCAGTATTCCAGGAAGAGACTCAATTCCTGCGACGAGCGCTTGAAAAAGCTCAGGCTACATTGAATGGGTGCGGTGTTAGTCGAAGCTCCACTGCCTTTCTGATCCTCGACAGACCCAAACCCTTGAAGCCACAAACTCCGTATATTACCGAGTTGCAGTTCCGTTTCAGGTCAAAAGACACCGAAGTTGATCAGAGACTGCGGCGCTCACCGCTACCATCCACTCTGCCTCCTGCAGATGATGCCGGAGTCACACAAATTTTGAAGCGTTCTGGTGTCGTCTCAAAGTATGCCAGAGAGCAAGTCACAAGAGATGATATCGCACGGCTACTGCCGAGCACTTGGCTAAACGATGAAGTCATCAACTTCTATGGGGCTCTGATCTTGGGACGCTCGGAAGGCCGCAAAGAGAACGCCCCAGCGAAACCTGCCCCATACTCTGACATTCTGAACGTGCACTATTTCAGTACGTTCTTCTGGAGTAAGCTTGAGAAAGATGGTTACGAGAAGAGCCGGCTCGCGAAGTGGACTAAAAAGGTGAGTAGGCCACCCCGTTTCACAAGGTGTGACTGGACTAAGCGACATCTAGATCGACATATTTTCCAAAGACTCCATTCTCATACCCGTGAATCACGCAAACGTGCATTGGACTGCTGCCGCGATCAACTTCCGACAGAAGAGAATCGAGTCGTTTGACAGCATGCGTGAAGAACGAAAACGTGTTCACAAGGTAAGGAATTCGTCTGCGGCCTAGGAGCACGTCTCAAGTGCCACAGCTCCTCCGAATATATCTGGATCAGGAACATAGGAACAAAAAGAATGCACCATTTGATTTTACCGGCTGGGTCGATTATTCTCTGCCGGTAGGTCACACACTCCAGGCAAGAACACGAGCTGACCTTTGAGCGTGCAAGGATGTACCTCGTCAAGAGAATGGCTTTGATTGTGGGGTATTCACATGCCAATTCCTCGAATCATTGTCCAGGGGCGAGCAGAGCTTCAACTTTGCTCAAAAGGACATTCCCTATTTGCGGAGGCGGATGATTTGGGAGATTGGGAACGCCACCCTCCGTGAAGAGCATTGATTACATCCATCGCTGTATAATCCATTGTTGTTACCGTCGGAACCACCACACTACTAGGAAAAACCAAATACTAGCACGAGAAACACAATATACCACAACCAGCGACAGCCTTGACGCGCAGCCATGTTGTTCATTCGCCTGAACGTACCGCTCAAGATACCGCCGGTTTCTGCGAATGCGTCGTTCTGTGGACACGTGAGATTCCGACCCAACTGCGCGCACACGACTCGCACCATTTCGCTTAGTTGCTTTGTCGATTCGCGGACTTCGTTCCCAATGCCAATGGTAATCTAACACAAGTTGGATTCGATGCGGGTAGCAAGCAGGCAAGAACACAGTAACAACTCACGTACATCCTTCAACAATTTCACTTTTGCACTCAGACCGTCCAAGGCCTCATCATTTTGACCTTCTAGGTCTTCTGCGAAACGATGGCCGCTGGGTTCGTAGTGGTTCATGGGAGTGTTCCGGCCAGATATTGGCGGTGTCCGCAGAGTTGGGGCCCTCCTATCCGAGGCTTAAGCAACGCGCGCGTTCGCAAACGAACACGAGACTCGCCTTTGAGCCATGGTTGCGGTGAGGAGGCAGGATTGATGGATTGACACAGCACACCCACGTCATCCAGAACACGTCGGTCTCATCTCGTTCTCCTCTCTCGCCTGTGGACGCGTTGCACCATCTCATTGGCCTGCATTCACGTCGAGATCATGTCTCATCATCTTTTTTTGCTCTCTCCGTCAGACACTCCTCTGTACAGCCTGACGCATTATTCGTCTAAACCTATCTCCAATGTCGCCTCTCCACTAGCATCGAATCTGCCCAATTGGTCGACATCAGCTTTCGCGGGAACCCTGACTGCGTTATCCGGCGCGTCTAGCTCAGTTCATCAGAGCTCTGGTGGTGCAGTACGAATGGGGGGAGGTCAGCAGGTCGACCCTCTCTCTAACATGCGTTAACACTATCGCGCAGGACAAGATCGTCACGTCATTCAAATGATTGCGAACGCTAGCTTGGACGTTGTTGAAGATCTCATGAAGACCCAGAGCGCCATGTACGAATATAGCAACTGAGGCGAGATCACCTATACTGATCATTAGGTTTCTGAAGTCGATCGACAAGTTCAATGACTGGACGGTCTCTGCATTCATTACCCCCGGCAGTACGTGCCTCTGTTGTCCACTTGGGTGATAAATGACTTCAAGAGCCAGACATGAAATTTATTCTTCTACACGAAGCCAAGAATGACGATGGAATCAAAGCTTTCTTTACAGACGTTTGGGAGCTCTATGTGAAGGTATGCATGGATTTAATTTGCAGAACTGCTATCCTGACAGTGGTCTCTCAGACGATGCTAAACCCGTTCCACACCGCTCACACTACTATAAGAAGCAGCGTTTTCGACACTCGTGTGAGAGCAAGCGCAAAGAAGTACTTGTGAAACAGACTGTTATGACATACGGCTTGAAGTCGACAGCCCGCAGGCCGGACTGTTCGATCGAGACATTTCCATCTGCATCTACTGATGTTCGCCCTGAAATGTTCTATGTCTGTTATCCAGATTCATCAATGGGAAGACATCAGCGGATTGACCAACGCATGTTTCTTGTACAGAGTCGCATCGACCAGCTTATACCAAGAGCGTTGAACTCTAGTAGATACAGGTCCTTGCCTCTGTGGAAGTGATCTCGGATCTCCAATTATAACGATTCACATGTTATCAATTAAGCTGTGAGGCATTGATTCCGGTCACTACGGTCCCGTCATCACAAGCTACAACTCTCCTCTGCTCTCCCTCCTTCGGTTTTCTCACTTTTTTCTTCTGCGTTTTTCTGTAATCGCCTCAATCCTTCTTTCAACTTCATTTCACCTTCCCAATCTTCCTTGCCCGGTCCCAATGTCCACTCATACTTCAGCTTCCAACCGTGCTTCCCTGCTCGCTGGCCTTCGCACTGGGGGTGTGCGCTCCAATTTCCCTCAGACCGCAGCTCCCGGTGCCTCTTTCAATATTCCCCGCCTCTCTGTCAGTCAGCACTCTGTATACCCGGAGGAAGGAGAGGGACAGATGTTGTTCGTCAATCAGGCAGCTAGCCAACGCGCGATGCCGATGACAGCCGCCGTCGATGGGGCAAGCAACCGATTCCTGCAACAGCAGAATCATGGTGCCTTTTCCCCCGCTTTTGGGGGTCAGGCCAACCAGGCTCAGGCGCAGGCTCTGCAGATGCAGTTGATGCAGATGGAGATTCTCAGGATGCAGGTAGCTCAACTCCATCTATAGTCTTGCCTCATTTTTATCTCTCTCGTAGGCTCTCCAGGCCCAGCAGTACCAAGCCCAGTTCCTGGCTCAGAGCCAGACGCAAAGGCGCCCGAATTTTAACCCTCCCGCGACAGCCGGTCCGACTGGCTCATTCAACATTCACCCCCAAACTTCCAATGCTCCAGCCATGAGAACCTTGCGTCCTCAAGAGGAGGGTCAGGTGCCTATGACTGCTGCTCTCGGGGGAAAATTCGGAGCGCGCGCGATTCCCCCGATGGGTCGTTTCTCGACCGAGGAGTACAACGAGCAGCTGCCTGTACCTCCTACGCCGGGTACCGGGGTCATCAGCGGAGGAACCGCGTTGGGTGTCGCCACCCCAGTTGTCCCCAAATCGGAGACTGCTTCCAGCTGGAGACGTAACGGAACCAATAATTCGGTTCTCCGCACTGGGAACCGTCCGAACTTCATTAAGAGTTCTTCCCCGCCCCGCCTTTCGCCTCCGGCTCTGGGAAAGACTCGTCCGCTGCCGCTGCAGATCAACAGCGAGTCCGTGCATCCTGTGCCTGCGGTCGCTGTTGATGGATCGGAAGGCGAAAATGATGATGGTTACTCGACCAGTTCCTCGGAATCTGTTGCATCGAACTCCCCGCCGACTACTCCCCGCTCTTCTTCTTCGGACATGCTGAGCGTCTCGCCCCCCAAGCAGGGCAAAGTCCTCATCGCCGAGCTCGGTCTCGGATCTGGGGCGCCCAAGATTGTCGGGCAGAGACAGGTGAGCCAGCCTACCAGACAGCCTCGCGGGCCGCCTTCCGGTGCGGACGAATTGGGGCCGCGCAACTTTGCCGGTCGTGTGGCCGTGCGAGTGGTTGTCGTTTGAAGCTAATCTGAGTGGCGGAGAACTACTTTTTTATGCTCGGCTGGTCGAGACTGTATATGCGATGTGATACAGGTTCTTGGGTAGCCTGCTGGACTTTTGGTTTTTTATAATTGATATCGCCAGACATCTCTCCTTACATCTCTCTCGTGTACTATGCACCTAGCTGCAAAGAAATCGAATTGACCAATGTCAGATGTTGGTAGTACAAGTGTAAGGTAACTAAATTTAGGCAAGGTCCGACCCACGGTTTACAGTCTATGTACACTGTGCGTCTATGTACATAAGGCTAATCGATGCTCATTCGGTTGAGGTTGGTGCTGGCTGCCCGGCGGTGATGCTGAGACCCGTTGCCCGCACTATTTCTGGACACTGCAGATACTTTGAGTTGCGTAGACACGAGGAAGGCGGCATGGAAACGTACGAGCATCTTTGAGACCTCGCCCAAAGTTACCCAGCACGATTATCGAGCACGCGAATGTTAGGAAGAGCAGAATGATAGCAATGATCGCTGCATCAAAGCTTAAGTCGAGGACGGGTGCACTCGGATGCGGCGCCACTCACAAAAGACAGCTAGAGTCTTCCACACGAGAATAAAATCTGGGGTTTGTCTGAACCGCAGCACTTTGACCAGCTGTGCGTGTGGATGCCATTGAGTCTCCTGACCAGGAACGGCTGCGAGCCCATACCTTGTACAAGAAGTAGATCATAGCCCCAACACAGCCAGAGAGGAAAGTATACATCATCGGCTTGTTCTCGTGTCGCGCCGCGAGGTGCCCTTCAATCAACAGGACGACTGATAGAGGCAGTGCAGCGCAAGTAATGTAAAACTCCCAGTCGTGATCGAGGAGCACCAGCCAGATGAACTGCACGGAGAACCCAGCCCAGAAAAATACGTCAAACTTGACCAGGCATTCGTAGATCTGGTAGTTTGCGTAGTATCTCTTGATTCGCCGGTCTGCGCCTAGGAACTTGTATACGCTCCAACCAAACTCGTTGTAGATCTTCCAACCGAGCGCGATGTACGCAATTTCGGCCACACCGATGACGCAGGGAATGATGGTTGTTAGGACGTTGATTGGTATAATGGAGGAGGAAACTGTGTTCAATTGCCGGATTTCGCCAATTTGGATCACAGCGTAAACGAGGAAGAGCGCGTTGAAAATGCTGTTGGGCGCGATTGAACAATGGGGAATAGGGGGCATAAATAGACCACACACGTCAGAGCAATGAACTGCAGCGTATTTCGTGCATAGACCGCGTCAACTGCCATCACAAACTGAAAGACACTGCACCCAGGTCAGCGATCGGTAAAAAAGATCAAGACGCTAAAGCCTACTGGGCTAGGGCGAAGATACCCAGATAGACGGGCATTTTGTGCGCCGCTTGAGCGCCCTGAGTACCGGTGTCCAAGTTCTTATTGATCTGCATTAGTAATTCGCCTTCTATAGCGAGATCCACAGTCGTCTCAATAAGAACGGTCAGGACATAGAGTCGGCAAGCGATGGAATCGGGCAAAATCTGGCACCGACTTGAGCTGAGAACTGTATAGAGAAGATTCTATGCGCACCTTTTCCCAGAATCCCGACCCATCGCTCTCTTTAGGTGGAGGTGGAGGCGGATAAGCGACAGGCGTGAGGTCGTGCGAGGTATCATCAGAACCCTTTGAGTCAAAATGCGGTTTGCGGAGGGGATAGGAGGGTTCTCGACGGTGTTCGAGCGCGAATGTTTGGTGTCTGGGTGACGGGACGTAAGGAGAGGAGGGAGGGTCGTCGTCCAATGTGGCTTTCCAGTCTTGCGAGCTGAAGGACGACGCCATGGTTCAAAAGGAATGTGGGCGGACAGTACGGTCGTCCTGCGAATGACACTGTCGTTCGGGCTTAGGCAGAAAAACCTTGGAGCCTGGTGGTTGTGTGGGACGGAGCCTGAGGGACGGAGGGAATCCACACGACGTGATGGGACAGCCGTTTTAGGATACGTCGATCACCGATCAGGACTTGCCCAATGCCGAGTTGTGCCAAGTGTCTTAAGATAGAAACTGGCGTGAAGCGTAAATTGGAATGAGCGCAACGTTCGGATAGCTCTGGGTAGGAGGTACAAATGCTACAGACGAGTTACACACTGTGACTACTATGCAGTGTCTCCACTTGAGGTCGGGCCAAGTCCAGATACTTTGGGCTTCAACAAGTTGCCTCGTTACCGTTGATATCTTTGATATTCCTTGATCCGCTCCGCAGCCTCCGTCTATACTTGGCCTAGAGGCTCTGCAACTCTTTGAACTGGTCTAACAACGAATTCGGTCCTGAGGGGTAAGTTTATATTCCCGTTTCAGCCTCAATGGTACACCACTCACCTGCGATGCCCAGGACAGTGGTGGAGCCCGCAGCGATCTGTGTTCGTCCACTAGTGCGTTTGAGCACAGGCTCAATGCGTGTGATACATATTCCGGACTCACGCGTCCTGAATGGTGCGAGTGCAGAGGTTGAGGCTCTGAGCCTGTGCCTGGAGCAGCAGCAACTCGTCTTCACTAGCACATCGGACGACCGCTTTTGGATAAGCATCCTGAGCCCAAGCGCGAAGCAGCTGCGGAGCATTAGCCGACCGCGCGCGAACCACGAGACGCCAAGTCTTACCAGCGGGCTCTTGGATGCAAGGGTCTTGTAGCAAGCCAGGGTAGCGTGCCTAGTTCGAGAAGCTGAAGGCGATTGCGGAGGAAAGAAAACGCGTCTCTCACGAGCATCTAGGGGATGTTCTGGTCCCCAAACAGCCAGCGAAGGCGCGTCCACTTACTGAGCTGCAATTTTCCCTGTGCTCATCCCTAGATCGGTCCGGACAACCAAGACCAACGCGCAATCTTGGGGGGTCAACTTTGAAAGATCTGTTTGCTCTTCCTCGTCCGAATCAGAGTCATCTCGATCCTTTTCTTCGACGACCTCCCTGAGTGTTTCAGGTGCAGCGGTCGGTTTACTGAGGACGAAACCCAGAGAAAGGGACGCGGCGGAAACACAGAGATACACAGTGGCGGTCGCAACCAGAGACATCATCATGGCTTTCTCGGCCGATGGTCCGAGGTTACATCGGAGTTGGTTACGAACACCTGACTTGACCCCAGCTTCCATAAGCGTCTCCCCAAGCTCTCAAATGAAGGTTGTTATTAAGTATCCAGGATCCGTCCGTTATGCCGACTAGCCTCGCCGGATAAAACGACTACATCGTGTGGCCGGTTGGAATCACAGACTTGACACGTTTCGACATGCAATGCGCGGAAGCGACAAGCGGGAAGAACACGGGGCTTAGAACTGGTTGCGAGTCGAGCGCTTAGGCTATCGCCGGCCGGAAGGACACCAATCTCGCGATAGTGTCTACTGTCGAACTTCGTCCTCGTTCCCGTTTACCAGCAACCCGATCATCAGAGCTGTTGATTGCCTTTGGTTGTTCCCACCTGTCCTCCGCTGCTGCCAGCCTGGTATATAAAGCCTGACGCACTTGGATTCGAGCAAGGTACTCGACCAGAAATGAGTCTCCAATCCACCATGGTTGATATCTGCCAGAGCTCTTCTCTGCGAGGACGCCGCCGAAGCTCTATCCGTCCTCAAAATCTACTCCCTCTGCTCTTCACCGGGCCAGTCCCTCTGCAAGATGAAAGCGCTATCGAAGACGAGCAGCCTAGATGTGAAAAGGCGGATGCTGCTTCTACTCTCATCTCTCCCATCTCGACTGCGCACGTCTCTGGTCACTGCTCTAGCTTTGTCACGACCCGACACCATGATTCTGTGCCCACGACCCCTTCGCCGGCGACTTTGGTGGGGACGCTGTCCAGTACAGGCGACGAATCTTACTTCGGCATCAAAGAGAGCAGTTCAGCAGACGCCCGCGTCAAGTGGCGCTTGGCAAGTGCATTGCTGCTTTTCTTTCTCAACGGCTGGGGCGACGGAGGTACGTAATGTCGAGCAGCCGGCCGCGTACCGCGTCTGACCCTGAGCGGCTCAGTGACTGGTGCTGCTTTACCGTGTGCGGGGTTCCTCGTCACTTCGATGCCTTTCTTACGTTCCAGGACAGATTTTGTTGCCGAATTCCATCTCAGTTATATGGTCTCGTCACTTCTATTTGTGGCGACGACCTGCGGGTAAGATCAGCTTCGTGGTCTGGTCAAAACACTGAACCGGTGGCCGAAGCTTCACAACAGGAATTCTTGTCGTCTCGCGAATTCTTCAATTTCTGTCACGTTTCTATCTAGCCGAACAGCATCTGGCTGTCTTTCCTACAGCACCTTTTAGAATCGCAATCAGCCGTGCCTCGACTCGCGCCGTCGGCTCATCACTATCTCAAGGGCGCTACATCATTCTGATACTTGCCAGTCTGGGCTCGCCGATAATGTTTATCCTGATGGGGTCTGCGAAAGGATTCCCGACTATGTTTGCGGCTTATGTCATACTGTCCTTCAACCGGGCCTTGCTGACGGGTTAGTTCCCCTACCAATTCTCGCTGTGTCTTTGCGCTCATCCTGGTGTGCAGCTCCCCTGTGCGTTTTCCTTCGCGTGTTGGTCGATCATTGCCCGCCAACGACATTGCAGAAACATCTTTCTTTCTTCGCTTCCCAGCAAACCACTGGGATACGCGTATGGCATCTGGGGATTCGGCGCTGTCGTTTCTCCGCTGGTGCTGCAAGTAACCACGGCGTCAGGTCCGTTCGTTGTCTGTCACGCGCTCCAGCCAGATTTTATCATCTGCTCTAGGCCTCCCCTGGCGGCAGTTCTATTTCTGCTCCACCATCTTATCCGCAACGTCGCTTCTCTTTCTCGGCGTTACCTTTCGCCCAACGCAACGGGAATTCGATCAGGAGCGGCGGAGTGCACTGTCTCGCTCGGATGGACCGACGTTGCAGAGCAGCACTTCCCAGCCGAGCGGCGGCAGTAGTCAGCAGTGTCTCTCTTGTCTCTCTTGTTGTCTGGCTCTGATCAAGCGCAGCTCTCAAGCGTCTGTCCAAGATCCCCTTCCAATGGGCTATTTCTCTGTTCGTTCTTCTCTACAGTGGCAGGTGAGTGTGCGTCTTTCGGAGACATGAACGAATTGAAAGTCGGGATAGCGAAACTACGCTCCAGGGCCTGGTCGACCAATTCCTCCTCGCCGAACGAAACGCAAATCACAAGACTGTCGGCTACGTTTCTTCAGGATTCTGGTACGTTCATACTCGTGCGCAGGTTGCCGCGAGTTGAAAAAGATGCTCAGGCTGGGAATGTCAAGCTCGCGGGTCATCTGGAGTTATTTCTCGCCCAGGTACCGTGCTGAGACCGAGTTTCTCGAATCCTTATGAATGTGCATCTAGAATCAGCTTCGCAGCTCGCAAGTGGATTGTCCAAGGCTGCCTGTGAGTTTGAAAATCATGTATCTTTTCTGTTCTTGCTACTGAATGCACCTCCGCAGTGGTGAGCATTCATCTCACAATACCCGACAGAAGATTCATCCAATCCCTTGTTAGCCTCGAGTTTGGCTATGCAGATCGTGATCTGGCGCGTCGACTCGTATACAGTGAACTCCGTGTCGACTAGTCTGACCGGGCTCATCCTGGGCGCTGTCTATCCGGCCTGCCTCGAGCTTGCCAACGACATGATACCGGGCGACCTCAACATGATCTCAATGGGCATCTTGTACATCCACATTTCTGTCCCCATTCATGTTCTCTGACCTGTCCACAGAGGTGCCTCGGGAAGTCTGGGCAGTGGTAAGTGTCACACATTCCATGATTTCGTCTCCAATCTTATGAATCCGCGGTACAGCCATTTTCACCTTCGTCACGGGTGTGGTCACAACCCGATACAGCATGCGATGTTGGTCCTATGTGACTGTCACACAGGGTGTGCTGATGGTTTTGGCCTGGTTTTTGTTTCCGACACATCTTCGACGGTAGTACTGTAATTACATTTCCACGATAGACAGATCAACATCTAGATACCCCGTTATCATTTCCTGCTAGGAACTGTCTGTATCGGTCGACGAGCCAGTCTCGTCACCCTCATCTAAATTCACATGTCACTCCAAGTCCCGACTGGCGCTTAATACAGCATGCCCAAACGCACCTAGATAATCGTCGACAACCGGCCGCGGGGGCGATCGCCTCAACGGGTCCACATTCGACGCGCTATTCTGTCGGATAGTCTTGTTTGGGGTCCTGGCCGCGAGGTGCGGGCTCTGGAATGAGTAGGAGGACGATGCCCCGGGGCTCTCCATCTGCACGGGCGACGAGGAGCGGGAAGAGACCGTCGGGGATCTCTCAACGGCCGACGCGACGGACGACTCACGCAACCTGGACGGCACTTTGGACTGCGTCTTCACCGACGGCGATTGCAGTGGCTGGGTATCATTTCAGTTGGAATAGCAGCCAAAAGAGCCTGGACTTACGCTGCCAAAAGAGTCTGAAGACGATTTGACTCGGTTCACAGGCGAGCCTGTGTTTCAGTCAACAGAAAATTCGGGTATTAGACACGTGCAGCAGCCCACCCTTTCCAGCCTGTTTTTTCTGTTTCTTGTTCGGCGTGACCTGCGGCGAGTCCTAACAGTATTCAGCTCCAGAGGCAATCGAGTCGCGCACACACGCTCGTACCCTCTTCCTCTTGAGGTTGAAATCCGCATCGTCTGCAGGGTCAGCAGCGCACTCGACACGGGTCGCGAAACGCCTACACTCACCGGTCCTGTGTTGTTTCTTGCCCTTGCCGCCCTTCCCATCCTCCGAGTATGTTTCCTCCTGTGATTCCGATCCGTCCTCTTCAGACGGCGGTCTTGCGGGGGCGTGACAATGAGCAACAATGCCTCACGTGCACAGGAGCGGGCGCACGCACTTGGATTTAGTCGTCCCACGCGACGAGCCGCGGCGCGTGGTCGAGAGCCCCATGCACGAGCTGAGATGCGGCGCATAGCGATTCGAGGCAATCTGGAACGGGGCATCGCGTCAGGTGGAGCAGGACGTCGCGGCGGCGGATGGACCTGGCGCGAGCAGATTAAGCACTCCAACAGCAGGTTTCCGTCGGACTTGGTGGGCGAGGCTGAGCCGCTGGCAGACGGGGTTGATTGTCGGGAGGGAGGGAGGTATGTCGGGGCATGGACTGCGTGGAAGGTTAGGTAGGTGGAGGTCTCAGGGACATGGCACACCGGAATTGCAGCTGTTGCACTGGTCGATCAACTCGGTACCAACAAAGCTTCATCGACGCGACGCACTATGTTTTGCAGACCTGGCAGAGAGCCCTGCCACGTGCGATCTCCTGGTGGGCTTGGAGAGTCACGTCTATATCCATTCTGAGAGTCAAGCTTCTGCGAATTGCCGAAAGATGAGCTTGTACCCATTACAATGTCGTCCAGCATGACGGCAAAGATCCTGTTGGCCTGAAGAGATTCAGTCGTATCGAAGGACGCCGGAGATGAGGATTACCAGCGTGCTCAGCGAATCCTCCTTGTGTGATTTTGGCATGGTTCCAAGTCGAGAGCAAGTGCGTTACCGAAGCGGATGCATTCACGAACTTTGATCGGCTTCATGATCTGATCGGAACAGAATTGATTGTAAGCACCCCACTATCCAAATTACTTGTACGTAGTTCTAAGCCAAATCATATAATTTGTTCGTAGCGGATTCGTAAACAGATTAGTACCTCGAAGCGGTCATACGAGAGACGGCGAAGACAGCAACAATGGCCACAGCAAGTGTGACGATACTAGCAGGAAGGAGCAGATCCTTCGAGATGCCCATCACATCGTCTGGAATCTGCTCTTTGGGAACCGCTTTGTTCTCAAGCACGGATTTGACAACCTCAGCCTCAACCTCGGGAACAACAACCGGAGGGGTGACCGGCACTTCCGGCACGGGCTCCGGCTTGCTGTCGGCCTTGCCCCATCCCTTGCCCCCATGAATGACGAGAACGACGCGGTCCGCATGGGAATTGCGCGCGATCTTGACAGCGTCGATGACGTCGTGGTCGGAAGTGATGAAGACGCTGTCTCCGTCGGCGTCGGTGTAGGAGAGGTGGAAGTCGATCGGATCTGGGATCACAGTCGGATCGGAAGTCGACTTGAATTCGGTGAAGAAAGGATCTGTCGCCAACTTGCCGGCGACGATCTCCCGCAGATGCTCGACATTGTCGTGCCGAGCCTGGAATCGGTGAGTGCGGCCGCTGGGAGTCCGGAACTTGAACACATAGGTCCCGTCGTCGACGGCCGGAGGGAGGCCCGTGATCGAAGGAACGCCAGGGTAGCCCCCCATGGCCGAGGCTTCGTCGTCGATGACAGACGCTGAGTCGTTGGGGTGCACCTCCGAGTGAGGGGACTGCGGAGCACGCAGCTGGTGCATGGAAGACAGCGAATGTATCTCGGGCGTTGCACGTGAGCCAGATAGGTACGAGTCGTTGTCGTCATGTCCGATCGAGTCGAAGAAACGTCCCCACATCGGTCCGCCTTCTCCTTCGCCAGAGGAAGAAGTGTTATCACCCCCGGCCATCGAGTTCATCTAGTGTTGTGTGAGATGTGAACCAACAGATCGTACAAAAACTACCAACCTGTTCCAACGTCGCGTAGGTCAGAGTCAGAACGTCGATGATGGCCGACAACTGTCCATCTTCTTCCACTACAGGCAGGTTGAGATAATGTCCATCTTGCATTCGGTCTCAGTAGAAATTCGCCAAGGCAGTACAGCAACGTCTTACTATGCATCTTCTTGAGGGCATCGTGGACAGTCATCGTCGGCGGAGCAGTGTCTGGATGGGGTGTCATCACCCGGACCACGCTGCATCTGGCAGAATCCAGGCCAGCAGCAATAACTCGCAGAACGACGTCCTTGCTGGTGAAGATGCCGGCAATCTTCTCCATGGGGACTTGGCCAGGAGCGATAGGGTGAACAGTCTCCATGACACAAACGGCGGTGGTCCTTCGCTCCTTCATCAGGCGCGCTGCGTCCCGAACGGTCGTCTTCGGGCCGACCGTGGCTGGGTGGGACCGCACGTCCATGACCGTGGTCAAATCGGGGAGTGCAGTCTTCTCGCGGAGCTTCTCCGCCCATGCTAGCATGGCTGCTGCTTGAGGATTGGCACTGGCTGCACCGAGCTCCGATTGAACGCCGGCCATGGCAGCGAACAACTGTTCAGAGGCTACTGAACTGCGCTCCACCTTGGCCAGAGCCTCGTGGAACACCTTGGTGATGTCCAGTAATCCAACAACATTCCCCTCCTCGTTACAGACGGGCTAGGGTAGTGTAAGCAGAGGACGAGGCAGGAATCGCAATACGAACAAGGTGTCGGAAATGTTTGGACACCATGAGCTGGAGAGCTTCAGTCGCGCTGGTCGTATCCCGGGTTACCATAGGGTTCCGGGTCATGATCTGGTGGACTTGTGTAGTATGAGGATCGAGGCCTTCCGCGGTGACCTGGCAGGGGATAGCTTGTTCAGCGTTGAAAGGAATAGAGCGTGAAACAATCAAGACGAACGCGATACGCCATATCCTTCGCGGTGAAGATACCACTTAACCCCTCCTCGTCGTCGACGACCAATACGCAGTCCGTGCGCTTCGCGGCGCAAAGTTGACTAGCTTCCGAAACAGTGATGCTCTCGGGCACGGTCAACGCGGGGCTCGGACGCAAAGCGGCCACGGTCCCCTTCGCTGCAAAGACTTTGCTGCCACGCTTGTTGCTTCGCATGCTGTTCGTCGTAGAAATAGTGCGCTTCCGAGAGAGTTCAGACTCGATTTTTTTGCGAATGGCCTGAGGTGCATGAGCATAGAAAGAAGATAAGACGCGTCACAAGCTAGCGTACCTCGTCCCGCTTCGATTGCTTCCTGCGTGTCTCCGCTACAGAGCCGGGGAACGGCTGCTGACTGGTGGATAGCGTCGACATGGAAGTACTGCGCTGGGACTGTTCGCGTTCGGGCGAAAACGGTACGGGAGAGAAATTGCGAGCAGGAAGAGCGTGCGACGCGGGAACAGGGATTCGCGAAGACATGGATCACTGGCCCGCCAGGCACACCACTGGTTCAAGTCTTGGAGAGGAAGAGAAGAGGAAAGGTGACTTTCAATGTTTGTTTGCCTGGCATGGAATTGATCATATCACAACAAAATGTCCTCTGCGCATGCCATATGAGTACTTCCACTACAACATACTTGCTCCCATTCCCATACTGTACAGTCTTCGCAAATTATGCTCTGCGTTTCCCGGTGCCCTTCTTATTCCCCGTCGTGTATATATAGTAGCCTCCTCCGATCACCGCAAGAGCTAGGAAGTTGGCTGGGGCCAAAATCTTAGCTACGCTTCTCAAGCATATATATACACGGCGCACGTACCGGCAACAAACCCAAAGGCGCCTTGAAGCAGTCCTGTGCCGAAGGATATCACACTTTGTACCAACTGGACACAGGCGCTGAGAACATCCTTCCCGAGTACGATGAAGGCTTGGAGGACTGCCAATATGGAATTGAGCAGCGAGAAGAAGATGCCAGTAAGGCTGTTGAGAAATTCAGAGACTGCGTGTGCGATAGTGGGCGCCATGTTTATGTTACAACAAGAGACAAGACCCCGCGTTAAATAGACAGATAGCACTCCACAACTCGACTACGCGTCATACAGTCAGTCATCACTAGCATTGGCGCGTATTCGATCACAGAACATCATTCTACGCAGCGCGTCCAACCGTTCGCGAGTCTAATGTTTTCATCCAGTGTCAATCACTGTCCGGCAGCAGCGCCAGCCGGATTCGGGGCCAGGGTCGACCCAACCCACCGACCGACGAGCATCTGAACCTTGTCCCAAACCTGAACAACCACCGGGGGATTGCCAGGCTTACGGACAAGCGCGTCAATGCGACCAGTGGCGTTTGCAACGGCATCACGGGTGAACGCAGACTGGTAGTAGCGTTGACGCAGGAAATGAGCGAAGATCAGGGGCGAGAGGAGAGAGTTCTGGAAAGTGATGGCACCCAGGGTAACACGGATGAAGATGAGGAGCTCGGTGTATGCGACCACTTTCATGGCGGTGTCGTAGTTCGCTGTAGAGTTTTCAGTAAAAAGACAGTCAGATGTAGAGCTTCACGCACCCTTGACCCATGCTTGCAGCTTCTTAGCGAGAGGATGAGGTGTGGGCGGGCCCCCGGCAGTAGACGGAGGTCCAGGCGCCAGGAACTGGGGCATAAGAGTCGTACGAGTAAACGTCAGGGCATGGAATAACGAAAAGATGGCGTAGGGGAGGAGAGTGACTAGTTCGCCCAGTCAGTGTGACGCGCTCCATGCGATAATGAAGGTGCACTCACTGGTGATAGGCTTGGACGACCACCAGAAGAAAGCTAGGAGGAAGTATTGAACGTTCTGGAACACAATTAATTACAGCCGATGATCGTATGAAGTATGTGCTGACCTCATCGAGTAGCGCTCGCCGAACGAAGGCGGCGTTGGGCTGGGGTGTCTATAACCAGTCATCGATAAGGACAGCTACATAGGACTGCACATGAAACGCACTCCTAGAGATTTCCTGGCAAAAAGAGAGGCACGTCAGAGGCATGCACGGGGAAGGAGAAGGTATTGCGCACTGGCAAACAATCGCGTAGCTCATGAGAGCACCCGTGAAACTTGCTAAACGACAGACGAACATTAGAATGCAGGCGGTCGAGTGCGCCCATCGCACGCACCTTTGAACCACCACGCCGAAACACTCTTGAAGGTGACCCAAGCGAGGAAATATCGGAGCGAGGCCAGGAGCAACAAAAAGTGACCCGAGGCCCAGAGATAGTGCTGACGGTCGCACGAGTGAGAACGCACTGCGTCTCACACGACGGGGCGCACGCACCTGAGTAGTAGCCATTTGAAACAAAACTGAGGGAGGAAAGAAGACGGCGGCACTCCAACGTCACGCAACACAACGTGGACTGCTGTCTACAAGGCCAAATAAAGCGAGTGTTCGCGCAGTTCGCTTGCTCCACCGTGAACATGATGGACAGTCATTTCACTCAACATAGTCTGCGAACTGTCTCTCTCATTGGGGAATGGGTCCCTGATTGCATTAGCAGGTGTCGCACTGGCGGTACTTTCGATCACTTCGATTCTCGTCGGCTACACTGTGGGGAAAAGCCTCCGTCCGCCGCCACCTGTAGCCTCGGAAGCAGAAGTAAACGGAATCAGTGAAGACACCTCTGAACCGACCGATGGCGACCTGAGCGCGATAACCGCAGGGATCTTAGAACCCTGTAAACTTGTGCGGCATCAACCGTCCCGTGCAACTTTCTTAGATTAAAGCGGGATAGGTCTTGGTGGTGCGAACGGACCTCAAGACACTGGGCGCGGCCAAAATAGCGGCGTTGTGAGCGCACCGGCGTCTAGACGTATCCCCCCGTCCTCACCCGCAACAGATGCGGGCAAGTCCTCGCTCGATCGACCCAGGTTCCCTGCTAAACAAGCAGATTCAAGGCAGGCCACTTTGGCATGCTATAAAAGCTTGTCAAAGTCAAATCCCAAGGTTCGCTTGCCAAGCCTTCTGAGATGGTCTTCGTCTCATCCCACGCAGCTCGTCAAGCACTGGGAGCGGACCGGGTATATCATACTCTACCCCACCCTCTCCAAGAGGTTGACTTTTTCGCACAGTCAAGCCAAAATAGCCCTGAAGGGCACATCAGAGAAACAGATCCGAGATTTGGACCTCGCCGCCAAAGCCATCAACCTATGCTCCCGAATCGTAGAAGACTCGTAAGCTGGGATGTGACTTTTCGACCAAGTTGAAAACGAAATCTTTACAGTGATTTGAAGACATCAGCTGTCCTCGCCATCGGCCCGGCACCTGTGGCTATCGTCAACCAGGTTACAGGGAAGTTGCGTCTGCTATGATGGACACCCTGTAGTAGATGTATTCTAGGCAACGAATTCGTTTGCCGCGGGGGGCTGTTGTATGCCGGTTACAAACCCCAATCTACATTCCGCAAAAGGAAATCTCCGCTATGAAAGAGGAAACCTCCATTCCCGAAAGAGCAATGTCCACAAATACACGTACAAACACCTCATCTCTATATCTAGTACTCTAGGCAGCAGATGTAAAACTTTGGTCACCCTCGACGACGACGTAACCACTGTCCCGAGTCCCACCGCCCCAAAATGCCTCGTCAAACTCCTCCATGATACCCTGAGTCTCTTGCAAAACCGCATCGAGAGCCTGAGAACGTGTCCACATGATCGTTTCCGCCTCCCCCAGTTCCTCGCCGCCCCGAATCAGATCAGATTCCCGACAACCAGCGAAGCGCTGGACGACTCGGATCCGTCGGTACGTCGCACGGACGAGTGCCAGGGACCGGATTTTGCTCGACTTGGCGAGCCATCTCGTCGAAGTGGAAGATGGGAACGACGAGGGATTGAAGGTCGGGCCCAGCGGATGCGAGATCGGGCCAAGATGTACAATCTTACGCGAATATGTTGTCTCACTGGCATGAGGAGATGACGGCTGGTTCAAGTAGCCTGCGACTCGAACATTGCTCGGGTCTAGCACCGCTGCCGGGATTCTAGGGCTCGGCTTGGGACTGGTGTCAGGCGACAAGGGCTGCAACATCATGCTGCGCCTCCTCGGCTTTGAGAACGCCGTCGACGTGGGCCGCGACTGAGTCGGTGTAACACTGCCCCCTGCCGCGTGGGCCACAGCAGCGGCCACTTTCTCACGCGCAAACAAGTGCATCTGCAGCCTCAAAGGTGTCGGCAGCGCACACAGAAGCTCGAGGAACGACCAGAGTGTGTAGTCAACGATCCGTGGGCTGGCGAGTGGAACAGACATCGGAACTGGTGCATCGTAGTCGAAACTCGCGCGAGGTGACGACATTGGAGAGCCCGTTCCTGAGCCGCGGGAGATGAACCCCGGACCGCCTTCGCCCAACAGACTAGTCAAAAATGCGCCCACGCGAGCCCAGACGCCCGGGACAGTCGAGGTCAAGTCACGCTCACCACGTATCAAGATGATCTTGAGGACCTGCAGCGCTGCAACGAACGACGGCACAGCCGACCGGTGCTGCTGTCGAGGGCCAGGTGACTTGGATCGCGAGCGTTCGTGGCTGAGGACGGGCGATGACTGAGATTGAGTCTGCTGTTGACAGGCAGCCATCGTATAAGACAACATGCGGACCCAAGCGTTTGCATACAATCTCGGGTCCGGAATGGCCGTCGTGGCTTTGGCCTCGTCCCCTGTCCTCAGTTTCATCACAAAAGGCATCACGAAACCCATGAGAAACTCGTAGCTCGGCTGTCTCCTCTCGATCTCGGCCAGGACATTGTGCGATCTAAGCACCACTGCCCTCTCAACCAAAGAAACCAACGCGGGCCGACATGTCCCGATCACAGTCCCAGATTCTCCGCACGCAGCAGCGAGAGCGGGCGCGCAGATACCCTGCACCACAACCCGCGCAAACAAGGCATCCCCCGCATACAGTCCGCTTTCGACTTCAATTAGCCACGCCACAGCATCGAACACACCCGAGAAATCGACCGTTGTACCAGAAGATAGAATGAATGAGGACATGTCTGCCAAGAATGCGACCACAGACTTGACGGTCCGGAGGTGGTCCGGTGCTCGTTCGAGCGAATATTTGGCGTAGTTTGCAACGAACTCTGATATCACGTCGTGCATCCGGGTCGAGTCGCCGTCCCGCAGAACGTACTTTGCAATCTCCAGCGCTCGATGAGACGCGGGGGGTGAGACCAGCCCTCCTGCCTTCGCGAATGCCACGATCAGGTGCAGGTAGTCGAGCCGCATCACAAGCGGGTCACTCGCTGTCTTAAGCTTGTCGGTACCTTCAAGGAGGGCTTCCACAGTGGGCTCCTCCGGCTGCGCTGGCTGCGACGACTTGGCTGCGGGTCGCATCAGCACGACACCCAGAGCATCGACACCCTCTTTTAACACAGTTCTGGTCGAGGCGTTTGCGTGGTGCAGATACGGAACCATCCACCGCAGCAGTCGCAAAAACTGCTGCGCCCGAATCACACCGGTGTCGTGCGCAATCACTGTCAAGAATAACCGGATGAAGTTGTCCATGCCCAGCCGTTTGGTTTCGTATTCCTCCGGGAGATCCACGACGAGCGCATTGTTGTTGAATGACGGCGTTGCCGACGAAGTTTTCTTGAGAGCAGCCAGGAATGTCTGAGGCTTTTCATCCGCTGTGCTGAACAGCAATGCTTCCTTCTCCTGCAACTTGTTCACTCCGGCGATTCCCGCGGCATCAGACACGCCGTTGGGGATGGGCCGAGTCAATGTTGCGAATAGCGTATGGACGTTTCGCGCCATGCGTTCCGCCGGGGCATCTCCTTCGGACTGGTAGATCACGCCGGCCAAAGCATCGATGCTCTGGAATACGAATGCTTCGCGATGCAGCGCATAGAAGCGATTGAAGGCGTATTCGATTGCAGTACGAATCCCGGGATGCGATTCGGCCTCAGTGTACACTTTCAGTCTGATAGTTGTCTCGTCAGCTATCGTCACAGGAGCGTCACGAATCAATGCTCACAGCGCAGGAATAAATAGCGTGTATCCTCCACCAGTCGTGAACAGTCGTCGGAACCTCGTACTTGCCACCATCAGCGCTATGGGCCGTCAGAAACAGAGCTCGGGCTGGTCATCGTGGCTACGCACCGATCAAAGCATGAGCGACAACGCCGATGTCCGACCCGTGCGCCAGTAAAATGCGGTTGAGCCCATCCACCAACACAGCCAGCTCGCTCCTGTCATTCAAGTGCCGACTCATCGACCGGAACACTTGCGCGATCAACAGCAGATAGCTCCGAGACACCACCGTCGACAGATTTGTCACCGTTATCTCTATGTAACTCGGCATCTCGTTCGAGTGCTCAGAGAGCACAGGCAGAAAGTCGCGCAGATCAACGGGGGGTGCCGAATTCGTCGTCGAGTCCAGAGACGGCAAAACCAGTCGGGTCATGGACTTTCGTATCAGCTGCACGTCCTGGGGATTCCGCTTGAGCATCGAGATGAACAGCATATTCTGCGACAGCCGGACGATCGACACCCAGATCAATTTCCCAGGGACCTCGTCCAGCCCTCTCGTTTCAGATCCCAGACTACGTGGGAACATGTTGGTTCCCGTCGGTGCACTACTGGGAAACCATAGGCTGCCCGTGGGAATCAGGAACGCCTCGATTTTGGCGCGTCTGATCTCGCGAATCGACATCTCGCTGACTTGCGTCACCAACTTTGCCAGAACGGGCATCGTCAACGCGAAATCAGAGAGCGCGTCATCGCCGTCCTGTTGCTGCTGCTTAAGATGCGACTTGAGGAATCCCGCAAGACTGTTGAACAGATTGTGCGTGACCGGGGGCGGCAGGATTCTCCTCACGTGCAGAAACGCGCGGAACGTCGATATCGCGACGCCCATGTCTTTATGATGCCCAGAAAGCAGATCTAGCGCCGGTCTGGTCAACAGTGCCGGATCGTTCCGCATCAGGTCCATGCTGGTGCTCCGGGCTGTGGCGGCTACGAGAAAGCTGGGGTCGAAGACCGTCAGCGCGAGACGAGGGAGGATCGCCGCAAGCGTAGGGACAAATATGGCGCGTCGCTTGACACCATACATCGGGCCGCCAGTACTGGAATTGCGGCGAAGGAGCGCTGTCCCGGATGGAGTATCTTCTGCTGACGGAGACGGACTCATTCTCGGGCTCGCCGCAGGAGAGGGCGCCGTCTCTGACACGACAGTCGTCGGAACCTCCAGTCGATCCAGATACATACCGGGTAGGTTGGAGATCGGGGTCCGAATCCACTCAAGATGCTGGTCCACTGGCTGGTCATCCGGCGCCCATCCAATCTCCACCAAGCGCTTCCGCAGTTCGGCCGGGACCTTGTCATCTCCCTGTCCTTGGACTTGCAGATCCTCCTCCAGAACATATTGCGGAGATCCGATGTCCGTGGCAACAAACGCAAGCGGCTCTCTCGCGTGTCGGAACGCACGACGATTCCGGTCGACGATGACCTGCTGCGACATGATCTGGAATCGCCAGTTGGACAACGTGTTGATGCGCCGCACTGCATTGAGTCGGGTGGTGTCATCGGAGCTGCATCCGCAGTTAGCGTGGGGAAAAGTACGGGTGCATAGTCGCGTGCCTCCGCAGATCAAACTCGATCAGAACCATCATCTCGCGCGGTGTCTTCTCGGCACTTTGCATCACCAAAAAACAGGCAGCAGAGACGATGCTCGGGTCTGTGATACTCAGGTGGTGTTCCCACACGAGTGGCCCGATCCGAAGATGATCTTCGACCGTCAAGAGCGTCGACATTGTCACAAGCAGCTTCAATGCTTTGTGCGCGAATCCCTTGCGTAGCGACATCACCAGCTGCTCCTTCTGGGCAAATACGCTGGCAATACCAGCCTTGGGTTCCAAGGCGGAGTTGAATGACCCATCGTATGCCGCAGAGAGCACCAGCGTCCCGCGATTCTTAGCGATCATTAGCCTAAGATGATCGTGACAGCAACAAGAGACGGTACCTTCTGCCTCGAGCTCCCGATGTTGTCACTTGCAGCAGCATATAGCCCCTGTATTTGCGCGACCGCGTCGATGATTTCCAGGTCCGAATCGTCGTTCAATTGACTCTCTTCCGTCGAGTCCACAAACCACTTTAACATACGCGGCAGCCAGGGCGCAGGCTTCAGCGACCGTGTCAGGAGTCGAATCTCTCGGAAGAGCATGTTGATCAACATCCGCTGTGAAAGCGGAAGCAAGCTGGTACGTTCCTGATAAACCTCAGCATGGAAGAGGCCATGGGAGCGCACACAATACAAACCTTGGCCTCGAGGAGCACGTGCAACCTCGTCTCAAGTGATATCGCAAACTTGCTGATGTCCACAAACGGGTTGCTATCCTTGTCTCCGTCTCTGGCGCGCCGCTCAGCCTGGATCCGCCCGATCATTTCGACTAAGAGCACACTCTGGCCTAATCTTGCTGTTCCCCAAGTCACCGGCGCATCGTCCCCGGCCATCGTCCCCGCGCCGGACCTCATCAAAGCGACCGAAATCATCTCGGGGTCCCGTGTCCAGTAATCCGGGAGAAAGCGCGAGACGGCCGTGATGGCGCATAGGTGGTTGATGACGGTAAAATCTTTGGTGGCCGCCGCGCACAAGAAGAGCGGTTTGTAGAAGATCGGAGGATACAGCTGTGAGATTCGCTCAAGGAGACCCGTGAGCGGTAGGTAAGGATGGGGTGGAGGGTCATCGACTAGGCGCTGATGATGAAGTTGAAACTGGCCGTAGCGGGGCGAAAGCAGCGGAACGTACGTCGGAGATGGTTGGAAGGATGAGGGCCACAATGGGTTTTCGGACATCTTCAGGAATGCTGTCTATCAGCGCAGACAGAATCGCAATAACACCTGGCCAGGGATTATCCGTGATCTCAAAAATATTCAGTGGGCGTCGTTGTGCTCGAAAGCTGGAGACGTACGCAGCGCTGGATAGTGGCCTCGATATCGTCCTTCCATTCTGAGCCTGTTTCTCGATGCCACTGCGACAGAGATGTCATCGCCCACAATGCCAGCTCGCGCGGGGTCCCTGGCATGAGCAGTTCCAAAATGATGCTCACGACATTCCGACGGGCCTCGGCTGCATTGGGGTTGTTGTGCAGCTCAGGGACAACCCGCGTCTGGGTGAAATGCACTGTGTATTCCGCCTCTTGCGGGACACGCGGTTTCGCGCGGAGACCAACAAGACATCCCCTGGTGAACGATGCCAGCTTACGGCCCTGCACAAGTGCAAGCAGAGGTGTGATAGGTTCATTCGAGATCACTTGCCGGGGCCAGTATTCCTGTGAATTATTAGATGTCATGAAACACAGAACACACGAGACTGACATCTACTGCATTTTCGAGCAACCACTTCCTGATCGACACAGAGCTGTTTTCCAGGCAGCGTGCCAGAGTCTCCAAGATCAAAGCCTGTCTCAGGACATCCTGCTTGTCCTGCTTAACGAAAGGCACACCGAGCTCCTCCTCAACCAACTCCGGGTCCATTTCTCCGTAATCCCCTGCGGACAGATGTACGATAAGCTCCGTGACGATACTCTGCTCTTCTCTCGATCCTTGCAGCACTGGCAACAGCGTGAACAGACTGCTCGCCAGCGATTGCACCGACCCGGCCATGCTCGTCTCGTAGCCAAACTCAGCTTGATTCAGCAACGACCGCAACAAACGCATGATTCGGATGCGGAGCGGCGAATGCGGAATCTGCATCGCTGCTTTGCAGCACCACTGACACCGGGCCATCTGCAGCTCTTCAGTCCTTGGCGGCCACGTCTTCACGATGGCTTCAAACGACTCGAATGAGAACCACCGGTCTTCGTCGACGCGCACGCTCTTCTCAGGACTGAGATATGGGTGCAAGAGCGTCGACAGCACGTGTCGCTCGATGGGGAGGTGAACGAGAGATCGTGCATGGTCCTTGGGCAAGGCGGCGCTCGCGATCAGCGTCTGATACAGATATCTAAGGCTCGGGACGGTGCGTGCTGAGGACGTAACGAGCGATTGCATCGACGGCGGGCGACGAAGTTCCGGGCGGCCAGGTACAGCTGGGGCCACTGAGGCTGCAGCTGCAAGCGAGCTGGTAGACATGAAACCCGCCATTATCAACTTGGACGCGGACGACGAGACCTCCGCTGTCGACCGAGCTGCCCAGCACATTCTTTCCAGCTCCTGCTCGAACGACACATATTCGCGCGTCGACGCCGCCTGAGCATCCTCCACAACCTGTCTGAATCCCAGCTTCTGCGCGAATCGCGATGACGACGCTTTGGGCGTTTGAGTTCGACCGAAAGAAAACGCCGAGGAGGACGAGGAGGATGTCGTCGGTGCGTGTTGAGTCGACCCAGATGACGACGACGGGGCGACGACATGGTGACGCAGATTATCCCAGCGCACGAGTCCCGGTGATCGAGGGACGCTACCATCGAGTGTTCCCGCGCGACTGTGATCTGTGTTCACGGCCAATGGCTTCCGAAAGTCGAATCGTGAACGCGGGTTTGGGCTTTCGGGGCGCGAACTGCTGCTGCTACTATTGCTCGCAACCCGGGAGTGTGATTCGAACGGACGAACAGGAGCCTCGAAACTTTCGTCAACTTGTTCTAGAGCCACGGGTGCTGTCCGCTGCCTTGAGTTGCTTGAATAGACGGACTCATTATCAGATGTTTCGGAGGCTGTACGGAGCGAGCTAGAGGAGGACTTGGTAGAGTCAAAGGAGAAGAGGCGGCGTTGGCGCTTGGACGATATGTCCCCTCGAGATGTCATGTTTTCAGTCCCATATGGTTTGAATGGATGTGGGAGTGAGATTCAGAGCTATTAGACTTGACTGATGTCACATCACCGTGATCAGTGGCTGTGTAACTCACTCTCCGCCCATGCTGAACATGACGTCTCTCATGATCAGGAAGTACATGCTCATTTACATCGCCGCTTTCAAGCGTTGGGTTACCGACAGTAAGAACGGATTGGGAGTAAGAACACGTCCGGCTCAAGTCTCCGTCACTTTCTCCAGTCGTGTGAACGCGCGAGACAGTGTTTGCACCGCTTTGACATTACGTTTCCTGCCAATGAGGTGCCACTCCTCTCCTCACGCTCCACGATCCATTGTACCCCTCAGCGTCACCGATGATAAATAAACCTTGAACCACCACGCCAGACGCGTTAAAAGCCTGCTCCCTGTGCGCGCACCCATCAATCTATGGCTGCTCTTACTTTCGCCGCTCGCGCATATCAATCCTCTTTCGATGCCAGGCCTCACACCACGCTCGCGTGCGTATGATCCCAGTAGAACAGGGTTGAATATCAATCTCCATACACCATAGTATTACTGGAGGAGCGCTCAACGCGCTTGGAGATGTCGTAGCCCAAGCTACACACAACATTGTTAGTTCCCGCCACTGCTCACCCTTCTGCAGAGTCGCTTACTTGGTTAGCTGAGAGACCCCCACGAAAAATATATACCTTTTGATCCCTCCCGTACATTCCGTTTCTTCGTCTTCGGTGCCAGCATCAGTGAGTCTTGAACTTGTTTTTGCGCCTCAACTATTTACCGGTCATTTCCCACAGGTCCCTTTCTTGGAAGGTGGAATCTGTTCCTCGAGAAGCACTTCCCTCTCCGAGGTCGGCAGGGAGGGATTAGCATGGGGGCTCTCGCCAAACGTGTTGCATGCGACCAGGTAGTAATGTGAGCCAAGTCTCGATGAAAATATTGGCGCAGCACAACTAACGGGTCGACAGGGCACCCATCGGTGTGCGTACCTATCAGGTGTTGTATGGGAGCTCCGTTCACCGATCTTATCTTACAGCTGGTCGCTTTCATTGGATCTATGGGGATGATGGAAGGCCGATCACGGAAACAAATCAGTCAGGTACGCGAGCGCGATATCATGTCGGCCGAAGATGTAACTGTTCTCAGAAATATCAAGACTTGTTCGTTCCAACACTTCGCACAAATTGGACTGTGTGGCCAGCTATCCAGTTCATCAACTTCCGCTTCATGCCTCTTGCGTATCGCATTCCGTTCCAGTCGACCTGTGGTGTGTTTTGGACGCTCTATCTGTCCACAGTCAATTCCCAGTACGAGCTATTGCAGCGCATTTCGATCGCGAGCTGACTTTTCGCAGAGAAGATCGCAAGCAAGACACGCAGACAGAATTGCGACGCACGCTGAATCAGTAGTGCGATTATCTCCCTTGAACATATGTATGGACAACATCTGTAGCATTACAATTGTATCATCATCAAGTTACACCATATTTTGGAGCAAAGTAGGCTGGTGGGAGAGTGCTCAAAACATCCACCAACGGCCTTTCAACCACGACAAGGTCCCCTGAAGCCAAGAAATCGACGTGCAGCAAGGGACGATAATGTGTGATCATCTTGAAGCTGCTCTCGTCTGACCCGTCTGGTTTATCATCCCGACGACGTTTCCGCCGACTGGGTTTGCCGCTGTCGTCCAGCTTCAGCTTGCACATCCAGGTGGATCCCCAGCACAGAATATGCCGCGGAAGACGACCGGATGGATCACAGGTGACACCGAGAATGTGGTCATGTGTCCGGGTCAGTTTTTTGGGTAGGTTATTGGAGATGTCTTTCGCCCAAGACGGGAACTGTTTGGCCTCCACATCGAACAGCTGGATGCTGTTATCCGGGAAGGCGAGGACAAGGAGATTCGGTCGACTCGGATCGAACGATAGAGCCTGAGCGGCCTGCGGGAAGGACGGAAGAACGCAGTGATGCTGCCAATCCGATGAGCCAGCAACAAACAACGATCAGCGAGAACACCTACTTGCAACAGATCCATGTTGTACACATGGCTGCGGCCATGGATGTCGGAAGATGCCAGCCACTGTCCGTCAAAACTGGTGGCTAGTCGAAGGATGGACGTAATGTTCGCTCGTTCTGTAGTCTCGTCTTCGGGAGTCTCTGGCTCGTCAGTTTGAGCAGCGCGACCCTTGATTGCACGATCAGACAAGCTGGCATTGCTCAAGCGATGGTGCTCAAATCTTCGCAAGACTTTGGGTTCCTCAGCGAGATCGACCACCACAAGGTACGATTCGGCGGCAGTGGAGAGAATGAGTTTCGAAGAGTCGGGTGTGAAAGTGAAAGCGATGCTTCCGGTCGCGCCGTTTTTGGCGAGGAGGTGGGATTGGAGCAGAGCAGAAAACTGGCGGATTCGGCGAGGTTTCACTGTTCCATCGTCCTGACACATCGTGAGCCCATGGCATCTATCAGCAGAGAGCTCACTGACCTGGAACGAGAGCGAAAACAGCTTTGTCTCGTGCAGATCAGAGGCTACAAGCCACCGACCGTTGTTCGAGATGGCACAGGCTACTAGGTTCGTCTGAACATTCAGTTCCATGTCGATTAACTTCTCCCAGCCACTGGACTGAGAATCCTCCCCCGTGGTTTTCAGCAGCCTCCATAGAGTCAGACCAGTGTCCCGCAGGCAACAGATCAAACGAGCCTCTCGGGCGACACGGATGGCAGCCGTGGAGGACGGGCCGGGCGGATACGCCAGCCTTCGATGGTAGGAGTCCTCAAAGGTGCAGTGGATACTCGTAGCAATCGGATTGGTCATCTTCACGACGGTGTTCATGGGGAGCGCGGCCGGAGTTATCACAACAGACATGTCCAGACCTCCGGAGGCAAGGATGGGTGCCACTTCGGTCGTGTATGGCTTGCGATGTGAGGGGGAGATCGGACTATACGGGGGCCACACAGCCAACGCCCGTACGTCATGGGAATGCATTCGTCGTGAGCCCGTTTGGATCCACTTGCGGCCGCCAACAGTCGTTTTTGAATAGCAGAACTGCGAGATCTTCTGGTCGACCCCAGAAGTGTAGACAGCTGTGCCTGTCTGTAGTTTTATCAGCAAAGAGACTGCATGTGTCCACAGAGATCAACACTCACTGCGTCGATTGCCAGACACAAAACATCAGCGCCGTGGGCCTGGAAAGTCTGCAACTGCGTGCATGTCCTCGAGTCCCAGAACTTGACCCTTCCCATGGAGTCCCCAGAGATGATCGTGCCGTCTCTGCGTGTTCGAATAAGCTGAGAATCACTTGCGAGACTGCAAAAACAAACCCAAGGACCCCGACCGACCAGACCAGTGTCCGCTCGCCCCGAACCCTGTCGGTGCCCATCCGATCGAGAATGCGGCCCGTCGACACATCCCATTTTCTCAGGCTGCTGTCAGATCCACCCGTAACTAGCCATGAATCCGTCCAGTTCTCATCCTCGTCGTCACTTGAGTCGTCGCCGGCCGCGGGGGCGCGGGCGGATGCTTGCGGCGGGACGGGTGGGCCCCACGCAACACTCAAGACCCGGCATTTGACGCGATCGAATCGTCGGTGGTGCGTCAGGGCGTCGAGATCCAAGTTCAACAGCCGTACAGTCCCGTCCTCGCAGCCCAGCGCAAGCATCGTCGAAGCGGGATTGACAGCCATGGACCAGATCGAGCCACCCTGCGAGCCCGCAGTCCTCTGAGTCCATTGTCAGAGGGGCTCGATTCATGGGAGGATGTTGCACGTACTCGCACGCATTTTTTACTCAAGTCCCACTCGATCAGATCACTCCCTCCGCCAGAGGAGAACAGTCGCAGCTCGGAGAGAGAAGGAACCGCATCCTCGGAAAGAGCCTCGGGGTCACGGAGCGCAAAAGCAAGCGAATCGACCTTGGATGGATAAGGGCCGGAAAGCGTCTGACATTCGCTCTGTCAAAAAACGCGTCGCGTCTGTGTTATCAAGGTACTGACCACTCGCAGCGCCCACGCCTGTGCTGACTGAGAACTTCCTTGCGCTCCCGTCCACTCATACAGGTCGATGTTGCCATTGGCGTGTCCCACAGCAAGTGTGCCGAAACGTCTAGCCTGTTTTCCGGAGGACGATGCTTTTTGATGCACAGAAGGAAGGCGCGCAGGAGGGAAGGCTATTGCTGTGATCGGAGACGGAGTGTAGTCGACGAAGCGACAGCGGTGCAGCGCAAGGGACGTCCCTTCGGACATCTTCCTAAATCCTCAGAACAGGCTCTGGTCCGAATCCAAAAAATTGTTACACCGTCACCCGATCAAACCGACTGTCATCTTGTGCCGTCATCAGAAATTTCTTTCTCATTCACTTTCAAAACATGACTTCGTTATTCGGCGGCTCAAGCAGCAACTCTGGCGGCCTCAACCAGGAGCGTCTGGACATGGCATTGACCGAGTGCGCCGGGCCTCTCCCTCTCATTTCTGTTCCGTTCTGACTGCTCTCAGGATGGACACGGTCACCGACCTTTTCAACAGGATGGTCTCGTCAGTCTCCGAGTGTTAAGGATTCGTGCTCGTGCATTGACTCCCCTGCAGCTCATGCCAGGCTAAATGCATTGCCCGCTACGCAGAGGCCGACCTCAGCATGGGCGAAAGCGTCTGCATCGACCGATGCGTTTCGAAATACCATCTCGTGTACAGCAAGGTCGGAGACAAGCTGAAAGTACGTGGAGAAGGGGCGCAGCGATGACCGAGGCAGAATATATGCAGTACGTTCGTTTCCCGGACTCACTCCCACCGCACTCAACGGCTCCAGCGCTTCGTCACCTACTACGTCTTCCATCCATCATGCATGCCAATCCAATACACCCCTGCTCTGAATATGTTACGAAACGAGAGCCACAAATGGCCATTCCTGGGTCGACGGCGGAGGACCAGGAGCTGCAGTTTACGGGGCATTCTGCTCAGCGGTCTAAACACCATAGAATTCGTCTAATATGAGATACAACAGATGGTTGATAATGCCCAGGAGCGTGAGGAGTGAAAAGTAAGTGGGACGATGATCATGCAGAGTATGTCGGGAAGCAGTCGGCCAGTGTCTTGGAATGCTTGTTCTGCGCATGTTCCTCGAGGCTGGGAGATGATCGTTAGTTCCAGTGGATCAACGAGCGGACGAGACGAACGCGGGTCCTCGGGTGGTCACCAGCTATTTAGAATCAATGAGCGCAATTCCATCGAGAACGACAGGAGACTGACGAAAGTTTGTCTGCAGGTAACGCACACGATAGATTTAGCCGCCTCGTTGGACTATCGAAAGAAGTGTCTTGAGCATCATGCGCGAAACAACTTGGAGATCTGCGGACCTTGGCCTGACTCTTGCTTCCAGCCTTGGCCTTGTCGGCATTGCGCTCCCGCTTTTGAGCAGCCTTTGCACCCTATTTCCGATATTATACCCCCATAATCTGAAGGAAAAGCGGAGTGCGTACGTTGCCCATCGAGAGTCAAGTAGAAAGTAAGGATGACAACCACTGATTGCAGACATCCGCGAAAAATCTTGAAAGCTCGGCAATCACCGATACGGACCACGGGATGATTGATCCGGGTGCCTGGCTAACTTTAGCTTGAGGCTTTTCTGGCGTCCACTATCTGAATGGGCGTGAAGTTGCGAGAGCGCATCCGATATTACTCCATAGCGGTGTGCTTATTGTGAGGATCGCTGCAACAAGACAGCCCGGCCTTCAATGGGAAAGGTACAAAGAAGAATGATCGATGTGATCGATCAAACCCATCTCCTCGGCCGGACCAATGTTTGCACTGAGCTCTCGAATCGGAGTCAGACTCTCGCGATCGAAATTGACATTCCAGTTTCTTCTCTTGACTACCAGGATGACCGCCTTTTCGACCATAGCTGAGGAAATCAAGTTCGACATCCTCGCCCCGACGCACATTGACGACAATGCTGCCAAACGGAAGGAGATAGCCCGCACGTTCATATGTATGTCTATCCGCCGTTTCTATCGATCTCGGACGTGATAACCAACCTGTGGCGTTGGTCCAGCCGACACCATAACAGGTATTCTTCTATGTGGCCTGTCTTCTGAACGACACGCCGATGACACTCCCTGTCTGCGCAAGTTCCCACCCAGGAGATGTATCAGTACGCGACTCTCGCGACGCTGGGGGACGACGTCTACGCTGGTGGGCGACTTGAGCCGCGACCCGCTGCTGCATACCAACGATGACATGCCTAGAACCTTCTACGAAAAAGCTGGAGGAACACATGGCCAAGATCACGGGCAAGGAGGCCGCGATGTTCGTCGCGTCTGGCACTGCGTCGAACCAGATCGCGCTGCGGACTCATCTCACCCAGCCGCCGTACACGATTATGTGCGACAACAGGGCGCACATCTTCAGATACGAGGCGGGCGGCTGCGGATTCCACTCCGGGGCTGCTGTCACGCCCGTGTTTCCGGCCAACGGTCAGTTCAGTCGCTTTGTCCGGGGCTCTGGATCCGAACTCTCAGCGTCACCAGGGCATCACCTCACCCTCGAGGACGTCAAGAAGAACATGATTCTCGGAAGCGACGTCCATTTGTCGGTCGAATCCATTGCTTCCTTTGAAATGGAGTTGCTGATTGACTGCCGGTAGTGCTCCCACCGAGGTTGTCTCGCTGGAAAACACACTGAACGGGACGATCCTTCCGCAGGCAGAGATCATCGCCATTTCAGAGTACGTCCACTCGGAGGGTAAGAAGATGCACCTGGACGGCGCCCGGCTGTGGCATGTGGCAGCGGAGACCCAAACCTCAATGAAGGAGCTGTGCGATCCCTTCGACTCGGTCAGCTTGTGCTTCAGCAAAGGCCTGGGTGCGATGGCTTCACTTGCCCACCTCTGTGGGTCACTGACTGTCACGTGCAGGCGCGCCGGTGGGGTCCTGCCTCGTCGGATCCAAGACGTTCATCGCCAAGGCGCGGTGGTTCCGCAAGCTGTTTGGCGGAGGCATGCGCCAGACCGGTGTCCTCGCGGCATCCGCAGCCTACGCGCTGACTCACAACTTCCCTTTGCTTCCCAAGGTGCACGAGCTCACTCGCAGGCTTGAAGCTGGGCTCGAGGAGATCGGTGTGGGATTACTAGCCGCGCAGAGACGTGCATGGTAACAGTCCCCGCCCTCCTCCCAGCTTCTGCCGTTGACCGTCAAACTGCAGATCTTCTACGACGCATCCACTGTCGGTGTCACCTACGATGAGATCGCAGAAAGGGCGAGCCAGCTCCCTGAGCCCCTGGTCCTCGGCGGTTCTCGGCTGGTGGTGCACATCCAGACCTCCGAATCTGCGGTCCAGGACTTTTTGTCCGTGGTGAAGGAACTTGCCTCAGAAAAGGCTGCAGCAGGCTTCGTCAGGAAGGGCACGTCTCAAGAGCACGACTTTCACCAGGACGTCTACGTTCGCCGAGTGCCGAAAGACAAGGCGGAGTAGACATTGCATAGACAAGTAGAATAGAAACTATCCCTTGCCGATGTACCGCTGTTTCTCGTACTCGGCCCAGAGCGTTTTCATGATCGCTTTGCCGCCCGCATCGAACGCAGACACAGTCACGGCGTCACGGCTGTGCTCGTTGATCATGCTGCAGAGCGCATACAGCCCCGGGCGCAGTTCCCGGCGCACATCCGTGGGCAGAATGCACAGCGGGTCGTTCATCGCGTGCACGTACGTCTGTATCACATACGCGGCATGCTTCGAAAACGGACGGGCCAGAGACTCGGCCTGCTGCGCCTCCGCGTGCGACGAATTCGCCCGGATAGTCGTTTTCGTGATCAGCCCTTCGAGCAGACGGGAGAGCGCCTTCGCTTCCTCGGTTCCGAGCGGGGAGCCGGCTGTGATCCAGCGGGGAAGGGTGCCCGTCACGGCGGCCGTCTGTTTCGCCCCGAGCTGGGGCCGGACCCCCCTCATGGCGGCAATCAGTCGCTGGAGCACCAGCGTGAGATTCGGCAAACAGCCCAGGACAAGGTCCCGCCGGAGGCGGATGAGAGCGCTCGTCGCGCCAACGATATCGTGGAAGATGCGCGCGGTCGTTTCGGCATCCCGCTCCTTGCTTTTGCACAGGAATTTGGCGAATAGCAACCAGATCTCACCGACATCCTGGGACCGCAGAGAAGCAGGCTGATGGGATGGGAGTGAGTTCGGTTGTGCCCCGAACCTGCCATGGCACTCACGTGATCATAGCAATGTCGCTTGACGAATTCCAGCACTTCAAGACGCAAGGCGAGCGGCCCTGACGTGAACTCTGGACGATCCGCAAATACGGCGAGAGCGTCTGATAGGTACTTTTGAGTGTGCTTGAGTGTTCCTAGTCTGCGGTCAGAGTCTGAGAAGCGGTCGATGTGGGTGTTTACCAGGAGGATGTCTATCCAATATCAAGCCGGCAAGATGGACCAAGCACGGTAACACGACAGGTTCAGCGGTTTCCAGAAACTCGAACACCAGCTCCAGGCAGTAAGAGAAATCAACAGCGGCCAGTACTGGTATCAGCTGGCCCAGCCGATCATCCAACTGTGCGCGGGCTAACTCACCATCAGCCCTGTATTTCCGAAACGAATCGAACATCAACGCACCGTCCTCATTGCTGAAGAATTTGATGTAGGCCGCAAGGACCGCGCCTAGGTGGGCCTGCTTGTCCGCCGTCGCGTGGTATTCTTCGACGAGAATAGTGAAGGCGACAGCCACGGACTCTGGGCCACCAACTGCAGCGCACAGCTTCACACCGATCATCAGCTCATCTATGAAGGGTGATCAATCAGTCACATGAGATAGCCCGCAAGAGAGGACTGACCGCTCTGACCAAGCCATCTCCCCAGCAGCACAGTCTGCAGCCAAAGATCCATGAGTTCCGGGCGCGTGTAAAGACGGCTGATGTCAGCACGACATGTGGTAAGCATGGCCTGCCTCAGGCGCGACAGTGCTTGCTGGACGATGTTGGGCAGACTGGTGTCGTCAGTACGTCCACTTAACCACAGCCATCATCATAATACCCACCTAGCCACAGAAAAGTCCCGGATCAGCACGGCCACGATTTTGGTCAGTACTTGAGATAAGGCAGATGTGTATTCGCCCGTTGAAGGAGTGCATGATTGGAGGAGAGCCACCAGGTGCTCGCTGGTTTCCGCCTCAGAGGACTTCAACGAGGATCTGCGAGGGGATGATGATGAAGCCAACAAGACCAGGATGGTAATGGAAACATACACAAGCAGGATATCTACCAATTCCTGATCGACCGAGGAGAGTTTTGCACTGGACGCGATGTTTTGTTGCACGATGTGCCGCAGATACAAGGGATCAGACAACTAAAGGGAGGTGAGAGGGAGAGAAACACAGGCTCATTAGATATGCACGAACATTGTGGTCTGCCGATAGAAGCATGTTGTAGACAAACTGCCGCGAAAGAGACATGTCCTCGACAGGCAAGCCAGATTGCATGTCTGCCACAATTGCGCGCCGAACCAGCTCGACCCTGATCGAGCGCGGGAAGTATTCTGCGGGGATCACAGCCAGGATGCGGAACACAGCACCAATGTCTGAGGATGTTTGGCTGGCCGTGCATCGGTCTACGTGAGCGAGCAGTGAAGCTGCGGAGGATTTAGATACTCCCGAAAGGCGTCTGGGAATCAGTGACGCACTCCTTATGTTAGGCAACTCCCAGAATTCGGCAGATGTTAATGTGCTGAGAATGATGGGGCTGGCGCCAGAATCCAGAGGAACGGAAAACAGCACTTGCACTAGACACGTAAGTTCGTCAGCTGTCCCAATGGCGCTGTACAACATATGAGCGTCGCAAATGGAGCCAGTAATTGACCCACTCTACAAGCAACAGCCACCTGTCCAGAAGCATCCAAAGCACAGCCAAGACTGCTTCGTTCTCAGTCAGAGCAGTCGGTACGTGAGGCAGGGTTCCGCTCCAAGCCCCGCCATTCGTCTTGAGATAATTCAGGGCCCTCGCCACAGGCGACTCGCTGCCATCTCCAGCAGACCACGACAGTAAAACACGGAGCTAGCTACGGTCAGAAAAAGCAGAGCACAATTCAGAGCACTCACCATCTCGAGGCGAAGCTCCGGCAACATGTCTGGCATCTCGTCCAGCGCACGAAACATCATGTCGCGCATTTTCCGGGCCGGTGGCCCTTTCAACGCATACAGCAGTCGGAGGAGAGCGGCCGCAGTCCCCTGGGAGTCCCAAGACGCGGACTTTTGTGCATGCTTCAGCGCTTTGCTGATGCTTTTCGGCAGAAGCTCAGTGCGGAACTCGGCGAGTGCTTGCTCCGCCTCTGATTTCACTGTCTCTGAAAGAGTATGTATCGGCAGCGAGACCAGGACGACAGACGCGATCCCTTCGCAAAGGGACAGCGTCAACGCCAATTTGTCGGACAGGAAGGACTGGACGTGGGCCAGGACCGATGTAATCACGTGCGGAATCTGCGTGGGGGTCATGAACTTGCTGACTGCGTCTGCCAACGAGGACAGGTATTCCGGATGGAGAGGGGCGCTCCTGCTTTTGCGCAGGTATTCTGATTCGGGAGCTTCCGTCACGCGCTGTTTGGGTAAGCCCGCGAACAATATTTCCACGTGATCGTGTAATGTTCTGGTCTTCACGTGGTAGTCGAGGCACAACTGTAGAAAGTCGAACATTGGAGGGGAAGGGTCTGAGATCTTGAGGCGGTCAGCCATATACGTTGAGTCAGGGAGAGGGTCCGAGACTGACATTGAGTAACTCGGCGATGATGGACGACAAATGGCTCTCGACGAGGCTGAAATCGATCTCCACCAGCTTTGACAGGCAATCAACGGCACTGGCTGATCCCTTCTGAACGCTGCTGGACTGCAGATGCTGCAGAACAAGAGGCACAATAGCCAACAAACTCTGCTGACTTTCACCCGTGAACAGATTTTCATCACGCACGACCGCCAACAACGCGCTAGTAGCCTCCCATCGCGAAGCCGTTGCTGGTGGTGCCCCCGTCTCCAAGATTTGCCGCGCCGCATCGAAGAAAGCAAAGCATGATGCGTTGATCTGCTGCGAGACGGCGGACGACAGCTGCGTGCCGGAACTCGAACCCTGGCCAAACAGGGCATTGCGATTCCGCTTCGTCCGCTGCACGAATGCCGCGAATAGTCGAGGGAGAGCAGCATATACGGCATCCGGGTGCGGGAGAGTCTTCAACTGGACAAAAAGTGCGTTTCCTTCGTCATGTCGCTGTCGGAGCGTATCCAGACTGAAGAGAATGTCGACAGCCGTGGAGAATATGGGCTCCTGCGTCGCAGACGGTTCTGATACCGCTTGGATCCATTGACTCAGATAGTTTTGAATGAATGTCGTGCAAAGCTAAAGGAGGGTGGCCAATGAGTTAACCATTCGAACGATTCACTGCCTGCCCACGCACCTTCTTCTTATTCGACGAATTGCTTGCAGAACCTCGGATGGCCGACATGACAGAGACGCCAATAGCCTGCACCGCATCATTCCTCAACGCCGCCACGCTCCAGCACTCGATGTATCTCCCGTACAGCTCGAGAAGCGTCTCCGCGTTAATTTTTGGCGCGGCGACTGGCCAGACCACGCTGAAAGTGTGCCTCACGCCACTCACGAGCAGCGGAAGCGTGTCGTCCGTCACAGATTCGATCAGGTGGAGGAATGTGATGAAGATGGGCGCAACGGCGACGCGATTGAGGACGGGGAGCAGCCAGTGATTTCCCGTGGTGGATCCCTGCCCCAGGATTCGAGACAACAGGGTCCAGTAACGCGCATCCAGGATGGGATTTTGGGAGCTGCATTCCAGGAATGAATGTCAACTTCTTAATGATCAGAAGGGAGCGCACTTGATCTGCGCGCGATCCTTGAATAGTCTTGTGAGTATCCACTCCGCGATCACTTCGCCTTTGTTCGGCATATGCAAGGCCTGATTGTCCCATGCTGAGCAGGCTATCTGTATTTTGGAAGGTCCTCCGGGTCGTGGCGGATCGTTCTGAGCCTTGAGGTCGTAAAATACCGCTTGGGATGCCATCCCATCGAAAACGCGGTTCAGTACAAAATGCCAATCAGTGGCACGGTAATTTTCCATCAACGCCCTGCCACTGTCAGTCATCTGTCAAGAGCCCTGTTTGGCAGCTCATGGATGCATGAACTCGATGTGTTTATTTATTCCTACTGATTTTAGCGGCAATTAATCTGTATACATGGGTAGGATATTATTATGCATATGCCCTTCTCCTGCTGTGGCAGGGCCCCACATGCCAGTCAGACCGGAATCTGCGCCGCTCCAATCCAGGCCGAAAGCGCCGAGATCGATGTGGTAGCCATAATCCACGGGCATGGGGCTTGCTGTCTCATGGCTTGCTGTGGAGTTGTGGTCGCTGCTGGCGACGGCGTCTGGCTCGTAGGTGCCCTCGAGGGCCGAAACGACACTGGTATACTCGGCGGATGATTTAAGACAGTTGATGACAGCCTCGGCTCGGGTTAGGGCTGGACTGGCCAGATCCCACATGTAATCCCGATGTGCCGCCTGCAAAGCCCGTTGCAGGCGACACAGCATTATCAGGGGCATCGTTCGAGGGCTGGCCTGGACTGAGTTGGACGACCGTTGCCCGGGCATGGATGCCGAGGGTAGAGAGGACGTCGCCAGGCTCAGCCGGATGAGAGAGGAGGTCAGTGAAGAAATTATGTGTCCAACGTCTGCGGACAGTCAACAAAAGGCTACGGAGAAGGACGGCATGTTCTCACAGTTTAGCCAAAAGCTGTCAAATGCACGGCTGTCCAAAGCACAGATAAAGTCTACAGCCTCTGCATACATCTCTAGAGTGGCTGGATCTGGTGTAAATCTGTACCGGGGGTTCAGAGAGAGATGGAGGAGAGATGCAGATCAGACTTACGGACTACCTAACCCGATGCTTAGTTCAATCGATATGCGACGCAGCATGCACCGGAACCCCAGAATACAAGTCATGAGTGACGCTGGGTATCACATCTCAACAACAAGTCAATGTTTCAAGAGCATTGGCACACACCGACACCAGAGGAAGAGACCCGCCCAGTTTCGTCGCGACGAACCTCGACCAGCAGCATCTCCGTCTCCTCCTCGATGATCTTGACTCTGGATAACCGTTCTGACGGTGCTAACATACTGGAAGCCAAGGTGCAGACCTCAGTCTGCAGGCGAGAGCAGAGCAGCGACAGTCGGCAAAGCGAAACAAAACTCTGCGGAGATCGAACGGAATCTGGAGCGTACATGGAGTTGGAAGCAGATATCAGACCAAGTATGTCTGATATTGCAATAGCATGGTTATCGGCTTGGATGTGCGACGGCCGGGAGTTGAGAAATGACATCCTGCCATGAGCATCAGACATGCCGAACAAGCCAGACACCCCTTGCTGTTACCATGCATCATGAATCCTTAGAGACCACCACAAGGTGCGTCGAAGCTCCTTTTCCCAAGAAGGCAGGGCCCATGCTGAAGGATTGATATGAAGCCCGAGCAATTGAGCTTGAGCAATGGTCTTGAGGCACGGTCAATTATGGCGAACACAAATGTGATGACTGCTTACGCGAGCTAACAACAGATAGTTGGCCTCGACGTCATTGACTGGTCGTGCTGACAGTTCCAGCAGAGCAGTAGAAATGCTGGATAAGCGAGACGGGAGATTTCGGGGGATGTCTTCGCTGGAAGTCATGAGACTCTCGATCGAGGCTCGGGCCGCACGGTACTGCCGACAGTGGTTGAGCGCTGTCAGGCACATGCGAGAGTAGAGAAAACTGTCGATCGGCTGTTGGTCATCTGGGGGGATGAAGACCAAAGGAAAGGCAGGATTAGATAGCCCAAGATAGATGTCTGCCAGGGCTTCTTCCGAGGGCGGTGGGTCGAGCAAAGACAGACATGACTTCAAGGTGGCCAGCTGCTTCTTTCCCGGACTTGAATTGATCCCTGGTATCAGTTTCAGTGGGTCATACGACAAGGCGCGCAGTTGTGTTACCTGTCCGGTTCTTGGCGAAGATGATATACTAAACAGAATAGTAAGTGTCCAGGTCACACCGAATGAGATGGAGCCAGTACCTGCGGCTTTGAGCGATCACAAGATATTTGTCGAATGTGGGCAGTTTCTGAAAGAGGTGTGTCCTCCGGACCGGCTTGCCGTGTCCCTATAGGAAGCAGGTCGTCTACAGGCCAATGAGCTCATAGCACTCACATGCGTCTGATGCGCCTAAGAACGCACCTGTGAGTAGTGTAGTGATGACATGAGGATCAAGAGATCTTCCAATGGAGAGGTCTAGCGAAGCGTGTTCCGAGTCTCCTGTCCTTAAACGCTTCTCCTGGGCCGCAGCATAGCTGAGGGCCTGTAGCGCAGCAGAGCCCCCTTCATCAGGGCTACGCGGGCGCTTGACAATGACTGATTTGGCGGGTTTCAGAGAGTCGACGGTGGCTTGAGAGGTTGTTGCGACGGCTGGGGCAGGAGGAGGCTTGGGTTTCTTTCGTTCTGGAGGAAGTTCATCGAAGGTGCATTGCTTTCCCATTTGCCTGACACCAAATAATGACCGATCGTTCTGGGAAACAAGCCGCTTGACACTTACTGGCACTCCAAGCAAGGGGGGCCGCCTTGAGGAATGGCACAGCGACTTTTGGATCTTCGCTAGGACATCATCATCAGGAGTGTGGGCAAGGAAAGAAGCCGAAGAGAACGTACGCAACCGTCACATGGCCTTAGCTTGCGGGATCGGAACGGCCGAGAAAGCTGAACCTTGGAAACATCCCCGTCTAAACCGCGGAAACTAGTGGATCACGAAGAACGGGCGCACTTGAGGGCTAGGCTCCGCTTCTGACGGCTGAGCGTTCCATGACATTTGGAGCAACTTGATTTCGAAGGCTGTCCGGCCGCGGCGAAGAGGGGATATTGACGAGCGCGGCACAGAACGCGATTGTTTCGAATGTTTCGACTCCTAGAAACAACTGCAAGTTCTGTGAGACCGTCCTTCGTGTCACGATCCTGACATGTGACTTAATGATCACTGGAACGGCTTTCGTACCTTCTCCACATTTGCTCCCGAGCATCATGCTCAAACGTCTCCGTCCAGCATCCCCTACTTTCCCGAGCACAACAGAACCAGAAGACGGGTCGATTCCAGACCCGAAACGGCGCAGAATGCTCCCGCCAACTCTGGATGGCATGTCGAGATCGCTGCATTGCCACTATACTCCCGACCTCGAAGACGATGAAGAAGACGACACGAATGTCGACGAGTCTTTCCAGCATGACCCGACGCAAAGCCGAGAATACCGTTCTGCAAACCATCTCCTGCACGATCTACACGCGTCACATCGGCACAGACTCATCTTCTCCTCCGCTTCGTCACCCTTGCTGCAATCATTAGACAGACGAGAGTTTCCCGTAAAGGACGTCGTGCAGACTTCGAGTCCCTTGCAACGCGATAAATTTTACGACTCCAGTAGCATCAATGAGGATGGAGCACCGGTGGGAGAACTCGAGAGCGTCAAGATCCGGTATCAGGACAATAACAAGTACGTCCTGGTCATCGGGTGCTCGCTATTGCTTGTTGAACTTCGTTAGACTACTGGGCTCTCTCGTCCTCAATCGTAGGCGACAGCTTGACTCGGACACATAATGAACCGCTGAAGCCCATTGTACTTTTACATGCTCTCTTGCCGGCACCTATCTCATGTTCAAGTTTTCGCAGTGTAATTTCCTTGGAGTCTGCAGAACATCACCGCACAATTTATCAGGCATTGCTCATACTAGAATTCTGTACTATTATCCATACTTGCTCTCTTCGGGTCGCGATCTTAGTGTAATCCGCTTTTACTAATCACACTCGGCCGCGCGTTGTCCACAGGCCAATTTGATTCACACGTAAGGGACTGATGACACGTGATCGCAATCCCTTTGAACAGTGCTACTGACTACTGGGATCTGCGGTGAATATGCTCCCTCGAAGCGTGCTCATATGCAGCAGAAACTTCTCCTCGTCTACGAAGCGGTCTGTTCGTCGTTCTGTACAAGAAACACGGCGAGCGGCGCGTCAGGACAGACCATCACTGGCACCACAGGAATTACAGAGAATCTTATTCGAAGAAAGCAACCGTGCCTTTGGAAAGGATCTTGACGGAACACTCGTTTCTCCTGATGAAATGACGGATTCAGTGTGGAGTGAGTGTTGATATACCCACTCGATGTGGCCGCACTGAAGTAAGTACTAAGAGGATATCTACAAAACGTCGAAGAACGACCCTCAAGTAATGCAAGCCTGGCGTTCGTTTCTAATTTTCTTCGACAAACATGCCTCACATTTGCCTCAACTTAGGGGATGATCTCAGGAAAAGACCAAGGTACGTTGGCCACGACGATCATTGAATTCGAGTCTGACTGCGCTACAGGGACACAGGTAAGAACATATGGCGCTGGCGTCGGCAGAGGTCGTTGATGCACGCCGGATACAGATGCGACTGCCCCCAATTCCTCGTCGGGTGTAGCCAAGCGGGGCGCCACCAAAAAATGAAGATCCGGCTTTCACCCTAGCACAATTTCGGATCGCTCAGTCTTCCATGGTCTGAGACACATCGACCGGGCGTTGGAGCGCGTCGCTGAGCTCTTCATTCAAGAGCTCCAGCAGGCCCTTTCCGTCTCTGGAATAGACCCAGTCCTTGACATCCTCTCGGTAGTCGTATCGCTTCGGCCCGCTAAAGTCATGAGGAAGAACTATTTGGTGCTTGGACAGCGAACGGAAACGAACCTGAGCGGCGAAGAGAGCCATATCTGTTTATTGGGAGGCTGCTTGTTTATCACATACGTGCCATGTGTGCCAAGCTGTAGTGTCAACACCCCGCTCTGCGAGTGAGTAGTTAGTGCAGAGGTAAGACACCCAAGCAATCCGCGGCTGACATGGTATTCCACCTCAAGACTCGGATCCCCACTCTCATCTACTAGGTTCTCCAATGCGTGCAAGAGATTGTCCATTGTGTGGTCTGAGAACGCATTGTACTTTTCAATCGACAAGTCACTGCAAACAGGCTTCCGGCTCAGTCCTATTATGGCGGAGGGCGAATGGAAGGCGACCTGTGGCTAATCTGAGTCGAAGGGGTGCTCAGTCCACGCGCGAGCGCGATGAAAGGGAGAGGTGTTGTCCGAAGTCTAAGGGCGCGTCCGCTCGACACCAAGCATTGCCGTCGCAGCACGGAAGAAAGCATAATGATCGCAAGAAGGTCGGTGATGGCACGTGCCGACAGACAGAACGCGCTGGTGGTGAATGCTATTCGGAGGCCGATTCACCGTACTTACAATTCTCGGATTTCACTGTTCAGTCTATGGCTGAATGATTGATCCTACTGTATACCGAAGGACTACGCTTGCTGCAATTACTATTACGGTGCAATCCATGTGACATGTTATTTTCTCTGAGATCATCATGAGGCAATCCTAGTAATTACTTCGCAATCTTGGACAGGTACTGTATTACTTGGAGATTTCCCCGCCCTTCTCGACCCACTCGAGCCAGGAACCCTTATAATTCTTGATCCTTTGCAAAGGTGAGCTTGTCTGTGCAGAGTCGCGTGCATATAGAACTCGTACTCTGTATATCCGTTTCGCTTAGCGACGTCGCTTGCCGAGGTGCTCCGCTTCCCGCTTCTGCAGTAGAAAGTCAACTCCTGCGCCTTCTTGGGTTTGGGAAAGCCGTGTTTAGCCTGGAAGACGTCCGGGCTGAGATGCAGCGAGTTGCTGAGCACCGAGAGAGGGAGGTTGACGGCGGAAGGTATCATTCCTTGAACGACTTCATCCGGTTCGCGAACATCAATGAGGTAGGCGTCCTGATACTATTCAGCAGGCAGAACCTTCGGTGTCGAAGAAGCATCGCACGGGACTCGGGCTCTGTGTCTTGGGGAGCAGTTGTTCAAAAGTGATCACTGGAGCATCCCAATCGCGTTGTAGGTCATCGGACAATTTCTGAGCAGCTTCAAAGGCGGCAGCGCGCTTGGCCGTGGGATCCTCAGGGATGGGTGTCGTAGACTGGTGTCGGACACAGGGTAGCATGCGTGGCACTACGACGGCAGAGCGACAAGCGCGGGGGGAGAAGGTACGAGTAGCACGGACAGCAGTTCGAAGCATTCTGCGTTGAAGAGAGAAACAGTAGACGGTATGGATCAGAAACCGCAGTGGTCCAGGTTGGGGGCGCCGAGGTAAATATTACTGTACAGCACGTGAGCCAGATCGATCTTATCCGTAGACCTTCTAATCTAATCTACTCAGCGCCGTGGACACATGTGCAAGCACATCATGACCATCATAAAAAGTTTTTCACCCAGCCTAAAAAATTACTGGATTAGGCCGATCAAAGAACGACGATCTCAGATCTCGAACTGGGACATAAATTGCTACCGAGCGACCACCTGAATCTCCAGCTCCTGCCTACCGGATAGAACATGTTGGCCTTCACTGCTCTTGCCCTCTCCAGCGTGCTTGCCGTTGCGAATGCACACTTCCAACTCCAATTCCCGCCGCCCCGGGGAGTCTTTGTTCAAGACTCCGAGCCCACTTTCTGTGATGGTTACAATTCGCCCGCCAACCGGACATCCTTCCCGCTCACTGGGGGCTTCCTGACTCTGAACTCCGAGCACCCCTCCTGGACTGGTAATTTCGACTTCTGTGTCCGGCGCGTCCTTGGCTCACATACCGATTCTTAGCTGGGATCTTTGCCACGAGCAAGGCCAACCCGACGAACTTCTCCGACTTCTCGACGACCGTCACGAACTTCTTCCAGGACACCGGAGAGGGTGTATTCTGCTTCCCGATCAATCTCTCCTCCTTCTCCGACGGACAAAACGTAACGATCGAGGTGAGTCCGGTCTCCTGGGTCATCCTCCGCGCGACTCAGTATCCGCTCAGGTTATCTTCAATGGCGGAGATGGCCAGCTTTACCAAGTATGTTTTATGATGTGCTCGATGACGGCCCCCGTGCTGACACTCTCAAGTGCGCTGATTTGACAGTCTCCAAGTCTGCCACGATCGCCTCCGACATAGCATGCACCAATGCCACTTCGTCCGGGAGCTCGGCTGCTGCATCAGCTAGCCGCACAGCCACTGGTTCAGCCGCCACATCCTCGACGACAGCCCCGTCTGCAGGACAGCGTATCCAAGCCAGCGTGTTTGGACTCGGACTCGCTGCTTTGGCGATCGCATTTGTTGCCTAATGGCCTTGATGATGATCAAATTACTTCTTTAGGATCGTTGGCGTTCTAGTCGCCTCGTGTATGCTCTGGTCACGCTGTCAATTGACTGGATTATGAAATTCATTGCACGTGTTCAATCTAAGCATCAGTTCGTCTTGTGAATAACGCTTTCGGGCCTGAGGCTGTACCCCGTCCATGACTGGCAGAGGCTCGAATCTGAGAGGGACTGGAAAATCGACAGCACTGACCTCATCGTAAATGCTGATCTTTCGAACACCGAGCAGCTCGAGACCGAGCCAGAGGATGGCTGCTGTCATTCCGCTTCCGCAGCTTGCAATGACGGGTAATTGGCCACTGAGGATGGCCTCGGCCTTTTCAGAGCCAGCCGAGTCCACGACAGCCTTCTGCATCTCATCCTTGGATGCGACAGTTGTGTATGTTGTGCCATTCGGTGCGGTGTTCGATTTGAGGAACACATTGAAGGGCAGCGAGAATGAGTTGGGGATATGGCCCGAAGAAAGCCCCGGCCGTGGTTCAGGGTCAGTCCCATCGTACCTGGTAGATGATCAGCGGAGATCGGATGGATAGGCGTTGAGTATACGAACCGTCCGCGACTGCGAGCATCGAACACAAGCTCAGCACCGGTGCTCAGGCCAGAATTCGAAACAACCTGTTCATACGCTATGATAATCAGTCCCTGCACAGTCGTCATCGTGTCGCGAGATGACGACTTACATCTAACGACGTTCGGGTCAAGGACGGGAGTGGGGTACTCTGCCAGAGTTTCGTCCTCCGATCCAGGCTGAGAGGTGTTTATCGGAAACCCCTCAGCCTCCCAGCGAGGCAGACCGCCGTCTAGGATAGATGCATTCTTGTGCCCAAACGACTTGAACATCCAAAGCGCTCGTGGAGAAGAAAAGACCTAAGGGCACTTGAGATCGGACGCTCGAGTAGCTTGACACACACATACACCGTGTGCGTCGTATATGACCACATTCGTGGAGGGTGAAATCCCAAACTTCTCTAGCATTCCATTCTCAGGCGTGTAAGTTGAACAAGAATCAGGTTTAGGTACCACATGCACGGGCGAAAACATCGCCAGTGGGCATCATATGTCTAGTAATTGAGCTTCTCAGTGGAAATGAGACAAGAGGACGCACTTCAGTCCCAACGAATGTGAGCTCGCGACTTGATCGAGATCGAGAAACCTGGCATCAGCAATGCGTTTTTGGCGATATTCGGATACCGCAACCCGCGTCGAGTTGGGCATGAACCATGTCGAGTCCAACACCACAGTTTTGGTGGCTTGAGAACGCAACAGACCAGCAAGTTGGGCGGGAGTGGTCAACATGACGTTCGGCCGATAACATCCGACGCGACGCGACCGTCAACTTCAGTACACCTCTCAGCCGAAACCGTCATGCCTTCAGATCAAAGCACTTGGCTCATTGCCGTGCCTCAGGATGGAGACTCTGAGGGACTCTTGGAGGAATTGTCGCCCAAAATATACCAGCAATCCAAGGCCAACTTGGCCGCATCGCTAACCATTCCATCTTTCAAGGTGATCTGGGTAAATGCATGCTACTTCAACAGAGGCTGACCGTCGCACAGACCGGTACATTGGACGGCCTGATCACACTCTCCGAAGATCTACCCAAACAGGAGACATTCTTCACGACAACCGTGGCGAAGACGGTCGATACCCTCCGGAACCTGCTCAACAACGACCCCTCTAAGCTCAAACAGCACGTTCTCGTCAATGAGCAAACCGTCGACAACTATATCACACAGGACTGGAAGTGGAACGAGGGAAGATATGGTGTGCAAAGAGGCCTGAGGGAAATCGTTGAATCGCTGGCTAAGGTGCGCTCTATGTGCATTCATCGACAACTTGCAAGCCAATCGTGTTCAGGATATGTCTTCCATCGACAACGCCATGAAGGCGAAGCTGGCCAATTATAACATGGTCAAGGGCTCGTTGGTCCAGCTACAGCGCAAGAAGACGTGCGATCTTCCGCTAATTGACACTCCACCACTCACACTCCTCCCATCAGTGGAAATCTGTCGATCCGCTCTCTCGTCGATGTTGTGTCCAAGAAAGATTTCATCCAGGACTCGGAGTACCTCGAGACTCTGCTGGTCGCCGTCCCCAAGTAAGCATGAGCCAAGTAATCTCGCCTACTTTCGCGACTGACGCTGCGGAAAGAACGAATGTGAAAGATTGGAATGTGTCGTATGAGCGACTAGTATCCATGGTCGTCCCCCGCTCCTCCAAGTGAGTTCTGCTCGTAGTGAATGGAATTCGATCTGATTCACGTTCCAGTTCGATAGCCTCCGACGACGAATATACCCTGTTCAGCGTTGTCGTCTTCCGCCGGGCGCACGATGAATTCATCCAGAAGTGTCGAGAGAACAAGTGAGTATTCACATAGCGAGCAATTGCGCGTCGTTTATCCGGTCCCAGATTCATCGTGCGGGACTTTGTCTACTCGGAGGACGAGGTTGCGAAACAGCAGCAAGAGCTCGAAACAGCCGATACCACGGAGAAAGAGCTTTGGGTAGGGCCTGATCGTCCGATGCATACAAAGCCGCCCTAACGGCCCACTTCCAGACCGAACTACTGCGTCTTTCCAGGACCAACTTCTCGGAATCCATCCAACTGCTCGTCCATCTGAAGGTGGTCCGGTTGTTCGTCGAGAGCGTTCTCCGATATGGACTACCTGCCAATTACACGGGCGTAATCGTCAAGGTCCGTATGACTTTCTCGCGTTCTTGCGGCCGGCATTTATTGCTCTCCAGCCCGACCCCAAGACTGCGAACAAGACGTTCGCCGTGCTGCAAGCCCAATTTACGTACCTGCGTCCTCGATCAAACCGGACCAGCAACGGCCTGGGCCAGAACGAGGAGTTTGCGGGTGAATACCAGACGCTGATGGAGCAGGAGCTGTTCGACTTTGTTCTGTTCGAGTTGCCGTGGATTGTGTATTAAATGCACGTTTTGCACATCTATTAGACTGAGCTGAGGCTTTACTATACATGTAATACAGGCGTTGAAATGAAAGGTGATGGCGATGTGTCGGATTTCGATATACAGTTTTGATGGGAATGGGCTACAAACCAAGATTCGAGATGACTCGAGAAACTTCTTCAGTATCCAGGTCCTGCCGGTGGATTGCTGTGCCGATCACAGCGGAGCGCGAAACGTTTGACCCATACACACTGGGGAAAGATGGAGCAGTGGCCGAGGTTGGGCTCGAATTGCCTCCGTTTTCTCCAGTCGAAGTCGTTGGAGATTCCGGCGGCGGCAGACGCGACGACGACTCAGCGATTCGAGAAAGAGAATACGTCAAGTCCAGAGATTGCGCCCGATTCTGGAGCGAACGAGGCTTGGAGATCTGTTCCCTAAGCTTGGCTTCGAGGAGCGAATCAGATCCACGCTTGACTGCATCCTCGTTGTGCCGGGTGCGGTGGGGAATTCCAGAGCCCTGGAAACGTGAGATCCTGCAAGCCATCGAGAACAGTCGGAACTCACAATCGGAGGCAAGGGGGTCCAGTAATCCAGTCCAGTGCCGGAAATAGACGCAGAGGAGATGAAACTTGAACGGTCGCTGTGGTCCTCCAGGTCGTAGATGTAAGCCGGAGAGTTGAAAAGAGCTTTGACATCAGGCGATGAATTCGCCATCCGTAGTCTTCTGTCTCCAGCGATATCCGGTCGACCGAGATCATTGGATTCTGGTCGTAGTCAGCAAAGAGGCAAATCAAGTCAGAGGAGACACTTGCCATGATGGGTCCGAGCAGTGGACAACAACTTGCTGTCAAAGTGCGGAAACGAGTCTGCAAAGGAGTCGCCTCGTTTATGGATATGGGATACCGGCGCTGGAAACAGTGGCACGTTGTGGTTGGTGAGGAACTGCTCCAGCATTTCCCGGGCCGTGATGAGGAAATCGGAATTGCTGCGCTGGCAACGGAACTTGAATGTGTATTCTGAGGGCATCTCCGTTCCCACATCTTCAGGGCCATGCGGCATCTTGACATTGGGCACAATGGAGACCTGCAGCTCCCGTTTGATGCGCTCGACGAGGCTACTAAATTCAGGAGACACGCAGAGATGAGCTAGCTCAGGACCCGGAGGAACCGCCATGTCTGCTTCAAATGGAACATGATCCTAGAAAGGTAATCAGTCAGCTAGTCTCTTTGACCAACAGGGGAAAATAACAGACAAGTAGCATAGCAGCGGCGATCTGGACCTGGCTCTCTGGTCCGAAGATCGTCACGATGTCAGACGCTGTTTCTTTGGCCGGGAAACGGACGTGAGAATTGGTCTTGCCCTCGATATCATGGATGAAGATGCATTTTTCGCCAAGCAAGGTACGATGATAACGCCGAGGAATGGAGACCGTCTCGTTGATATAGTCTTTGTCCTGCAGACAGAAGGTTCAGTAAACGAAAGCAGGACATAGAAAGACAACGCACCTTGGGATTGACAAGCTCCATGACCGACTGCTTGAGATTGTCCAGATTAATCGCATTTTTGGCTGGGGTCCGGGCCACGACGTTGTCGTCATTATCGTTATAGCCACCGAGAGCAGCGAACTCCTCCGCATTGGAGAATTTGACATACACGCCGTATTTCTTCATGATCCGCTGGATGCTTCGACCACCGACCCCAATGATGCGCTTGTGATAGGCCTCCGGCACATGGAAGGAGATTTCTGCCGGCAGTTCCTCCTGCAAGAGCGACAAGCCTTGCAAAACAGACGCATCGCCACCGGCAATGTCGATGAGGAAGTTATAGTCGTTGAAAGTCTCGAACTTAATCTTGACATTCGTAGTCTGCATGATTTTGTTGATTTTGCCATTCTTTTTGCCGCTGATGAATTCGCGATGCTCGTTGGCAAGCTCGATTTGGAAGCGTATTTCGTGGTGGAAGGCCTAAGACGGTCAGAAGACTCCAAGGCCGCGATGCATGGTACTTACCTGAATCATCTCCAACTCCATCACCATGTTCATCGCAGCGCGAACTTCTTGTTCCAACCCATGCATCTCGAAACACATGCTTTTGAAGACCACTTCTGATCCCGAAGCCACAGATATCTGCTTCAGAAGATTTTGTACTTGGGAAGGATTCAACGTGGCCGGCGGCAGCAACGCATTGAACTGGACCGGAAGAAGCCAGAAAGATCCCACATAGTAGTGGCAGGCCTGACGAACGTCAATGACACGCTCACCCCGTCAGGACGGCACGCACGAGTTGCATGATAGAACGAATCGTTCGCTGGATGTTTACTCTGTGATCCCCATAGACTGTGATCAAACTGGTTGAGCTGCCGAGAGCAGGGAACTGGATGAAAGTCCCGTTGTCACTCATGATGGATTTGAGGTCGTCGGCGCGGTCGGTTACCATCCAGTCCAGCTTCCGCGGCAAGATCGCCGTGTCGCGTGACATCAAAGACTTGCTCTACGCGGGCTGAGAAGCCGTCAACGGGTAAATGGAAGCCGTACCTTGGTTGTGGAGACAGAAAACAGCATATCGCGAGCCCTCTGAACCCCGAAAAATTCACCCGTGATCCAGATGATGTTAGGATTCCTTGCGCTGGTAGTCGAATCGGCACCAGGAAAATCTTGACCGAAAAGCGCTTGCAACGGTGACGGAAGATAGATATTGGTACCCGTCTCTTCCTGGATGGTCTGCAGAACCGCTCGCTTCCGACCAGCGATGATGCTGTGGAGTTTGTGATCCACTTCGCACATTTCCGCATGCAGTCCGTTCTACCATAATCTCAGTTTCATCGGGTAAAAAAGACAGATTCGAGGACGCACCAATTCATCGAGCATAACCAGAAGACGCACCCGCGCCAAGTCCACAGCATCACCCTGGCCAGTAACCACCAATTCACATACACGCTCCGTCTCAAGTCCCGACCAGCCTGCAGTGATACTGATGCCGTCTGGAGGGGTGCGGTTGGACAAGGCAAGTGGACTATTGACGACCGCGATGTGAGCCAGAGTCTGCGAGGCGATTTCGTCCAGCCGTCGGCGGACTTCGGGCTTCAGGACCGGATTAGAAGAGGGCGAGTCGAGGATCTCAGAGCGAGCAACTTTGATGGCCGCACGTTGCTACAAAGCGATAATGTGAGACATGCATGACTGATAAACTACAGAGTTTGCAGGCATACCTGAATGGGGCACTCCTTCAAAATCATTCCACGAGCCGTCATCACCTGTTGGTAAGAGCCCGAGATGTAAAAGTTCCAGCGACCCGGGTCGGCCATGAAGTACGAGATATGGACACCATGGAGGCTCATGATCATCATGGCCAACTTTTGTATGGCCTCGCCATTCTCCGCTTGGAGAGTATCAGGAAGGTTGCTGTTGACATGCTGGAGATGAGAGGGATACGAATCGACGGAAGGAAGACGAATTTCCGTGCCCGGGAACTCGAGCGAAGAAGGGGCGGAAGCGGAATGAGTGTGTCGCGACCGGCGGGGATAAGTGAAAGAGGTGGTGTACACATCCATAGTGACTAGAGGTGGCACGTCGCCCGTGTCGAACTGTACGATTAGGGATGTAGAGTTTTATTGTACAGACGGGTATGAGGTGGAATAGGAGGGGTATTGGTGATGACAGAATGGTATCCTTGCGGAGACGCGGAAAGAGGAAGGAAGTGGAAGTGATACTTAGACAAACAGCCGATCTGACGCAAACGCATCTGACTTGGACCTCACTACAATCATCGACAGGGTCGTAACTCTGCTCCCTGCATTACTCTCGCTACTATCATCTTACTAAGATGGGAAACTACGGGCTGGAGGCTGCTCTTAAAAGAGGTCTCCTTCCGCGTTGGGATCGTAGTCAAACAGTTTGTTGTAGCAAGATGTGCCGGTGGCAGAAAAATGTTTGTAAGGGTCGGAGGCCTGTAGTTTTTCACCACATCTATAGCAGAAATGCATCTTACAGCGAGCGCAAGTCATCTGTATGAAAGCGATCAGATCACCGGAATGCCGCTCTGGCAGAGAGGTCACAAACATGATTGCATCCCATACTCTTCTCGATGGGAAGAGAACATCCTGGACAGTTTTGTGTCGAATCTTCTAGCCATTTCTTGTTCAACTGCTCTTCTTCGTAGTTGGCTACCAGTTTGTGGATGAGTTTAGCTCCGTATCGCAGTTCTAAAAGACGTCGATCTGCGCTATTCTGTGGTAAAGCAAGGTATTCGCGAACGACTGCTTCGGAATGGGCAATAACACAATCCTGCACAGCGCCGTGCCCTGTTGATTGGTGAGAATCTGAGCAGCTCTCGCAACAGACAGCGAGACTAACACGTTCGCTTGCAGAAACCGCAGAACGAGAACTGGCAAGCAGGACAAATACGCAGTCTATCACCGCCAGCATCTGTCTCAGATTCTGGAGGGCGAGGCACAGGGCTTTGGCAGAATACCATAGGGCAGTGCACCAGTGTAGGATCTGGCGGTCCCTTAAGCTAACAACTCTCGTGCAACAGAGATGACCACACCTTTCTCGAACATTATTTTCTGTTTCAGTGCACGCCATCGCTGCACCAACTGTTCAGGGACAACCCGGGCGATCTCTTCTTCATCAGACTCTCGGCCGTTCTTGACGCATTCCGGATCGGGACAGCCCAGTTTTTCGACACTTCCCTCAGTAATCGAAAAAGACCAGTAGTCCAGGAGACATGTTCGACAGAACACGTGCTGACAACGAAGCTTCATGCACTTTGCTCCTTTGATCGACGTCAAGCAGACGGCGCAACTGAAGGACGCTTGAGTGAATAACGATGTCCTGGACGATTCATCGAACGAAATGATGTCACTTCTGAGTTGCGGCGCGGATCCGTCGAGGGTTATAATTCCATTTGAATCGCGTAGACCCAAGTAGTCGAGAAAGTCTCCACTTCGGATGAGCTCCACCCAATCATAGAGCACGCCTTCTCCTTGACGCCAGATACCCAAGAGCTTGCCATTCAGCTTCAGGAGCTGGGTCACCGTCATCCACCCGCAGCGGATCGAGAGTTTCGGCGGCTCGTCATGAGAAAGGTAGTCCTCGGGAAGAATGACGTCCAATAGTATAGGCGGAAGATACTCCACCAGAAATGTATCATCGTCGTTCGTAGGCTCGGGCTTTCGCCGCTCGACAAGTCGCACGTTACGGAGTTGTCCAAGTTGGATTGGGATTTCAAGTTTGACTGATTGTGCTTTGCCGTCGAACCCGTCTTCGGAAACAGAAACAATGAAATCAGGGTAGATGGACTGAGGGGACCATCAGGGTAGCCAATGCGAAAGCAGGGACGACGCACATCAAGGACTTCTAGCTCGGACATGTCGATGACTCGCAGAGCGGTTCAGTCATGGTCAAACGGATGAGGGCACCCCAGTCCGTCCGGTCAATCGGAGAACGGCTCCCGAAAACAATATAGGTAAATACACCATTTCTTCCTCCGAGGAGTCACCAGTGCTACTCTCTTACTCTATCTTATCTATCATCTAGTCTGTCATTTGCCCGTACATAGAAGCAGACCAGTTATTCTGACCCGCCTCACACGTGCTCCACAGTCCAGCGCATATCATCTGATCAACCATCGGAATCATTGCGCATGCCGATCTGCTTGGCTTCATCCTCTGGTCATCATACTCCAAATCCTCTTCCATCGATTTCAGATAGACTGTACAGGACTACGAGGATCAACCATCGGAAACTGCGCGAGCATGCCGACTGATCCTGGTCATCTCTCGTTCTGGCAGGACTCTGAGGTTGGAACTGTTCTTTCTACACCGGACCGTCTGATTCGCCTGCGGCCATCAATGACATTGCAGGCGGAGTCCTCAGCGCTTCGGCTTGTTTTCGGGATCTTATCGCCAAGGCGGTCTTCGACGACTATGACGGTTTTCTTATCAGCTGCTGTATGTTCCACAGCGGCCGAACAATCTCATTTTATGACCCGCACAGTTTCTAATCATCCACTGATCTCAATGCTACGCGGGGCGACTTCTAAGCCAGTCGTCGGAATATTAGAGGCTTCTGTCGCGCAGTCACTGCTTTGCGGACAGAGGTTTGGCATCTTATCGACAGGATCGGGTTACAGGTACGATCGATACGACGAGATTCGCGCCTTCATGGGTGGCAGCTCGGAGAAATTTGCGGGGTTGGTACCGAGCGGACTCGGGGTTGTAGAGCTCCGGGAGGGAGATCGAGCCAAAGTGGAAGCAAACATGAAGGTGCGGTCTTCATACGACGGGCTTCGAATATCACTGGACATGTTTCTCCTTCCATTTTCCAGCAAGCCGCTCGAAAGTTAGCAGGATTGGGATGCGACGTCATAATCCTCGGTTGTGCCGGGATGGCAGGCATGGAGGAGCTAGTGAGAAGCGGAGTAAAGGAAGCGGAGCTCGGCAATGTGAAGGTCGTGGACGGTAACAAGAGTGGGATCGAATTTGTGGCGGCATTGGTACGCCTTGCAATGAGTGCTTGAGCGCTCAGTCGTCTAGACGAAGCACCTTATCTCGAATTTTAAGGAGTGAATAACAATAATTTAATATTGGGATCAGATCACCTGCACCGCCTCCAGTCGCTCGTGCCCATTGGTCACGGTCGCGCTCGTCGACTCTTGCCCCCCACTGTAACGAGCTAGTCGAAAATGGCGGAGATGGATGTTTTTGCGGCTATGGGAATCGCTGGCTTTGGAAAAGCTGCGCCCAAAAAACAGCTGGACCCTGCCCGATTTGACGCTAACAAGCGGGGAGCCGCCACCAAGGTGTGTTCGGTGTTACATGGTTCTCGCTCAACTCAACGACGACAGTCTGTTCAACCTGCGGTAGAGCCTTCTCACGCGGGTCCATCGGGTTCTACAAGCCCCGACGAGCCAAACGGAGACAGGGAGGGGTCGGCTCCAGCAGAGCCAGAGTTCGATCCCGACGACGATGCAGACCTCGACGCCTTTCCTATAACTCACGAGCTTATTCTCAAAGACCATAGCAAAGTCGTATCCGCGCTGAGTCTGGACCCCTCCGGTGCTCGCGTTCTCTCAGGATCCCACGATTACGACTGCAAGCTGTGGGACTTTGGGGGCATGGATCATCGCTGTAAGCCTTTCAAGAGCTGGGAACCAGCGGGGTCTTATTATGTACCAGTGATTTCCCTATGGCTGGCTTCATTGAACTGAAATAACCTAGATCAACGACCTGAAATACTCCAATGACGGCCAGAAGTTTCTCGTTATAACCGGCACCACCCAAGCGCGACTATATAATCGAGATGGAGAAGACGAGTACGTGTTGACTATTCTCTGTTGCACTGGTCAATCTCACTTGACGTACAGGGTAGCATTTATCAAGGGCGATCCTTACATCCGCGACATGAAACATACATCGTATGGAGATTCCCACTCCCTTCTATGGCTTATTGACCGTCGTCCCCAGAGGCCATGTCAGTGAACTGTCAGGCTGCATGTGGCATCCCAAGGATCCCAAAGTTTTCATTACCTCGTCCTCTGATTCCACAATACGGTAGGTCTTCTACGCTTTCCTCGAAATATCGCTGAATCGGTTAGGATATGGGATGTCGAGAACAAACGCAAACAAAAGTCGGTGATCGTGGTCAAGTCGAAGGAGCGAGGCGCACGCACGAAGGTTACCACCTGTGCTTATTCTCCCGATGGGAATATGATCGGGGGTGGTTAGTCAGGTTCCCTCCGTTGGTTCTTATTCTCATTCAGCACAGGATGCTTGGACGGTGCACTGCATCTCTGGCAAGCTAACTCGAACTTTGTTCGGCCCAATCTTTCTATCGAAGGCGCTCATGGGAAGGGAACGGAGACCGGGTCATTGTCGTTTTCTATCGACGGACGCACTTTGTTGACTAGGGCGGGGATGATACCGTCAAGTGTGAGTGTTTCACACACGGTGCTGCACTTGGAATAGCTCTTCACATGACACAGTATGGGATCTTCGAGCATTCAAGAAGCCTCTTGCGACGAAAACCAATCTTCCTACGCTGTATCCACATGCCAATGCTGTGTTCAGTCCTGATGACAAGTACGTTGTTACTGGGGCCGGTCTACCAGCAAAAGGTAACAAAGGCGAGCTCGTTTTCCTGTCCAAGAACGGGCTGGAACTGGTCAAGTCGGTTGAGATGGATTCCACGCCTGTGAAGGTACTATGGCATTCGAAGATCAATCAGGTGAGGAACTGCGTTCGCTGAATAGCCAACACCGGGCTTACGAGGTCCCAGATCGTTACCGGCCTTGCGAATGGGGAGATCAGCGTTTTGTATTCGCCCTTCACCTCCCTGAACGGGGCCAAACTGCTTGCAAACAAGGGTCCACCTCGGAAGAGGACAATCGAAGACCTGTCAGATGCATTGGCGGCGCCTGTGATCCAGATACCCGGAGAGTCGACATCGTTCAAGGAGGGTGACGGACTCATCAGAACCAACAAACGCAAACGTGACAACGATCGACTGGATCCCAGAAAAGCACGGAGACCGGAACTGCCTGTCAGCGGTCCTGGGCGCGGTGGACGAGTCGGAGCGAGTGCTACCCAGCATGTGGTGCAAAATCTTGTTCGCGATACAACACGTGACGAAGACGTGCGTTCTTCATTCTCGGCCGGAACTTGACACTGATTAGTTTTGGTCAGCCTCGAGAGGCATTGCTCAAATACGCCCACACTGAATCGAACCCTCAATGGACTGCTGGTATGCGTTTATCTCGTCGGCAATCACGTGCCGGAAGAAAGGTTGATGGGATCTGACGTGGCTTGTTCTTTTCTTGATAGCGTGGAAGACGACACAACCGACCGCGGTCTTTGCGAACGTCAGCGACGACGAGAAAGACAAAGAGGAAGAATGAACGTTTGCGCTTGGAGGTCTTTGGGCTATCGTATTCCGCATAGAAGCTGCCCCGCAGCATGCATCGTGCACTGAGCGAGGCCTAGTTTGGGTGGTCGTTGTCAACGGCGACGTCGCCGACAGCATTCTACTAATCCTCAATGGGCAGTAAGACCGTCACTGGGAAGGGCTGAGCTTGAGCTGGCGCAGCGAGAAGAGGGCTCCTAACGTTGTTTTTGTGTGCTTAGTCATCAGGAGCCAGAACTACTTAAGGCGTCTTCCCTTTTCTTGATTCCCCTTTTCCTGTCCCCCAAACTCACAGACTCGAATCCTTCCGGTCCCCACTCAGGTCACGTGCCTACAACCCTGTTCGCCGCCATGGACGCGTCTGTTGCTCTCTCTGAAAATGTCAATGGTGACCATGTCATGTCCAACGGCGTCCATGATGTCTCCCACGTCGCCAACGGTGTTTACGCAGACACAATTGCAGATTTAAAGGCTACCGTCGCGTCAGAGAGCATGATTGACATCGATGAGGTTAAGGAGGAGAGCGACGCGCTGCGTGAGCTTAACGGCGACACTGGTGCGTCGCCGATACTGGTCCTCGGTACCGTGTGTGCTCAATGACGCCCTTTTCCCTCTGCGCCTAATAGTCGCCCCGCCAAATGGCCTGAATGGAACGCACGTCGATGTGTCTATGGGCGACCCCGACGTCGAGTCCTCGCAAATTGCTTCCCCCGCCGGCTTGCCACCCGCCTCTTCCAATGGCGCGTCGACATCGCATGCCTCCCCCGTGGACCTCGATGAAGATCAACCCCCACCTGCAAAGCGGGCGAGAATTCTTTCGGACGCGGACCAAGCTTCATTTACTCATGTGAGCCTACTTTCCTTTTGTGCGCCTTGCGGGCGTACTGATCCCACGCGCTCGAAAGTCCGTGACACCTCCACCACTTTCTGCTGTCTCCAACGGCACAACCGTACCCCCCCTATCCGCCCGCGCTACCCTCGACCTGGGTCAATGGCGTTTCTGCATGTCAACAATCCGCAGCTTGAAGAAGCAAAAAGACGCTCCCCCATTCATCCACCCCGTCGACCACGTCATGCTTCAAATCCCCCATTACCCTTCTATCGTCCGCAATCCCATGGATCTTTCCACCGTCGAGCGCAAACTTGCCTCATCCAACCCGTCCAAGCCTGATCCAAACCCGGAGAATCCCCGCTACGTGTCTGCGGACGACTTCATCGCCGACGTGAGACTGGTCGTGAAGAACTGTCTTCTTTTTAACGGGGCGGACCACCCTATCAGCCAGATGGCGCAGCGTCTGGAGGAAGTGTTCGATAAGCAGATCAAAAACCTTCCGTCGCCGTCTGAGGTGAGTACCTTCTCCAGGTATGTATCGCAACTGATGAATGTAGCCTAAGCCTGTTATCGTCAAGAAGGTCTCGACACCGCCCCCCGTTGCTGCGCCTGTCAAGAAAGCGCAACCACCTCGACGTGCGTCCACGTCGATGCCCGTTATTCGCCGCTCAGACGCAGCAGAGCCCGTCGGTCGACCGAAGCGGGAGATCCATCCACCCGCTCCGAAAGATCTCGCTTACGCCGATGTACCCAAGAAGCGCAAAACTCGTCGCGTCAAGGACGACGGGACGGCCGAACAACTCAAGTTCTGTGCCAATTTGCTCACCATGATGCACCGCAAGCAATACTACGAAATTGCTAGTCCATTCTACGAGCCAGTCGGTGTGTGTAGTCGCACGATATCGGGCTTCCATTGACGTTTATGATGACAGACCACATCAAGTTGGATATTCCCAACTATCCGAAAATCATCAAGAAACCAATGGACTTGTCAACGATGCGTAAAAAGCTCGATAACGACGAATATCCGAATGCCCAGAAGTTCGGCGAAGATTTCAAGCTCATGATCCGAAACTGCTTCGCCTTCAACCCGTCCGGAACGGTCGTGAACCAGGCGGGAATCGACCTGCAGCGCCTGTTCGATGAAAAGTGGCAGAACTTGCCTCCGCTGCATGAAATCAGTGAGGATGATGATGAGGATGATGAGGACAGTGAGGACGAGGATGTCCAACGTACTTCTTTCTTGAGCAAGTCCTTGGGGTCTACTGATTCGATTTCAGGAATCGCAGATATGGAGAGCCAAATTCAGCAGATTCAGGGCAACATTCAAGCGTTGAAGGGCAAACCCAAAGACAAGAAGAAGAAACCTCAGCGACTGGAGAAGCCGGTTGCGGCTTCCTCCTCCAAGGGCAGCACCAGCAAGCTGGCGGCGTCCAAGCCTGTTCCACCGAAGAAAAAGGGGAAGAAGCCAGTCGCGGAGAACGACGCACTCACGTTTGAGCAAAAGAAGGACCTGAGCGAAGCGATTGCGACGTTGGACGGGGCAAAGCTTGAGAAAGTGGTCAAGATCATTCACGAAGGTGTGCCTGAAATCAAGGACGTGAGTGTCAATTCGTCGTATTGGATGATGGCCTTTGCTGAATGATGCGAAGAGCACTGAGGAGATTGAGCTCGAAATCGATCTGCTACCGACTGCGGTGCTGACGAAACTGTACAACTTTGTCATCCGTCCACTTCGAGCGCCAGCGACCAAGCGCAACCGCACCGGCAAGGGAACGGGAACTGGTGGGTTGAAACGCAAGAGCATGGATGAAGATCTGGCGAGCGAGAAGATCAAGATGCTTGAGACCCGGATGGCACTCTTCGAGCCAGGTGGCGGTGCCACGCCCAGCGGCTTGCACGGTAGCGAGCATTCATCTGATTCCAGCGACGGTTCGGACTCTTCGGGGAGTGATTCGGAATAAAGCGTGTGCCGGCAGCTTTTTGTCATGTAGTCTTTGCCGATTTCTTGCGACAGACCGCAGCAGTATGATACGATAACTTCACATAACCCAATCGACCATTGTAGCTAAAATAGTGCTGAACCTTCCTATACAACTATCGCCGTTTCTTCTGAAAGTTCTGCCAGCCCTGGCGCGCCGCGTGAGCTTTGCCTGTCGGTTCGGCTGGGGTAGCCAATGCCGCAGTTGGAGGTGGTGCCACTGGTTCACAAGGCTCGGGAACAGATCCAACGTTTGGAATCCCGGCAGAGGACGATCCATCAGGCTGTGCTGCTATTGGCTTGAAACCAGATGCAACGCCAGAGACAGCTGCCCAACCGGGTTTAGAGATGGGAGCGGGTGGGACGGGCAAGGCAACACCGTCTACTTCCATGGCGTTGGCGTCCGGGGCAGCGACTGTGGGGGCACCAGTAGTTTTGGGAATCTTCATCCCACTAGCAGCAGCTATTTTCCGCAATTCCTTCTCTTCCCGCTTGCGTTCCTTCTCTTTGCGCTTGTCGGTCTCGAGGCCGGTTCCGCGGGCGTTGGTTTGCATCTCTTTGAAGCGGGCCTTGTGATGGTGGGCATACGAGTTCGTATGTTCGGTGTAGGCAACAACTGTCTTAAACTGTTTCTCGCATAGATCGCAGTAGAATGCTTTGATGACAGAAGTCAATTGGTGGTCGAGGGTTGACTGACGAACAACCGAGTCCTGCGACATGATCAGTGGGTAGTCCAATGCCCGCATATGGTGATATACTTCACGGGCTCTGCGCTGTTCCTCGGTTTCTTTGATCATCCTTTCCGAGTCTAGTCCGCGTCGTTGAGAGACTGCAGCCAGACCAATTAGCCAAAAGAGGATGATTGCAATATCAGTGGGCTGTAGCACCTGTCGTCTCTATCATCTGAACGTCTTGATTAAACTTGCCCAACCCCGTTAAGTCTCGTTTGATTTGAAATGGTACTGGATCAACACGACCTAGACACAAGCGGCATGAACTGCAGTCGCGCACGCAAGGCGGTTGCATTTGGCGCACCATCTTCTGATAGACCCAGAGGCTGGCCTTCCGTCCAGCCTAGTTTAGCCAGCATAGCAAAGCCCTGCCGATAGAAGGGCGATGAGTTACCCGCCTCGCAAGCAGTTGCGAACATTATACCTTATTGCTCGGTTTGATCCTCGTTTCCACTGTGATGACCTCCTCAGCGGCCTTCGCGAGATACTCGTCGTATTTGTAGGGGTCATCCTGGGCAGGTCCCGTTGATGAGGGAGATGGAGATCTCGAGACTATCGAGACATTGCCATCAGAGTCATCCTCTTCGAGTTCTGAGCGTGGTCGCTGCAGTGAGATGACAGAGAAGCAGCAAGATGGGTGCGCGCGGCAGAAAAATACCTTCAAGGATTCTCCGGGAACCATTGGAATTGCGTTCCACCGAGCTATACTTTCCTTCGACATGTGCGAGTTCGGAGAGTTGAACACCGTGTCTGCAGATGGCGGAGTCCAGACTAATACTCAGAGCACGGCCACCTTGTTTACACATAACGGTCACGTGTCAGCAGACCTGCTTCTCCAACTCACTCTCGGCGGCAATGAGTTCCGACGGATATTTCGAGGATGAAGTATTTGACGACGCGGCGTTGCATGAAATCGATGCTATCGAAGTCGCTCATACTCAAAAGCCGGTCTCCCCAGACGCCGCTTTCGATGATATGACTTTCGGGGAGATTGACGCGGGGGAGTTGGAACGCTTGGACACGTTCATCGAGGACAGTTACGCGGGAGCGGCCTGGAATGCTTCAGGACCCTCAAGATCGAGCTCCTCGTCAGGTCTCGTCCAGACTACGTTGTTTGGAGGGATAGTGCCACAAGATCAAGCGGCGCCGTCACGCGTCCCTTACCAAAGGAAGCCTTCGTCACACGCGCCCTTCGGGCGGCCACCACCCAAGACGAAGAAATGGGACCATACGGTATTCGCGAAGAGCGGGGTGTACTCGGGGAAGAGGAAGGGGAAGGACAAAGCCGATGATGAAGATGAGGACGAAGAGTTAGTGGAATTCGAGCAGTTCCCCGCGCCATTTGTTTCCGGTACGTTTGATCTTTTCTGTGGTGTTTATTGGTGTCTGATCGTCGGGTGCAGTCGGGTAAGTGGACACTTCTCAAGGAACCTATCCAAGTGCTCATGAATCACGACTGCGTTTTAGACCGGTCAGCCCGCCGCTGACAAATGTGATGAGCACTAATTCTTATTAGCCTCCGCCTATGGTGTTAAAAGCCAATCTGTTGGAGGCCAAGCACTGGATCTATCCCTTAAATCGACCGAAACGTGACTATCAGTACAACATTGCGAAACGCTGCCTGTTCGATAACACGATTGTCGCTTTGCCCACTGGTCTGGGTAAAACGTTCATTGCCGGTGTTGTGATGCTGAACTGTGGGTTCCTTCTTTCCTGTGATCGAGGACCCTCTCATCTGGTGCTAGTTTACCGATGGTTTCCGGAAGGGAAGGTTGTATTCTGTGCTCCGACGCGGCCTCTGGTGGCGCAGCAGATTGAAGCTTCCCATCAAGTCTGCGGCATTCCCGGCAGTGACGCCGCCGAACTCACGGGCCAAAACTCTCCCTCGATACGTGGACGAGCCGTGGGTGATTCGACGAGATGTTTTGCTTGACTTTGATCGGTTCCAGTGGGAAGAGAAGCGGGTTTTCTACATGACACCCCAGACGTTAATCAACGATCTGATTTCTGGTAACTTTGACCCGAGCAAGATGATTTTGCTGGTCATCGGTCAGTTGAGTCCCCGCCCGCACCTGCAAATTTTGACTCGAACCGAAGATGAGGCCCATCGTGCAACGGGAGACTACGCCTACTGCCAGATCGTCCGATTCATGATGGCTAAGAATCCCCATTTGCGTATTCTCGCGCTTACTGCCACACCGGGCAGTGAACCCAAGGCCGTCCAAGACATCGTTGATGGGCTGCACATCAGCCACATTGAGATCCGCGACGAAAAGAGTCTGGACCTGAGACAGTATATTTTCGAGAAGGTCAGGGCCAGTGAGATCTGCAAACGAACCGTCCGCTCAACCTGCAAGGCAGAAAATCGAGTCGCACATCATCCGTATGAACGATGACATCAACCGCGTCAAGGACCTTCTGATCAAGGTCATGTTGGTTTGTGTCGTTTCGCTCATATGGTCGGCGGGATTCTGACTGTGTGCTAGCCCTTTATCAGGACAGTGGAGCAGAAGGGGCTGCTCTTTTGTGGCAGCAACCCGGTGAAGATCAGCGCGAGCATGCTCCGATTGAAGGCCAGGCAATTGAAGCAACCCGAGCAATGGATCTCTTCCCATATGTACAAGCTGGCGATGCTCGCACAAGCCATGGGCTACCTCGTGAGTTGATTTAGACTCGGCTGGTTTGGACCTGATTTGACGGCGCACAGTACGAAGGAAGCATGGCGATGTGTTATGACACGCTGAAAGGCAAACCTCCCCCAGAAGACGACCAGGAACCCAGCATCAAGAAACGCAAATCTGTGCCGAAAGGCAAGAAGCTGGAGGATGAGCAGACGTACAAAGCTCTGCTTCAAGAGATCGAAGCACAGCGCTCCCGTGGATTCACGCCCCATCCGAAGATGGACAGGCTCAAGACGTTGCTTGTGGATTATTTCGGCAAGCAGCTGGGCGAGAACGGGGAAGCAGCATCCGACAGTCGAGCGATCATCTTCTCGACCTACAGAGGAGCCGTCGACGAGATTGTGGACCTTTTGGGCCAGGAACAGCCGTTGATCAGGCCATTCAAATTTGTTGGGCAAGGCCAAGACACGAAGGGGAACAAGGGTCTGCCGCAGAAGGAGCAGTTGGCTGTGATCGAGAAATTCAAACAGGGGGTGTACAATGTCATCGTCTCTACTTCGATTGGGGAAGAAGGCTTGGACATTGGCGAGGTTGATCTGATTGTTTGTTACGACACGACCAAGGGACCCATCCGGATGGTATGTGCGATGCCGTGTTTCCGTTCAGAAGCTCATCTTTCTGTTACAGCTACAACGTCTCGGGCGAACTGGTCGCAAGAGGAGCGGCGCTGTGCATCTTCTGCTTGCGGAGATCCGAGAGGAGCAGAACATGGAGAAGGCCACTGCTGCTTACAAGGAAATCCAGAAAACAATTGTGCGAGGAGCTGATCTCGAACTGTATGGCGATGTCGAGCGACTCTTGCCTGACCACGTCAGACCCGAGTGCCACGAGCAAGTTATGCCGATTGAGGAGTACGTGCGGGAAGCAGGCAGGAAGAAAGGGTCCGGTGGGACCAAAGCTGCTGCTGGATCGAAGCGTAAACGAAACGATGACGCGCTGCGGAATGTACCTGCGGGTGCGAGCACCGGGTTTGTCTCTGTCGCGGATTTGGTCACCAAGGGATCGAAAGGCAAGAAGCAGAAACTTGCACCAGTCACAGTGAAGGACTTTGAAGCTGCAGGAGAGGACGACGAAGTCGACATTGCTCTTGCATCGGGACTCATCGGCGCGCTCTCTCGGAGATCGGCATCGGCGTCTGTTGCCTCTTCTTCTAAAGCCAAGTCTGGTCTGCGTCACACTGCGACAGAGGGCACCAAGCGCAAGAAGAAAAAGAAGCAGAGGATGTGCCTCTCACTTCAAGCCAGTTCGAAGCTCGAGGGAAAGACGACGAGATGGATGTTTTGATCGAACGAGGTGGCTCCACTTCGATACTGTCCTCGCCTGTGGACGGCAAAGTCATTGACATCGAATCAGATAGTCCTTCTGCTCGTATGTCTTCGTTTCGGGTGCACTCGCAGACTTTGATCGATATTTCAGAACTTCACGTGCCTCCTCGAGCAAAGCTCAAGACATGTCCTGGCTGCTTGATGGGGACAGCGAGCCAGAGCCTATGTTGGAGATCGTCGACTCGTCTCCCATTCGACGCAGAAGCACCTCTCCGGTGGTCCTGGTCGAAGAATCCAAGAAAGCAGCCGGAAAGCGTCGGCAAGTTGACCCAGACGACTCTGTGGTGATCATCGAACCACCACCGACGAGCATCAAGCCGAATATGCCGCCCCCTGCGCTCCCGGCCCGAATTCTGCTGGACGTCTCTTCGCCAGTCCCAGAATCTCCGCCAGCTCCCACTTTCCCTGTTCGTCGCGCCGGCCGTCGGATAGCTCGGATGATTGACTCGCCATCCGCTGCTGACCCGGAGTCGCCTTTGGTCCGTCGACTACACAAGAAGAAATCACCCCGCCGCCGTCCGCCCACAAGGCTCAATCTCGATCACGGAATATACGACATGGAGGCTGCCCATTCGGGCGACGAGGTCAGCGGAGGCTCCTCGGGCTCAGACGATCCGGAAAGCGAGTCGGATCGGAACTTTCTGCAGGAGCTTCCTGAAACGCAGATGTCTGCGAGCTACGACCAGAGCCTGGTCTATCGAGAGAGCCTGATGACTCAGCTGCCGGGTCGGCCCGGGCTTCAGTTCAGCCGCCCAGTGGCCAGGAAGGGTCTGTTCGGTGACGGTCTGTCGGAGAGCCTCCGTGTCAACGATCGGCGCGCAGTCCAGATATCCAGTTCCCCGCCGAGAGAGCAAGCATCGGACGATCTTTACGAGTTTGGGAGCTTTGTCGTGCAAGATGACGAGGATATAGTGTACGAGACTGACGTGGAGAGAAGTCGATAATCGAATCTAATCTAATGCGGATCATATTTGCAACTGATTGATCGGCAACTGGAATGCGATCTCTTCGATCTAACCTACTACATTGTCTCCAGCGTCGCCGGCTATGTGGACAGCTTCATGCTACGTTTGCGACCATTTCAACAAGGCCTGTGCCTCACACTCTGCCTCCACCCTCTCCTCCACCTGTTACCGCTCTCTCAGGACTGGACGATCTGCTTCTCAGTTCATTCGCGACTGGACAAACGAGCATACATGCGCTGCTTCGCCAATATAAGGAATATGCAGGACGCGTTCTGGCAACAGAGCTGGCTCAGGAGTCTCGGCCGACTCCACACCGACGCACCAACTTCGAAGGAAGCAGCGGAGTGTTGCTTGTGGCCCACTGTGCCCAGGATCCGACCACCAGAGCGCGCCATGTAAGTCTGGCCTCAGGATTCGCAGTCCGCGATAAACGGGGGAGAACTTTATCGTGACTTGTGCGCACACCCTAGAGGAGGTACGCGCATGAACTGCTCCGGGCTGGAAGCTGGATTACCTGCGTTCCAGATCCGTCGCTCCCCGCTGTTGTCTGACGGCGCCGGAATCTTCTGTCTGGCTCGTTTGTAGTCACCACGTCGCCCGAGGCGGACGATCTGGTGCTTATTCCCGTATTGGGCATAGAATCTTCACTCCCTCGATCAGATTTACTACTCCTCAGTGTGCCGCCATCCAGTGTTCGTATGGCACTCCGAACGCTCCCTGTATCGCCCTACCCTGCGCTCCGGAATACTTCTCTTCGAGCGCACTTTCTCTGCGATGATCCTATCCGGGGCGAGTGGAGGAATTGTCAGGTCTTGGGCTATAAGGACTCGGCCGGCAGTGAAGCGGAGGTAAACGGCCCTTACATTGCGTGCGGTGATGATAGTCAAACTTCTACAGCCGGGCACGTATGATGCATTGTCGCACATGTTCTTCTCCGCTCTGCCGACATCTGGATCCAGCGGAGGCCCCATCGTCGAGGAAGAGAGCGGTGCTGTCGTCGGTGTCATTTTGGGCTCGAGAATGGACAACAGAGTCGAGGGGACCCGTGGCTGGGGCGTCCCTGCTGAAGCGCTGTATGAGATGTTCAAATTACCTGGCGTCACTGTCAGAGCGCCTTGAAGACAATCCTCGGACAAGCTCCTGGATGGTTCAACATGATGCATGTATACTGATAGATCCCGGTCGCAGTGACGACTGAGTCGTAAATGCTTATCATGGCTGGCTTCCGTGTCCCCTCCAAGTACAGTGTTCCATGAAAGCGGAATTCTTGTCGAGTGAATTTCTCGCTCTCTCGATCACCCATTTCTGGGTTGAGCACCGTTGTTCCTCCCTAGAAAGGGGGCAAAAAGGCCTCAGCGGGATTAAGTTGCCGAAGATACGATCAAAGATGAGTCTTTTCCGCGACTTCCTTTTATGGGGCTGTCTAGGGCGAGTATATAAAGAGTCGGCACACGCAGGCCGTCAGACCTTCCTTCCTTTCCCCTTCTTCAAGTCTACTTTTCACGGCTCTTCCTCCTGCTTGCGCCTGTCACCACACGATTTTCTGTTCCATAGGACCATGCCTACGCTTCTCCTCAAGCTCCCGATTGTCCCTCATCAAGTCTATCATCCGCGCTCAGTGTAGGCCTCGTAATTGCGTTCGTCCAGTTTTCTTTGGTTACACTGCCCATGCCTGGATTCGACTTGACCAACACTGCCCTCTGCTTACCACATCTCTTCTAATCGCTGTCTACTCGAGCACACCCTCTGACTGTCGGGTCTTACCGGCTCGCCTTATTATATCTCTCTGACGTCGTGCCTCTTCATCACCCGATGTCTCTTCGTCCACACTCCTTCGCATCGTCTATCATGCCGTCGCCGCCACCCCCTGTGTGTACACTACCCCCATCTGGCATCGGCACACGTGTACCGGCAACGGCCTCGTCGCCGCCGACCTTGTTACAAGCACATGGTCACCTTCCCATGCATCACCTCAATCAACGTCGTCAGGGGCGAGTTCCCGAGTAAACGTTCACCGGGCACATCGGTTGTGCTATCCTATCTGACTCGGGACCCTTGGCGATGATCGGGGGTCTGTGTGTGAAATTATTGGTCTGGCGATGACTGGGTTGTGAGTCTTTCTGAGAGGACCCTCCCGGCCGTTGTCATCGCCCGAGCTATTTGATTCCCCTCAAAAGTTGCTCTGGCATCGCCAAGGCGGCATGGCTCGCCTTGCCCTCGTCCTTAATGTGTAGTACTCGACAACATGGATAATTCTGGTGGTACCTTAGTACTGGATGTCACCAAGCCTCCGAATCAAATTGCGTTTATGACTGCAGTAATCGCTCCTTGTCGAAAGTCAGGAAGTCAGATCTCAATGTACGCAAGTTCGAGTGCCGAAGCACCTGGATTCATGGATTCAGACGGGCTTAGGTCTCTTCCAAATTGATGATGAGCTGATGATATCACGGAGATATCCGCTATTATGTCAGATACATCATCAGAATTGACATCACTCACGCAAGCTCGAATGACGTTGGATCTAATACATCGATTGTTGTATCCTACTCCCAACTACTTTCCCAGCTCTGTACGATGGCGCACCCTGCACACAACGTCCCCATATTACTTTCATTCCCCGACGCGGACGCTATTGTCGAAAATCTGGCCGCGTTCATCCTGAAGGCACAGAAAGAATCGATCGACAAGAAAGGACGCTTCACTGTCGCCCTCTCTGGTGGATCGTTGCCCAAGATGCTGCGCGGTCTTATCGGAAACCCAGCAGTCAAATGGGACAACTGGTAAATCGCTACTTGCGCAGTCGAGAGACATGGTGTTTACCAGCGCGAACAGGCAGGTGTTTTACGCAGATGAACGCGCTGTGCCCTTGGACCACCCGGATTCGAACCATTTCTCTTGCACCAAGCTCCTATTTTCCCACGTTCCGTTGCCCGCGGAGAACATCCACACCCTGGACACCACGCTCTTGGATGACCTTCCCGAGCTGGCGGACACCTACGAGAAAACTCTGATTCGTGAATTCGCCCAGAAGGACGCTGCTCGCTTCCCCGTGTTTGACCTTATCCTTCTCGGCATGGGACCCGATGGCCATACTGCCTCCCTCTTCCCATCCCACGCTCTGCTGACCGAGGATGACCGGTGGATCGCCTATCTCGAAGACTCCCCTAAACCTCCCCCGGCACGAATCACCTTCACGTACCCGGTGATCAACCACGCCGCGCGTGTAGTCTTCGTTGCAGCCGGCAAGGAAAAGGTCGAGACGCTCAAGACTGTCCTGGACGAGCCCGAGAAAGGTCTCCCGTCGTCCCGCGTGCGGCCCGCGTATCCCGGCCAAGTGTGGTGGTTTGTCGATGACGCTGCGGCCAGGGATGTAGTGTACCCTCGCTCCCAATTCAAATTGTAAAGCAGAAATTGTATGTATCATATCTAGAATTGCTGTGTTGACCTTATCAACAACGGGCGCGCCCTGCCGAAGTCTGAGAGATAAGATCAAATCTGCTACCGTGGCATCTACCTGCACCCTCCACGCTCCCAGATGCTGAACTATCTTCTGCTGATCTCGCGGCAGGGAAAGGTCCGTCTCGCAAAATGGTTCACGACGACGGACAGCAAGACGAAAGCAAGGGTGGTGCAAGACTTGACGCAGCTGGTGCTGGCTCGCAAACAACGCATGTCGAACGTGCTGGAGTGCGTGTCGCTTTAGGCCTGAACCGTTCCCGGTTTCTAGAGCTTGTCCAGGTATAAAGACACGCGGATCATATATCGTCGTTACGCTTCGCTTTTCTTCGTCTGTGGTATCGGGTCGTCAGACAATGAATTGATTACTCTGGAACTGCTGCATCGCTACGTGGAGGTACTGGACCGGTATTTTGGCAACGTTCGTCTCCTCTGACTACTTTCCCTATGCATCCTGACACTGGCGCCACCAGGTGACGGAGCTGGATCTGTGGGTATCCTCTGCTCGTTCCAAGCAAATCTTATTTTTTACACACACACACACCCAAGGATTTTCAATTTCGAGAAGGCCTACGCTGTTTGTTGAACGTCCTATGCCTTTCTCATTACCGCTGAAAGCATTTCCAGGTCCTCGACGAAGTCATCATCGCGGGAGAGATGTGTGAATCATCCAAGAAGACAGCCTTCACACTGGTTCAATGTCAGTGCATTTCGCGCGGAGATGGACTACACTAACAATCCTCGCAGCAAGCATCCTTTCAGAGCAGGAGGAGAATCTTACCGGGGCGCTTCATACTTCTGGGTTTTTATGATCGTAGTCTTGGAGCCCATGATCATGTACTTGACTAAATTATAGTAATTATGGACAAGGTTTGAGGCTGCTGACCTCATTCAGTGACCGGAACACTCCAGTCGCTGGGGATCGTTCCCAACTGCCTTCCAACGAGCTCTGTCCAGATTGGTCTCGAGATTGGGCCCATCCCATCTTCACCAGCAGGAACATGGATGTCCTGACCAAGATACCCGATTCTGTCCACTGGGCTGATGACTGCGGCGGTCCCAGCACCGAACATTTCCACAAGGCGGCCTGTCGCAGCTGCATCCTTCACTTCCTTCATCGGGATTTTGCGTTCGGAGACCACGAGCTTATCAGACAGCCCTGGGATGACCTTTTTGCCGGAGAGATGCTCGCGTGCCAGAGTGAGCACAGAGTCTCGCGTAACACCAGGAAGAATCATCCCGTCTAGCGGCGGGGTAACGAGTTCCACAGCTGCCCCACACGTCAGGAGATGCGCCGGAAGAGAGCTGAATGTGCACACTGACTTCCATCATCCGATTTGAAGACGGCGAACATGTTCATCGTCCCGACTTCAGTCAGCTCATGCTCGGGTCCATGCAGCCACAGGTTCTGAGAGTACCCGAGAGCATAAGCAGATTGCTGAGGCATCACACCGGGGGCGTAGTTCACGCCGAGTTTATACGCACCAGTGCCTATGGACTACTCATCAGAGCAGGGTAATAAGCAGAACAAGAATACACATACCGCCAGGAGCGGCCCGGATGTATTCTGTAGTGCCGTACAGCGAGACCGGCTTGAAACCGGTCGGATAGTAGGGTCCGACAGGGCTCATGATGACAAACAGCAGCGCTTCGTTCGGCGGACCAACACCAATCGCCTTTTGGGTTCCAATTAGTGTCGGGCGGACGTACATGCTGTGTCCAGGCTCCCTGGGAATCCAGTGCTTGTCGATGCGAACGAGCTCCTTGATGCATTCGAGAAGCGCGTCGCCGTTGAAAGTCTACGCAATTAGAAACCGCGTGCGCGTCACGAACAAGTACTTGGACGCACAGGGAGAGCAATGCGTTTAGCGCTGTTGTTCATCCGCTTCATGTTCATGTCCGGCCGGAACAGAGTCACCTTCCCATTCTCGTCCCGATACGCTTTCATCCCCTCGAAGATGGTTTGCGCGTAATGGAGCACAGTCGAACTAGGCGCCAATTCCAGAGGGCCATCTGGTTCAAAATGTTGAGAAACGAGATAGAGGGACGGAGACACGACTGCGACTTACACGGCCGAATCTGAGGAGCTCCCCAGCCGCCGACAACGTTCCACGGGATCGTGAGCATATGGTCTGTCTATCATGGCTCCGGTCAATGCGCACGCGCTAGATCTATACTGGAGGGCGCGCACGAAGGTGTGTCCAAAAACCAGCGTGTTCGACGGGGGAGGGGTGCTCGGGCTGTTGTTTTGGATGATTTCGAGGCGGCTGGGCTGGGAGAGTATCGAGATTTATACAATGCGAACTTCGCAGCCACCCACGCACCTCAATTTCCGGAGTCGGGGGCATGAGCTCGCCAGTCATGGGATCTGGGACGACATTCGAGACATAGCGTTGAACTGTCCAGCTGCGCAATGGATTCGGACGACGCAGAGCGCGTAGAAGGGAGGTGGCCATTGGCAGGAAACAAAATCGAGTCAGGGTCCGACACTCAGGAATCACACTTTCTACTGGTCACACACATTCACATGTTCTTGTGTCTATTACGCGAATTACCTACTACAGTGTCATCTACCTCTGGACTGACTTCGTTGCTTCTGGAGCCTACTGTATGATGAAGGAGGGGCGGCGGGTGGGGTGGGTGGATCTGTGCTTGATGTTCGATCTCGAACGCGACCCCGCGCAGAGTAATCTGCCGCCCATTGGTCTGGGATCCGGGGAACTGGCGGTACACCATAAGGACCGGTAACCGAAGGAAGTGTGGATTCAGATGCATGTCGCATGTGGGGTGCGGAGGGAGGTTGGCTAGAAGGTTGACTGGAAGGTCTCTTAGGTTCCGCTGATGTCGCAGGTAGTGAGGCTCAATCACAGCGAGAAAACATTCAGGAACGTACTGCTCAAAGATCTCTGTCCCTCAGTTCTCACAATAGCGGGAGCCCACAAATCAGCCACACTAGCGCGCGAAGACAATTGTCTCGGGTGCTCCTGGCTCAAAGTGCGCCCCGGACTCTGAGGAACGCCGAGAGGCGCTGGAAGGACGATGTTGACCTGACTGTGCGGCCCGTGAGGCAGGCCTCTGATGGTGTTCCGCGAACTGGCGGCAGATCCTATAGAAAGGGGCCGCGATCGTCGGCGGGGCCGGGAGGAAGATGAGGCTGAACGCGGATGTTGAGCTCGCGGGGACACTGTATCGCCTATGGATACCAGCGGGGAAAAAGTGTTTGCAGCCTCGATTTCGGACGAGGAGAGTGACAAGGAGGTGGTGCTCAGCTGGAACTGATGTGGTATTTGTGGAGCCAGGGGCTCAGACGTCGCGAGATGGGAGATGTCCTCCGACGGAGATTCAGTCGTGTGTAGACTCGGCGTCGGACGAAAGGGACTGCCCCCGCGATTATTGGGAATCAACGATGAGCGACTACTCGCGGAGAGTAAATCTTGCCGAGGGAGGGGTAAAGCCGAGTGGTCATAGCGTAACGTCGGGGGCTGCGACTGGGTTCGGTACCGGGCGAGTTCTTGCTTCGGGGGCAGAGGTGCCAAAGGTTTGGGTCGGCTTCGGAAGAGAAAAAGTATCCAAATGAGCAAGATGCCGCCTGCTGAGCCAGCTGCAACTGCGATAATGAGTGTCGTGCGATGAGAGAGTGACATTAAACGAATGGCGGGTCCGAGCACTAGCCTCTACCCCCTGCGACCTTTCGTCACGGAGGGAAATAGAATGGCGCGCTGGCTGGTGGTGACGGGAACAGAGAGCGGGAGTGAGGTTTTGATCCCATTTGAATGGTGATGATCTCTTTCCCGTTTATGAGCGTTCCTTGATGCCCGCCTCCATCTCATCCAGAGTCAGCGTCGCCAAATCAAGCACTCAACACAAGGCATCCTTGGCTAAACGCTTGCTATTTCCGACGTTGTCCTCCTCTGAACTTCCTGCACTCTTTGCCACGCCCTCAACACCTCCTGAACTCACCGAAGAGGTCTATGATTTCTTTGCCCTGGCTTTACGTGCTTTCGTGAATCCTTGGTGGACGAAAATTACCCGTTATGACAAGGAATTTCTGCCAGACATCACGCGAATCCTTACCCACGTCGTCCGCGCTGTTGAAGCACGCGTGCTCGAACACGATCTCTCCCCTCTTGTTTTTCGCGACATCCCGGCGATCGTAACCCAGCACTACCGCGATTACCGGACCGCGGAAAGCAAGCTCACTACATCTTACGCGGCAGGTGGCTCGGCGACCTTGCCCGTTCTATTTCATGGACTTCAATCCCATATGGCTGTCACTGCAGAGGGCCAGATTGACCCTGAATACATGCGACAGGTCGTGGATCACGTTCTGAAAGCATGCCTGCCAATCGAAGATTATAGTCCTGAGCCGGAGAGACTGGTCATCCGGGAGATAGTCGTAAAAATCCTCGTGAGGGACGTCATCCCCAAGCTCAGTCAACCTTGGTTCATCCAGAAGATGATCCTAGATCAACTGGGTCATTCTGATCCAGCTCTTTCCACAGTGAGTTGTCTGATACGCCAATCGAATACGTTGCTCAAGTTGCCGCGGTAGACCCAACCTCGGACGTCTGTGCCGACCAGTTTCTCTTTCCATACGTTGATCATCGTCTTTCTATCGGCGGTTCAAGCACTTTCGGGGGCGTGCCTTGCTTTGATCCAGGCCTATAAGCAGGGGTCGAGACTATCAAGCGAGTAAATTCGTCTCCCCGACATCTATCACCGACACAGTCCCCTTCTCCGTTGCCGCCTACGATGTCGGTCACGACGTCCGTGTCCTCTTCGTCTACATCGTCGCCATATGCTATCCCATCATATGACTCGCCGGAATCTTGCGACTATGCGATACCCTCCCTCACGCTCGTCTCGGAAATCTTCACGACCAATGCACGCTTAGCCTCGTCGTCCGTGGCTCACACCGTCTCTTTGCTGGTAGCAGTGTTCTCTCCCTTTCTGGATCGGTAGGACGCTTGCCAATTCATTCGATGCAGTAGTGACGGCATCTAGGCTGTTACCATATCTTCTTGCGCAGACGCTCACTCCGAAGCTGGTTCTTTCGATAGTGCGCAACGCAAAACGGACTCTGTTTCCCAATGGATATCCAGCACCCGCGCCGCCAGATCCGACTCCAGAAGAGCAAGCGCAAATGCGTGCGCGTCTGCTTGCCTATCGGGCAAAGTCTGCTTGGTGTGAGTCGTTCGTTGGGGGTGTAACGATGGTTGGGTTCTGATTTCATGTCATGTTCCAGTGGAATCGCATGTTTTACCTCTTTTGCTCGGGTCCGATCCCTCGACGACAATTGCGACCGCGATCGACCCATTGTCCAGTCAGGAATGCAATGCCCATCTCATCGTACTATTGTTGGATTGTATCTTAGGCACTTTGTTTCCGGAGCTGCTTCACGGTACATGAAATGCACGATTTCACGCATATGGCATCGAGACCCCGGCTGCTTTTGGAGATGTCTTTTTTTGAGCCGGGAGTGCACTCTTTGTTTGACTGAAGAATTCGTATGTAGCTAGCAAGTACAAGACGCACGCGCGCTCAGTTGTCTTCTTCGGCATCGCCCCATCCGCTGGCGACTTCTTCTTCCACCGGACCATCGTCCATCAACTCTTCCGACGGGGCTGTCTCGTGGTTTTTCGCTGCCGGCAACGTTGCGGGCAGAATTGGACCCGGCCCATTCTGCCACGAAATTTGCACGTTTCCGACAAGAGAAATGTTGTTGCCCTTGGCCAGGCCTTGCTCAGCACCGCTGCGGCTTTTGAAGGAGACGAAGATGTCGCCATTCTCCGCGGTGTCCACGGAAGAGACTTGTCCAGTCGTCTGCAAATCAATATGTTCAAGCAGAACTCGGACACTGAAAACTCTGTACGAACCTCGAACCAGTCTCGCACGGACTGCAGGCTGTCCTCTTTCGCACCTTTCACAACGAGTGTTTTCGGTCGGTTGTCGAGTTTCATACTGCCCCGAGGAGGTCCGCCTCTCGCTGCTCCTCGATAATAGCTGCGGCCACCTCGGCCACGACCTCGATATGGACGATATGCCCCATTCCAGCTACCGTCATGGCCGGTTTCAGATAATCCCAGACTGGCAGCCTTGATAGGCATTAGAAATGAGACCGCATATAATATTAAACACGCTACCTCTGCTTTCAGACGCTCCAGTTTGGCTTTCAGATCTTCAGAGGATTCTTCTTCATTGCTCTGAGCTGCGTGTTGGTCGAGCTCCTTGTCCAACCGATCACGCTCCTTCTTCTCTGTGTCCTGACTCTTCGGTGCCGGCACCGAGATAGCAGACGTTGCGGTCATCTCTTCGTCCAGCTTGCGAAGCCGAGCCATGATATCCTTCTTTTCATCGCCCGAAGTCGCCGAGGTCAGAGACGCAATAAGCGTCTTTTGCTCTGCGATTTGTTTCTCGAGCAGCTGGTGCTTGGCAGCGAGAGAGGCGGCGGCAGTCGGTTTGTTTGGAGGAGGCGCGACCGGAGGCACCTCTTTCTTCGGTCCAACAAGCGGTCCCGACGCGGCAAGCATTCGTTGACCCGTTTGTCCGTGACCCTCCATCGGACGATGCCAGAACACTTTGACGAATCGATTGTTGAACACAGCATCCTCCGATTTCCATGCAGTGTATGCTTCTTCATGCGTGGCAAACTGAACCAGGCTTTGGCGCTTGGTCGATCCACCGCCACATTCGTCACAACTCCAAATCGCTTGAACCACTCGTTCACTTGATCCAAGGTGAGCTTGTCTTCTGGTATTTTCTCGACCACCAGAGTCTTATCGCTTCGACGTTCTGTGTTGTTGAACTTGTGTGCGTCCCCATGGAAGGTCCCTTTGCCTCGTCCTCGTGAACCGCCACGGAAATTGGAGTTGTGATGCATTGACCCGTCCACATCCATCGAAAAAGAGGATGTGCCGCTCGATGGCCCTGCGAAAGCGGGAATGAGATCTGAAGGTAATGTGGGGATGTGGTTTTGCGGAGACTGTGCAGTGATTTGCCCTGCGGCTATTGCATCGGGCGCATTCTGGTCGACCTGTGGCGTGAGATCTTGGATGACGGGTAGTTCTCCAGACTGATGCATTCGTGCATTTTCTGGATGAGCTCTTGGCATGACTGGAGCTCTGGGTTGTGGACGGGCAGCTCCATTCATCGGCATGTCCATGCGAGCTTCATTCGGATCGTAAGCCGGGCCTGACCCTCCTCCGTTCATCCCAAAACCATTGCCCGGGAACATGGGCATGAATGGCATATTTCCTCCACCCATGTTATTGCCGTTCATCGGGAAAAGCTGACTGGGCACTACAGCGTCCTCGCCGTGACTGAACTTGCAGTACGCCCCTCGGGAGCAATACCCATTGTCTGTCTGGATCAATACAACGTTGACAGAAAAGCAATGGAACGCACTGTGGTAATCCCTGCAGATGCCTCGCTTCATCTCAGGAGGCATGTAACCGGGCGGCCGTCTGCCATTCATGACCCACCACCTCCGTTCATCCCCATGGCCATATGTGCTGACATATCCCGATACATTTGAGCGTCAACATGAGGGCCCCAGACGCCCGTTGCCGGACCCCCACGGCCATTCGAATAGCGAGAGAATTGGCCCTCATTGCTGAGCCTCGGACCCTTGGCCGGACCCTGACCATCCATCTCCGCATCCTCAAGACCGCGTTTCCGCGATCGCTCGACCGATGAGCCACCGACAGGTATTGGTATACCAATGCCGGACGACGAGTCGACGGAGTAAGGAAGATATGACTTGGTGCGGAGAGCGGTGAATAATGTGTCGATGAATCGTGGGCATTCTTTGCGATACCAAGGGTCAGAGGATGTGCCTTCACAAAAAGTCTGGTGGCGACGGACCTTTTTCCAAAAACTCTTCTAGTTGCGCCGTTAACTCCTTCCTCATCTCCGGTTCTGGAACGTTATGCTTGAGAAGCGCGAGTATGTAGTCAGCAAGAGCCCCGGGCTCGGCGTCACATCTGTGGATGCCCCAATTAGATTATCTATGTTGTGTGTGTTCAAGGCAGAGTTGGGCATACATTGGCTCGAGTGTGCGAACAAGCCATGGCTTGAGGTGCGGGGCAGTGCTAGGGTCAAAAATCATAGGACGACTAGCAGTAGTTACGGCGGCGGATAACACTGTGAAGCAGCAGCAGCAATAGCAACAGCAGTGGCTTGAGCGTGAAGAGGGTACGAAGGTAAAAGCCAGAGATCTCGATTTAGTAAGCATAGCACAGCAATCAGGATTCGAATATTCAACGTTCTGCAAGTACCACTGCAGTCAGTCTTTCTGCCACAAGTGAAGCACCCGTCCATAAATCATTCAGGTATAACATGTAAACACACAAGCAAGGAATTAGAATGACAAGCTGGAGTTAAGATATAGTATAGGATCGTGCACAAGTCGTCAACACTCTCCTCAGCAGTTGCAGCCGTAGCTTTGCGAACTCTCTGAGTCAAGTTGGATTGGATCGGGGTAGTCGACATACCTGTTGGAGGAGAATCTGTCAGAAGGGGGGTTCAAATCGACAACAGGATATGGGTCTAACAGCGATTCTTCCTGTTCCTGTTGCAGTGCGTTCTTGGCCACGGTTTGGAATGCTTGCTCCACGTTGATCGCCTCCTTCGCGGATGTCTCGAAGTAAGGAATGTTGCCCTTGGACTGACACCACGTCATAGCACGCTTCTGGGTGACCTGAAACGACGCAAAGCGAATTGGAACTGGGAGTTCGGGACAGCAAAATACCATCCCACCTGTCGCTTATTCTCCTCCACGTCAATCTTATTGCCCAGAACTACGAAGGGGAAGTTTTCCGGATCGTGAGGGCTCGCCTGAATAAGAAACTCGTCCCGCCAGCTGTCGAGAGTCTCGAAGGACTTGGCACTGTTGACATCATACACCAGCACACAGCAGTCTGCGCCACGGTAGAAAGCGACACCAAGAGACTGAAAGCGCTCTTGACCAGCGGTATCCCACAACTAGGTCACGCTGAATAACGAGTCCGCGCGGCATGACGTAGCGAGACACACCTGCATGGTGACGAGGCGGTCATCCACCATGACTTCTTTTGTCAGACTATGGAACCGATGAGCCGAGACGTCTCTGAAATAGCAGGAGACGCACAAGTCGGCTCCAATTGTAGCTTTGTACTGGTTGCTGAACCGCTTGTTTACATATTGGTTCATGAGCGAGGTCTTGCCGACGCTGCGAAATAATTGACATCAGGAGACACCGTCAGGACGCCACACCAACCCGCTGTCGCCGAGAATGATAACCTAGGATATACTGTCTGAGAATTTCGGTCTCCGGCAACAGAACAGAACGTACCTTAAGGAGAACACGACCCATGGTGAGCGGAGAGTGATAACGGTAGAGTGGCTGTTCGTCAGATTGCGTGCAGAGCACAACAAGGCCAATCAGGATCATCTTGTGCTTGAACCCGTGCGCAAGATGGCTGAGCCCGCCTGGCAGGAAGTCTTGCGACTTCGACTAACGGAACGCAATGTCCGCGAATCCTCGTTTTCGCCGATTATCGAGCAATGTGAACCATTCTGTCAGCCTGCACATGTGTTCCAGCTCATCCTGATCCAGACCGCAAGTTGGCACAGCAGGCCAAGCTTTTGAAGGAGCGGAATGCGTCCTTACTGCGCGCGGTGGGCTCAGTCAAGTCTTTACCAAGTACGCCGGGTACCTCCACAGGTTTATCGACTACTGCTGAGGAGTAAGTGTCTTATTCGACCAATCTAATCATCTGATTTTTCTAGAAATCCGGTCCTCGCTGCGTACATGGCTTCCTTAGAATCCCAAATATCTTCTTTGGGTGACGAGCTGGCAGCTCTTTATAAAACTCAAGGCCAAAATGCTCAGCGTCTCTTGGCAATGAACGAAACGCTTCGGGAGAAAGAAGAGCTCTCGCGCGTGGATTCGGAAAATCTGAGGAAAACGAGAGACGAGGTCGTTGTCCTCCGACGCAAGATTGAGCAGCATAGCGAGTTCATGGCTGAGAAGGATCGAACGGTCCAGGTACGTACTATTTGCCCTGTGTCATATCTGCGAAGTCATAACGTCTGCATGACTTATTATAGATCTTGCACGATGAGATCAGTACGCTGCAGCTCGAGCTCGGGCAGATCGAAGAACGGAACACCATTCTACAGAAGGATAACGCGAAACTTCTCCAACGTTGGTTGGATGCGAAGCAAGTAGAGGCGAACGCCATGAACGAGTCCAATGACCAGGCGTACGAAAATATGCGTTCGCGACATTCAGTCCTAACTTGGCGCGGTAATTCTGGAGATCCCACGAATGGGCTCGACTCTGTCTCACAATCGTCACTGTCGGGAAACGAGGATGCCGGGGAGGGGGAGATCCTGACGGAGACGAAGAATGGGACCATATCTCCAGCGGAGAAGGCCGTGGATCTGACGCCGAATGGTTGATCGTGGACGAGAAGGAGCCAGATATTGCCTAACATCCATACCCTGTGTTGTACATATATCCTAGGTGTCTCGCTTTTCTTTGTTTCAATCGGAGATACATGCATGAAAGGGCAAGAATATCAGAAAGTGCTCAGTACACAAGGGCTCAGTACACAAGGTAGAGAAAGAAAAGTGATGCAGTGACGATGGAGCTACACTTGGTAAGGAGAGGAGCAGAGTTCAGTATCTATTAGTACATTTAGGGAGCGCCTTGCATCTGAGACTCAGCACCCTGGCCCTGCTGACCATAGTAACCTGTGCAAAGGAATCAGCAATTGCAGTTGACCAGTTGTGCCATTACTCACCACCCCAGTAGTTGGAGTAGTACGAGCTGGGGTCGCCACCCCACTGAGCCTGGCCAGCTTGAGCTGCGAGAGCATTGGGATCGGCGCCAGCGGGACCGGCACCTCCCAATCCAGAAGCCGCGCCACCCCCAGGCTGTCCCATGCCAGGAGACCCAGGCGCACCGGCGCCAGCTTGGTTGGCGAAACCGGGGTACCCACTGAAGTTATACTGGCCATAGGAGGCAGCGGAGGGCAAAGTATACATGGGCTGAAGAAAGACAACGATCAGGGACGAGAATATGAAAATCAGAGATACACACCATGTTGCCGTAGGGAGTGGCGCCCGTAGTTGGACTCATCGGTTGGGCAACGGCACCGTCGGCCCGGTCCTTGCCCCAGCTGCACTTGATAGGCCGGCCATGAACGTTCTGGCCTTGTAGCTGGACGATGGCCATGGCGGCATGCTCGTGAGTGTCAAGTTTGACGAAGGCGAAACCGCGATCAGCCTGCATCCGGATCTCGGAGAGATAACCAATGGATTGGAAGAGCGGAATGAGATCAGCCTGGGTGCAGTATGGGACGAGGTTGCCAACATAGACGGTAGAGTTGTAAGCTGGTGTCTGCTGCAGCACAGATTCGTAAGACAGAGGTCCACCCTGGAAGTTCATCGGGGCAGGGGCACTGCCCATGCTGATGGGGGACGAAACTCCGCCGGTGGGACGAGGGGACGACATCGCTCCAGCCATGCTGCTCGGCAGGCCGGGTTGCGGCAAACCACCTTGGGTCTTCTGATTTGCCCAGTTCACGCGAATCGCGCGAGACCCAAGCCATTCCCCGTTCATCGTCGCGATGGCCTGCTCCGCGTCGGTCTTGTCGCGGAAGGCGAGGAATCCGTACCCACGAGACTTGCCAGAGTTCATATCCCACATCACTCGGGCATCGGACATGGTACCAAAGGCGCTGAACGCTTTACCGAGCACCTCGTCGTTAACTTCCGGGCTCAGATCACCGACGAAGACATGGTAATGTCCGGTAGTGTCCTCCTTGTTCTGTTGGCCCTGGTAAGCCCAGTTGACGCGGATTTCGGTATCGAAGATTTTGCGCCCGTTCAAGGTCTGCAGGGCGGTCTCTGCGGCACGCATGTCCATGTACTCGACGAAACCGTAGTTGAGACCACCATGCTGGTAGTTGCGGTCAGGGATGATTTTCACATGTTGCACAGGTCCAGCGACGGCAAAGATCTCGGTGAGCATGTACTCAGTGACGCGAGGACTGAGGTTTCCGACGTAAAGGTGAGCCCGTCGCTGAAATGAGTGATAAGCAAAGATCCAGACGGGATTAAAGATGACCCACCGGAGCTTCAGCCGCACTCATCATATTCATGTTTGACTTATAGAAGAGGAAAGAGAATGATCTAATTGGATTGGAGAGTGCGTTTTTGGACCAGTCAAAAGAACGTACGAAAAGGACCAGAGGGAGCAATACAGAGGACAGAGGATTAGAGTCCGTCAGATAAAGGAAATAGAGGAGGAGACGAGAGAGAGAGAGAGGAAAAAGGACGAAACCGAGATCCTTCAACGCGCGCGTGGTCGAGACAGAGTGCAAAAGCAGCGCTTGCTAGTGACGAGTGATTAGTCACAATCAGGTGACAAAGAACGTCATCCTAAAAATTCCGAAATGATTTGAGAGGCCAAGTTCATGATAGATACGCGTCCGAGTCCTACTTTTTACTTGGGACTTGGAGCAGTACATTACCGCTACTACTAGGGACATAACTAACATTCGGGTTGCTCGACAGGGATTGGGCGATTGCTTTGCTCGCTTCAATTTTGCGGAAAGTAACAAACGCTTCCCCTGCCCTTTCGAGAGCTTTCGAGATGGTGGCAGCAGCTTCAGCTTCACCCTCAGCCGGATCACAGCAGCCTGACGCTCTTGTTCTGCCTGAAAACCAGCCAGTCAATCGACAAGTTCAAGCTCCAGTTTGTGCGATGCGCACCTTTTCGACCACGAATTTGGCACGCTCGGCATCTCCATGTACAGTCAGCAGCAGCATATACGTGGGTGGGAGACACAGGGACACGAACCTTGTTGTGCGATCTGTTTTGCCTCAACAGCTTGTGTAAATTCCTGTTGGGATTCAGTCCAGACGAGCCACGATCATCCCGCTAGATTTTGCTGACCTTGCCAAAGGTAAGATGCGTGATAGACACATCCTCGAGCTTTATGTTGAATTCCCCCGCACGTTGCAACAAGTCAGCGCGAATTCTCGAAGATACCTGCCAAACGTCGGATACCGCACGAGGTTCCAGAGGAAGAAATACGCACCACTTCACGTTGAGTAATGAGCTCTGCAGCGTCGAATTGAGCCACAATAGCTTTCAAGACTTCGTTACCAATGGACGGCAGCACACGTTCATCGTAATCCAAGCCCAGGCTTTGATAGATTTTGGAAAGGTGTTTGTCGTCTGGTCGCGAAAGAACCCGAAGTGTTATGGTCACCATCTGTAGATCCTTGGAGCCAGTGGTTGTAGAGATATTCTAGACGCAGACAGTCGGTGTTCCGGTGTCCAGGGATAGAGAGTGTGAGTGAACTAACGCGTGGTTTGATTCGGCAGTCATACAGGATAGCTCTTTGGAGCCAAGGGACCAGGAAGTGTGTTCCCTCTTTCTTGGACTGACCGTGCACAGAGTTGAGCGGATGGAAACACCATAGTAAGGTAGCAAATACCTGCTCTTGCACTCCCGAGAAACGGTCAAACATGACAGCCTGGTATCCTCCTGGAACGTCAAAGAGACTAGACCGAGCCACCATGACTGCCCCTGTGAGGGGCACGATATATTTTAGCAGTGCGTTGGGAGCCGCCATAAGTGAGAATGTGTGGGAGGACGCGGGCTTCGCGGCACGGCCGGCCGCTTCAAATCACGGTCACGTCGTCTTCGGCAGGCTCCAAACAAGCCGCCACAGTGTAACTCTTCAGTCTGGACTTACCGCAATGATATGCACCAATTCACAATCACAACTTGGGCCAGCCCTTTAGTTATCTAAATAATCCAGTGCAACGACCACTCGTCTAAATCTCCGCTTCTCCGCGCCTCTCGCCGTGCATTTTGGCGGAATGGCTGCCAAATTGCATAGCGCGTTTTTTCCTACTGCTGGCCTGGGATAATCCCAACTTCTTAGCTGCCAGCCTCAAAAGCATCTTGTCACCAACACCCAGCTCCAAGCGTGGATCCAACTTGAAATGGATCGGCAACGCAGCCACTCGAGCCACCACATCCAGAGACAAGAAAGGGTGTCGCGCCTCTTTTCCATGACAAGATATCATTCGGTCATCCCGCCCCAAGTTTCGCAGTGGTATCCGATCGATCTCCAGCTGAAGCTATGCAGGGGCCTCGATGAAAAACTATGCGGAGGGAGTACACCACACCTCGTCGACCAGTGCACTCCACCCACCGGATTCATAAACGCTGCGATGCCGTCCGTACCCACCGAGCAGCTCGTCAGAGCCCAGACCATTCAACAGCACGCGTGCCGGGGAGGTGTAATTGTGTCTTTCCATTCCTGGCCCATCTTGGACAAGACCGACTCCCCTGGAGGCAAAATAGAGTGCTAACGCCAGACTCTGGGTCTGGTTAGTCTCAATTTCCACCACAGCGAGAGTTCATGCTGACCAAATCCATCACAGTTCGGCTCGGAAACATGAGGTTCTCTACAGCGGTCTTTGCCGCTTGGGACTCCTGTCCAGGGATCGTTCAATCATGGTCAGCAATGGGCAAAATCAGATCACCTCATATGGAACATCAATCTCGACCTGAAACGATGGTTATTGCCAAGTATTATCTCCAGATCACCAGACTTGCAAAATTCCAAGTTCGAGGGCAAAGTCTCCGCAGTTCTTCGACCTCTTCAAGGCCAGTCACTCTATCTGGGACCATGTACGATTGGTGGTTGTCACTGAACTTGATCTTGCGCGGATTTTCGAATGCGACGTTAAGGAGATCTATTGGTTCATCGAGAGGAATATATCTTGATAAGGCCTGTAAGCCTCTATGCCAAACGGCTGGATTGATTACCTATGCGCCAAGAATGCGAGGATCGTGCAGTCGATACCTGTCAAATGAGATCTCCCGCTGCATGTCGCGCATTGTTATTCGCACTCGCCTCCACTGAATAGGACAGCCAATCTTGAAGAGCCTTTGTTTAGTCTGCGAGAAATCAGTGAGCGCCGAGAATTCTCAGATGCGTTCTCAACTGCGCCGGTATGTTCTGCATCTGGAGCCGCACACTTTGGTCCAGCAAGCTGATCAATTCGTCTACAGGCCGTGTCAACAACGCATGATCAGGCCCAATAGGTAGATCGTCTAGCGGCAATTGTCTGTTGATTTTCGCCAGTTCGCTCTAGTTGAAAGTATCAGTCGACGTAACGTCAAGATATGGAGAAACGAGTACATAACGGCCTCCGGTGCGTCGCAGGCGAATCATGCAATTCTCCGCATCCTTGAGTCGGTCAGTTGGGCTAGCGGAGACGAAAGATGACCACTAACATCGCCCCAACAATCTAGTTCTATGCAGTGAAGGTGATCCGTCGAGACTTCCTCGAAACGCGTTCTCGGATCCTGGCCTAGAGAAACTGACGAGATCAGGAGGTATGGATTTTCTGTGTCGGGTCGATGCAAGAGAAGCGAGCGCCGACCAAGTGGGTCTCGGCCAAAGAAAAGTCGCTGCTTGGCTGTCTGGTGGGGTTATGTCACTGACTCGGCCGACATCCACTTCCAAGCGTACAGAGTAGAACACGAATGCGTATCTACCGAAAGACGAAACGTCAGATTCTTTCCATATGTTGAAAACAGTCTCCTACGGGCCCTCAATGGTCGCAAACAGATCATGGACTGCCTGAAGTGTATCCAATTGCCGAAGCGAATCAAACAATCGGGTGCCGTCGTTCTCATCCAATGCTACCTGGGATGCTGGACTCAGAAGGAGAAAAAAGGGCTTGCGTGAGACCGACATTCATCCCGTCGAATATCTTCGCAGAAAGGTATCAGCGACAGCATATTGTCGAGATTGTGTAGATCCAACTTCTCCGTTCCAGCACAAGATGTTCCCGTCCTGCTCATGAGGCTGAAGGACTGGACTGCAGCCCCGGAGATGCAGCTCTGAGGCAAACAGATCGATTAAAACGCTGCGGTCCAGTGTGACCACTCGTTTTGTGCTCTGTGAATCGGGCCCTAGGCAGAGATGGATTGTCGAAAACGACAAACGACAATGCATCTCGACTGACCCCGAGCAGCGTCGGTCGCTTTCAAACTGTCACAGAGGTTGCTCAAGTCGGGAGAGTCGAAGCGTGCGCTGCGAACGCAGCAGAAAATACCACACATGATGGTGTTGGTCAAGTCCAAGCGCGGAATGATGTACTCTGAGGCTCTTATCGATATGGTATAGACACGTGACAGGTAGGACAACATTTCATTTGATTGTTTTGACATGGATAGGCGTACACTTGATTGTCGTTTCACTGCTTCTTCTATCACCATCTAAAGAAAGGGAACGACTTTCGTCTGGAGGGATGAGCCAAGCATCTACGCGAGATAAGTTGATGCAGATACATTGCCTCCTCGGCCAGTCCAGTTGACGTGAATGTCTTCGCCAGACTTGAAGCGGTCGTTCTCCTTCCCGGGCAGAACACGGAAAGTATGAGCACCGAAGTAGTCACGCTGTGACAATCCAAGTCAGTGCGGTCACTAAAATCTATTTCAGGGAACCGGACCTGGGCCTGCAGCAGGTTGGCAGGGACAACCTCGCTCCTGTAGCCGTCAAAGAAGGCAAGAGCAGTGCTGAAAGCGGGGTGCGGGATACCCCACAGCACAGCCTGGGCAACAACACGACGCCAGCCGGGCTGGGCGGTGCGGATGGCAGACCCGAAGAAGTCGTCGAAGAGCAGCGACTCAAGCTCGGGGGTCTTGACATAGGCAGCGGTGATGTCACGCAGGAAAACACTCTGAGGGCGCAATTAGATCTGCCTCTTCAGCTGATCCGGGACGCACCTTGATGATGCATCCTCCACGCCACATCTTGGCAATCCCAGCGTAGTTCAGGTTCCAGTTGAGCTGAGAATTTGTTAGCCACAAGAAGTACAATCAAATCAGAGAAGACACGCACCTCCTTCGCGGTTTCACGCATCAGCATGAAGCCTTGAGTGTACGAGATGATCTTCGACGCATAGAGCGCCTGTTCCAGATCGTCAATGAACTGCTGCTTGTCACCGCGGAAAGGCTCCTTCTTCGGGCCGTCCATGATTTTACTGGCTCGGACACGCTCCTCCTTGATGGCCGAAAGACACCGAGCGAACACGGCTTCACCAATAAGCGTCACTGAAATGGACATCGATAAGATAAGCCAAGCATACAACGGTTAAGAACGGACCGGGAGTTCCTGCGTCAAGGGCAGCAATGGCAGTCCATTTGCCGGTACCCTTCTGCCCGGCTTTGTCGAGGATCTTCGCCACGACTGGTTCACCGTCATCATCCTTGAACTTGAGGATGTTGGCGGTGATGTCGATGAGGAACGAATCAAGAACGCCCTTGTTCCACTTCAAGAAGATGTCGGCGATCTCGTCCTCGCTGAGACCGAGACCACGTTTGAGGATGTCGTAGGCCTCAGCGATCAGCTGCATGTCACCGTACTCGATGCCTGAGCCCCAAATAAATATCCAGCGCGACCAAGAAAGATCGCGACTCGCCGTTATGGACCATCTTGACGTAGTGACCCGAGCCGGTCTCACCAACCCAGTCACAGCAGGGCTCGCCGTAAGCCTGAGCAGCGGTCTTCTGGAAGATCTCCTTGATGGCGGGCCATGCAGCCGTAGATCCACCAGGCATCAGAGAGGGACCGTAACGGGCACCCTCCTCACCACCAGAGACACCAGATCCAACGAACAGGAAACCCTTGGACTCGAGCTCCTGCGTGCGACGGATAGAATCGGGGTAGTGGGAGTTTCCACCGTCGATGACGATATCGCCAGGCTCCAGGCCGCCGGCGATCAATTGAGAGATAAAGTCATCGACGGCAGGGCCAGCCTTGACGAGCAAGATGATCTTGCGGGGCTTCTTGAGCTTGGAGATGAGCTCAGCGATGGAGTGCGCGCCCTGGATCTTGGTCCCTAAAATTCATGTTGGCAACATGATCGGCTGCTTTCGGTCAAGATGGGAACTCACCCTTGGCTTCATTAGCAAGGAACGCATCGACCTTGGAGGTGGTACGGTTATACGCGACGACGTTAAATCCCTTGTCGTTCATGTTGAGAATAAGGTTTTGGCCCTACGGAAACGTTAGATTGCTAGGTGATGGCGACCTGGAACGCGACGCACCATGACGGCCAAACCAATGAGACCGATATCGCCGCTATCGGGGGTGGATCAGACAGGATGAAAGACCGCGAGCAGAGGGCGTACGTTGCCATTGCTTGTAATTGGAGATGGGTGGTGAGGGTAAGAGGTAAGGAGAGATCCGGACCGGGATCACCGCGCCATCTTGCTTAAATATTCTGGGGCAAAAATCTTTGTCATAAGAGATCTCGTATTTAGCCATCTCTACCCATCGGTCTCCCATAAGCATTTCCCCTTGGGTATCCATCTGTTCACCCAATCCTCACGCTTAGATTATAATCCATCACCGTGCGTCATCGCCTGTGCGACTGCCTGGCTCATGCACAACCCCGAGAGTCGCCGGCTTTCGGCCCTTGCCGGCTCGGTCACCGACACCGGTCCCGATCGTCTGCCATCAACCCCTTTGGGCCAATCCAGCACAGTCCTTTGATCTTACACGCCGCCGCTTCCTCCGAGTCCCTAAGTTAATTACCGCGATGGCAGCCATGAGCACGACGATGGCGGCCTTGGTGGGAGCCTCTGCGTCGTCTGCTTTTGGTGCTGTCATTCGCGAAGGTTGGGTGCTAAAGAAACGCAGAAAGAAGATGCAAGGTCAGTGCACCTCCTCCTGAGTACACCTCAATCACGAGCCCCATGCAGGCTTCGCCCGTAGATACTTCACGCTGTACCAATCTGGGATACTGGTCTATGCATTCGACCGCGACCAGCCTATCCGCGACCAAGTTTCCCTGCACCATTCCGCAGTCTCAACGGCCCCCGGGCGCAAAGACATTCACATCGATTCTACGACTACGTTTCATATCAAGTGCCTGAGCACGGAAGATTTCGAGGCCTGGATGACTGCGTTCCGGTCGGTGTCATGATCGCTTTCTCCTGTATTGGGACTGAACCAAATGCAGCAAGTTCATACCCACAGCGGAAGCGCGCAAGTCTGCCAGCGTGCGACACATAACGCGTCAGGGCAGCATAAGTGTGAACAAGTCTGGCGCAATTCTCGAAGAGATGGCATCGGTGAGTTTTCAGATGCAGACTAGCCCGCGTCAATTGACCGCATTTCAGACTTTGGCAGAGCTTGAAGAGGCCATCCACAGCCTACCTCCAGAGGATGCTAAGAAGTCACACAGATCGAAGCAAGAGAAGGAGAGGCTTCGACACGAGAAGGAGAAGTACGAGAAAGTCGACAAGCATGACAAGCACGACAAGCATGCTGTGTTTGGCCTCTTCAAGAGAAGCTCCCAGAACTCTTCTATGCACGACGGCGATCCTGGGACTGCATCAGAACCTCTAGAGAGATCCCCTGTACAACATATCTGTGACGTTCTCGAGAGTCTCAAGGCCCAGCACGCAATGCTTCTCAAATCTATCCACACGTTGGCTTTGCTGGATGTCAATGCACAATCACTTAGGGCATCGCCAATACTCCCGGCAACGGCAGAAGAGGACGAAGCCCACCCCATCTGGACACATTCCCCTGCGACTTCGCTCTTTACCCCACATCCTGGCAAGCGAATGTCCAGCATGACGACGACAACGACCGACAGCGGCGTCGAGTGGTTCGATGCCGAAAGCGATGGTGCTGAAGAGTTTGTACTGGATGTTCCGCCTGCAATCGAGTCTCAGCAGCCCAGCAAGATCGTCAACGCCAGCACGGATAGTCTAGGGCATTCCAGCATTGATACGGATATCGCAGATGAGCCAGAACAGTCGCCGGTCGAGATCAACCGGAGAGCACAGCTTCCTGCCCGGCCAATAGGTGATGAAGGCAGTCTCTTCGCCGTGCTGAAGAAAAATGTCGGCAAGGATCTTTCGACCATCGCCTTCCCCGTGACATTCAACGAGTAAGAGGAACTTTGGATGGATTATATGCTGATTAACATTGCATTCAGACCATTGTCACTACTCCAGCGCGCTGCTGAGGAGGTTGAATACTACGATCTGTTGAATCTAGCCGCTGCGAGTCAAGATTCCGTGGAGAGGTTGTGCTACGTAGCAGCCTTTGCTGTCTCTGGATATGCACATACGCGCTACCGCACCGGGAGAAAGGGATTGTGAGTGTAGTGTCTCTTTCATCAAGATGATACTCATGATAGGATAGCAATCCAATGCTGGGCGAGACGTTTGAAGACCCCCGGATGAAGTTCATAGCCGAAAAGGTTCGACACCATCCACTCGAGATGGCATATCACGCTCAGGGCGACCACTGGGAATTAACCTCCACTTCTGCTGGCAAAACCAAATTTTGGGGTTTGGGATGGTCTTGTCGTTTGATCATAACTGAACTAGCCACAGGGAAGAGTCTCGAAGTCATCCCACTCGGCTCAACGATTGTAGTCATCGGCGAAGATCGTTACGAGTGGTAAGTGGTCACAATCAACGCTGCTGAGCGCAACTGACTGGATGCGATGTTTACAGGAAGAAGCCGTCGTCTTTCATGCGCAATATCATGGTCGGCACCAAGTATCTCGAGCACGTAGGCAAGATGGTCATCGAGAATACGAATTCTGGCGAACGATGCGCCGTGGAGTTCAAACCCAGCGGGTACTTCGGAGCATCCAATCTCGTCTCTGCGACTGTCTACGCGGCATCTGGGAAGACGGTAACGCATCTAGAAGGCAAATGGGACGATCAAATCTCCCAGCAATTGGACGACTCACACTTCCGCATTCTGTGGCGAGTCACGCCGTACCCGAAAGACACCCAGGAATATTACGGGTTCACGACATTTGGGATTAGCCTGAACGAAGTCACGCGCGATCTGGAAGGCAGACTTCCACCGACCGACTCGAGGCTTCGGCCGGACATCCGGGCTCTCGAGGAAGGGAACCTCGATCTGGCAGAAAGCGAAAAAAGTAGAGTGGAAGAGGCGCAGAGAGATCGTAGACGCGCAGGACGCGATACACAGCCAAGGTGGTTCCGACAAGTAGGCGAGGAATGGGAATATGTCGGTGGGTACTGGGAAGCCCGAGCACAAGGATGGAAGGATACCGGCCTGCAGCCGCTGTGGTAGTCACTCATTAATAGTAAACACATACCCCGCAAATCATCTAATCTTAATCTACATCTCACATAATCGGATCTATCGGCCTGTCTTCGGCCGAAATCATCTTTGACTGACTTCCACTCCGTGATTGGCTCTTGGTCTCAGCCATGTCCTTGAGTCACAGTCTGCGGGGCAAGTCGCGTCTCGGAACGCGTCTACTCGCGACACATGCGTCTCTCACCGAGAAGAACTGCGCCTCGATCACCCCGCCGTACCCCACCCTGATTCAAAACCTTGCGCAGGTCCGCAAGCACGTGAAGCACAAGCTCACCCTCGCGGAAAAGATTCTCTATAGTCACCTCTGTGACCCCAGCAAACCCATCGCAGAAGGAGGCAGACTGCGGGGTCATGCGTACCTCCAGTTGAATCCCGAACGCGTCGCAATGCAGGATGCCTCGGCGCAGTATGTATCTCGGCCTGTGACTCTGACTACTCCCCCCTCATGACCGGACTAGGATGGCCCTGCTGCAGTTCATGAGCGCCGGTCTCTCTAAATCGGTCGTCCCCGTTAGTATCCACTGCGACCACCTCATTCAGGCGGTGGACGGAGCAGAATCGGACCTGGAGGTGTGTGCTGTTGTTGGTTGGCTGGCGGCTCGAACCTGCGAAACCAACGCCTTGTGATAGCGCTCCATCGTCACCAACAAGGAAGTGTTCGATTTCCTCGAGAGTGCTGCGCGCAAATACGGAATCGAGTTTTGGGGTCCGGGATCCGGTAGGGTTTGGTCCAGTTCCAGGCAGAGAGGGAATTCCTGAAAAGCGCAGGGATCATCCACCAGATCGTGCTGGAAAACTACGCAGCGCCAGGGATGCTCATGTTCGTGCCCGTTCCCACTCTGAAGATCCGTCTTGCTAATTAAATAATACTATTACAGGCTTGGTACCGGTATGGAGATTATCGTGAGATGGTTGGATGCCCACGAGCTAATTGTTGTGCCCAGACTCGCACACGCCCAATGCCGGGGGTCTCGGAATGCTCGCCATCGGCGTCGGTGGCGCAGATGCTGTCGATGCCATGACGGGAACGCCATGGGAGTTGAAAGCCCCGGAGATTGTCGGAATACACCTCAAGGGCCAGCTGAGCCCTTGGGTGTCTCCGAAGGACTTGATTCTGCACTTGGCTGGGAAGTTGACTGTTCGTGTACGTGTCTCTGCTGTTGTTCTTGACTGGATTACGTTTGACAGTCTTTGTAGGGTGGGACAGGGAAGATTCTCGAGGTAGGCCTCGAACTCGACTTGTGTTTTAGACTCACTCAGTATTTGAATCAAGTACTTCGGACCCGGGGTTTTCGATCAGTCCTGCACGGGTGAGCTCTTCGTTGTGTCGTGTCAGGCGGAACTCTTCCTGACGATCGATCATTCAGGCCTAGCTACCATCGCAAACATGGGTGCGGAGGTCGGTGCGACGACATCTACGTTCCCGTATACTCCCAACATGCGGGCCTATTTGACTGCCACCGGAAGAGCACCCGTCGCTCGAGCAGCCGACCAGGCTTTGGCACAGGGATTCCTCAGTGCCGATGAAGGCGCCGAGTATGACCAACTTATCGAAATCGTGAGCAGTTCCTCTTTGGCTGTTTTGCATACACCTGAGCAATCTCAGAACTTGTCCGAATTGGAACCACACATCAATGGACCATTTACTCCCGATCTCGCAACTCCGCTCTCCAAGTTCGGCGCTCTCGTCAAGGAGCAAGGATGGAAGGACGAACTGTCTGCCGGATTGATTGGCTCGTGCACAAACAGCTCCTACCAAGATATGGTGAGCGCGCTCCCAGGAAGACAAGTCCAGCGCTCACAGACTGAATCGGCGCACAGACGAGCGTCGCTGATCTCGCCCGACAGGCTAAATCGGCGGGCTTGACGACCAAGGTTCCCTTCCTCTGCACGCCCGGTTCCGAACAGATTCGAGCGACCATGGAGCGCGACCAGGTGACATCGACGCTTGAGGACGTCGGGGCAGTTGTTCTCGCCAACGCTTGCGGACCTTGCATCGGGCAGTGGAAACGCGACGACCGCAAAGAGGAGGAGAATGGTGGGCCGGGTGTTTGTTTGACGATGGGCACGTCAGTGACTGTCTCGCAGCGATCCTGACGAGCTTCAACCGGAACTTCAAGTCGCGCAATGACGGCAACCGGCTCACGATGAACTTCCTGGCCTCACCTACCATTGTTACTGCTATGGCCTTTTCAGGGAAACTGTCGTTCAACCCGATGACGGATTCGATTTCGCTGCCGTCCGGCGAGGCGTTCCGTTTCTCGGCTCCGAAGGGTGACGATCTGCCTTCGCAGGGCTTCACTCTGGGACGGGAGGCATTCTATCCTCAGGCGTCGCCCGAGCCCCAGCCGGAGACGGAGATCATCATCAGCCCGACGTCGCAGCGGCTGGAGCTGCTCGAGCCGTTCAAGACCCACTTTGAAGTGGGGAACACGGAGCTTCTGCCGATGAAAGTGCTGATGCGGGTGCGAGGGAAATGCACCACAGATCACATCTCCGCTGCTGTGAGTGGTGGTGTATACCCTTGGCGAACACCAATCGGAGCTGATCTGTCTCGCAGGGCCCGTGGCTAAAATACAAGGGTACTAACAGCTCGTTCGCAGTTTAGGATAGAGGAACTGATCGGACCACAGGACATCTGACCAACATCTCTGAGAATCTGTGTCAGTAACAGCCATCTCCCCCCATCTCCCTGCTAACGCCAGTTTCTACAGTGATCACCGCTGTCAACGACGAGGGCGGAGATGTGAATGTGGCCTTCGATCACGATGCAGGCGCGGGCGTCTCCAGCACGGATACGATCCCGGGCGTCGCCAAGCGCTTCAAGGCGCGGGCCCAGCCGTGGGCGCTGATCGTGGACGACAACTACGGCGAGGGCAGTGCGCGTGAACATGCGGTGCGTCGAGTCACTCCCGGTGTCGCATCGACTCTGACACACACTGGGATAGGCGCTGCAACCCCGGTTCTACGGATGCAATCTGATTGTTGCTCGTTCGTTCGCTCGGATCCACGAGACCAATCTCAAGGTATGTCCGAGGTTACGTGTTCCAGGATGTCCCCTGACACAGCTGCGCAGAAACAAGGCGTGCTGCCGCTGTGGTTCAAGGACAAGGCAGACTACTCTCGGATCGGCTCGGGGGATGTGATTGAGACGGTGGGCCTTCCTGAGTTGCTCAAGGGGACCCCTGGGGCGCAGATCACGCTCAAAGTGACGACACGGGACGGCCAGAGCTTTGAGATTGAGACGAAGCACACGATGTCCGCCGACCAGTGCAAGTGGTTCGCGGCTGGCTCAGCGCTGAATTACATCAGGTCGCAGATGAACTGAAGTAATATAGCCCCGCTAGACAAAAAAGTATATTCTAGTCTGTACGTCTAATCAAGTGGATGGCGAGAGCAAAGCCAGGCCCAATGATCTCAGTTCGGACGGATCCGATGCATTCCGGGTCGACCTGTCGTGCAAACTGGCCAGACACTTTTGAGCGACGGCAATGGCCGGTTGAGGCATGCCAGCGAGCTGAGCTACTTTGATCCCGTGACTGTTGCGGTTCACGCCAGGCTGCAGGCGATACGAGTACGCGAAATGGTCATCCTAGAAACAGTCATCAATCGGGAAATAAACAGAGGAAGAGGGCAGCTTGCCTCCGTCTCGTCCACCTGTGTGCAGAAGAAATCTACGCCCTCAAACGCGGGATCGGCCGAAGCGTACCCGAGCATGTCAGCCAGTTCGTGGAAGTGGGTCGCAAACAGCGCCCGGCACTGGTTCGTTTTAAGCAGATGGTGCACAGTCGCAAACGCAATAGCAAGCCCGTCAGTGACTGTCGTCCCTCGGCCCACTTCGTCCATGATCACCTGATCCCCAGGCGTAAGTCTACATTCAGTCGTTCGAATCCACGCTCACCAGACTCTGCGGCGTGGCGCGCGAGAGAATCTCCGCCGTCTCCAGCATCTCGACCATGAACGTGCTCCGGTCGTGGAACAGATCGTCCTTGGCCCCGACCCGCGAAAACAGCTTGTCGACGATGCCCACGGTCGCTGCGTCCGCGGGAACGAACGAGCCGGTTTGCGCCAAGATCGCGATCAGCGCTGTTTGGCGCAGGAGAGTCGATTTCCCGGCCATGTTCTGCCAGGGATCAGTCAGAGGATTGACGCTTGGTCTGCGATGCTGCTCACCGGCCCTGTGATTATATGCAGCCGTGAAGTGGATGTCAGCTCGACCGAGTTTGGGGTGAATACACGGCCACTCGTCAACAGGCCCAGCTCGACAGTCGGATGCCGTCCATTCACCACAGTGTATTCCGGCCTGGATCGCATTCAGCACGTGATCCTGATTCACAGATGGCAGCTCACTCGGCACTGAGATCAGGTCGCACGAAGTTCATCTCTTTCGCGAGACTGGCAAACGCGAGTGTGACATCAAGCTCGTCAAGGACACGCGCGTTGCGCCGCAGTTGCGCTGTGTGGCTGTTGACCTGTGGGTATTGTTAATTGAATCGCGCGCAACGAAGGCACCGGATCTCACCTCGGCCCGCAGCGATTCAAACGCTTCTTTTTCAGCTACGAGCAGAGCATTCGTCGTCTCCACGATCTGCCCGCCGAGCTGTGCCCATTTCTGGTAGAGGCTCAGTCGTCGGAGATCATGGATATAGACGGTTCACGATACCGGATAGAAGTAGCATTTCGTGCTACCACTCTCAGCAATGCCGACAAAGTCCGGGTCTTGACCGATCTTGGTTCGATCGCGCTTGGCCTTGAGCAGGTGGACGTGCATCCCATGCGCTGGCGATGATCGCAAGGTCAGAGACGGAGCATCTGGGGAACATTAGCATTTACAAGTCACGTAAAGCTCGAGCAGATCTCTTCACCGTATGTGAGCTGCAGGTCCGCTTGCAGTCGCTCCCTCTGGTTGAGCAGGTCCTCGAGCGTCGTGTGGAGAGATAAGAGCTTTTCCGAGAATCTGGCACAAACTAGTCAGCCTGGATGAGAGTAATTTAGTTTATCTTACTCAGGTCTGATAGTCCATCCAGTGGCGCCGAACTTCCAGGCAGGCTTCGTAACGTCGCTCTCGGGGACCTCGGCATCATCTCCTTCAAATGCATGCTGACCTCCGGATTGATTCCCGGGCTCCTTCGGCTTCAACGCAGAGGTAATCCGAGCAGAAAGCTCGCTCAGATCGCAGAGTCTTCCGATCAGAGCATCCATGCTGGCCCATTCGTCGGCCTTGAACTCCATCGACTGACGGGCCGTCTCTGCCATCTCCTGATCTCTCTCCTGCATGATGCGACTGGCGAGATTCCTCCATACTCCGATTGTGGAGTTGACCGCGTGCAAGTCGTTGGCATCGCCTCGGCCGAGCAGGAAGCGCTGCACGATCCGCCCGGCATCTTCCGAACTTGCTAATGCAGCGGTGAGATCGGCGCGGAAGTGATCCCGCTGGTGAAAGAAAGCAACCAGAGCCTGACGGGCGTTGATTTCTGACAACGAGGTGCTCGGAGAACCTTTCTCAGTTTCAGAAGAAGGCTGCAGCAGAAAGGCGGAGAAGACGACGCACACAGCCATCGCATGAGCAAGCGTGTGCCGCTGCCAGTCACCGTCCGCTTGACTGTGCTGATCAGGCTTCCTGTGACGCCACCTTCGCGAATGCTCTCGCGGATTTCCAGTGCCCTGACGGTATGCGAGTCGATTTGCATGCGAGCCGCAGAGTTCTCGCGAGCAGGCATCGCAAGCTGCGGCATATGATCGAGGAGACTGGAGTGCAGATGCGCGGTCAATACTTGAATGGCGGAATGCTCTTCGCCAGTGTAGTCAGCGGCCAGGGGATGGCTGACTGCTGTTCTTCCGAGCTGATCACGTCGTCCACGGGAGTCTGCTCGAGATCGTATCCATTGGGCACCGCTGTGGTTCCAACGTCTCTCAACGACACGCAACACTCTTCTTCGCTCAGGAGCGCTCTGATGGTGGCCAGCCTCGACGGTTCGAGCGAACGGTTGAGGACGATTTCTCGCGGTCCGATGCGTGAAGCCTCATCTCGCAGATTGTTGATGTCTACTGATTTCGAGTAGAATTCGCCCGTTGAAACATCGATCCAAGCGAGACCAACTCGCTCGTCAGCCGTACCAACAGCAAGCAAAAAGTTGTTCTCGTATTGGTTCAGAAACGACTCGTCAATCAGTGTCCCTGGTGTTACCACACGAGCAACACGCCGGTCGAAAGTGACGGTCCCCTGGGCCCCGTAGCGTGGAAATTCCTCGCACAACGCAACGAACTTGCGCTGTTGCTGCACTAGCACTTTGAGGTACTTGTCCAGATGCAGCAGCGGAAACCCGCAGAAAGGAATCTGTCCTCCACCCCACTTGCGGAAGGCAAGCTTGATGTTCAGTGACTTGGAGACCTCGTAAGCTTGATCGAAGTATGACTGCGCTGGGTTGAGGAAACGTCATCCGAGGACCGTCCAGTGAGTCTCACCTCGTAGAATTTGCCGACCCGTGTTAACAGGATGCAATGCGGGAAACGGTCCAGATTATCAAGCACTTCTCGGGGTAGACTAACTTTAGACACGATCTCTACAGCCGAATGAGACGATACATCTCAAGATTTGACAGATCAACGTACCAGGGTCCGGTTCATCCTCTGACACCTTCTTCCTCTTTCTCCGGACGGGGGGTTCTGCCGGCCTTCAACCAACGATGAACCACGGCTTCTACATCGGACCTACCCGACGGATCGACACTGTCATTCCCTTCGGTGCTTGTTTTCATTTTGCGCCGACCGGAGGGGGTGGATTCTGGTTCTGCGAGGGAGCCTGGGCCATATCCTCACATGTGTGTTGAGAAAACACCCACGCGTAGAATTCGATATAGCGTGTTTTTCGGTCGGTTGAGAACATGCTAGTTCGGGGAAATGTCAGATTCCATCTGAACGCGTCAAATGGGGCATACCGTCATCATTAACGGGCCCGGCGATCTTCTTCCTAGTTCTCTTCGGGGCTGATGTATCTCAGAGGACTTGATTAGCCCAGGTCGGGGAGCGCATGATGAGACGAGATACCTGGAGATTCGTTTTCGACCTTCTTTCGCCGTTTCACTGGAGAACTAGAGGGGGGATGCGCGTCCAGGCTACTGGGACCAGCCTCAGGTTTGGTTTCGTTCAAATGCAAGGACTCCCTGCCTTCACGCGCTGGAAGTTGCATTATTCTTCGGATGAAGTATTAATAATAATGTCACGCACGGCTTGTTCCCGACCACCACTCGTCCAGGGGAACAGCGACAGTACCATCAGGGAGCAAGTGCGCGTCAGGAAGTTCCGCATACGATTTTTTCGCCCGGGTAGTTGCCCGCAGTGGTGCTCTTGTCTGAAATGCGCGTGTTGAAGAATGATTCACAAACGCGCGGGCTACCTGCCGCGCATAATTCGCTGGCCTCATGCGATAGCGAGGAGCAGCAATAATTTTCTTACGTAATCAATGTATCAACCTGTTTGGTTTCATTCAAGCTCATCTCACGTTCCTTACACCTCACTTCATCTTCACTGTCATGTCGTTCGCAGGCGAGCTCCTTTTCCAGCACACGAAAGTTCCATTTCTGAATATTTCCCACAGGAAGGAGACGCGGAAACAAAGTGAAAAAGGGAGTTCAATTCACTGTTATGGTCGTCGGTACGGTGAACATCGAAATCTTTCGTCATTCCGATACTTAAGGCCTTGTAGGTGCTTCTGGCACTGGACGCACCACTTTCGTGAACACTCTCTGCGAGAGCGAGGTTTTGTCGCACAAGATCTCTGACGCGCCAGAGTCTGCCCATATTGAGGAGGGTATCAAAATCAAGCCCGCCAACGTTGGTGCGCGCGTGCAGTAATACTGATTCCTCCGGAAAATCTCATTCCCTTTCTTAGAGCTTGATGAAGATGGTGTTCGCATTGCTCTCACTATCGTTGATACGCCGGGTTTCGGGGACAACATTGACAACGAATTTGCGTGCGTTCCTTTCCGACTGTATTCGTTGTGTCGTTTCCTGACAGCGTGTCTTAGTTTCCAAGAAATCATGGGCTACCTGGAACGTCAATACGACGACATTCTGGCTGAAGAATCCCGCATTAAGCGCAACCCTCGCTTTCGCGATAACCGTGTCCATGCCCTGCTCTACTTCATTCCTCCGACAGGGCACGCGTAAGTTCTATCCCCTGTAACCAGCTCAGACCTCTCAATCTTCGTCTTCAAGTCTGCGGGAGATGGATATTGAGTTAATGCGCCGTCTTTCTCCTCGTGTCAATGTGATTCCCGTCATCGGAAAAGCCGACAGTCTTACGCCCTCGGAACTGAAAAGCTTCAAGAAACGGGTGCGCCGCACAGCTCGTCCTGGCTCCACCAACGTCTGACCACTGCTTTTAGATTATGGAAGATATTGAACACTACGATATTCCGGTGTACAACTTCCCGTACGACGTGGAAGAAGATGACGAGGACACCATCCAGGACAACAGTGAACTGCGGGTGAGGCGAACGCTTCGGACCGAGAAACAGACTCATGAAAGTTACTTAGAGCTTGATGCCGTTTGCGATCATCGGATCCGAGGAGGAGATTGAGCTCGATGGACAACTTGTCCGTGCCCGGATTTATCCTTGGGGTATCGCCGAGGTGGACAACCCGAAGCACTCTGACTTCAGTCGCCTTCGGAGCGCGTTGTTAAAGTGGGTATCCAATTCCTTCTGTCATTCACCGACTCACATTACGACGCTCGCAGTTCCCACCTGTCAGACCTCAAATCGTTGACTCATGACCTGCTGTACGAGACCTACCGTACCGAGAAGCTTTCCCGCAGTGTTCATACGGATCTGCCCGACTCGTCGATCCTTCCGGAAGAAATGGCCAATCAGAGCGTGCGTCTCAAGGAAGAGCAACTGCGTCGCGAAGAAGAGAAGTTACGCGAGATTGAGCTGAAGGTGCAACGCGAGATCAACGAAAAGCGGCAAGAGTTGCTTGCGAAGGAAGAATCCCTCCGCAATTTGGAGAGTCGCCTTGCCGCACAGGGCTCATCTGAGTTCCGTGACTAGGAACTTGCCCAGTTGATACCCATGGGATGATTTCTGCTTTTTTGATACTCTTGGATAATCATTGAGACTGCCTCATCGCATATACCACGTTCTTTACCATCGCTCTTTTTGTTTGCCCTTTTGCAATCAGTACCGTGGTTACTTCTTCCCAACAGCAGAACACTTATCAGGCTCTCTTGTGGCGGTTTCCAGATCTGTAGCATGCGTCGATCACAAATCACAAATCTGTGATGGTCGACAATTAAAAATTGACGGCGGTACCCAGCCCTTCCCGAGATCGCGATGGAGGCGTAGCAACTTATACTCGACGAGCCTGCAAAAATAGCAAGCCTTGACAACGTAGACTACTGAAAGAATCGCGATCAAGCATTCTTGAATCTTGAGTGATGGATCGAACACGGAAAGACTGAAAGAGGCTGCGATTGTTGTTGTGTTTGACATCACTACATTCAAGGGTTGTTCAGAGCTCGCTGGATCCCCGGTCGCTGCCGCGTTCGATGTCGAACCGTCGCCGCTCAAGTGCTGCAACGCGGCCTGCACCTGCCCCACCCCCTTCTGGGCCCATCCCAAAGATTCCCATACCCCCACTCCCTGACTCTCCCGAGGTGCCTCGCCAAGTCAGGCATAACGATGAACTGGACGACCCTCCGCCGCCCTCTATCTTACATCTATCCGGACCGTCTGTGGAACCCCCAGATCCTCCTCGCGACCCTCCTCGCGAGTTTCTTCTTCCCGAAGCTCGACCAGAGCCGCGTATACCCTCCTCTCGAAGAGCACTAACTCGTGCTCTAGAGCTAGCCAGAGAAGCAGTTCAGCTTGATTCAACGAACGAGGAACCGTATGCGGCCGTTACGGCGTATGGTCGCAGTGTCGCACTATTGAGCGAGGTAATGGAACGAGTTCGACGCGGTGAAGATAGTACCGATTCACGAAGGCGGCATGGTCGACCTAGGAGTGCTGTTGCCCAAGAGGAGGAGATTCGGAGGCTTCAAAACATCGTGCGTTATCATTATATGCGTTCTTTGGCGCTGCTCATCCGGCGAGAAAGCACGATACATATGCGGACCGCATGAATATCCTCAGCATCATATATAACATTCCTCCCGCTCCATACTCCGCCAATGCCGAATATGCAGCCATGCTACGCGAATCCACACCGTCGACATTTTCGCCGACGGGATCCCAGTCCGTAATGCCTGAATCAGTGCACTCGTCTGTGGGAGGATCCATCTCCTCCGCATCAGACGCCATTCCACCAGAGGATGAGTACCAGGACGATCATTCACCGGCTCGTAACCCATTCGACACTGGACACGACCGAGATCTGAATGAGGCTGGCATGTTTCTATTTGAGAATGAGCGGGGGTCGCAAGCACCCATCTCACATCCCTACGCGGCAGTCTACGAGGAAGCTCTGCCCCCTGCGACTTCATCTGGCATCCGCAGTCGCCGACCACGGAACACGTCTGCTGCAGCATTCGCACCGCCGCCACCGCCGCCATCAAATGCCCTCCCCCCTGCTCCTGTTCCTGCATCTGATGAGATTTCTGCCGAAACTACCGGAGAACACAGAAGAACGCACTCTGCTAGCCGACTTGCCGCACTGGAAGAAGAAGTGCGAGAGGACAGAGGGCAAACACGGGCTTACGTGCCCGACCGTGTTGGCGAATCTCCTCCATTACCCCCGCTTCCGTCTCCGACGCGATCTCGACCACCTGTGCCAGCTGCCGCCCCGATTTCGAATGTGATCACGCCCCGACCGCGAGGGTCGTCGTATATATCTCCCCGGACTGAAGTACCTCCTTCGGGGGTCATCAATGGGACGATAAATCAAGGGACCATCTTCCATCGACGATCAACAAAATCGTCTGCACCCCCCAGCACCCGATCCTCCTCGCCGGCGGAATCGACGACGTCGGCCGGATCCAACACTGTCGCCAAATCTCTGTCCGGGCGCAGTCGTTCTGTTTCGCAGCCCGGCCGACGACCATCGCTCATTAATGGTCGTATATCTCCAGCACTGACCCAGCCGCCCCCACCGTTACCATCGACTAATGGGACACCTTCGATTCTTCCCCGCAAGCCGTCGTTCGCGTCCAAGTTGAACCCTAACAATCCATTGTTTGTTCACACCGACCTTCCGCTTTCTTCAACGCTCGGACCACCGATATTCAATCAACTTCCCACTACGCCAACATCACCACTGCCCCCTGCTCCGCCGACGGACCCTATCAGGAAACCGTATCACATGATGAGTCTGCTGCGCACGACCATGATCTCTGCGACCGGGGGCTACGTGACCCGTCGGCTCCATGTTCCGCAGGGTGTCTGGTCACAGGGCGGAGCCAAGCTCACCAATGTGTCTGAGAAGATCCGCGTGGTGGCTATTCTATGTTCTGCGCTAGAAGAGTTGCAAACGTGCAGTTCTGAACACTTTGGAGCGGGTAATGTGAGCAGTGGGATGGGGCTTGGCATTGGGAGCATCGGTAGGACTGAGGGAGAGGCCTGGATCGGTCGGTTGGAAGAGTTCTCCAACATTTGTGATGGTGTGGTTGCGAACTTTGGTAAGAAATTGGGTGTTGGAGAAGGATTTGTGGTCAAGAAATCATCTTGGGGTGGCAAGCTTACTCGGCAATTCGACAAGTTCACCGCCGGAAAGAAGTGCGTAGACTTCGACCTGTTCGATGATAAATAAAGCATACTGACATAATTTCAGTCTCGATTCACCTGCCGCGTATGTTTCTGGCCTTCAGAAACTATTCCTCTACGCCCAGCTCCTTGACGAGCACTCTCAAGCCATCACATCTCAGCCTGTTGCAGCAGTATATGCAGCATTACCAGCAGATATCCGGACCGAGGCCGACAAAAAACTGAAGCGCTCGTCGCAGTTCTTTGCGACTGTTGTGCTTACGTTTGTCATCCGGGATCTGTCGCTGTTACTCGACAAGTACGCGAAAAAATGCGAAAAGTGGCTTGCCGAGTAACGAGATGCGTCGATGCTGGTTCGTTCGACCTCAATGCTTGGCCAAGGCTTGCCACAGCGCGTCCGGTGTCGTGGACGGCTGTGCGGCCGAAGGCTTTCCGCTGCAGCATTGCCGCTGAGCGCTGAGCATTGCTGCTGCTGCTCCTTTCACTTTTCTTCCGGACCTATGTCCGAGCTTGTTTATGCATTCACCTTATGCGTCGCTCTTTCTCTTGCATACTTACACAATTCACTTTGTTTGTCTTTCTAACTGCTAGGTTGTTACAAGAATGTATGACTATCACAAGTTGTTGCTATCTGAGATAATGTACTGCTCATAACGGGATTCTCAGGATTCGAGGCCAGTCGTTTGGTCGACGTCGACAACTTTGTTCCTTTTCTGGACAAAAGACCATCAGACTATGGATTCCTGACGCTAGTTCATGAACTCTCCTCACTGCCTTTTTGATTCCGTCTTCTGTTGCACACCAGATAGATGGCCATTGCCGTTGCAACTGGCTCTGCGCCCCGCACAGATAGAATCTGTGATCACCTCGACACGTCAGAAATGGACGGATCATCGATCAAGTCGCCCGAGACCCCATATGGAAATCGAGTCCGGGGGTGGCATACATAAGGCCTGCCATGTTCTGTTTTTGTCCTGGCGAGCTTAGCCTCGCGTCCCTCTCCTTCTCCCAATGCTGGCCATCTGATCCTAGCCTTCTATCCCCTTTTCTATGCTGGCCATCGGCTTCTTCTTGGCTGCAGCTAGTCTGCCGTTTTCCTACGCTGCCACTGCTACATCCCAATTACTATTGGACGCGTCTGACCCTTCTCTTGTCTTTTCTGCTGGGTGGACAACGCAGTTCTCGAACGCAAGCGGATCGGACTATCTCCAGACGGACACAGTGTTGGGATCACTCACGGCCTCTTTGCCCGGTGCGTCTCCCGTCTTGTCCGCGGCACCTGCTGCGTGCGTACTAAAAGCGCGCCCAGCAAACACGTCCTCGGTCTCCTTTGTCGCCTATCCTAGAGCAGGCGGTTCCTCCTACGGCTACACTGTCGACTGTCAAAATGACTGCATCCTGACCACCGTGAGCGCAACTGATCCCTCGGCCGGAAACCCTAGCTTTGTACAGGCTGTGCGTTTTTCCATCGATCGTGTAAGTTCATCGACTCATCACGTCACCCGCAGTCTACGCTCTTCTCGCTGAACCTGGACCCGAGCTTCGAGCACATTCTGCGCGTCTACAACATTCCAAGCAACTTGCCGGGAGGTCATAGCGAGATTACATTCGACCACCTGGCTGTTGACGTTCAGGACAATGCACAAGGTGGTTTTCAGTCTTCTAACGCATGCTTCTTCTGGACTGATTACATCTGCGTTCAGGTCGGCGCTTCTTTCCATCTCTGTGATGATCTATACTTAGTTGAAACAGGCCATATCGGACCCAGCACTGGAACGGAAGGGAATCCATCAAGCACCGCGTCGCTTTCCAGCAGTGTTCCCGTTGCACTTGCAACTACGACGGTGGGAATCACACAGACAAGCAGTGCCCCAAGCTCGACATCACCGATCACAAGCAATCCAACCTCATCGCCGGCCGTGTCCGATAGTGCTTTAGATCCATCAACAACAGCAAATGGTTCAGATGCATCACAGGCGTCATCATCAGCTTCCAGCGCTTCGGCGAACAGTTCCTCAGGCCCCAGTGTCAAGCTGATCGCTGGGGTGACGGTGCTGAGCCTGTTCTTTGTGGGAGCTGTTATTGCTACGTTCATCGTTGTCCTGAAACAACGAAGAGCGCGTCAGCGGGAGATGCAGCTCCCACCCAGCCGAGCTTCCTCAATCATTCCAATCATGCCGCCCCCTCCTGCGCCAGAAATGTGGTCGGGGGCGGATCCATTTATTGGTTCCCCGCGACAATTCTCCAGTCCGAGGAGGATGGACGGGCGGCTGCTCACGCCAACGACCGCGCCGCCCACCTATCCTCTTCCCCTCCCGCCGACAGCTGCTCATCCGATTGGCGACTACTGGACTTCGCGGCCGGTTCGGAATCAATTTTCACCCGTGTAGCCTCGATGGCTTGCTTTCCCGTATTTACTTGTAGCACGTCGCACTCTTTTGTACATCATAGGAATGAATTTGTATCCATTGGAAGTAAAATACATCTAAGTAACCCTATTATGAACAAATGATGACTGAAAAATACAATTTGTGCAGGAAATCCAAAGAGAGCGGGAGAGAATTTACAGTGTTGATAGCATGAACGAATGGTATGATGGAAGCGACCTTCATCGCCGCCGCTGGTCCGACTGCCAGTAGCCCAGCAGTTGCTCGAGCACCTCGATGACGACACCGCTGTTGTACATCAGAGCATGATCGCCCCCGTTGACAACCTTAACGATGCACTTGTCCGCGCCCATGTTCTTCTCCATCCACCGCACAGCATTCTCCCCAATCTTCTCGTCCTTGTCCCCATACCAGACGTTCACGGAGTGCGGATAGTTCGTGTACGAGAATCCCCACGGATGGTTGTCGTGGTTCAGAATCTGCAACAGATCGCTGTACGTTCCTTTGGCAGACTCCGCGTGCGATGCTGCAATCAGCGCATTGCCGAGCGTGGACTGATACTCGTTCGTCGGCTGGTCACTCGCCAAGAACACAGATGTCGAACTCGTATTCCTGGTGCTCGCCGCCGGAGACGAGGGGGTCGACAGTGGCCATGATGGAGCAGTGCCACCGGCGGAGTTGAACGAAAGCGATCGTCGTCCATCCGTTCGGCTCGCTGAAGCATAGAAGCGTTCGCTGGCAGCCCGAGAACCGACTCCTTCTCCAATCAACGAAACTTCGGAGGAACCCGACTTGGGCCAGTTCAGGTCATCCATCCCCATTCCAAAATCAAACTTGGGCGCCGGGGGCAGTACCGGACTTGAGGGTTCGGACGGCCCACTGTGCTTGCTCGAGTTGTTGTACGACGAGGCTCGACCGCGGAGAGATCCCATCGATCGCAGAGCCTTTAGCCGTTGCTTGGGCTTGGCAGTTTCTTCCTGCGGAGAGGCCGGCTGCGAGGGCTTGAAACGGTTCAGAAATCCCCGCGACGGCTTCCGCTTCGCGGTCTGGACCGCATCCGGCGCTGGTCTGGCAGCGGCAGCCACTGCAAGAGTGCTTTTACTCTCAAAACGACCGTCAAAATCCCCAAGATCATCGTACTCGCTGAAGGAGCTCCCTATGCTCGGACGAGGTCGAGCCTCGCCATCTGCAGCAGAGCTTTGGACCGCTAGACTATTCCCATTTCCGGAGGTCGTTTGCGCTTTCGGAGCTACGGTGTAGCCGATGCCCTCATAAGCAATGGTGGGAGGTTTCCCTAGCATCCAAGCCTGGACTTTCCATTCGGCAGCCTGCGCTGTCTTGAGAATGCCGTTGGGGACATATTTCAGCCATTTATAGCCACCTGACGCTTGATTCAGCACGTTCAGCAAGGTGGCCCACTGCAAACACACCATTTTCGCTACCCCCCACCCATGGCGCCATGAGGCAGATGTCTCCTCGAATCCGAGTCGGCACCTTATTTGCAAAAGACAGCGCATACGGGGTTCCTGCCGAGTGTGCCATGATGCTGCACTCCGGAATTTGAAGCAGATCAAGGACCTCTTCGACTGCCGAGGCCCATTGCATGATGCCCTTGGCAGTTCGGGACCTCGATTCGGTGCGTCCCAGTCCCCAGCTGTGAATGAGTGGTCAGAAACATGTTGAATCGGACCGGGAGCTGGCGTACCGATCTACGGTGATCAGCCTGAGTCCCAGGCACTGGGCCATGTCGTCATACAATCCCATAACATGTCGGACACAGCCGAGTCCAAGGAATACGACCACAGGAAAACCCGTTGGACTACCCAGATCGGACAAGCTAACCGTTAGCGGATTGTCTTGCGACGCATGAGGCGAGCGAGTTAATTTGAGTAGGGTAGTGAGGCGAACGGAACGGAGGTATTGTGCCACCGCCTGAGAAGCAGAAGGCTGAGCGAAGGATAAGAAGCCGGGCTCAACAGGCGAGACGCTTTGTGGATTGGACCTTATCGACGGCGCATACAATGAAGAGCTTGCACCACCCTCGGAGCGAGGCGAGTACACGCTCACACTGTCGGACAAGGTCGAGTGTCTCCTGCTATTGAAGGAAGAGGGAGGAGGGAGAGTAATCGTCGGCCTAGGGTTCGTTGGCTTCATGTTCAGCTGCGTTCGTAGCGTTTGACGAACTTCTTCAGCTATACTGTCGACAGAAGAGCGAGAGACGATGTCCCCGTCATCGTCTAGGTTTATCGCTTCGGGCTCGGTCTCCTCCTGGAGAATCGAGGGGGCGTGACCATGACTGAAAGCCGAGGAGCGCCCGCTCATGGACGTTCGGGAGCGAATCTGGCCTAGAGGTGCATGTGTTCGGATGATGTCCGAAATGGAGGGTGCGACAGGGCCATGTCTGTCGATGGATGCAGCGGAGGACTTCCTCGACAGCACACCTAGAAGCGGTGGGTCTTCCTCTACTTCAGGTGTTATGGTGGCTTTCGAATCACTGCGCGTAGGACCTGGTCGAGGAGCCCGTTTACGAGGTCGAGATGCCGTTGTCACCTGCCGTCGGGCGGTATCCTCTCCGCTATCAGACTCGCTTGAGAGAGACACCTGCCTTTGCCGACGCTGTTTCGCTTTAGGGCCGCCAAGAACTATCCCAGGAGGAGGAGTTGGCAGAGGAGGCTCGTAGAGCGGATGCCGATTCGGAATGCCGAAGCGTTGGCGACTGGAAGAGCGCCCCATGAAGTCATCCCCTCCATTCATACCATCCACAAGAGCGTCCATCATCTCCACACCAAACACGGGCGCGGAAACAACAGCAGGGAAACCCGTGAAAGACTCCCCATCCCCATAGTCTATAGGCGTGTCCGGCGGCGTCTCGTCGGTATGTTGTGTCGAGGACCCAGAGAAACGCAGAGCAGGAACCCTGCCTGGTTCTCGCCAACCCCGTCCGTCGCGACTCGTCACGGTGTAGGACCTACTTCTGTGAAGGGGATTGCGAGAGCTTTCGGGCGGATGGTGTCCGCCTGACGACGACTGGATAGGCGGGAAGCTGACAGGAGAGTCTATTTCATTTGGGGAACCGGGTGGGGACGATGAGGCGTGCGCTTTGGGTTTGGAGGCCCGAGCCGGTGCGAGCCTCGGATACGCGTCGAAATAGGAACGAGACCCAGAAGGATCCGGTTGAGGTGATACGGAGACGTTCTTGGACTTTTCTCGCCGAAGAGACATGAAAGATGTGCTCTTCCGAGGCACTCGGTTCGAACTGGTCGGAGCCAGGGGTTGCGGTCTAGAAACGACAGAATGCATCGTAGCAGATGCAAGGCAGGAGCAGAAAACGAACGACTAGCCGAGGCCGAAGCCAGAGAAAAGTGGTGAATGGCGTCGGCACTGAAACTGCATATGAATGCGGCATCAAACAAATGACAACACGGTAAATCCGTCCACGATTGAATTCATTTATAGAGCGTGTACATGGAGCCATTACAATGTAAAGTGCGTGCAATAAGAGACTACGGAAAACGGCTAATGGGTACGGAAGACAGAGAAGTATTCGGTTGCCAGCATCAGTCACCAAGTCAAATCGAACCAGTGAGAGCAGCCAGAGCGGATCGCATGCGAGTAACAAATTCGTTGAGACGTTGACGAGCCTTCTCTAAACTATGTTATGAGCACATTCGGAATTGAATAAGGGTCTCGAGGACGGGAAACCTCAGTAGGCAGGATATATGCCTACCAAAGCCACAGGGAAGGGGGGTGAAAGGTCGAGTCAACCACATGCCTTGCTGATTCTCTTGTTCCTGCACCGTCAGGATCTGCTCTTCAAACTTCTGTTCGGCGATTTGGGTTTCGTGGAAAGGACGTGAGGACGCCCAGGCATGAGTTTCAAGGCCAGCATCGAGAAGGAGCTCATTAAATTCTGAGAACAGTGAAAGTTGAGCTTCAACGATCGTTGTCAAGGAGTCAAGCGGGGGAGCACGAGATTGGACAGAAGAACGGATCGATGTTCCCACAGGGCCAGACAGCGTGCAGGAGACCATGCAAGAGACCAGCTATGACCAGGAGCGGAGCATACCTCGCTGAAAGGCTTCATCGCGTGCGGTCTCGTCTTGAAATGGGAACACGACAGCCTCTTCACAGTCGAAAGCAAGGAATTGGGATTCGATGAGATCGACCAGCGAGCGGCCGCGCATGTTTGAGCTACGGGTTTGAGAGGCCTGAGTGCCAGGCGGAGTTGATGAGTTTGAGGGTGAGGAGCATTTACTCTCCGGCCGCGGACTGGGGACTGAGTCTGCAGACATGGTTGACGGAAGCAAAAGCGTCAGGAAACTGTAACAAACAGTGTCACATTCTGCCTAGAGTTCAGTGTTGTCTGTGGAACCTTATTGAACACATATTCGGTTGCTACAGCGCTGTCTCCTCTGCATCCGCACAATAGGATCTCTCTTATCCAGGTCGGATAACCGTCAGTCCTGAGAGATCACTCGAACGTCAAACTCGACGAGTCCTGTGATCAAAGATAGGCATATCAATCGGAGACTATCATAATCGGGACTGCCCTCTGAACCTACCATGGACCTTTCTGAGAGGAAAAATACTGACCTTGACGCTTCAGCCGGTAACCTGGAACCTCGTCACCTTGGCCCCGTCTTTGAAGAAAAGCCGGATCATGACTTTCACTACAAAACTTTGAGTTGGCAGGTCAGTCCTCCAGACATCTTGAACATTCGCAGTTCTGAACGCCTGCAATATCAGTTTGTGGCTCTACTTATGATTGCGGAGATCGTCAGCAACGGCATGCTTTCCCTGCCGTCTGCGCTTGCTGTTGTTGGTACGCCCTGCCGTCAACGCACGCGGCAACGAGTGCTGACTTTATTAGGGATTGTACCCGCCGTCATTCTGATTCTGTTCTTCGGTGTCTTTGCCCTGTATACTGCAAAACTTTTGATCGACTTCAAGGTGACCGTCGAGATCTGAGAGCCTAGCCATCGAGGCGTCACCCATCGCTCATGATAGATCTTCAGTTGAATCATCCGGAGGTCCATAACATGTGAGTGCCAGTGCTGGCGCCTTTCCAGAATTATACATCCTGACTCGCCAAGGGGGGATGCCGGATACATTCTGGGTGGTGTTGTGCCTCGGGAAATCTTATCTGCTGGGACGATCATCTTTGCAATTTGTGGAACTGTGCGAGGCTCAACCCAACAGCCAATCCGCTCGCTATCTCTGACCAGATATAGGGTTCCGAGCTGTTATCCGGCCAACAAGCGCTCTCTACTCTGACCAACAATGGCTTGTGTGCTGAGTTTCTGGGAATTACGGCCTTCCCTAAGTAGCCCAAAGGGGAAATGTCCGGCATCCCCGCCGAAGTGATGGCAATGATCTATCTGATGTCTTAGATATTCCTTGTGCATTTAGATATTCCTCGTGCATTTCCTGTTTCTGAGGACAATGAGCACAATGAGAATTATATTCACATATCCTACATGCTCCCTTCCTAACAAGCACTACATCATGGCTACCCTCACGTTCTCTGTGCTCACGCCCGACGACATGGCATCCCACCCAACGACCCGACTGCTCACTGGGCCTACACTAACAAAAACAATGATTAGCGCACAGAGCTTCAAATCTGAAATACCGCTTGGCCAACTTCTGGTCAACTCCGAGCAGAGAGCAGACTTGAAGAGGCTGTACGCTGCCCGGAAGAACGACCCACACTCAGCATCTCCTCTCCAAGACCTTCTGTTCAATGGAGAAATCCAAGAGGACCAGGACAAAGCATTTGACCTCCTTGAGGAGCTTCAACTGGACCTCGAGGCGCAGGAGAGACTCAGCAATTGCTGGGCACAGGCTTGGAGCTTACCTACTACCGCCAAAACCCGTCGCATTCTATACCAATGCACCTCCGGTTACGATCACACTCGTGCATCAAAGAAACCTGCTGCTGAGGCACAGCGACGTGTTCCGACTGAGTTCACAGCGTGTTTGGCTCATGTGGAACTCACCATGCGAGGCAAAAACATCCTGCGAATCCGTGGACATCTCAAACACTGCCAGAAATGCACCGACACACCTTTTGTCCGGCAACCTGCCATTCCCGTCCATCCATCTGTATACCAGGTTGCCGTGGAGCGTTTGAAACAAGGCACTTGCACTTATCGTGATATTCGCGATCAGAATCGCTCCCTGTTCTCATCCAAGGCATACGACGGCTTCCCCCAGACAGACGAGGCATTGAAGGCATCACCGTTCCGGTGGATCTTGACAGCCAAAGATTCACGCTCCCTTTATCGCAAATTTCATGCGACGAAAGGGATACCTATTCGGGATGCACCAGAGGCTAATATTGATGCATGGATGGACTCACAATCCAAAGAATACCATGCAACCTTTGCCAGTGCGGTCTTCCATTACTCGGCACGTGCTTCCAAGTCGGAACGTTTTGAAGCCTGTGTTGCCACAGACGAAATGAAGGAAGCGGTCTGGAAATATGGCCATAAGAACCAGATCATTCTCGATGGCACTTTCGGTGTTTGTGATCGACGACTGCTGGTCTTCATTGTGATGGTTGTCGACAAAGGAAAGAAAGGCATACCTGTTGCTTTCTTGTTCTTCTCGGCACCTACAGGTAAGACTGTAGACTTGAAATACGCTCTTCGTTGTGCTGATACTGTATATCCTCCAGGAAATCAGCAATCGTCTGCCGGATACAATTCCGAAATCCTTACCAAACTCCTCAAGACCTGGGAGTTAACTGTCATAGTTCGACCACTTTTTCATCTTATCATCGACAATCTTATCTTATCTTGGCACAACTTATCTTATCACGGATCACGGCATCAGACGGTCCGGACTAGGGGTTTCAGGGATTATCTTCATCGATTCGAGGCTGCGCGACATATGCTCCAGAAGGTTCTACTACGACCCATGACCAGCGTTCCATGCGGTACATAGCCCTATGACTCATTAGTTGTAGATATGACTCAGACTGGATTGGGGTATAAATACTGTAGCTACTTGGTTGTATTCTCCAGTCTTCGAATTTACTTCTCTTTTCGACTTTGTTTTTGGGTTGATTGTCACATAATTCGAAGACTCCCCTCATACCCTCCTACCTCATACCTCTTACCCTGCATCTTGCACCGCTACGCCCGCTATATCCTCTTAACCCTTATCACCCCACTCACCCTTTTACCGAATCATCTAGTCGTCCTCCACTATCGCAGTGAAGGGTTCATATCAAGCAAACAGCACCAGGCCACGGGTAACGTTGAGCCCGACCCAAGCCTTACGGTAGCTACAAGGAGTGCTGCGGAGACCTTCGGGAAAACGCACCTCGGGATCATCGGGCACGTGAAGAGCTAGGCCCGGGATCTTTTTGCTAGCAAAAGAACCTTTCCTCGAGTGCTTGTACAGCACACGAACCCACCATTTCGTACCGATTCCCATCGTCGTCTGGGAGTCCATCCCCTCCCCCCATCGTACCATCGTCGCCCGATCTGGCGCATCAAAACCAACCCGGGCCCTCCGACCCCTACCTCGCCCTCCCACCGCCTGAAGACGAGATCCCCGACCTCGACGAACTGCCCTCCGAACAACCACCCTCGCCTCCACCTCACACGCCTGCCCCCACCATGTCAGGGCATCACCGCATCACCCTCGCCGCCAACCCCCCCTACTTCGATGGCGACAAGTCCAAATACCTGGGCTTTGTGGACGCGTGCACCACTTACATCGGTGTCTATCGATCGGAGTTCTCACAAGATGAGACCAAAATCCTCTTTGTCCTCTCCTACCTCCGTAACGAGAACGGCACGAGCTGCGCTGCCTCGAGATGGGCGATGAACTGGAAGCAGCACAACTTCGATGGCTTCCAGGGACTGAAGGCAGGAGTCACATCAAAGAACTTCCTGGAGGAGTTTCAGAGGGCGTTCGGGGACTCCAATGCGGAACAAGTCGCCGCTGCTCGGCTTATGGCCCTGCGTCAAAACAAACGATCCTTTGCGGACTACATCTCCGACTTTGAGATGTTGGCCGCAGATGCAGGCTACAATGTGGTTGACACCACCGACGACAAAGGCGAATACAAGAAGGGGGACCAGGATAATATCCTCATCGAGTTCCTGGAGCGCGGACTCAGCAGCGAGATCGCCAGCCGTCTCTACAACACCGGTGTCCCTCTGCCCAAGGCCTATGGAGCGTTCAAAGCCTGGTGCATCAACATCGAAGCCAATGCTCTGCGTGACCAGCTGCGCAAAGCGTCGTATGGGCACCCCACACAACGACCACCTCCCCAGTTCCGTCCCCAAACGGCACCAGTGGCGCCCACACCCGCTCCGGCCCGACCCGCTGCCAACGAACCGGTTCCGATGGAAATCGATCGTACCCACGCCCGCGGCCGCAATATCATCTGCTACAACTGTCAGCAGCCCGGACACATTGCGCGGAACTGCCCGGAGCCCAAGAAGAAGCGCACGTTCTTCAATCGGGCCACAATGCTGGAAGAAATCGAGAACGGGGACAAGGACAACGAGTTCCTGAAGGAGATTGCCGAGAAGCTGCGCGAGAAGGGTTTTTGAAGCGCTCCACTCCTCTAGCCAAGGAGGTGGAGCGTCCGGACTATGGACGATTTTCTGTACTTGTTTCGATTAAAGATACGGACAATATTTCATCTACATACACGATCTCAGACTCACTACGTACAAATATTCACGATTTTCTTATTGCCGAGATGGAAAAAGAACGCCAGGAAAAGATAGCTCTAAATAGAAAATACTTACAAGATAAAAAGGATCAGAAAGCTGCAGATAAATTATTTTTGGACTCCTACGTATTTATGGCTCGTGGAGAAGGAACCACGTCAACAAAGACCGAAAAGGGGAGCATCGCTCCGAAGGCTCGATCCTTGGAAAAGGAGGAAGCGCACAAGGAATCTGCCAAAATCGAGGTTCCAGAAGCACCCAAACGCACCAGGGTGCCAGATGCCATCCAGAGGAAATTGGCGACCGAGAAACAGAAGGGCCCCCAGCCCAGCAGATTGGCGCAGGAATTGCGCAGTTACCAAGCCGAAAGAAAGAGGCATTCGATGGACGTATATGTCCAGATCACGGGCCTGGACTCCGGGAAAACGCGTGGAGTCAAGGCGCTGCTCGATAGTGGCTGCAGTACCTGCTGCATCGACACCGACTACGCACGGGCAGAAAAGCTGGATATCCAAGAGCTTCCGCAACCCATTGTGGCTCGTAACGCCGACAACACCGAGAACATCAGCGGTCGGATCACGCACTACGTCGACTTGAGAATGAGAATCGGTCCTCATGTGGAGACACGCACGTTCCTCCTGACGTGTCTGGGAAAAGCCCGGATCTTCATCGGCCTGGATTGGCTGACGGAACACAACCCCGAGGTGGATTGGCAGGAGCAGACAATGAGATTCAGCCGATGCCCAGAGCAATGTCAAATGAGGGGTCACGAGGAGCACCAAGCGATGATCGACATGGATGCAATTGACCTGGACGCGGGTGCACCGGATCTGGAAGAGGGAGAATCGATCTTGCTGATCGACTTTGGAAAGGAGGTAGACCTACGGCTGAAGGAAACGCCGGCGCAGAAATTCGCAGAAGAAGCGGAAAAGGAGAAGGAGAGAATGACCGAGGGAAAGATTCCAGATCAATACCGAGAATTCGTCAAAGTATTCGCCAAGGAATCATTCGACTCACTACCGGACCGACGGGCATGGGATCATGCGATCGAGCTCAAACCAGGCTCCAAAGCAGTGGACTGCAAGGTGTACCCCTTATCGAGAAACGAGCAGGTCAAACTCGACGAGTTCTTACAAGAGAACCTAGCCAGCGGACGAATCAGGCCATCAAAATCACCCATGGCATCGGCATTCTTCTTTGTCAAGAAGAAGGATGGCTCGCTACGGCCTGTTCAAGATTACCGGAAGCTGAATGAGATGACGATCCGAAATCGGTACCCGCTACCGCTGATTTCCGAACTGGTCCACAACCTGTGCGGCGCCAAGTTCTTCACCAAGCTTGATATCCGATGGGGATACAATAACGTACGGATCAAAGAGGGCGACGAGTGGAAGGCTGCGTTCCGCACGAACCGCGGACTGTACGAGCCCTTGGTCATGTTCTTTGGTCTCACAAATTCCCCGGCAACTTTCCAAAACATGATGAACGACATACTCCGGGAACTGATCAACGAGGGACATGTGGTAGTTTATCTGGACGACATACTAATCTTCACAGAAAATCTGGATGAACATCGACGAATCACCAAACGGGTACTCGAGTTGCTCCAAAAGCACAAATTATACCTGAAGCCGGAAAAGTGCGAGTTCGAACGCACGGAAATCGAATACCTGGGTGTAATCATCGGACACAACTCGATGCGGATGGACCCTGTCAAGAT